GTTTTAACCCCTATAGCTTATTAGTAGCTTATAAGTTCATTAGTTAAGTTAGTTAGCTCCTAATTTATATATAAGTTAATTAGTTAAGAGATTAGCTCAGCTAATAACTAACTGATTAGCTTATTAGGACCTCTGACGAAGCCCTCCACTTAATTTTAGTCCTTGGGGAAACTCTTACTTGGGTAATGCAGTCGTTGATTTTGGCAGTACTGCAAGGTGTCTGGGGGACGGGCTCGGGGAGGGCGATAGCTGATGCCAGAGAGGCAGCAGCTGCGAGGATAGTCAAGATAGAGAAGTGCATTTTGAAAGATTTTGATTGTATTGGAAGCTTGATGGACAAGTTTGTATGGGAGTGAATTTGAAAACGGAGAGGAGCTGATGCAGAAGGGAATTGAGTCGTGATTATCGGCCTTCATATATTTTTTCCAAGTTAGTAGCTACTGGGCGGCCTTGAACAATTCCTTGAACAAGTTTTCGCGCTTCGGAGTTGATGTTTCCCGACTTGAAGTCAAATATATTTGCCAAGCGAGATTCTTGGAGATATACTTTTACCTGGTACGTGTCCCTTTGTTCCTTCACATTCCGTATATCATGCACTCCTGAATGGAATACTCAATTCGAGATGCAATTCTTCTTGTTATCCATTCTTTGTATCAGATGAATAAGCCATAGAGGGGGACTTGGAGATTGACGAGACGGCGGCGTGTATCGACTCTACTATTGTCAAAACATCCATGACCTGAACACACCTCGCTCAATCTGTTGCAAGACTTGTCTCGACATTCTATGACGTAACTGGAACACCGAGATGCTGTATTATAATAAGTATCTGTTCTTTCAAGCCATAGAGCTCATTGGTGCAAGATATAAGAATTAAGAACTTCCCAAGAGCACCAGGGAAATTATCGTCAAAGTATCATCATTGAACGAAAAAGAGAGGTGGAAATCTGTTCTTGAATTCTCCGCACCTTGATGAGCAGCCATTGTCTCTGATGCAAAGATCGACGCATTAGCAGTAACAGCATCATCTTTAAGCATGAAGGCTAAATAGTTCTACGAACTTCTTCACAAAGTTGTGAAATTATGGACCTCCCAAGTTATGAAGCCAGCCTCGTCGGGCTCACTACAGTAATATCAGTAACTAGTATTATAGTAATATCAGTAACTAGTATTAATCGGCATTTTAAGCGAGCCTTACGAAAAGTCGCGTCGGATTTTCCCCTGCTATCTCCTATATTCACGCCTCTCTATACTATACCTCTAAAACACTTTTAGAATTAATAGTAAATAGCTTAAATTAAAGGTTAATAATTGCGCTTTTTAATATATATTTTTTTAAGTTATTATAATACTTACTTATTTAAATATTAACGTCGTAGTGTGTATTAAAGATACTTTTTACGAACTAGGAGTTATCTTTAATAAGGAATACTTATAATCTATTACTAAGATATATAATATAATAAAATAAATAGTTTACCTCTATAAAGCTAAAGTAAATACTAGCCTACTAGTTCTACTAAGATCTAGTAGTCCTATTAAGATTTTATTAAAGGAAATAAAGTAATCTATAAAGTTATTATTAGATAAGATACTATAGTTATATTAGAATAAGATTATAGAGTTTCTATAAGACGTATATAACGTTATAGTCTCTTAACTAATAGTCTATAATATACTACGCTAAATTAGGCTTACATAGAAGAAATTAAAAGTTATAGCAGCTTAATAGAATAAGGAATTATATATAAAATAAGTATATTAACTCTAGGGGTTTATAGTAAACTAAATCGTCTATATAAATAAATTTAGTAATAATAATAGAACTAAAGATTAATATCATAGCTAATCTAACTCTAGAGCTTGAGTAGTAGTTTATAAGTAATTACAGAATAAAGAGCGAGTCTTTGTTCTACTAGTATATATAGTTAATAGATATATTACTCTCTCTATATTTATAAGTACTTATAATAGCGATATATTTAAAGATTTCCTTATAGATAATATTTTACCTTTTTATAACACTTTCCTAGCTCTGCGAAGTATTATAATACTTAATAATATATTAATCTATTATTTTAATATTAACTGAATTTAAGTATAGTTTAATAGATATAAAGTATTACTACGATTTCTCCCTTTATATTCCCCTGATTTTAACTTAATTAAAAAGAGTTTTAGTAACCTAAAGGCTTATATTTATTATTATTATTACTATAAGGAAAAGTATAAATATACCTTATACTAAGATTTCTTAGAATAAGTATATATTAAGTATAAAATAAGACTAGAAGCTACCTAGTAAGTAAGAGGTTATTTTAGGAATATAAGAATTAAAGGAGTATAAGATAATTACACTTAATTTTATATAATATTCGCTTCTAGCTACTATAGATAATTAAGATTATAATATTACTTAAACGTATAGATATATAAAGATTATAGTTATATAACTTTTAGTATATAAAAATATTAAATTCTTAAGTAATTACTAATATATAATATAACTAACTTTATAAAATAAATAGATACTATTAAAAAAAGTACTTCTTAAGCTTATCTTATATAGAAATACTTAGTAGTTATTAAAAAAATTAGTATCTTATTCCTTATTTAACTTACTTATTTACTAATATATATTACTATTATTTCTAATATTTCTGAAGTTTAGTAACTTTCTAGTAGCTTTAGCTTTCTCTTATACCTTTAGCTTCTTCTTATATTTAAGCTTAAACTTAAAGACTTACTTAGAAATAAAATCTATTATACTAGCTTTAATACTACTTAATATAATTAATTCTTTATTATAAAGTTAATTAATAGAAAGAATATTAGTATCTTTAAACTTTTTAAAAGTAGTTTAAATTAATAGCTAATAAGTAGAGAAAGCCTTACTTTTAATAAAGTAATCTTTAAAAGCTATTATTTTATTTTCCTCTCTTAAGCTTAGTTAAAGTAGTAAAGATAAGAAAACTATATTTCAGATATTACTAGAACTTTACTTTTATAAGGAAAGTATTACTAATTAAAAAGAGAAAGAGGTACTTATAATATAGATAGCTCTACTAGAGCTATATTACTAGTATCCTTAAAGAGCCTAGGGATATATAGGTACTAGTAGGAGCTATAGAGCTAGTATTACTATAGGTATATTAATAATTAAGTATATAAAACTACTACTACTTATATCTGATTTTAATATAATTTCCTTCTTCTTTTAATTAGACTTATAACCTTTAGATAATTTGAAATTTATTATATATTTACTATTCTAGTATTTTATAATCTACGCTAGTAAAGGAGTATTTATATCTACCCTAGGGATTTATAAGGTAATTACATATACTTATTCGTCCTATTTAGTGATTAAGATTATATAATATATACCTCTACTCTTAAGTATATAATAATAGCTTCTTTTATTATTATAGTATAATTTAAAGTAGTAGTTTATATAGAAAATCGATTTATAAGTTAAAGTATATAAAGAGGCCTTAGCTTTAGCTTAATACTTTACCTTAAGTAGTTTACTAGTAATTATATTTAGAAGCTCTTCTACTTCTAGAGAAGCTTTAGATTAGAAATTATTATTATTCCTTAAAGAAGTATTACTTAAAAGCTCTAGTAATAGTATATAATAAAAATTAACTACATAAGCTTTACTTTTAACTTATCCCTTAGCTTTTTATAAGACTAGCTTAAGAGTCTTCTCTTAATTAAAGATTTACTATAGAGCTTTAATTAAAATAGTAAATACTTATTTAACTCTTTAGTAGTTAAATAAACATAAGAATATGTAAAGGTAGTAGTAACCACTTCTTTACTATACCCGATTAGGAAGAGTCTAGAGCTCGGCAAAGCTCGGTAAGACTCGGTAGAGCTCGGTTAACTCTGAAGGGGTTTACCGACAGTTACCCACTTAGTTATACGCAAAGGGAAATAGCTCTACGCTACTATAGGAGTTTACGTCAAGTTTTACGTCAAGTGTAATTAGGCCTAATCGGGAATAGCCCGGGGAATTTGTCTATATAGGCTCGAGCGCCCTCTACGGAATCGAGGGCTCCTCAGCTTGATATTCGCGCTAATAGAGAGGTTATCACCTGATCCGTGGTTATTTCGCTCACGTGCTAGCTAACGCTAAACCGTGCTATTACAGAATACTCGAAATTTATATAGATTATTCTTATCTATTAACTTAATATATATTCTACTCTTCTTTAAATCTCTATTTATTATAACTTATAACTAAGCTTTAAGTTTATTTACGCTTTATAACCTCTTAGTATTTTCTTAAGGCTTTATTATTTTCTTATAGACCTTAAGTTATATAGTAGTAAGAGTCTACTTATCTTAAGAGTTAATATTATTATAAAGAGGTATTAAAAGCTTATTTTATCTATCTAGCTCTAGAGTTATAATCTATATAACTATTAATTAGTTTCTAAAGTTAATAGAAGAGTTAAATAGCTTCTTTTAGCTTAATAAGAGAAAGCTTAATATCTTAATAGTATATTCTTTATTTTTACTTTTAAATAGAGAGATTAAAAGAGACTCTAATTTATTTTCTAGTTTAGTAAATAAATTATTATCTTATTTTAAGTTTTTAGTATTTTCTATTATATCTTTTAATTACTTTTTAGTAATAATATTAGCTCTAGGATACTTTCTAGAAATTAATTTATAAGAAATTAGTAATTAAGAAGAAAAGCATACCTTTAAAGAGTTACTATTAGATTTATATACCCGCTTTAATTATATACTTATATCTAGTAGTAAACCTTATAAACACTTAGAGCTATAACCTTAAGGTATATTAACTTTAATATTCCGAAAGTTTCAAGTATTTTAGACGTATTATTATTAAGTAATTAAAGGTAGTTCTAATATAGGGGGGCTAGAATAAGGGGTTAGATACAACTTTTAGTGAGGCTCGCTTAATATACGGATTAATACTAGTTACTGATATTACTATAGCGCAAGGCTTTGCCGAAGAAAAAAAGTTCAAGTTCAAGGTTCAAGACAGGAGAGCTCTCACATCAACCACCAAAACCAAACCAAACCAAACCATCAAAACAACATCCCTACCACAATCCTCTCCCCAATCCCACCAATACAATCCCAATCCCAATCCCCTCTTTCCCATCATGCTCTCCCTCAGATCCCTCGCCCGCGCGGCCCCAAGAACAGTCTCCAGATTAAGCACATCCGCCGCAATCCGGCAACAAGCAGTAGCAGGAGCAAGCCGACCCTCAACACTCCTCCAAGCCGCATGGAAGCCATCGCGATGCAGCACAGCTCTATTCTCCAGCTCGGCCGCGAGGAGGGCCACCTCCGGGGAGACTGATGTCGAGTTGGCCGCTAAGCTGGACTCCGAGATCCAGATGGAGAACGAGATGAAGGAGGAGGGCGGCATCCCTACCAGCGTGAAGGATTACCTTGAGAACGGACCCTTTGAGATCATCGACACGCCGGGTCAAGAGGAGGTTGTGCTTACGAGACAATTCGGTGACGAGAAGTATGCAGATCTTTCATCTTCTCTAAGGGTTAAAATTTCAATTGGCTAATGAACAATAAAAAAAATTCAGGATCCGCGTCACATTCTCTATCGCAGACCTCAACGCCATGGACCCCGAGGCAGACTACCAAGACCCAGCCATGAGCGACGAAGCCGATGAGGGCAGCAAGTCCGCCGAGGAGCAAGGCGAGGAGTCCGCAGAAGGCGAGGAAGAGCAAGACCAGTCGTTCCCCGCCCGGCTGAACATCGTCGTCGAGAAGGCCAGCAAGGGCGCTCTGGCCGTCGAGGCCGTCGTGCAGGATGGCATGGTTGTCATCGAAAATGTATACTACTACACCGACGCGGCACACGCACACGCCAAATCCGCCGAGAAGGTCCACGAGAGACAGGATCTGTATGTTGGTCCGCCGTTCGGAAACCTCGATGAGGATCTGCAGGTTTTGTTGGAGAGGTATCTGGATGAGCGGGGGGTGAACACCGCGTTGGCGATCTTTGTGCCGGATTACATTGATATGAAGGAGCAGAAGGAGTATGTCCGGTGGTTGGAGAACGTCAAGGGTTTTGTTGAGGCTTAGAGTGAGTGTTTTGGGATTTTGGCTGAGCAAACTTTACTTACTGTACGAGCGGAGGAATGTTTTTTCTCTTCGATTTGTTGTCTGAACACACACCCCATTTCCACTCTGAATGCCGGCTGAACCGCTGGAGGTTTCTTCTGTATACTATGTATGGGTCTAGGCAGGTGTTATACCACGGCATTCGATGCTAAGTACTTCGTAATGACTAAAGATACTTGTACTATACCAAACTTCGTTTATTGCAGTTGTGTGAACGTGTGCACGCTTACTCTATTGTCATCAAAGTGAAGGGAATGCTTCTTTTCATTGCTGGATTGGTGACAAAACCCTATATATGAATCAGATTTACCTGTCGAGCTTCAGCAGCAACTCATCGGATATCAAGCGAAATTGGGCCTCGGATTTTGTGATCTGACCAGCTCAAAGATTCCACGTCCTGGAACAAGAATCAGTGACTTTCTTTCATTACTGCAGACCATGAAGACCAAAGTATCCATGAATATTTACAAAGCAGACCAATGACCCTATCCCTAACTCCAACGCCTAGCATTCTAAAGATGGCTCGTGACAACTTGAAAACAACATCATTACCTCCCATTTCACCCGCTCACCCTTTTATCCCTGATTTCTTAAGCTATCTTACTTGTCTCTAAGCAGGACTTCCACTTCCACTCTTCTTCTTCTCCTCCATCCCAAACTCCGTCTCAAGGATATTGCTCAAATCCAATCCTTTTACAAAGAGACAGATTGGCAACCCAATAACCGCAAAAGCGATACTAGCATACCAAACAACCTTCAGCGCATCAACATAGATACCAACCACAATCGGCCTAACATTGGCTCCAAGACTGGCAATGAAGACAGCTGTGGCACGCTCATATGCTCTGCCATTGACGAGCTGAGCGGCGATAGCCGGGGCATTGGCGAGACGTTCCTTGACCAGATGATTGACACGGTCATTGAAGATCGCGGAAGGGATGGCGATGCCCCAGATCGAGCCGAAGGAGCGCATGAATGTCCAAGTGGCAGTTGCAGTTGCGACTTCGCTTGGTGGGAGGGATGCGAGGAGAGGGGGAATCATGGAGTTGTAGACCATACCGTTGCCGAGTCCAAAGAGTACTTGAAATCCTACCCATGCGGCGATGGAGGAGTCTTCGTCGAGTAGAGCGAAGAGACCGCAGCCGAGTGACATTAGTACGAAGCCTAGGTAGTGGAATATCCTGTATTTGCCAGTAATCGTAATGATTACACCTGAGATGGCGGCAGCTGGAGCGATGGTCGTGGCAGTTGGGAAGAGCTCGACACCTGCTCTAGAGGGTGAGGCACCCTTAACAGCCTGGAAGTATACTGGTAGGAAATAAGTGACGTATAGGAGAAGAATGCCGTGAACAAATGCCATGATGTAGATGGAGACCGAGGTGCGATTGGAGAAGAGTTGAGGTGGCATAGTGGGCTCATCGACGTAGCCAGAGATCTGGATCAGAGCAAAGGCCGCGATTCCAAGGAAACCAATGATCATGGGGACGAGAATGTGCCATGACTTCCAGGAGAATTTGGTGCCTCCCCAAGCGAGTGCGAGAAGGATTGCCGTGACAGCACCGATGAGCACGAAGTTACCTAGCCAGTCAACACGCTTCGTTCGGTCCCAGATTGTTCCGACGCGACGATACTTCAAGTTAAGGAACGGAACAATGAAGCAAAGTGCCAGTCCAGAGATGGGCAAGTTGATGTAGAAGATCCATCGCCATGTTACGTGTTGAGTAAAGATACCACCAAGGACAGCTTCATGTTGTTAGCAAGTTAAGTACGAGAGGGCTAGGAGCACTTACGTCCTATGATGGTTCCAATAGCATACGTCCCAGCGAGAAGACCTGTGTATTGACCTCTTTCTCGAAGAGGAAGCAGATCACAAATAATGATCTCTCCCAAAGTAATGATACCACCACCGCCAACACCCTGGATAGTTCTCGCGGCAATGATCATGCCAATATTCGTTGCACCACCAGCCAGACCAGAGCCAAGCATAAACAACAGCACGGAAGCGATAGTCAACGATCTCCGTCCGAAGATATTGGCAGCTTGACCGAAAAGAGGCTGGACGGCAGTAGAGGCCAGAACATATGCGTTTGCGACCCAGACAAAGAGTTCGTCAGCATTGAGGTCCTGGGCGATGGTTGGGAGGGCGGTTGAAACGATGGAGAGATCGATGGCGACCAGGAGAGTCGTGACGCAGACGGAGACGAAAATCATCCAGAATCGCCAGTCTTTCTTTCCTCCTTCTTCAGCTGGCTCTCCAGAGACCACGGGAGGGTTACCCGCATCGCGAGACGATAGGGACGTAGCATCGTTCGTGAAGAGAGGTTTGGGGAGCGGGGAGTGGTGCAAGGTACAGCAGCACGTCTTTGAGGATGCCAGCGAAGCTACATTCTCTCTACTCTGCGTCTGGCTGTTCTTCCTAGCATCGGGAGAATAATGAAGGGAGCAGCAGAACTCTGCTGCGCCGTCGTGGCTCGAGCCGTGATGGCTTGACATAATGGACAGCGAGGGTTTGGCAGGATCAGGAAGGAATGAAGCCAACGATCATGAAAAGTTGTGCAGGGTAGAGGACTTCGCACCGAGCACGAAGAGAGAGATGTGAGGATGTGGGAGGAAATAGAACTCGAAAGGAAAAACTGGCCGACGCCTAACCTATATACTGAAATCCCTTTCGGTGGGTTTTGAGGAACTGAGTACAAAGAAGGAAAGAGCGTGTCTCAGCTATTCGGTGGGTATTATTGGCCGCCCACGGCAAACATGCATCGTGGAAAATGGTGGAAGTTTGCATTGCTCCGTAGAGCATGTAAGGGCTGTTTCCAAATACATTACGTCCGTACAGAGCCAAGAGGCTGAGGATGCTGGATGTTAGTTGCGCCGGCGGTGTTGTACGAAAGTCAGCGGCAGGTCACGACATACGCTAGTTTTCGTCCGAAACCTGACAGCTGGAATGTTTGTACCACCGGATGGTTTCGGTGGCTTCTACGGTTATTGTAAAGGCTGACAGCAAGGCGCTGAGATGGATGAATGAGGATAAAGGAGGGAGGTATCATCGTGGTCGGAGTTCAACGATTCAGTCGCCTGCATCGATTCGAGATTCGCTTGGATGCAGTCATCCTGGCATGCTGAGTAGTCTGAGTTTTACGCAGTACTGTAAGATATATTACTTATCATCTCTACGATGCTCCAATGTCTCTTCATGGGTGCTGGACTTGTTTTTTTTTTGGCCGCTGCATGAATATGGCCACAGCAGCTAAATCCTAACTTTTAAATCCTTGTGTATCTCATCAATGCTCTCTCATGTCAACAATCTAATTCCTAGCACAGAGATGGCTCTTGAGATGGCTCCTCGAGTCGTCGAGCCTTCGAGCCTATGCTTTCCTTTCTATTCTACCCCAAACCGATCCAAGAGACATCCTGCACTGCTACCCAAAGCTCCAGTAGCTTTTGAATTCGCTTGAGAAATAAGTCTCAAATGAGATTTTGCTCAAAAGAGGTATCGTCAAATTCTATACTAATGTCCATACAACTCAATATCTACAAAAACTCCGAAAACTCCACAGATCTAGTATCCTGTATCCATCCGGGACTCCAGGCTACCATGGACTCAATTATATTCAGCATATTGACAAAACAAACGATACCTCTATTCTGGAGGAGGCGGTAGTGGATCATTCACAATCTGATCTACACTGCACTATTTGGTTGTCAGCTTTCGTCCGATACTCCGCAACAATATAAGTTTTGACTTACCAACTTATATTCAGGACACCATTCGTCCAAACTAGCCATCTGATCATCTACCCATCTATGTACCTGATGTATACCTAATGGATGCGGATAATCAATTGTTTCAACACTGAATGTTCTCGCGACCTCCATCGTCGGCAGGTTGATTGCACCCTTGTCTTTAGGCTTAATACCTTCATTGGCTTCCTCAGCCTGTAACTCCGTCATCCTACATAAATTAGCATGGTCTCCCAGTCCCTTGCGCTTCGAAAAAAAAAAAATCCTGCCACAACTCACCTATTAAAGTACCACATATCTTCAAACCAATCCCCCTCCTTCTGCGTCGTTTCCCAATCATAATCCTCCAGCACCCTCAATACCGTACTCCTCTTCCTCAAACTCAACCCACCATTATACGGCGTCCCCCCTTCCTTCGCAATCGGCGCCCCCACCATATCGTACTCGAAGAAATCATCCACGCTCCTCGCCGCATTCGCGCAAAGCATACTATCGCTCTGGAAAATCAACACATACTCCACCGGATCCAGATCCTCCCAAAACCACGTATCAGTCATGAATTTATTCAGCGAGTCGGAATTCGTGAAGAGGACCGTCTGAGGGAGCAGGCGCACTTGGATCGTGCCGGTCTTGATGTATCGCGCAAGCGCGGCAGATGTCGCAAACATGCCGACTGATTCCGGGGACGTGTATATGAGGATTGGCCATGAGGGGCCGAGGACGCTGCTGAAGTGGAGGATGAGAGGTATGAGGTTGGTGCGGAATCGGGTCTCGACTATTACGGCTGCTTTAGTAGAGACATTGCCGTTGAAGGTAGGTTCTGGCAGACTCGAAGTCGCTGGCGCAGGGCGCGATTTCCAGTCTGTTCCTTTTGTAGGCGATTTTGCTTCTTTCTCTGTATCTTCTGTGGCTGGAATTATAGGTCGGTGGCTCTGGTAGACGCTGATGATCGTGTGTTGAGGAAAAGCCAGTTTTACTATCCAGATAACGACGAGGAGAAGGAAGGCTCCTAGTATGATATTTCGAGATCGCCGCCGCCGTTCCTCCAGCGATGTGAGTTGTGCCATGCTGTCTTGCGGCTGATTCGCCCCAGAAATGTGATGATCCAGAAATGTTCAGCTCAGCATCTAGCTGGTCATGTCCAGGTGGACCCTCCAATTTGATATTCGCAGAAGTCACCCAATATTGTGTATGCGTATTGTGTATGTGATATTGTCCAATTGCGATTGTCTTCGTCTATCCTGAGATATGTTGTGAAGGAGGAAACGGCCGTAAAGGTTAATGGTCGTCGAAAAGGGGATCGATATCAGGATCAACCTAGAGATAATTCTAGACTGACGCACGGGTGGGGATCTGGTGGATCCACCAATCCCTCTGCTTCGGCACTAGACTGCAGCCTCAGTGAGACCCTTACCTTTCCTACATGGGATCTCCCATCAAAGTCTCCTTCTCACAAGCATCCTCTCAAATTAATAATGGGAAATAACCCAGATCTCAAAATATCCGTTCGGAAATTCCGGGCGATCGTACCTGTTTCGTTTTGTCGGACAGCAGGCCTGCGCCAGAAAGCTGGGATGCTCGGAACTTTGACTTTTTCATGAGTTCCACCGCATGGGGTGTTAGTGGAGAAAGGTTTCAGCTGGGCTCGAGGGGAAGCGATAAGCCTTTCAGGGTTGTGCAGGACACTGCAGCCTTTCGGGCGAGCTTTGATTGGTCTCGCTTGTGTCTGGTGGAAGCGAAGGGGATTAAGAGCTTCAAGAATAGCAAGAAAGAGTGGGAACTTTGGTTGTTCGAGAAGTAGGAGCGCTTCAACAAAGTACGGTAAATAACTAATGTAATTTAAGGACAATAGCCTTTCCTGCAACAGAAATCCAGGTGATAAGTGGTGAGTTTCCTTACAGGGTATTGTAGATAAATTTCCAAAGGCTCGCTATATTACCAAGCAAACTGTGAGGAGAAGAGATAGCAAGATGAAGTTCATCTGAAAATTTCTCTCTGGTTCGTTATCTTTGGAGATTTTTGGGATAGTTTCGGGTACCACAGGTGCTATGGATCTAAGTTTGGGTTAGGTTCTGTTACCAAAATAGCTATCTTTTGGGTGGTGTGGTGATAGCACATACTAGGGACCCAACAATTCATCAAGGTTCTAACAGTTATGATAATACCGGTGGAGAATGCCGTCCAACTGCTGTAAACTCTTGAGAAAAGAAATAGATGCCACTCTTCATTTTCGTTGGGCACCCATAGACCCTGTATCATCCAACCTTGCTAACAATATTCCCAAACCGAGTTACTTTATCCGAGAAATTTGGCTGTCCCGACGAGCCAACAGCCTCCTTGGTCATTCTCATTTGGAAGAAACGTTGTAGGCTGAAATCGACAGAGGCAGCTGTTGTTTTGCTGGGTTTTTGTATTAGGAGCCGTAAAATCAAAATTTTACAAACAAATGTCTGTCGTGAATCTATGTGACGTTCTTGGTGTTGTGTCGTGTCGGGTGGGAATCAAGGACGATATAAAGGGAGCGGACGCAGACGTGGACGTGCTATTTCAGGCCTTATAAGATTGTGAGAACTCAAACTTGCTAGCGGATGTCGAGACTAGGAATATACAAGTGATGACTCTCCTAGGTAAGTAAAGTAGAGGGTAAGGTATGTAGGTACAGATTTGTCATCTTCTACCAAGTTGGGAAGATCAAAGAACAACGGATACGCATCCCAAATCCCATATTCTATCGCCTATGCATGTAAGGGGAAGCACGGGGGGGGGGGATGGGGAGGAAATATTAAGGAAACTACCGTCCAAGTCAAGCAGGTCCCTAGCTCCCCAAGCATAGGCTTCTTCTGCGTGTCTGCCGATCATCAGTTTACACGATGAACTCCTAAATGCCGGACGAGTACCCAACTACCAGTGTGCGAACTTGTTCTGTTTTTGCGGTTAGTCATGTAAGAGTGATTGATGATCAGGTCGATTTCGTCTTGTAAAGTTAGCATTTGTTGGGTCGATTATTGAGTAAGTGAGATCAATAGCATGTATGTTTCCAGAATGGTTTCCCGAGCTTGCCGATTGCGAAGGAGCCACCAGAGCAGGAACCACGCGGTTTGCCCTAGACAGAGTGACAAGTAGTCCTCGCTTTCATTAGGGTGTTTCGTATCTTGGATCCTTTTACTACAATTTAGAGTTCAAAAATCGTACTACAAGTACTCAGGCATCGATAATAGAATATTTTGACAGAAGGGTAGGCGACTTTAATGGTCGGTGCCCAAGCTGCCCCACTTCGAACTATGCCTCATCGCGCTGTTTGTGCTGGTGGTGATATTTACCGCTGATTGAATTTGATTCTGCCAGCCTAGTTGACTACTGAATTACAAAATCTGCCGTGCAGATGTCGAGAGAGTTACTCCATATGACGATAGAAGAGCAATGTGCTTGTTATCCGTGCCTACTTAGGTAGATGTGTACACTTAAGCGAGTTGAAAAGGAGGCCCTCGCTTACCTCGTGGGTGTAAACAACAGCCCCACCGAGGTCATCAAATAGGCCGGGAAGGCATTGGGAATGACTCGTGAGATACTGCTCAATGACGTTGTTTCTTACGTGGTCCATGTACGGGTAAAAAGTGCTGAATCGATGCAAGAACGTACAGGAGCTACAGGAGCTAGGCCCCCACTCTAGTATCGCAAGCAGGTTCAGTGACTCAATCAGAGGCCTTAGATATTTTTATTGCAACGATCGCATGGTAAAAAATGACAAGGCTTTCTAGTCTCGTCGTTGAGACCAAAATCCTGGTTCATTTGTGTCTATCTGATCGCGACATGAGCTCATAGTTACCATGAAGGATCCGGCGGACACGAAAATCTAAATTCCAAAGCTGTCGGAGGTGCAGTGCGCCGACAAGTCGTCAGACTTGGAAGGGGAAGCTAACACACCGCTGTGTAAGCTGAAGACAGACTTTCTGAACCTATGTTGATATAATAATATCCCGTTGTCCGAACCATGCACGATTGTCAACATCAAGAGTTACAGTGTTCTCAGTTGGGTGAGCCTTGCGAACGAAGAACATATTCTGAAGGCGATGGGAAATTGCCACTTGAGTAGCTTGGTGTAGGTTTATTGACAGAAGGTGAGTTTCTCCATTGGCTCTCCGTTTTAAGTTTAAGTTTGGGTGAAATTCGGGATTGAATCCCGGTTGAAATAAACTTCGAGATGTCGGGCTTGCCGATTTGGACCCATCAGGAAGTTAAACTTCAAAACCCTGACGGTAAGCCTTGGCCATCTGTGGGCTCGAGTCACGCATTGCGCAACACTCCAATGAATACACAACACTCCGGTGAAGATTTGTACCGAAAGTTCGCAGACATGTGGACAATAGTGATAAACGAATCAAGTGCAAGTGATACGCCAAATACGAGTGATTGGAGCACATTTCCCACCCGAAGGTATGGGTCTGACCGTGAGACATCTGCACCCAGATCATTGCCCTGAGCCTTACCTGCAGCACCTGCAGCACCGGCACAACCCCCACTTTGGGGCCGACTCCCCAGTATCCAGGGCCTGGGCTCGCTGGGGTCAGGGGACACAAGCCCAAAATCCAGCGCTTATCATGGCCCCAGCAGGCTTTAGTGACACACGATTGTACGACATAGAGACCAAAATTTGAACGACGACGGACGACACACAAAACAAATAACACAATCAACAACGCCCCCCGCCTCTTTTGTTTGCATTGAATATATCATATGTTTGCGAGACATCAGGATTTCAGCACTCTTATCGACTTGAAGCAGCTTTGCTCCAAGATCTAGAGCCGCCTATGAAGACCCAAGGGACATAGATTTCCCGATTAGGCCTCTTCCGAGCGGTTGAGGAGTCGATCATCCGTTGCAATATTGCTTCTCGCTGCTGCAGGCTGCATACAAAAGCCGCTACTATTGCAGAAGCAGCTAAGGAACATGGCTGACGCTCGATACGATCATGATGGAGGTGGCAAGCGCTCTTCCACGTTCCCTGCAGCAAGTGCACTCTTCTCACTGGCCGACGGCCGAGACAAGAACGTGGTCTTGATGTTCTTTATTTCCTTCTGCGTTGCGAATTGCTTCTTTCAGGCCCTTCGATGCCTTCGACTCATGTTCTTGTGATAGATCGCTGGGTCATAATTCCACGTGGTGCTCAACCCGCCCTTGACCTGCGTCAAGCCATCTGTTTTCTGTTAGGTTCGTGCCTCACCGCGCCTCCCGGGCCGAAACCTTCTTATAGAGAGTTCAATACTTCGACCAATAGCCCGCGCTCGTCGTCTATCTTCTATTATTCTGTACCCGCGGTATTAGTATGATGGAGTTGTCTTTCCGCTTGCGAATCCTTACAAATCCCAGCCCACGGCCCACTGCGTCTCGTTCCCCGCCCCCCTTATTCTACTTTTTGACTTCCCGCCCCCTCATCGTTCACGATGTTTGCTCCGTTGGTAATCCTGCCCACCTAAGTCGGGGGAACGCACGACTGCATCGACTCTTGCCTAGAAGCAGGGAAGATGATCGTGACCGGACTCCATATCTGCAGCATTGTCCGCATAGGGGGTGTGCCCGATTGCAGGGCCTGACAGTCGATCCCAATCCTCGCCCGAAGGCGCTCCCAAGTGGCGAAATGCAGTCATTCTGAGAACTGACGCTCTTTTGATATATCAGAGAAAGGGAACATGCTCCGCCAGGCTTCAACTTTTTCCTCACGCCCGGCGAGAGACAGGGCAGGCCATCTCACCGCTGAGCAAAGTCACCCTTGTGGTCCCATCGGCTTACGACTTAACCTGTTCTGTACGAATCACATCCCCTTTTGAACCTCCCTGCTTGTGGTTTCCACCTCTCGGATTAGAACCGGTCTTCCGCGCAAGCCTTCGAGGCTGAAACTCTCGGACGACTACCGGCGGGGAAGTACAGAGTCGCACCGGCGCATACAAGATATATCAGAGGTAACACGAGCATGAGGCTGCGTGCTTCGAAGCAGATTGTTATCAAAAAATCGCCATTTCGAATAATTCTTTCTTGCCCTCACACTATATATAGGATTGTTGGTATTCTATTGGTCTGCCACGTGTCGGCCCCAATATTACTCGGAGAATAACCATCTTACTTCACGCAGGAGAGGCGTTTCGGTCAGCCAGATTAACGCCTTTGTTCCAACATTTTTGGGTCTCAGTCTTATCGTGTGCTGTATTGCTTTAACGGATGTTCCCCCGCGTTTGCTGACTTGCTTATTTTTCCTCGCTGGGGTTAAGATGCCACAAAGGAGTAGACATCCTCTGACCTTTGAACAATTGACTTTTTGAAACACAAGTAAGTTGAACTCGATGGCCAAGATGCAGTCTCCAATTCTTAACCCCGCGCGCCATCACCATGCGGCTTCGCAAACTGCACGGCGGCCTGTTGTGCGACTTCGTGGACAATCCTATATCTCTGGCTCGAATTCGAACTCAAATCAGTCCTCGCCGTCACCGATCTCACCGAAGATGGACTGCAATGGGGAGCCAGAAAGCAGCATAGGTCAGACGACGAGTCCAGAGTTAAGCAAAATCATGAGGAACAGCTTATATCTGACTTTCAACGCTCCACGAGTGGACGATTATGTACGTTTGGCCCTTGTACCCCCATAATTACATCATGAACCTTATTTGGATGCGACCCTACAACACCCCTCACTCATCTGATCTTGACTAACAACCCTCTAGCATCGTGGAATCTTCCTCACCTATCCACCAGCAGTAGCAGACGCCTCCCAGAAGTATTCTGGAACTCTATTTCACGCCTCATATGCACCTCCATTCGAATCTCCCAATGATCCGCCAAGCTGGTTCTTGGAAGAAAAGCCTTCGAGCGACGTATCCACTGCGACAACTCTTGTTCTGCTCTTCAGAATCGGCACACTGGATCCCAACTCTGAACTCGGGTCGACGGAGGAGCAATGTAGCCAGATACGTGCTGTCCTTGACAACGTACCACTCGGTCGGCAGAATCGCGAGGCACGACTCGGCCCTCTAGCCGAAGGACGAGGAAATCCCGTACTCGCTGGTTATGACTGTATAATATGGGCTATAGACGCAATGGACGCACTCGCAAGGGCCAAGATCATCTCTATGGACAAGCTTGACTGCACAGACGGTGGTAAGCACCGAATTTCCTACTCCCCAGAACTTTCCAGAAAACACTCAGTCTGCCCAAAGGATTCCGGACTCGTTCCTCATTTGGCCAGCTGCATGAGCCGGGGCGGCTCTCCGCCTACCCATTCCTCCCTTTCTTTTGTCGATTACCCGAGCGTTGTTCGCTGCTCAGTACATGCAGTCAGGTTCCAAAGAAGGCATTTGTTCCAGAATCCAATGCTAACTCGGCTCTCTAGCTCAAGTCATGGCCAAAGCCCGTGTTCTCGCCGGCCCGGCTGACGCCAGGTCTATGGTCGGTGTAGATTTCGGTGGCTTGAAAGTCGTCAACTAGCCGGAAAAAAAATGTCTCTCATGTATTTTGCTTTTGCGAGCCATTGGTCGACGCTGATTCTGCAGCAATCGTTCGATTTTGGACCAGCTGATCAACGGTTTCTATCATATGCGCGCCCTCGATGCTTGCTTTTTCCTCGACATGTCTCTCACATTTTTCAAGATTTGTTGGCATATTTGCGCCGGGGCTAGCTGAGACTGGCGGGTTGCTGTCAGTCGGGGGTTCATGCTTTTTCTGCTATTTGCTGGCGTTGTTCCCTGCAGCATTCAGGTCACTTGCATGGTGTGGTTGTTTTAGCAGTCTGTTGAGGAGTTTGAGATCACTTACTCGCGCGAGATTCTGTATCACCACTGGCATATCATTATCATTTACTTGCTTTTTTTGTTTTGTTTCATTGGCTGGAAGTTTAGCGAATGAGCGATTTGGCGAGCACGATACATTTGGGTATAGATTGGGACTTGCTAGGAACCGAAAGTGCAAAATAGCGTGCAAAAGAGTCCACGGTGAAAGGCCGTAGGCGTGGAGTTTTGATGGGAAATACACGGACAGGGAAAATGGGAATGTGACTAGTATCTATATCTGCGGGAGTTATTCTGGCGCGCATTGGATCGGGACATAAAGTATTTATATTTATATTCAGGTGACAATTGAAAACTTGCACTAATCTTGTGTGTTCATTTTGAAATCCCCACCGAAGCAAGTAGCTTGAACTCAACGTTTGTTCCGATCTCGTCTGCGAGTGTCACAGTCACATCTCTGTAAGTCGACGGTCAATGATCATCACCTGCGGTACATGTTCTGTTTTGAGACCAACTTCATGTGAGCCTCTGATCCAGCCTTCGCAAGACAAATTTGGATCACGACCTGCATAGTAGTAATGCGTCATCATTTGAAAGCAAACGAGTAGCCAATACCAATCTTTCAAGAAATGGCCCCAACAGCCACATATGTATCAGTATCGTACGATGATATACCAACTTTCCAGAAGTATGGTAACAGGCTTGGAGAAAGGAAAAACACCAACCCGGTCCTTCCAACTGCATCTATCACTTCCGCCCACCAACCTGCATACCAACATATTTAGCCCCTATAGGACAGTGGGGGTCGTTGGACAGCCCACCAGTTCATCCGTCCGACTAGGTTCGAAGCTCCAGATGTTGGTCCTGCCGAGCCTGCTTCGTTGTTTCTCTTGATGCGCGACCAATGGTGGGGGTTTGACAAGTCATGCCTCCTCCAAGCACTATTTATCCGGTAAGCGAGAACTTTGCGGTTAGCCTGCAGGCCTGATAGGGGTTGCTCGTGGCATTTTGCGGGGGAGAGCCACAGGCTCCACAACTTTCATATCAGCCTGAATGCGTCCCGCTCACCTGCAGCTACCGATGTAGGAGCTCATCATTTCGTACACTTTGTAATTCTCTGCTCACAAAGTTTCTTTTTCATTTATAGTTTTCTTGATACGAGGTTGACTTTCTCCTCATCCAGTCATCAATTAGCAGCTAAATTGTTGAAGGAGTTGAGCTGGGTACCCTAGACAAACTAAATCAATTTTCACAATGTCAAACGGATTCTTAAAAGTGGAAGGTGAGAAAGTTGTAGATGGCAAGGGAAACACCGTGATTCTTCGAGGTGCCGGTCTGGGAGGATGGATGAACATGGAGAACTTCATGTATGACTCTCACCTCACACATTTTCCACCCATTTTAACATCTCATCAGCACGGGCTACCCTGGCCATGAATTTCAGCACCGAGCAGCTATGCTCAAGGTCCTCGGAAAGGAGAAGCAGGAATACTTTTTCGACAAGTTCCTAGAATATTTCTTCCAAGATGCAGATGCAGAGTTCTTCGCTAGCTTGGGTCTGAACTGTATTCGCCTACCCTTCAACTACAAGCATTTCGAGGATGACATGGACCCACGAGTATTGAAGCAATCCGGATTCAAGCACTTGGATCGAGTTATAGACTTGGTACGTGGTCACACAATTTTTAATTGGATTTTGTGAATTGACGACTTCAGTGCGCCAAACACAAAATCTACACAATTCTCGACATGCACACCACACCAGGTGGTCAAAATCCAGACTGGCACTCTGACAGCGGTAGCTCCTACGCCGCATTCTGGGATTACAAAGACCACCAAGACCGTACAGTCTGGCTGTGGGAACAGATCGCAACACACTACAAAGATAACACTTGGGTAGCAGGCTACAACCCACTAAACGAGCCCTGCGATCCCGAACACTGGCGCTTACCAGCTTTCTACGACCGCCTCGAGTCAGCTCTCCGCAAGATAGATCCCAACCACATCCTCTGGCTAGATGGCAACACTTTCGCCATGGAATGGAAGCATTTCGACCATGTGCTTCCGAATAGCGTGTATGCTCTGCACGATTACAGTCTGATGGGTTTCCCTACTGGTGACAGGTTCAAAGGCAGCGGGGACCAGCTCGCGAAGATCGAGCAGCAATTCTTGCGGAAATGCTCGTTCATGCAAGAGCGTAAAGTACCTGCCTGGAACGGCGAATTCGGACCTGTCTATTCCGATCCAAGGATGGACTCTGACGCTGAAGATATCAACCAGGAGAGGTACAATTTACTCGGTGCTCAACTGGCCGTGTATGACAAGTACCAGATCCCGTGGAGTATCTGGCTGTATAAAGACATCGGCGTTCAAGGAATGATGTACACGGATCCCGACGGACTATGGAACAAGACAATCCAGCCTTTCCTGGAGAAAAAGCGCGCCTTGCAACTCGATGCTTGGGGAAAATATCCCAGCAAGCAAGTTGCGGATGTGATTGAGCCCCTGGCGAAATGGATGGACAGTGTTGCTCCTGAGGCGACAAAGACGTATCCTACGTCTTGGCAGACGCAAAGACATGTGGTGAGGAATACGGTTGAGACGTTCCTGGCACAATCGTTTGCGATAGAGTTTGCGAATCTGTTTAAGGATTTTACGTTGGAGCAGTTAGATGAGGCGGCAAAGAGCTTTAGCTTTGAGAGGTGTAAGCAGAGGGGTGGGTTGAATAAGATTATGAGTGATCATGCGGAGATTCATAAGAAGAATGCTGCGGCTTGAGGTGGTTGGAGTTTGGAGGCTGTAACGAAAGAACTAGGGTTCAAGAATGAATATTCATCTCTCGTTGCATTTCGACACGTTAGTATCCTAAGTCTCGAAAGTAATGTGAGTTTTGAACATCGTCCCCCGGTTCGGTTAGGTTTTAGCGAATCAACATAAATATGAAGACCAACGTTGTCCTTGTATTTTCTCAGAGAGATTGAATTAGAAGATCGTGAGAGTGTTTCTTTTAGACATATAGTAATATCAATCTAGTCTGATGTACGCCCTTGACTGGCGTACATCTTTCTCTACCCTTCCCCTGCACCACATCGAAGGCAGGCCAGCGGAGGGTCTGCATGTCCGTCCTTACTACGATCCTCCACTTGAAGCAGGGGTAGACATACATCAAATCTATGCGGACATTATTAAACTCTTGCTCCAGTGATAGAGTGGAGATGGTGCGAAAATGATGATTGTCATTCAAGTGTTGACGGACGGAAGATGAGGTGGATGGACCGTCATTATCGAGATGTTACACAGAGACGATGAAAACTCTAAGAGATAAAAGATATGATGCATTTACTCTGAAAATCGAGTATAATCACAGTAGAAGGAACTACTGTCATCATTCTCGCTTGAATACTTTTCGAATACCTTCGGAAGTAAACACAATTATCCGTCATATTAGTATTTCTATCGTTAACATCAATAGCATGTCTCGATTCAGCGCAAATTGCAATCATGCCTTAGATTCTAGCGTGCCTGAGACATAGGAGCTGTTGTTGTTTATATGAACTCGCTGAAGCCGACGATATTGTAGGCGGCTCAACGCGCACAGGTACGCTTGAGTTATCTTTCAAAACACAAAAAAAAACACATCACTTGTTTTGCTCTTCACTTGTTTTTCTCTACAAAGGGTGTTACGCAGTACATATAGAACCTCTCTTTTTCAAAATAAAACCTTACTCTCCAACGCCCACCAAAATAGATCCACAGCAAAACCCTCCAGCAAATTCCAGATCCATGTGCTAAAACGCAAGAATTAACATTAAATCAACGCCGAAATCAGAATATGACCAGAAGATTCAGCGCCAGTATATCAAATGATACCAACGGACAGGAAAATGCAGAAAGCTTACGTCTCCTCAGCCCATACGCTCTCATCTCCCGGCTCGCCTCCGTAATACACGAATTTGTCTTTCTTGCAATCCTGCACGACTTTCGTTTTCTCCACAAGAACAACTCGGATATCGCCCGCGCAGCTATCAGTTCTACCACTTCTTCGACTCGCATTGTTGAGATACTGCTCCAGAGAAGCGCAAAAAGCCATCTTGGTCTCGGATGGCACGTCAGTATCTTCGATCTCCAATTCCAGAGTGCGGAGCGAGCTAAGTTCTTGCAAGCCGTGAGATACCCATTCGCAATCCGTATTAAGGATCGAGATTTTGCCCTCGGGTTGCCCAGAAGATTCGCTCGTGAGAGTACCAGCCACTCCAGCATCGACAAACAGCCCTCCCTTAATCGTCAACTTCAAATTCCGAACTCCACCCCAAAGTCCGCATAACTCTCTCCACTCGCCCACACCTCTCTCTTGCTTCCCACTCAAACCTGTGCCTTTCACATCCCCATCCCCACTACCCGTCCCAGTCACACCAGGAGAACGTCTCTCCATCCCGCCAACCCAGAGATCCTTCCCTAGGACCTCTACAGCTACATTCCGGATCGACTCTCTCTGCCATGCGGGTAAATTGCTAGAGAATTGCCGCGCGGCGTAGATGCCGCTCCAGAACCAGTTGATGAAGGAGAAAGTGTTGCGGTGCCAGGGGAGGTGGGACGTCTCGGCGAAGATCTGCTTGTTGCTTGCGAGTAAGGCTGTAGGGATTCGGCCTTGGATTCGAGGTGTTGGGTATGGCGAGGAGGCGAGGAGGGTGGAAGTGTAGGAGTTTTTGGGTTGAGATGAGGTGGGAGGTTCTGAGGTGGTGGTTGGGTTGGAGAGGGAGCTGGAATGGGTGATTAAGGAGCGAGTGATGAGTTCTTTGGGAGTGGAGGAGCTGTCGTTGGAGCGAATCATGGTGGTGTGGAATTCAGCAGTGTTGAGACCTGAGAAGTCTGGTTGAGGGGTGAGAGGTGCTAAATGAGCGTGGTGGATTGGGTGTGAGAGGAGAACGTAATGGTAGATGTGAAGACGAATTTCTAGTGGGATGTCGAGGAGATTTGGACCGTTGCTCCTACGTTCTTTGGACTGCTTATGGGAGGATTGTGAAGAGCCCATGCTGTCGCTTGGGACAGTTGATACTACTAAGGGAGAAACTGTCGTGGGTTGCGGCCTTAATTCAGTCCTTTTTGACGCGACATCAAAATCAGAGCTGTAATATCTCCCGGAGACAAGAAACCCAAGCTCGTTCCTGGCCTCCATGATGGCGATTGACAAGTATATACAAGTGAAGTGTGGTTCGATGAGGCAAGGAGTAATAATCAGCTCGTAAGCACTATGCAGTAATACTGACTGCTGACAATGTACAGTTTTGCAGAGAAGAAATCACAAGAATAAAGAAAGCAAAAGCAAACACCGAAAATTGAGGGGAATAGCTGAATGATATTAGGTACCTCCTCACGAGAAGCGAGCGTATCGAGCCGTCCGCATAGGGCACCACATCCAAGCCAGTAGCATCCACTTCTCACCTCAGCTCTGCGCCAACTCATTTGGGGCTTGCGCACCTGCTGACTGGCCACCTTCCCGAGCACCCAACGACCAGAAAGGTCCGAAGCCACAGCTTTTAAGGTTGGCAGCCACAGCATTTGATTGATTCCAGCAACCACATGTTCCAGGAAGAGGTTCGGCGAATAGATTCTGGAATCGAGGTGGCGTCCTAAGTTGAAAGTCTGAGTTTCTGGAGACCTTGTTGACTCCACCCGCCGCCAACAAAGGCTATGCCATATTGCTGGCGATGTTCGTCTGACATAATACTGTAGTCCATATCGCCTTATATGGAATATACCAAGGCAGTGCACAGCGAAGGTGTCCAGGGTGGGTAAACATGTCGCTATGCCAAGTCTGTCATATTATCGCCCCTTGGACGACGCATATTCACCGACGAGGACCAACTTGGTCCACTGATACGCCCGTGGTAGCAAACCTCAGGATATCCTCAATATTTCTCATCTTGGCATTAGGGTCAACCTTCTTGACCTCACTAAGGCCAAACTCCACTTCGCCGACACTCGACCGTCGGACAGACGTGACTGCAACGCCGACATCCTCCATCTCCTCATCATCATCATCATCCTCCTCCTCCTCATCGTCCTCCTCATCAGGCTCGTCCTCCTCTGGAAATTCCCTACGTAGTCCCGTGTTGACGTTCTCCCTTCCTAGCTTGCGCTCCTCCAGCGTGTAATTGCCCTGATCCTTCTTGATGTACCTGATGATCCGGGGACCAATCCAAGCTCTAACCCACTCTAGAAGTTCGGTTTCGTCTTTCTCGTTTGTTTTCGTTTCTGCGACACTGGCTTGTGTTGCGCGTGCTTCGTCTACCCAGGTCTCTACTCCTGGCTCGAGTTTCTTGCGGAGGAGCTCTGTAAGGATGCCTTCTTGCGTACGGCCTGGGTAATTTGTGGATGGGTAGACGACGGTTTTGTTTAGCAGCTCGGCATTTTTGGACATGAGAGATGTGAGGGTCTCGATGTTGCTTGCTAGGATTGAGGCCGAGGTTTGAAGGGAGTTCCTATGGGAGGGGATTAGCTAGCAATTCGTAGAACACATGTTGTTCCTGAACCGCAGTGAAGCTAGAAATCCTGGCGATATCTCCAATATAATGCGATGTTTCTACTTACCATGGTGGAAGAGGATTGCTGCGCATCACATCGCTCTTCAATGATGCGATATTGTTCGTCAATTGGAAGATCCTCTGTCGCAAATTCTCCAATACCTTGACATCTTCTTGATTGAGAAAAGCTGGAGCCATGATTACTCGTACTTTGGAAACGAAACTGTGTTCGAAATCGAAGACGCAGAAGGAAGGAGCAGAAGTGGTGCGTGGATTGGGAATGAATATCGAGGTGTTGGTGAATTGATTGCTAGCGTTCAGCCTTGCTGCAAGGCAACGTCCCGCGTCATAGAAATTCCACCTCAAGCTTCATCAGTACTTTGCAAGCTCGACAACAACCCGTTTTGCACCATGGTAAGATTGTTCTAGTATTTTTCTATCCTCAATATTCATAACTAATTGACGCTATGTAGCCACCAAAACGCCGCGCTGCAGAGCCGGCCGAGGCATCGACAACTCCTCAGCGACCCTCGAAACTCGCAAAGGAGCACAACATCACAGCAGCAGAGGAGTCAGAAATTAAGGATGCTTTCTTGATATTCCAGCAGACAAGAAAAGGCGAGAAGGAGAAAGTCATCCCAATCCAAGATGTGCGGAGAGCTATGAAGTATGTTTTACCACACCCCTCTACCCCGCCAGATTCACCGATCACTTCTACAGATCATACAAAGGCAAAATGTTGAACTGACATTAACACTCTCTGTACCAGAGCCCTCGGCATCCCCCCCACCACCAAAGAAAACGAAGAATTCACCAGAATCCTCGACCCCGACGACGACGGCTACGCCCTCTACAGTTCCTTCGTGGCAATCTGCGCCCTGAAATTCCACAGCCGGTCCCGCACGTCCGATTCGCATAACAAGGAGGTCGACGAGGCGTTTGCGATGTTTGGTGTTAAGGGGGATGGTAAGATTACGTTGTCGACGCTGAGGAAGGTGGCGAGTATGCTGAAGGAGGAGGTGGACGATGAGTTGTTGAGGAGGATGATTCTGGAGGCGAATGGGGGCGCGGGGGTTGCGCAGGGGGTGGATAGGGATGAGTTTGAGGGGATTATGAGGAGGGCGGGGGTGTGGAGGTGAATGAGGGGGGATTGGAGAGGGAATTTGTTTTGAGAGGAGGGACTGAAATGGGATGGAGTATGGGACAGCTATGGAATCTAGGAGTTTGGCGTTTTGGGGCGGGGATGATCTGGCCAATTGAGATAAGGGCTGGTATGATAATGGCCATGCAAAAGGCAGCAATGGAGCGGAATAGTTGTAGCTGTCCGAGGATTTGATAGTATCAGTCTCCGAGTTTGTTTACTTGGCAGACTTACACTCGCCTGGCTTTCTCTATCTATCCAAACGGGAATGTGGTTTAGGGAATAAGAAGGAAAGGAATAGAGAGTATACAATACTTGCTTAACCAGGTGGGATGAGTTACTGTCTCCTCGAACGTTGTGTAATGGTGCTACTGTGCATTTGAGCAATGTTCAATGACAGACGTCGTGTAATTCCACTCTCCGTCCAAAATTTATTCCATGGTATCTCAAGATAGTAATGAACAAAGAGGACGTGGTCTAAAAAGCAGCAAAACAGACGATGGAGATATTCTAAGCGATCTAATCTATCTCCCAAATCTCATCTGAGCATTAGCAAAATTATACAACGCCCTCAAAAACACCTGATACCCAACCCCCTGGTTATCCTGCACATGAAGGATCTCCGTGAGACGTATCTGCCAGGGTGGGTAACCTGACAGCTCTACCGTAGGTCCGAAAAGAACCAATAGCTCTGGCTCACCCATCACACTTTCCGATAGCTCGGCGTCGACTAGTTCTATGCTGATGTCGTTCGGTGAGAGCTTGGAATGCTGTGACATCTCTGCTAGGGTCTTGGTGAGATCAACGAGGGAGTCTCGTCCGTCTTCGGCTGAAAGGAGGAGCACGGAGAGGGTTTGAACGGGCGATCGGGGAGATTCGCTGGTTGGGGTGCTGGAGGCTGATTCCATGGATGGTATGTGAGGTGCGCGTAATGATAGAGCTGGTTGTTGAGGTCCGAAATACGAAGATAGTTTTCTGGAGATTGTTCGATGAGTCGCTGGGACATAACCCTTGAGGATACCTGCGATATGTTAATTCCATTTCAACGGTTCAAGGGTAGTAAAATGTACCAGTCTTCTCATATATTGAAAGCATGGGTATGCCCACACAAGCACACCAAGCTGAAATCTCCGCAACCTCATCCACAAGAGCTTCTAGCCCAGCACCACCTCTTCCCCCATCTTCCAGCTTCAATATCACACTCAAGTGCTTCGGTAACCTGCTCAATCCCTTGACATCCTTCTGGATAAGCTCTGGTGTCCGGTGGTGATAATACAGAATCGCCAGTATTCTGTCCTTGACGGAATGATACGCCTGCCGTAACCGTATATAAACAGAGAAAATGGTGTGCACTATTGCGTAAAGAAGGGCATGTAGTTGGGTGCGTAGGAATTTGCGGACGCCGAGTCTGGAATGGGTTTTGGGGCTGTCGATGCGAATTGTTGGGATGCCGGTATTGCCATCACGTCTCGTGGGAGACCTTGATGGCGGCGAGGGGAGGTATGGCTAGATACGGTGTTAGCAATTGAAAGCTTCGGGGCATTGGGCAATTTGCCTTTATGAGCCTCTCCCGCTCTTCCTTTGTCAGTAGGTTATGGTTGAGCTTTGCATCTTTCCTATAGATCTGGGTTTCTCGTGTTGCGCGAGGCATGGTTTTGTTTTTGCTTGCCAGAAGGGAATTCTCGTACGAAAAGAAAGAAATGGAAAGAAAAAAGAGGTTCAAGAAAGTTGGCGGAGCGCGCCAGGTGGTGAGGTGTTGAAATGTTCAACCACAGGCTTGGAACTTGCGCTGAAGCCTGGATTTCTGGTCAAGGCTGTAAGTCACTGGGCGATGTGGCTGGGGAGGCAAGGCCACGCCTGGTCGTCGTGTTGGCGGGCGAAGTTGCCGAGAGCTACAAGGGATTTTCCAGGGGTCAGGTCCCTAATTCGTGTAGGACAACAGTTCATGGTCACACAAAATGAGAAGCAAATCATAAGGACATTTGGGTTATCGTTATCTTGTGTGCAGAATGACTTTCAAATATTTTGAATTAAACTTCTTCTTCCATTTTAACCATGTACTCAGGGCGCAGGAGTCACAGCCCTACAGGTGATGTGCCCGTAGCGGGCCCCAGAAATTATAAAGTTTGGCGCCAAGCGGGCTTCGTCATAGTGCCGCTGGTGCCGTGAGCACAGTCAATCTCTTGACAAGAAGGATTGTCACGCGCAAAGTTCAGGATGTTTCGCTGTCCTGCGTTGCTGACCCAAGCAGCGAAGTCAATTTTACGAAACTATACATCTGGAGGGATTTAATATCGGAAAGACATACACTCTGTTGACTGTCACCGCGCGAATCCGAGCCTGCCGGTGAACAGAAAATCTTGTCTTTTTCGAGGATACCTGCGAAACAACGCTCGAATACCGTCCAATAATGGCTCCAGCACTCCCTATGTCCGAGACAGCAACGACGACCACGACGAAGAGAACACGGTCGAGACGGCCGCTGTTTATTCTTGTTGTACTGATAGGAATTTTCTCTTGGCTATCCTTGACTTTCTTCTATCGCCGTACGGAATTCATGGAGGCGAAAGCAAAAGAAGAGGCAGCAGAGCCACCTGAGGTGACGCCAGTCGTGGCAGAGCAATATGGTCTTGGCCAGCATCCAGCCCTATCAGACATGATCCAACTCATGGATCTACCTGCGACATACCTCCCCGAGACAGGCAAACACCGGCATTCCGGGCGCTTGATAATCGTTGGCGATGTGCATGGGATGAAGAAGGAGTTGCAGGCTTTGCTGGACAAGGTCAAGTTTAATAAGAAGCATGATCATTTGATCTTGGCAGGGGATATGATTTCGAAGGGGCCGGACTCTCCTGGCGTGGTGGACCTGGCGATGGAGATGGGTGCGACGGGTATTCGAGGGAACCATGAGGACAGGATTATACTTGCTGATGCTGATATGAAGGCTAAGCATATGGATACCGGATCACCAGGGCCTAGTGAGGATAAGGACAAGAAGAAGGATTCGCTCGAGGAGGAGAGCTTTAGCCATGGGGACTACAAGGATCGGGCACTGGTCAAGGCGTTGGGACACAAGCGGATCAAGTGGCTTAAAGAATGCCCTGTCATACTGAGAGTAGGCAAGCTGGGGTCGATGGGTGAGGTTGTCGTGGTTCATGCTGGCCTGGCACCTGGAGTCAAACTGGAGAAGCAAGATCCAGTCCTGGTTATGAACATGCGGACCATCGGGAAGCACGGCGTGCCAAGTGATGGGAGAGATGGGACGAAATGGAGAAAGGTGAGCTTGTCATGCTCTCAAGTATATTTGCTGTTGCTGATGGCGTATAGGTCTGGAATAAGTTTCAAAAGAAACTCCCAAAGCACGAACGTACAACCGTCATCTATGGACACGATTCTAAGCAGGGTCTTCAAGTAGAGAAGTACAGCATAGGAGTCGATACCGGATGTCACAACGGTGGAAAACTTACCGCCGTGGTCATCGAAGGAGGGCCATCAGATCACACCCATAAGATTGTACATGTGAAGTGTAAAGCGGCATGAGTCCATCGTTCATCCAGCGCTGCTTATTTGATTTTCTGTTGTTGTATGTTAAAGGATACCATTCTGTACAGGTTAGAAGGCGTTTTCTTTCTTTTTGACCATGTCAACGCAGAGTTGAGCATTGGTAGATTGTAATTGCATCTGCATTGGGAAGAGGATATTTGGGAACCACGAATTGGTCATAGAGACCGTCGATATTGCATTCCATTCGGGCTACATACTTTGTAATGAAAAGGACATTCAAAATTGGGATAAGATAACGCCGACATATGCAACTCATAACACCATATTTCCCATTCAAATGCATTGCACACATAAGCAACATATAGATGTCATCTCATCCTCATTCAAATGATGACTCCTTCTTTATGTCTCCTGAATAAGCTTTGTTCGGGGTATCATGCTTTCGGAGCGTGGATAGCAGGGATGGGACCAGTTGACTCAGGGGCAGGAGCCTTGAAACCGGCGTGATCCGAGTGCTTTTTGTAGAAATAGTTATCTGGCTTTGGCTTCAGCTCAGCGGGGAGTTCTTCGAGGACAGTGGCGAGAATGGCGTCGATGGACTTTTGGTTGGTGCCGGCGCGGTGCCAGATTGATATCAGATGGGAGTTGAAGCGGACGGAGAGACCAACACCGGCGAGTTGGTCGCCTGGATTTGTTAGAAAATCATTCTTCTGATAGCATGCCATATCCGTTCTCGTTTCCTCTTGTATTTTGTAGAAGATGAGGGGAGTAACTCACCAGTATCAAGACAGCTCTGCAACTTCTCCCCAATAGCCATAAGCTGGACTCTTGTCCAGAAATCCGGCCCATTTGCCTTGGGCACCCTGAACGTCCAGCTGCCACCATCTATGTTCCTCCTATCTTCCCAGACGGGCTGGAAGCCTTGCTTGAACAGGTAGATGGACTCGCGCATCTTGATCTGGTCCACGGGCGTATTATTGTTGTAGCGCCAGAAATCCTGGACAGACTCGATCTGGGAGCCGAGCTGCTCGAGAGTTGCCGTGTAGGTTCCATCTGCAGATTTTGGCTGTTCTTTCTGTTGTCTGTGATTTAAAGTGCGAGAGTCAGCCCAATTCTATCTGTGAGTGGGAGACATGTGTCGTTTGATATTCAAACTTTCTTGGATGTTTGGGAGTCGACTCGTTTGTGCTGAGCTTACCTGTCAAAGTACACGTTCCAGTAATGCTGTGTTGGCAACGGCCTCATGGCCTTCAACATATTCTTCTTCGCATCATCGCGCTGCTCAGCTGGAGAGCCAGTATCAGTTGGCCCTGAAGAGGCTGGGAGGCCTCTGGTGAGGAGGGATGGTCTCATCGCCATTTTGTTGGAGGTGATTGTTCAGCCTGATTGATAGCCTCGTGGTGGGGGAACGTCAACGAGCGGAAATGATAACTTGGGAGTTATCAAGGACGGGGCGGGAAGAGATATCCCGAGGAGGTTGAGTGAGGAGGAAGAGACGGAGAAGGAATGATCTGGATGTACGCAACAAAGAAAGAATAAAGATGGGTGGACGAGACAAACCCATGCGAGTCGGCGCACTGCTCTTGAGGTACCTTTGATGCAGTGGACCGCTGATGAAACATCGCCAAAGCAGTGTGGGCCCAGCTTCACGTGAGGTGACAGTTCAGCCGCATTGACTTGATCGATGGTTGCTCTCGTATACGAACTTAAGAATAGTCAAGAATTGGAGCGAAAGTACGGAGGGTAGGTTATATTTCTGGCTTCTTCGAGCTGTATTAGGTTCTTTGTTGACTTGCTGGGAATCTCGAGAGAAAGAGAGGAGAGACAAATGACTTGGAATGGAGCTTCACTTGCACCCTGCCCGCTGCTGCGACGCGGGGAAGCGGGACGGTCTATTACTATCTTTAGTCTTCAGTTTGAGCATTGTAAACTTGAGTTATTCAAGACTTCCTGCTCGTTGATATAATCAAAGTAATCTTTATAAGTTTGCTCTTAGAAATGACATTCCTTTATTGACATTGATAATAAAATATCTAAGAAAGGCTCGGTTAGCTGCATAACTCGTGCACAACTATCTTGGTTTCACAAGCATGCACAATTCCTAGCTGACCTCACACTACACGCCAACGTCCAAGACATAACAACGTACCTTCAACGTTCCACAACACCTGCTTCAAATATACCTGCGTTGCACAGAAATGTGACTGCTCTCCCATACCCGCTTTCAATACTTCGAGATGGCTTCCGCCGGCATCAGGCAATGTGTTCGCGATGTTACGCTTTATCTGGTTTATCTAATCTTCATATCCACTCTGGGACCCCTCCAATTTGGATACCACTTGGTAACTACTTCTCCTTCCCAAAGCATTCTATGCGCGTATTCCTGACACAAACAGTCTGAACTCAACGCCCCTCAAGATGTCATTACATGTAAGAAGACATCCGTCGCGGACCACGTTGGTTCTCAACCCGACTCCAAGCTTCCCCAATGCATACCTATGAACGAAGCCGAATTCGCAGCCCTGTCCTCGATGTTCGTTCTAGGCGGATTCATTGGCGCTATAACTTCTGGTCCGATAGCTGGGAGTTATGGTAGGCTGCTAGCTATGAGGCTTACAAGTGTATTCTTCGTGCTGGGTTCTGGTCTTACCACACTAGCCAGTACTGTACCTATCATGTCTATTGGACGATTCGTGGCTGGTATTGGTGCAGGAGCTTCAACAGTTATTGTGCCCATCTATATATCTGAGGTTGCGCCGCCGAAGGAGAGGGGCTTGTTTGGATCTATGACGCAAGTTACGATCAATATCGGTATTCTGATTACGCAGATTTTGGGATACTATTTCAGTAAGGGTTCATTGTGGAGAGTTATACTGGCCGTTGGCGGAGCAATTGGGTTAGTTCAAGGACTTGGATTGTGTTTCGTTCCAGAAAGTCCAGCGTGGTTGGCAGCACATAAAAATCCTCAGCAAGCTGTTCGGATTCTACAACGTATCCGTGGCCATGGATCGTCTATTGCGGAAGAAATTGAGGATTGGGATGTTGACAAGAACGTGGAAGAGGAAGAGCGCTTACTAGTGGATCCTGAGTCTCGAGAGAGACGTCCATCCACAATCAGCAAGGCATCCTCGAGATCAGCAGCACATATTGGGTTCTTCCAGGTCGCGCGAGACCCGTTCTACAGACCTGCAATCATCGCCGTCATTGGCATCATGTGTGCTCAGCAACTTTGCGGAATCAACAGCATCATGATGTACTCCGTATCTCTCCTCCATGGCGTTTTACCAATCACATCCTCGCTTCTCACCATCATAATCTCTGTGGTCAACCTCTGCACCACTATAACGTGTGCACCCCTAGCGGACAAAATAGGCCGCAAGACTTGCCTGCTGGTTTCCATCTCAGGAATGGGCACTATGTCGCTATGTTTGGCCCTCTCTCTTCGCTGGGAACTCAAGCTCTTCTCTGCGATTTCCGTGCTCCTTTTCGTAGCTTTCTTCGCTGCTGGTCTTGGCCCAGTACCTTTCATGATGGCCAGCGAACTAGTCGGGACTGAAGCCGTTGGAGCCACACAGAGCTGGGCACTAGGAGCTAACTATGTGGCCACGTTCCTCGTGGCGCAGTTCTTCCCTATCTTGAACACATTTTTGAATGAAAGGCTTGGTGGGAAGGGTTGGGCTTACTTTGTGTTCGCTGGATTTGCGGCTGTGTGTTTTGTGTTTGTTAGTTGGAAGGTTCCGGAAACCAAAGGGAAGAAGGATCCGGATGAGGTTTGGGGAAGGGTTAGAAGAGTTGATTGATGGATGAATGATCATGGGACTAGGGATGGAGTTTATGGATGTCTGGGCATCAGGGAATTGGTGTTGTAAGTCTCTACATATGGGACGATCGAACTTGTCGTCGTTCTGTTGTTTAGGTCCATTTCAAGTGCTATGGTACAGCTGAGAATCTATACAGTCTTCTGCCAGAACTTTGCCGAGCTTTGACGTTGCCAATCTTTGACGAGTCAGTCGGCCGAGTATGCAAGTAATGACTACGATCGAGTTGTTGCTCAGGCGTCGTTATTCACATCATTATGTTGACTCTCCTTACTCAACGAGACTGTGAATGATATGACTTCATAAGAATTATTCGAGAAGACAAGAACACCCCGGAAACTGATTAGTGATTTAGTTCGTGACTCGCCATTTTTCCTACATTTATTTCATTACCCTGAAGCCTTCAAACATGTTCGCAACTTCGAAAGTCCCCCTTTCTCGACCCGCGACTTCTAAACAGTTATCAGAACAAAATCTATTGCACTGAAATACCATGGCACCAGGTGAGAGCTCCCGCAGCTCAAGCTCCAAGTTCAAAAAGCCATCAAAGCACGCCTCCGATGATGAAGAAGACCACCCATCACACCACAGAAGAAGCAGAGAAGAAGCAGCAGCCACTCAGGTCCACACTCCAAGGGCGCTGAGAAAGCACCCAAGACCTCTCTCTTCAAGAGCATGTTCACTCGCGACCACTCGGAAGCCAAATCAGTCTTGCCTAGTGAGATGTTCAGAGATGAGAGCAAGAAGTCTAGCTCGAGTTACAAGTCCTCGACGCCCAAAACAGAGATAGTTCGGAAGGTCGTTGAAGAAGAGACTTATACGGATGAACCCGACTTCAGCAAGTTTGTGAGCACGTACAGCGAGCCTGTGAAGGAGAAGAAAATCGAGAAGAAGCCTGCTGAGAAGAAGAAAGAGGAAAAGAAGAAGGAGAGCACAAGGAAGGAGAACCCCAAGAAAGAGAGCAAGAAGCCAAAATCGCCCGTTGTTGAGAGTGGAAGATATGTTAGCAGGCCGATCTCAAGCGCCTTTGCTGCGAAGACTGCTTTCAAGAGCACATACGATATCAGCATGGCCGAAAAGCAAACCAAAATCGCTCAGTTGAAGGGCAAAGAGCTTGTCGAGCAGGAGAAGTGGGCTCAAGAGAAACTCAAAGCCCACGCGGGTACCTGTCCCATGGGATTCAACTGGGCTCGGTTCAAGCAAAATGCCATGCCTGGACAAATAGAACTGGAAGGTTACCGATGTTTAGGAGGATCCCACATTGTTACTCACGAACTGCTAGCCAAAGGAACGGGCGATATCTATATGACCACGGAACAGTATAGTAACCACCTCTTACAGATAAGATATCAACAGATTCCTGTAAATGCCCCGTTCTTTGGCGGACAACGCTGGCATGGTCCAGTTCCCTCCTCGGATATGGCGAAGGTGATTGCCGATTATGAGAGCAAATTGCAAGCGCTTGCGCTACAGCTTGTACTGGCGGTTCATGGTCCTTTCGTAGACCCTGCTTTGATACCGCAATTACAGAAGCAGGTGGTGGACGAAAGGAAGCAAAAATTCAAAGAGAGAGATGACCTTGCTGAGCAGTTCATCAAGCGACCAGGTTCGAGAGGTGGTCCATGGTGGGAGGATTGTTCTTGAGTTGAGGATGTGCCAGCGTGTATTGTACAAATAACAATAGCAGCCTCACCGAATAAATTAGCCTTGAAGTAAAAGAACATGATATTTGAATGTACTGAAGAACGATTCTTGAAAACAAGCAGCTTCATGATTGATGCCCCGAAGGAATAATTGTTGTTAGGCTTACAAACGCGACACATTGTTAGTAAATGACTTGGCACCTTCTGCATTCAGAGGAAGGTTACAGGCTTTCGATTCTTGACCCGATGAGTTGCAGGTTTCTTTTATTACCTTATGGGAGCTTGCGGGTTTCGTAACATGTCGCTTAATTTCACCATGATACTGAACCGCCAAGTTCTCGTAAGGTAAGGTAGTATCACAGCTTAGCACCTTCTGCATTAAGAAGGGGGCTACGGGTTTTCGATTCTTTACTCGACGAGCTACAGGTTTCTTTCATTAATAACAAACCTTGGCACTTTCTATCATTCGTTGCCAAATCCATGAGGCACACCCACGGAAGGGTCGATTTTGTTACGAAGGGTTTAGACATGATGCAGTCGTACTGTCATGGTCTGATTCCAACAATTGGCTCGGGATTGGTAAGAATCACTGGAAAATCAGTAGTTTATGGGGCCACTATGCGCCACAGTCATCCCTAATGATCGTATAATGTTACCTTAATAAGAAGAGAGATCCACCTGGCCATCACCCCACCCCATCTCACCCTTCACATTAAACCATTTTAGCTGTCCTTCTGTTCTTCTCTAAAAACATCATCTGGCGTCGCCACCCAGAGCCAAAGGTTACGAACGGTATCAGCTACTATATCGATGGCGAATGGTTCAGAAACCTCATATTCAAGTCCGGCTGTCTCTGATACCAAGCAACATGAGCCGTCACCTAGAATCTCAGCTCGACAAAGCTGGTCAGCTCGAGATTGTGAGCTTCACATGATTGTTCCCCACTCCACTTGTTGAGTAACCTCTCAGATATTACCACTTTGTCCAATGTCATCACAACCGTGATTCTGTTGTCAATATGCCTCGCCTCAACGTCCTTAACAAGGTTATGTATGTGAATTCCATACTACCATCTTCCACTGTCCTTGCAACGTTTGCTAAATCGGTAAATAGACGTTGTGTTTGCTGCATCCACACTGACCTTTGTCGTTCACGGTGGGATTCAGTTGCTCTCGGATCCGCTAAACGGAGTGTCGTTTGCTCTATGTTTTCTTGGAGGGGTTTCGGCATTTACTTGTTCGTTGGCCATTTCGTTCTATAAAGAAAGTCTAGGGACCTAGTAGATGATAGTATTTTGAAGATCGCCAAGTTCCTTCCGTACTTTCGCAGCCCGCTTTCTAAGGAAGGCGCCGTTTTTGAAGGGGTATTCTTCAATTTCCAGACTGCAGAACGAGTCCGCTCATGATTTCATGTTTAGCTTAGAAACACCAACAGAGCTCTAGCTTACAGTCTGATCCATATCAATGCAGGTACCATGCATATTAATCCTTGTCTTCGAACTGCTCGAGTGTGTATCAATAACGGAGTACATCATTGTTCCCTTGGCTTTTGATCGTTAGACCAAGTAGAGCAGATTTCGAATTGTCTCCCGCGAAGGTAACATGACGACCTTTTCCTTGTAAACAGGTGATCCATGTTGTTGTCTGACTCCCACATGCTGGACCACTACTTCTCGTTCCCGCCTTCGTGCAGCATATCTCTTAGAACCTTTCGCCAGGGGTCAATTGAGACGATTTTGTATGTGTGCCTACGGCTCGAGTGAAAGGCCAAATATTTTGCCACACGCTGATATGATCTATAGTGGTGACACTGTCTGCCGTTTAAATATTAGGTCTATTAACAACTGTGGATCATCGATTTGTAGAAGAGCAATGTACCCTTATTGCAAAGTGAGGTCTTTAACTCGACCCTAAGATCAGAAGCGACACTTTAACCTCAAACATCGGTTTAAGTGGAGCTGGTAAAGCAGATCGCCAAGGGCAGCTAGCTACCTTAAGAAGGGCAATGCACTACAGGTTCCCCCAAAGATACTAAGGGTCTCTTTTGTCTTCCCCCGATTCAGTGGTCTTGCGTCTCTTCATGATACCGCTGTTCGAATGTTTCGAGCCTTGCTGCTCAAATATCATGCGTCCAGTTTTAAAAATGACGAGTCAAAAACGGGCGTGGCAGTGGGCTCGGGTGTTGATGTTGTTGACGTTGATGCTCAGGAACAGGACACAGGACACACGAAAGGCAAGGCAAGGCAAGGCAGCTCTCAACGGAAGTCCAGGGCACCCTGCTCGTGCCTGCCACGCTAATTTCAACCCCACTTGTACCTGGCGGCCCGAACCCGCCTGCCGCAGCACTAGTGACTTCGCGCCTTATCCGCGTCCCGCGAATCTTCTTCGAAGCAAACACAACCCAGTCCCCTCACAAGCACAACCACTATTTGGATCTCTCCCTTCTTTTGCGCGCGCTTTGTTTTCTGTCTTGCGATCACTTTTCGTTGGTAAGTATCACCCAATGGCTCTGTCTTCTGTCCCAATTGTCAAGCTGATTATTCCCTTAGCGTACCACAGCATACCGCAGCCTCGTCTGCTAAACTCGTTGCGTCTCCCTTTCCCTCACCGAGCTCATTCCGATAATCTAAACATCTCCATCGATTCAAGTCACCGAAGCAATAAACATTTGAAATTCTGTGCTTGTGCGAATACCTCGAGGCTGATGGACGACAAGAGGCGCATTGTCAGCCTTACGGACTCTCACGCTCGATAAAGCTTGAGGCATACCCCTCTCCGGCCGTCTACGGTATTCCATCGACATCTCATGATCTTGAAATCAACCCAATCAACCTTTCAAGCTACATCCATATTGCGTAAAACGACTTTTTGACATTTGTGCCCTGGATAAGAGATAAGAGAGTAATGCCACCAAATGCACCTGAACCTCCAGGGACCCCTACTCGAAAGGCCACTGTAGATCACGAACGCAACAATGTATTCGCTACTCGCATCAGCTTTCTGTGCAGTAATTGGGACCTGGGGCTTGATATCAACAAACGAACCACGGATGCTGATGGAGAAAGCACGCTGGACTGCAAGTGTGTGAGCATGCTCAGATTCTGCCAATATAAAGACCTCCTCGAAGCGGTTTTGAATGAATTCGAGTCTAAGGCTAGGATCCTTTATAACGGCTGGGTCAACAAGCCTAAAGCCGAGAGAGGGACTATCCCTGCCGTGACGCGTCGACAGAAGAGGCCCGTGAATGATAGGGAAAGAAATGTTCTTTTACAATGCTTGTACAATATCTCCAGGGAACACAATGCAAGCTGGCATAAAAATCATGGCCGCACACCTGAGTCTATTCTACGCAGAATCCGGGAAGCAGAGGGAAAATTCGATGCAGATCCTGTTCCGGCCCCGAGCCTCCTCAATCCGACTCCAAGAAGAGTCAGCAGCGAGAAGCGTGCTAGGGAGGAGTCATTTCCTGATATATCTATCACAAAAAAGAGTAAGGTTGCGGATTCGGAACCACTACAACGAAATTCAAGTGATATGGCACCACCACGCGGCCGGCCACTAAGACAGGAGCCGAAACCACCTTTCGAGACAAATACTTCCACGAGAAAAGCAAACCCGAGCTTTGCGCGAAGCGTTAACACTAGTTTTACTGAATCTGAAGTATCGGCTGTATTCACGCAAAGTGGCAACAGTTCTTGGGCAGCTACTCAAGAAACCGTACCGGATGAGCTGCCTGTTATGAAAGACGCATTCACTACCTTACAGGATGAAAATTACATCAGCTCAAACTATGAGTCGAGCAGCTTTGAAGCTCGAGTCGGAGATATCCCGGAAGATGAGCTTATTGAAATGGTTGACGTCGCCAGAGCTGCTAGTCCTGTAGAAGAGGAACTGTCTCAAGATCTTTTAGGCTTCGGCATTAGCAAGGAACCAATTATCGAAGAGACTGTCGGCGAAACACAATTTCGGGAACGGAACATTCCCTGAAATACCCCGATGCTTGATGTTTGCACGCCAATGTGTTATCTATGAGATCATGAGGGTCTTTCTCCACGTCGAGGTGTCATTATCTGAGTTTAACGCCCCTGTTACATCAAGCCTTGAAGATTACGACACCCTTTGGCGTTTTCTGAGAAGCCTGCCATGTTTGAGAGATTGTGTGTTTCCAGAAAGATCGAGCAAAGAAGCATGGGCCGCTTGCATCTCCGGGTCGTACGATAAAGGATACCTTGCTGTGGTGTTTGGTGGGTCACTGAAATTTAGGTCTGACGATGACGATACGTTCTTCAAGTTCAAGCTGGAGCCACTCAAGGTCGACTTCTCCCACCGGCTTGGTCGTCGTTTTGGCCATGATCGATTCTTTGAAGTTCTCATGCCACAACTTTCGGGCCGTCACATACCCCCTTCTTTGGAGGCGCTGGGTCACCGTGGGCCAATGATCATCACCAATTGGCTCGTGGATTCTACACATCCCTTGATAGGATGGCTGTGGAAGCCTTTTATGGTAAAGGACAAAGAGAGGAGAAAGAAGAAGCAGATGATTGTCATGAAAGACGTTGAAGCTGTTGATAGTTCATTCCGCATATTCTTTTTCGCAGTTGATGGTCCTAAATTTGTGAAAAAGGATCGTCTTATCACTAATCCAGATCCCAAGATTGGCCACCCGAAGATGTCCATACCGGTGTTGCTAGATTGTGTGCGGCCCATCAACAAGGAAAACGAAACCCAGCCATTCTTGAAAATTTTCAATCGAACGACCCTGGGTATGTGGTGTGGCAGATTTTAAACAGGACTAACGCTAACTGTGTTGACAGCCTTGTCTCGCAATTCGGCGACTATTGTGCTTCAGCCAGAGCAAATTAGGATCATGCCAAAAAATATTATCTATGGAGATGACCCAAATAATGTGATGAATGATGGCTGTGGCCGGATGTCCACTGCTCTAGCTACGAGAATCAAAGAACACCTCGGGTTGTCCTCTACTCCAACCGCATTTCAAGGTAGAATTGGAGAAGCCAAAGGATTGTGGGTTGTCGATCGCCATGACAAGGGAGGAGATATTTGGATAGAGACATATCCATCTCAGCGAAAATGGGTCAGAGGGGAAAAACGTGGTGGTAACGATAAGGAGTGGGAGGCCCCAAGTCACCGTACCTTCGAAGTACTCAAGTTTTCTGGGCCGCTGAAATCTGCCGATCTCAATCTACAATTTCTTCCTCTGCTAATGGACCGCGCAAACAATCCAAAGCTCATGAAAAAAGCCATTTCTGATATCTTGGAAGAAGGATTGGCTTTGAAAGTGCAGGAAATCCAAGAGGCCATGGATGACCCTCAGTCCTTCCGAAAGTGGGTCAGAGACAGAAATCCGAATCTAAAAGAGCATTTAAGAGGGAGCATTGCTTACAAGGCCGGCTTACCAGTTGTTCGCGAGGAGCGTCTGAACGTTTTCCTGGATGCTGGGTTCGATCCCAGAAGGATTATGTTCATGAAAGAAATGGCGAAGGATGCATTCAAGAGCAGAACAGACGAGCTCAAGGAAAGATTGAACATCACAGTCGGACGATCTACGTATGCGTACTTGGTTCCTGATTTCTGGGGAGTTCTTGAAGAAGGTGAGGTATACATTGATTTCTCCTCATTCATCGACAACGTCTCCGGGTGTTCTGGCACCACGCTCGATGGGGACGAGATTCTTGTAGCTCGATCGCCAGCTCATTTTGTGAGCGATATTCAGAAGGTCAAAGCTGTCATAAAGCAAGAGCTAGTTGGCCTGAAGGATGTCATAGTATTCTCTACGAAAGGAAAGCCTTCATTGGCCGACAAGCTATCCGGAGGAGACTTCGATGGGGACATCGCTTGGGTTTGTTGGGAGCCGACTATCGTCAATGATTTTACATCAGCAGAGGTGCCGGAAGCTTACAACCTGGTCAAAGAGGGCCTGATTCGACAGGATAAGACGACATACAAGGAATTGGTCGGTAATACCGAGAGCACTGAGGATGGAGTGTCATTGTTCTTGAAAAAGAGCTTTGATTTCAACATGCGGCAGAATCTGCTTGGAATCTGCACATCCTTCAAGGAGAGTGTGTGCTACACTGAGAAAACAGTGGACTCTGAGGCATCTCGGTATCTCAGCCAGCTTCTCAGTAATCTGGTTGATCAGGCAAAACAGGGATACGAATTCGATGAAGATGCTTGGACCTACTTCAAAGATGCAAAAGTAAGGGATGCAAGAGGCAAGAAGATAAAACCTCGCAAGCCACGCTACAAAACCGAGGACCCTGTTGCAAATGCGGATCACATCATTGACCACCTGAAATATGTTGCGGAAAAGACCATTGACAAAGCGCTCGAAGGCTTCCATCAGACCTTCCCAGATCCTCCATACTGGGATGGTGAATTGGCAACGTACTTCTACAAATTCGCCGACCTCGCGACGCGAGATCCTGTATGGGAAAAGCTACTGGGAGATCTGAAAGCAGACATCGATGTTCTAAAGAAAATATGGACCAAGAAGTTCCAGCGTGGTCATAGCAGCAAGCGTAACCCAAACAGTAAAGACGGCGATGAGGCCATAGAGGACTTTACGGAATTCTGTGGCGATTTGTACGAGCGCTTCCATGAGATCCAACCTCACGAGGAAACAGTTGCGTCGCAGGCCTTGACTATCACGCCAGGAACGAACTCTGAGCTATCAGGTTGGGAACTCTTGAAGGCATCAACTGCTGTAGCGGCATTTGCGAATTACAGTCGTCCACGGAACCCCCTACGGCTGTACGTAAGCAGCTTCGTTTGGTGGATGGGCGGCAAGCAGCTCTGCCATTTGAAGGCAATGTGCAATACCGATCCTCCATATGCGGTTGTACCGTCGATTTATACCGTTCTGAAGCCGGACTCCACCATTATCAGACGGTTGAGGAGTGATGGCCAGGCTGCGAATATGGAGGATTCGGCTAGCATTGCGAATGAAGCTGATTTGGACGCCGTGGACGACGAGTGAGGCGAAAGACTAATCGAGTCATCTATTATTGTCATGTGGCTGTGTTGTCTACTACACGCAGCTGCGAATGACTTGATCATGCAGAGAGCGTGACCAGTACACTTTCTTTCTTAGTGTATCTCTTGGCGTTTGCGATTGATGGGTTGGTAATGGATACCTTGGAATGGGCACTTACAGAGAATTGGATTGGATATCCTTTCGCTGTGCTGGGATGGATGTGTTGGGATATTTGGCTGGGAGGGCGTTTTAATGGATAATGCGCTACTGTGAAGTAGGCAGCAGATGCTGGGATTCCTTTTATGATATGGTGATATCAGTGGACAGGACGTGTATGATGGATGTATTCCTTATTTTCTTCATTTCTCACGGCAAAGACCAGTAAGCGAGCGCGAGAGCGAGAGAGAGTTGTAGACAGCTTTATACCAATTTCATCTTCTTGTCTTTCTGCAGACGATCGACTCTATCATCCCCATCATCCTCCTTTCCCATCTTAGCACGTCAAGCGAGCTTTCTCAGATTCCCACAAACAAAGCTTCAATTACCAAGGTGGATTCAAACCATCATACTTATTCGGCCCCTCGACATCCTCCCACCCCCCTACCTTGATATTCAAGAACTGTCCGCTGTTCTCCTTGGTAGCTGAGAAGATCCTCTCCAGTGCGGCTTTGGCGCCGATTTCAACTGTGAGGTCTGTTCTGTCGCCGTCGCCGAGCTAGGTTTTAAGCCACTGGTTGGGTTTGATCAGTATTTTTATTCGCTTGTATTCCTTGTATGACGTCCAGGGAATGGGAGGGAGGACTGGGAAGTTGGAGTTTGAGGGGTGGGGAGGGAAATATATGAGGGGAGTGAAGGGAAGGAAACGGTTTTGGGGAGTGGGAAGTGAGAAGTTAGAAAGGAAGGGGAGGAACATACACCCGGACTAAGCGCCACGATCGTGAATCCCTTCTCCGCGTGATCGTTTGCGTACTGGACAGTCAACATATTCAGAGCGGCTGTGGTGATCTTATACGCGGGTGATGGTGCCCATGTGTATTGTGATGCTAGACCGAAGGATCCGAGGGTTGTGGACCTGTGTGTTGGTGGTTAGCTGGTTGGAAATTGGTAGTTTTGGAGGTGTGATTTGGAAAGGAGGGAGAGAGTGGGATGAACTGGAATGGAGGAAATGGAGAAAATGGAGGAAATGGAGGAAAAGGAGGGAATGGAGGGAATGGAGGGAATGGAGGGAATGGAGGAAATGGAGGAAATGGAGGAAATGGAGGAAATGGAGGAAATGGAGGAAATGGGAGTGTAGGCGGGACTTACATATTTACAATTTTCTTCTCAGTTCCTTTCTCCAGCAGAGGGAGGGAATTCCTGGTCGTCAAATGCGCACTCAGGACATTGGTTGTGAAGTGTTCGGAGAGGTCATCCCTTCATTGTCGTCACGTTAATATGATCCAATATCTTATTTCAACCACAACCACACACCAAACCCAAACTCATCCCAAAACCCTTCCCCCAAACAAAAAAACAAACAAATAAACAAACAAAGAAACTCACATCTCCCCAACCCCCCAACAGTAAACCCGCAACCCCCACATTATTAATCAAAACATCCAACCCCTTTCCCCCCTTCCCCTTCCCTCTCTCCCCTCCATTCCCTCCCTCTCCCCCAAATACTCCTTCCCTCTGCACCAAAAACCTCTCCACCAAAAACCTCTCCACCACCCCAACAGCCCTCCTCACACTCGCCTCATCCGTAACCTCAGCTTCAACAAGCACAACTCTTCTATTTGAATTTTCAATCAAGGAGGTTGAAGTTGGAGAGGTCTTCGGAGCGAGTGTGAAGATCGTGGAGATTTGTGATGGGGGCAGGCTAGGGAGGAGAGGAGGTGTGTTGCGAGGGAGAGGCCGAGGCCGCCCGCGGGAGGTGCCTGCCGGGTAGGAGGTAGGTTGATATTCTTTTGGAGAAGGGGGGGAAAGGGGGGGGGGGGGGGGGGGGGGGATGAGATGGTTGTGAGTGGTTGGTGGTGGACTGGCTGTGGGATGTGGTTGTGGTTGTGGTTTTTGATTTTGGTTGTGGGTTTGGAGGAGGAGTGTTGATCGAGAAACAAAACAATGATTAATCGACTACGTGCTTGTCAGTGAGGACCATTCCACCCTATATATATACACACATAACTGCATCCCCACGACACCTACCTACCTACCTACCTACCTAGTACCTACCTACCCCACCTTAAGCTCACTCCCCAATTAACCTATACTCGTAGCACCTTCCTTCCACCCCACCCACCAAATCTCTCAAACCAGACTAAACTAAACCAGACTAAACCAGACCAAACCAGACCAAATCCAAGCCCACCCCCTCACCCACCTCCTCAAATAAACAAACAAACAGCTTGCTTGCTTGCCTAACAATCAAACTCAATATTCACTCACTCGCTCACTTTACTTACTTACTTTACTCAAGCAAGCCGCAATATCCACCCTACGTATTAAATTCTACCGGTGCGGCGATATATGTACACACAGATTGTTGTATTTGTGCTGTTGTATGTTTGTGTGTCTGTGGATGGATAAAAAAAAATATATTCACGGACATTTCCACCTAAACGCCGAAAATATCATGATCTCATCACATTTGCATGCGTACCTATGTAAATCGATGGTGCACAAAAGACGATTCTTTGCGTGTATGAGCAAGGACATTCTTTGTTATACATGTCGTGTGGGCGGGATTGTGATCTGTTTTTTTTTTACATATTTGTTTGAATGAAATGAAGACGGTGAGAGTGAGAGATTGTTGTTCTTTTTCTCAGAGTTACAGTAGCGTTAAGCGAGAAAATGGTAAATTCATCTCAAGGTAAAAACAACATGTGAGGAAATGATCAAAGCCGGACCAAAGCTTCAGCTGCCCACGCCAGTTGGTGACTGATTTTCGCTTGGCGTGTACCGAGTCGTTTCGTTATAGTTAGGGGATTGGAGTTAGAACGGGTTCTCGGACCGCTCGCTTTGTTGAAGAGACTGAGTTGCAGTGCTTTGTGGCACTCTACACGTATCTGCACATATTTTTTTTTTTGATGGAGTAATCGTGGTAGCCAATAGCTCATATGCACGATAACATCTATTAAGTCGTAAGTGTCAGAGGCTTCCGCATATCACACTCTCAATCACACCAGGCACCCAAAAGCCAAAGAGCCGGAGAGCCGCGTTGAAACAATCCAATTTCCTATCTATCTATACCTCTCATACCCAATCTCCTCTCTAATCCTCCTCTCCACCCCCTCCACCACATCCCCCCCATACACCTCCTCAGGCCTCCTCCCCCCCCAAACAACCTCCCTCTCATGCACGGCCGCCTCCTCCTTCGTCAAACACACCAGATCCCTCGCCCTCACCAAACTACTCTTCTGCCCTTCCACCCCCAAATCCACAATCCTCCCCTCCGGTTTCCGCCATCTGACAAGTAAAAGACGGGTTGATACGCCACTGATAGCGCTCTTGCCTTTATACACTTCTTCAACGATGTATCCCACATCCGCAGCCGTGAGGCCGAGTTTGAGACCCCTGGCGTCCTCACCGGGGATGGTTGCCCGAACGAGTTTCTCCTCGGAGCCCTGGAGAGCGGCGAGGATGCCATCGTACATTTTCTCTCGTCCCTTAGCGGGGATATATTCGCTAGGATAGCCCGTGACGTTCAAGATGACATGGTTAGCGACAGCGTAGCCGAAGACGGCTGGCATCGTACCCAGCACGGGTAGGATCCTGACGCGGAAATCGGGGAGGACGCCGAGATCGCCGACGGAGCCTTTGAGGTATTCTTCTTCTGGGAGAGGGAGCAGTTGCGCTTTTCCGGGCCCGGGTTTCTCGGTGGAGTACACGACTGGGATACCGGATGCTACGCCTACAGCGCGGAGACGTCGGCGTGTTGAGCGGGAAAGAGGATCTTCGGTACTAGCTGAGATATCGCCGATGAAGATCCGGGTTGGGTCGGATTTACAGCCTGCTCCCATGGACGAGATGACCTTGAGGTCATTCTTATAGCAGTACTCCAACAGCGCGACCTTGCTATCGATATTATCAATCGCGTCAACGACATAATCCGGTTTCCTGCCGTCCCAGTCCCCAAGTAATCTCTCCGCAGCATTCGGACTGAACAGTTCATTGCAGAGATCGAAATGTACCCATGGAGTGATCTGCTGTAATCGTTTCTTGAGACAGGAGACTTTTGGAGTCCCTACGTCTGCGAGGGTAGCTACTGCGTGGCGGTTTAGGGAGGAGAGAGTCACTTGGTCGAAGTCGATTAGGCGGATTCGAGATACGCCTGAGCGGGCGAGTGCTGCTGTGCAGTGTGATCCTACGCCTCCGCACCCGACGACGATTATGAATGCTGATCGGAGTTTGGCTAGACCTTCGTCTTTGAGGAAGACGCGATTCCGGGCGAGTTGTTCAAGGATGAGCTCTGTTGGAGTTAGATATGTATGTGGATGAAGTAGGCGGACAAACCATCATCATAGTCTCCTCTCTGTGCTCTTTCCGCAAACTCTAAACTCCTCTCGTCCTCTTTACTCAGGCCAGCTCTTGGTGGCGCAGCCCCAAAATCTGTAAGCTTCACTTTGACCATCAGCTTTATTCTCATCAGATATCAAAACTGCAACCAATCCATTCCATTCCAGCTCACTCAAACCTCCACCTCCACCTCCACCAGTCCCCTCTCCCCCCAGCAAGCAAGCAATTCCACCCTCCCAAAATGAAAATCATAATCAACCAAACCAACGCAAACGCACCTTATCAGCCTCATGCCCCCCACTCCCCACCTCCGGAATCGAGCTCTTCAAATCCTCCACCCTCTCCCGCCTCCGCACATGCTGATACCCGAAGATTGCGCCGGCGACAACGGCGCCCGATACCAGGGCCGTGGCGGCGAATTGCGCTTGTGAGGAGGACGTGGTGCGGGACAGAAAGGAAGACATGCTTTCTTTGGTGGGGGGGTTGTTTTTTCCTTTGGTTTCTGGATCTACTAGGTCTGTTGGCTTTGCGGCGAATGGTTCGTTTTGGATTCTTTGGGGAGTGGTGCGTGGTGGTGATGGTGATGGTGAGTAGTGAGGTGTTTGGGCGGCGGCGCGTGGGTAGGTGGTGGTGGTGGTGGGAGGTTGTCTCTCTCGTTGTGTGTCTCGAAATGATTCGTAGTCTCGTTCACGATGTGGATATTGGTATTGACTATGATTCCGACTCTGATACTGTACTTGACCTTGCCCCCGATCCTGAACCCTATTCCTCAATGGATACTCGTCGTACTCCTCCTCGTCCGAATCCAATGGGTATTGCCCGTACTGATTATCCTCGTATTTGTGGTTTGATTGCCTAGATGAAGATGAAGAGGCAGGCTGGTCATAGCGCCAGTCCATGGTGAGCTGCGCTCATGGCTTGGAGGATTGTCATGTTCTGTTCGTTCGTTGTTGTTTGCCTGTTGATCTCGGGAATTTTTTCGATGATGATGCATGCATGGCGAGCTGGACTGGACTGGGCTCGGGTCGGGTCGGGAAATCTTCGGATCATTAGGGGAGAGGAGTGTGCAGCACGTCAAAGTCCAGGAGAATAATGCTTTATTTTCATGAAACTTAACAAGTCAAATCATGTATTAGGTCCTAGAATCGTATTCTAGAACAGCATTTTCAGTTTCTCATCCTTTATCAGATACCGAGTATTTCAAACATGCAAGCATATATATTCTCTCAATCGACTAACTGATTCACTCACTACTATCTACCTCTGGACATCGGCATCATCCTCACCATCCTCGCCAAATCCTCCATACTTAGAAAGATCTCCTCCTTCCGAACATGTGTCTGTCTCCCACCTTGTCAACCCTTCTCAAAAGTCCAGTGTTCTATCACCCAAAACCTAAACAAATCCCAATCCTAAATCTGCCGAAGAAGAACGACGTGATCCAGTCCCGTAATCGATCTACCTGTACCCCAAGTCCATGCCCATACTCCAGTCAAATCCAATCCAGTCCAATTCCCATTCCAAAGCAAACCAAAGCAAAGCAAAGCAAACCAAACCAAACCAAACCAAACCAAACCAAACCAAACCAAACCAAACCAAACCAAACCAAACCAAACCACACCAAACCAAAGAGCACCAAAAAAGCACATGAAATCAGATCCAGAGACTCGCCGCTGAAGGTAAGCGAAGCCGGCCAAGCTCTGGGACAAAAACAATGCGAAAGCCATCCAAAAACAAACCAGCGCGAAGAGGGCATAAGAAATCCAGACCGAAAAACCACAGCCAAAAAAGAAATATCCTTAGATGCCATCACCTCACATAATCTGGCATCCATTACTCCTCGCCCTCCTCCTTCGTCCAATCCCTCCCATCCCAGCACCACCCTCCTCCTCATCCGCATGCATCATCTGCGCCTCTCTCGCTCTCCTCCTCCTCCTCCTGGCTCCAGTACCCGCCACACCAGCCTCCTCATTAGCCATCATCCACTCCGTCCATTTTCTGACCAGACGTCCAGCAGCGGGCAAATCACCTCTCATGATCCGCTTCTGATGCTCGTCAACAGTCATCTGCCAGCCGTAGAAACATTTCATGCCGATGATCTCGGTGGGGTAGGTAGCACCCTGGTCACTACCGTTTGGCTTTCTGACTTCGGAGTTGCGTGAGAGGACTTCCCGGATGCCGGTCCAGGTTACGTTGGAGCAGTCAAAGACGATCATTTGGAGGGAGATACGGGGACGGGCACGAGTAGAAGTAGTGCGTGCTGAGCGAGCGCGAACCATAGAAGCGGCTTCGACAAGGACGAGGTCGCTGATCTTGGTGTTGTCCATGTCGATGCTGCGGAGGCTGGTGCAGGCTCGGATTACGGGAAGCATACCCGCATCGCCCAGGTTTTCGCAGTAGCTGATCGAGAGGTGTTCGAGATTGGGTGCGCAAGGTGCTTTAGCGAGAGTCTCGGAGAGGAGGTTATTGGTGAGTTCGGAAAGTTCCTCGAGATCGAGATGGGTAAGTCTCGGGGTTGTAGCAAGGACAGGCTCAAGTGCGGCATCAGTAAATGCTGGGCATCCGTTGAGTTGAAGTCCTTCGAGATCAGGCACCAAATGAGCGAGCATTTTCACACCCGCACTTGTCAGACGGCCGCAGCGGCTGAGATCCAGGTGTCGAAGTTTGCGCGGAGGTACCTCCGCGATACCCGTGAGGATATCGACATCCGGAGATTTACCTGTGAGCATAATTCGGAAAGCCTCATCATTGAGTTCGTGACAACCATTCAAGACCAATCTCTCAAGGTTGTTCGTTTCAAAGAGACTCTGAGCAAGGTCGGTATTCCAAAATCCCCTGACTTCTCCAGCTCGTAGATCTTTCAACTTCGGACATCCAAGAATAACACTCTGGATACCTCGAGCATCCATACGAGTACACCAAGACACGTTGAACATCTCCAACATTGGGCAGGACTGGCCAATAATCTTGCAAGTGCCATTGGTGACGGCGTTCAGTCCAGTGAGATTTAAATGAGCTAATCTGTCATTCGTCTTGAGAAGATTATGCAGGGTAGGCCTCTGGAAGTTCTTGCATCCCTCGAAAGTAGCATTTATGAGGTTTCGGCAAGCCTTTACAACCACCTCTGCTCGTTTGTAATGCTCAACCTGAATACAGCCGCGTAAATTAAGATCCTTGATGAAAGGTCCTGCAGAAACAATGATCTTCGCCAGAGACTCGGCTGGGATTTCTGTATAGAACTCTGAAGCGTCGAAACAAGTCCAAAGTTGCCCATCGAAGCAGAGCTTGTGAAATGCCTGGCTGATAGCTGAGGCTCGAACCAGTTCCTTTGGTGTCAAAAATGCGAGAATCGATAGCTTGACCTCGTGTGGCATTTCTCCCCAAAAGTCGAAATTTGCTCTTCGCACTCGCTTTGATGCAGCAACTGGCAAAGAGAAATAATCCTCATATATCTCAGGAATCGTGGATTGGGTATTTCCTCGAGAACGAGGGAGAAGTGGTAGAGCACTCGTAGGCGTTGCAGTACCAGGTGTCAAATTACCCTGCTCGATCCTCCTGATAGGCAGTAAATTTTCTTCAAAGGAAGGGCCGTCGAATCCAGGAGTATTGGGTACGGATGTCGGGGCGGTCGAGAATCCCGCCGCAGATGATTGAGACATGTAAGAACCGTCGTTGTTTCTTGGAGAGCTTCCATTTGCCAAACTGACACACGACAATGTCGTTCTTCCGCCATATGGATTGCTCGTCGCTCTTCTGCGACCTAATTGTGCCAGGGAAGGCGAGGAAGATATTCGTTGCAAGCCATTCAAGAGTTTGGCTCTTCCCTTGGGTTTTGGCCGTTCGATCGCAATGGTTTCGACATGTTCGACTGTGATGTCTGGGGATGTTCTAGTTTCGAGAATCATGTCTGGGAAGGGGCTCGACATGATTGCGACGGAGGTTTTCGTGTGCGAAGAATGTGGGAATGTTTTCTGTTGTCCCAGAGGATGTCTGGCTTATGCGGGGTTCTCCCTGCCCACTGGCCTCCCTCTTCCCCGGAGAGCGAGCGGTTCGCTGAGTTTGTTTGCCCGATTCAGGTAGGGATGTGCAGTCGACTGGTAACGAAGAGATACTGGAATAAGATTTTTCTGGGGGATAGAAGGTCGGAGGGGGGATGTTCGAAAAGGTTAGGAGTGAGGACCTTGTGGAAAGTGCGGTGATGAGTGTCGGTCGGTTGAGCGATTTTAGAGGGGACGGAGATGTCTAAGAGGACGACGTGATGAGTGCTGTTGAACGCTGACAAGTCAACGGTTGCACAGAGCAAGATTGTACGAGTCGTGAAGCAAGATGGCGGGGTCGCGACTTCATAAGAAGAGGAAGAAGATGATGAGGGAAGAATGGGTTCTCACAATGATTCTGGGGTGTTGATCCAATGTCTTGAGTCGTGAGGGCTGGGCTGTTGATAGAGGGGCAGAGGAGCCAATTATGGGGGCTTATCGGCGCCGTCTCTAATCGTTATCGTGAAATGAGGGTCAGGTTCAGGGTCCTTGTCTGTCACGCCTTATCATCACCAGACCACCTTTAGATAAAGAAGCAGAAGAGTGAGTGAAACAAGCACAGTGTGATGCAGGATCGTGGTGAGTATTGGACGTCAAGTGGGAGAGAGTTCAGATGGAGGGGAGATAGAGGTAGAGGTAGAGGTAGAGGTAGAAGTAGAAGTAGAGGCCAGGAATAAAAATAAAAAGGAAGATAGTCCGTCCGGGGAGGGAAGGTGCGGTTCGTTGCGGTGCGCTGCGCTGCGCTGCAGTCTTTTCGTCCCGTCTCGTCCAGTCCGTCCAGAAGTCCTGTCTCCCTTCCTCACTCGTGCTCGTCTCTCACTTTGGCTGCTCTGGCAACTCCGGCTGCTTCTTGGGCTGCACTTAGCGACACTTCATTGGATTATCCAGCTCGGATGGGGATTAGCCAATGCACTCATCTATTCTATCTACTACCTACAAGTACAAAAGTAACTGTCCACATTTTCCTGGAGAAACAGAAACACCGCAACCGCAACCGTAAAGCAAACGGGACATGCAGGGCAGAATACACCCACATGCTGCCATGTAGCTACAGAGTATAAGTACTAGCCCGACAAGCCAAGGCGCAACCTATCGACTGTCTGTGGGACAAGCCGCTCGAATGCGGATTCCGGGGTATATCTATTGGTGGAATAGCGACACAGCCTCCAGCTAACGAAGTAAAGTGGCCCTTCAGACCCCGATTTCTGGAAAGGCTAATAGTCTGGACCAGAGTTGATTGACTTTGGTTCTGATGAGGGAATACTTTGTATGTATGATGTATACAAGTTTACTTACTCTTGATCGTTGCTGTTGGATTTGAACTTGCCTCATGAGGAGAGGAAAATTGTACTCACTTCAACTTACGGACACTCAATCCAACATGCCGCGGGGTGTCCGTGTGGGGTCCGTCGTCCTTTCAAGTCTTCAAGTAAGGTATGCAAAGTACAGTACAATACTTGGCACCTCTGCTCACCCGTCGGCTCCCCGTCCTCGCTGAACCACTCGCTGCTCTCCTCCGCATCCCAACCCCATCCATCCAAGGGTCCAAAAAAGCAGCGCAGCCTCTGCTCTCTTCTCACTCTCAGGCTAGACCAGGTCTCCCGGCTAATCTCCCCGCCCTTTCCCTCGGGTCCAAAAACAAAAGCCTCAAAACTTCAAAAGCAACACCACACCACCCAGAGCGCTTCATCCAGCCAGCGAGCGCCAACAGAATAGAAGCACCTCGTCTCTCATCTGCTCCTTACCATAGCCGACGGACATCAGAACCGTCGCGTGGCTGGGCCGATGCCCTCACCCTCGCCGTCGGGTCGGTTAATAGTATGAGCGAATCCAAAGGATTGGACTGCACTGGACTGCACTCTACTACTGTACACGATACGTTGTTGGTTTACTTGAGAACTCCTGGTCTGGAAGGACTGGATGAGAATGAATGGGGAAGGACTGAGGTGGGTAAAAGCAGCAACGACGAAACCGGCGCTACGTCGGTCTCGAGTCGAGATGCAGCCTACAGCGTTCGAGAAGGGTGGTGGAAGACCGCTAGTGGCGGGTGAGATAAGGTAAGCTCGGCTCGGTAAGGTTGCAAGGGAGGTCTATCCGACCACACAGCTGTTGGCCCTGACATTCATTGACTGGAGTAGGTAATTGGTCCGTTTCTTCTACCCTGGTGGGAGACGACGGTGAGCCAGAAATACTTTGAGGTAAGGAGAATATTTTGGTGATATGTAGAAATAAATTTATGAGTGCAGGTTGCGTTCTTGGCTTTCAGGATGCCACGTGAATGAGGAAACCGTTCAGCGACGTAGGCGAGGTAGGTATATATCCTCGGCACCCATCCATCCATCCATACCTCACCTAGCTGGACGGGACATGACATGACCAGGAATATGCATGTGACATGAGTACATTTCGAAAGTCGAGAAAACAAAAAGAGTCGTCACAAGTCTACGTTTGAGAGTACCTACCTACTGTTTGTGTGTATATATATAACTTCCTTTCTTTCAACTCTCAAGTAGCATTTTGTTAGTGGCGTTCTCTAGCAGCGGGGCATGGACTCTAGCGAGGATTCAAAGGGTCTGGATGTTTGCGGGCACCCGTTGTTGACATCGCTTATGAAATGTAAACGTTTCTAGCTTTCTTCTTTCGGGTCCTGTTGATTGACAGTTTCGCGAGTGTTATCGGTGGTACTTTGTAGCAAGATGATGAATATCACTGTTCGTTGCGACGTTGGAGCTAAAGCGGCTGTTGGTCCATCACCGGACCTTGTTTGCACAGCATTATCAAATCCCGAGCTTACTGGTATGATGATGTGGCGGGCCACGACCCGAATACCCACACAACAAGAGTGGTAGCACCTCAAAGTACAAGGAGTACTTTGATACAAGGAAGCGAATTGAGCAAATCTCAAGATATCATGTATCTGAAGTACGGGATTTGTCAAATAAGAGGTGCAGAAGAGAATAGATTAGATAGAATCTCTCTAAAGGGCGTAATTATTGTAATAATCTTAGGTGGTGTTGTTGATGATATGTTGCTTATAGGAAGCTGCTCAACGATATCTGTTTGATTTGCCCCTGTCCGTGCTTCAAAGTTTCTTAGGCTGAAGTGCTTTATAGTTTTTGACGGAGGATGAAGAAGGTTCGTGGAAAAAGCACGCATATCGTCGTGCTTAATGAGAGGAATTCACCTACGACTTCAGACCCATGATGGAGGACCACAATCAGACGTAAAAGTCTAAAAGAACTGACGGGGACAACCAGCCGTGGTTAGAAAGTTTTCATCTCTCAAAGCTTCTCAGAGACTAAGTAGCCTTCTGTAAGAAACATGGAAGTGTAGCTTTGGCGCTGGAGTTGCAGGCCACCGGAGCCTAATGATGTGGTGGTGAAGGCCTGAATTTACAAGGTTTGCAATGCCTCAACTTTCGTTAACCGAGAACCCCTGACAAATGTTCTGAATCCCCTTGTCTTCTTCACTTGCCTACAGGATAGCAGAAGCGGCGGGATCTGAGACACCAGAACCCAATTGACCTTCTTGGACTTATGGTTCTGGGGTATGTAGTGGCGTGATTTTTCTCGTCTCGAAGAATCAAGTATTTTAAAGACCACAAGACCACGGCTATGAAGGAAGATTGGCGGGGGAGTGATAGTACTATTGTACGGTAATATTTGGAATATTCTGTAGTACGGGGCTAGGCCTAAATGGTAGGTAAGCAAACGAGGTGTTAAATATATATTTATAAAGGGTCGCGAAGCCTAGATATCCTTACTTCTCGAGCCACATTACCCCTCCTTCTACCCCGCGATCTATCCCTTAACTGCCAGAAACACATTTTTACAGGGCACAGTGCTAAAGCGAGGCGCTAAGATTCTGCTAATAGCCTGTACTACAGGGCCAGTGCACTGACTCTCCGTCCTGTAAAACAATATGTTCTGAATGGCCTTAGGAGGATATTCTATACGGGCCGTGATAATTATCAATTCGAATTCTATACTAAGACGGGTAGTATTTTAGAATCGATGTTATTACCGACCTGTAACTTCAAATCGATATTGTTACTACCAATGTGGGGCGTATCAAAATACGGGAGATCCTATTAGGAACACGGCTGGGCTGAATTCCTACCATCCTTCCACTCGATCTCTCACCCACTGAATCCAAGCTTCTCTTAGATCCAATTCCCCAAAATGGCATCCCTTCAAGCACAGTTGCACAATACCACCCTACCCTACCTCCATTTGATGGACGTCCTAAAACACCTACCTCGCACTGGGTGGTTGCGGACGATTGAGCATCCCGAAAGTGTCGCGTCCCACATGTATCGGATGGCGCTCATTGCTATGACCGCACCAGTATATCCCACAGTTACCCGCTCTTCTTCCATCGAGCCAACTCCTGCCGAAGAAAGGATTAGACAGAGACAAGTGCATAAAGCTCGCCATCACTCACGACATGGGAGAAGCCCTTGCAGGCGACCTCACCCCGCATGATGGTGTTTCCAAAGGTGCGCCCTTCTTGGTCTCGATCACGCCCGCTCCCCAGACTGACATAATGGCAGCGGAGAAGTTCAAGCTGGAAGAATTCGGCTTCAAGTACATCCAGAGCTTGCTGAAGAAGGTGAATCCCGAGCTTGGCCAGGAATTGATGGATCTTTGGATTGAGTTCGAGGCCGGCGAGACCCCAGAAGCCAAGTGGATGCATGAGGTTGACAAGTTTGAATGCATGATCCAAGCGACAGATTATGAGCAGCAAACATTCGGCGAGAAGGATTTGGATGAGTTCCAGGGTCCGTACAATGCTGCCAAAGTATTATCTCCGACAGGAAAGGAAGATTTGAGATTGCTCACCCTCGAACGACAAGCCCACTTCGCAAATCGCAAGGCCGAGCTACCCCTCGTCTTCCTTATCGGTATGTCACATTGGAAATATTTAATCAATTCTCACAATCTGACAAGATCATAGGCACGCCAGGCTCGGGAGAAATGTTTCAGGCAGAGGCTCTTGCCGAGAACGCTGGATTCAAAGTCATTGCTGTCGAGGAAATCATCCGTGAAAAGTCAACCGATAAGGACTATCTTCACCAGGAATTCCTCGCTGAATGTATCGCAAACTCCGTTCGTACTCCCACCGTCCTGCTCATTGGTATACTTGAAGAGAAGATCAAGGCAGCTTGCGCAGATGGTGAGAACTGGGTGGTAGTGGTGGGCTTTCCGGATAGCATGCAACAGTTGAACGGTTTCCAACGACAGGTGCTTAATCTCTAGTATTCTGATTGTTCTATGCTAATCTTAGAGCAGGTCCAAAAGAACACTTACACGGTCATGCTGAAATCTAAGGCGAGGCCTGCCGCCATCTCTGACAAGCAATATGCTGCCGCTGTTCGAGATATGACAGAGTTGGGCAGCTACCTTGATGCTTCGAAAGACTATTTCAAGGCGGTATGTATGAGGAAAACTTAGCAGAGCTCTCACTAATACGGTGTCCAGATTGATGCGGACAATCCCTCCGATTTTGTCACCAATAGAGTCCAAGAAGTAGTCGATGGCTTCAAGCAACACAATCAACGAAACAAGTAGAGGTGTGGGTATACGAGGGTAGTATGTGAAGGAGGCCGTAGTCCGATGATCAAAGAGCTTCTACAAAGCCTCTTCTCGCTTTCTACACTCATAAAATGAATAAAATGCGCTGATCTGGCATTGATACCCCTGAATCTTCATGATCCTCCCCTCCAACAGTCCAACTTATTCTGATCAATGCAAATCGTTTCCACCTAAATCCCTCTTAAAAGACTTTTGGTATCCTCAAGTTGTTTGTAGCGCACAGCACAAGCTACTAATCCCCTGTAAGAAGCCTCTTTATGGAGTATACATTGTTCTTCGGCTTAGGCTGTCTATATTCGAAGGATGGAACGTCGTAGTTGAGCATATCCGCGAGCTTGCTACGATAGATACGAACTCGAATCTTAGTATCGCGCAAGGATATAGCAGGGAGCAGCTCAACTGTTCCGATTGAGTCTGGAGCTTCTAGCGGCGGGGAATTGTACACTTGAGAAGACATAGTTTGGGCCCCGGCGGGGCTGTTGAAGGCGACGAGACCCGAGAGGTGGAAACATGAGAGCCTATAGTGGTTGGAAGCGAGCAGCGAGAAGTTCGAAGCCTGAGTCGTTGGCTGAGGCTAATGCTGAGGCTGAGCATCTTCAACGAAGGCTGCATTTATGGTTAGGCATCGAGTCCAAGCTGACAAGCAGCAGTGCTCCTCGTCAGAGAGAGGCAAGTCTCCTAAAACCTCAAAAACGGCAGTATTTGAACCCAAAGCCGTAACTCACTTCCTAGGCCCAGAACCTAATCACTCCGGCGGATACGCCGGGATCTGATCTTAGAGCCACCGCATATAGTCCAAAATACCACCAAAACCTGTCCACATACGACCATATATTGAAGAAAATTGGGCTATTTCTTCAACTTCTGCTGCTCTAGCCTTGAAAACAAAATCTCAATGCGAATCTTGAGTTCTCGAAAGTCCAGTTCCTGCATGCCCTAAGTGATCAATACCAACAAACGTGGGAACCGTTGCCGAGATCTGAGATTACAACCCCAATGTCATCTGAGACCGCTTGAATCCTTGACTATCGAGTTGATTGCAAATTGAAAGATCGGAATGTGGTGAGAACGGCATACTTCTCTTAGAGAATGCAGTCTGGGCCTTTCCTCACTCTGCGACTTTCATGGCACGTCAGACAGTAAATGCAAGCCAGTGCCACACTGTTGACGACCTATTGTATCTCAAAAGGCTCCAACTTGAACTTTCCTTGCGCCAGCTCTGTCATGCCCCTTCCGTTCATGTGTTCATGATAAGATGGCCCTCCTTTCCCATACATGTACTCATGATAATATGCCCCGCCAAGCAAGATATAGTGGCGACCCATAGGCCGAAGTATGACTGGCATAAAGCAACCAAGCAGGATGCAAATGATATCTCCCGGTTCAGCCGAGTCGGGAGCCAACCCCATGAGACCCGAGCTTGATATGAAAAAGCGACGGTAAGCAATGAGCTTGCATGCGTCAGAGACCCAGGGCTTAGTGGTCACCTCCACCGGTCTGGGTCTGCTCTGCATATCAAGCAAGTAGGGATGAATGACCTCGTCTGGACAGCGTTCCTGTGCCTCATTCGCAAGATCACCGAGAATAGTTTCCACATGCTGCGCTCTTGTTTCGAACCATTCCGGTCCCATCGTCAAGTGATCGAACAGGATCGTACTGCAGAAGGTACTGGCTTTCGCCTGAGTAATTTCACCTGCGCTGCCCAGTAATCGAAACCAGTCAGCAAGAGCAATGACGCCTGCCGTCATGTCTTTGGCGGGGTTCTCGCGACATTTCTGTCCTACGGAAACAATATTTCCAAGACAGAAGCCATTTGTAATCAGACTATCGGCCGCATCTGAGAACTCGACATCAGGTTCAGATTCACCTGCAGCAGAGTAAGGAGTAAGCCGATTAGCCGCAAAGAATTGAGCGATTGCGATACAAGGGCTGATCGGTGTCATCTTGTATGCGGTCCAGTCCGGTACCCACGAGGGGAGGTCGTAAGTGTTCAAGCAGCGAGGCATGGAGCAAATCACATCTAACTTCTGGGAAGAGACCACGAGATACCTAGCCACGTTGATGTACGCTTGACGGATAGACAGCGAATAGTCAATGCTCAGGCGGGGATCGTCTCGGGCTGTGCTTAAACCAACGAGCGCGTAGATTTTGTCCTTGGGATCTGTCGCGGCGCTTTTCCAATAGAGTGAGAGCAATGTATAGAGGTCAGGCGTTCCGTCAATCGTGTAAGGCAATTGTAGGCCATTTGGACCGCGTAGTCTCATGTCATTGTAGAGTGATCTCAGTCTTGGTTCCTGGCCTGATAACTCCATAAGAAGGTCCTGGTGATCCTCGATCAGCATGTCCTGCTTTGCTGCAAGTGCTGACCAGCCTATGTTGTGATTTCCGCACATAATGATGATTTCCGTCTCTTCAATCGAGTTGACTTCTTGGATGACCCAAACACGGTCCCAGTAGGCGCGGGAGAATAAACTCACGATAGCCTCAAGACTGTCTCTGGATGCCGGGGATTTGATTATGTTGGCGATGTACTGAACATCATGCATGTGCCTTCGAAATCGTTTGAACATCGAGAATGCTAATGCAGAGCTATCATCATCGGGTCCTAGCCAAACAACAACATAATTTGCGGAGTGGTAGATGGTTCGCATCTTGCTGACTTGCTCGCTACGCTCTGCCATATTGCTCTGGTCGATACAAACAGCATCGATCCAGAATGTTCTTGGCATCGAATCTAACGGAAGATGGAAGAGTGCATCATGCAGACTTTGCCCAACCGGAAAGGGGTGCCCGTCTACGAAGATCTCTCGCGGGTTGGATGGGTCGCCCCAGGTATAGGAGAGTGCTTCATATCCCAGATCAGATTTGTCTAATGAGACAATGAACAAACTGCACTCAATTCCTTGGTCTATGCCATCGACCAAACGATTTGGGAATATTCTCAATAGACGAATCTCGTTCTTTGATGGATCTAGAGCTTGATACTGATAGTCGCCAACACGCTTCTTTGGTACCTGCGCCCACTCCCGGCCCCAAAGGCTATGAATTCACAAACTTGCGGTACTATCAATGAGCTCTCTGGTTGCAGCCGGGAAATTAACTTTTGGCTTGCCCCTTTCAAGCCATCAGCGTTCGGGTAGAGACGTGGACTTAGTACGACTCACCATCGGCGACGTAACCGCGACGAGGAAACCATCCTTTTGATCATGGCTCCAAAACCGTCCTCAGCTTCAGGTACGTCCATCGGGATAGACATGCTGTCGTCTCGTCCAAAGCTCGCAAGCTAGCTTTGAGGTTACGGACCGGCGGCTTTAGGGGCCAGACCTGGGGAGGTCCACGGGTGGCACCTTGGAGGCCTCAGGCATTCTTAAAATCCCACAACCTGAGCTGTTGGGCGGAGAAAAAGGTGGCTGATCGAGGCACTCAATTATTTTACTACGAATCCGTGAAATAAATCGTTACACCAGATGTACTGAAATAAAACTAGGACATAGATATGTCTATTAGCTATTTCTAAAGCTTGCTTCAAAACAGTGTTTCCTTTATATAGTTGTACATAAATTAATAGAGTGTTTAATCGATTGGTTTTTGTGTTCTCAAGGTACAGTGCCTCAATCGGCCATGTAAATATCCAGCCAACAGCTGAGGTCCCTCCTTCCAAGTTTTCATAAAGACATTCCAAAAATGTTTCCTACATATACGCAGATTAACCAAACGCTGTCACATACGACCATAGATTGAAGAAAATAGGGCATCCCGTCCGCTCTGCCAAACTCAAGCTTCAAATCGGTGGATTAGTAGTTGGGTGGGTGACCACCAGCGAATACCCACTGTTGTATGTTTTTTGTCTCTTTTTTTGGGTTTGTCCTTTTTTAATTTGGTGGGAGAGAAGAGGGAAAGGTGGGTAATTGGTAGCGCTGCAGATTTTTTAAATGGAGGGTGACGAGTCTTGGCGGTGAACGGTTGTCCTTATTGTGTTTTTGTCTGCCTGCTGGATTGATGATTTTGTTTGTGAGGGAGAGATGTGTTTATTATGAATGATATGATGTACAGCGTGTATTTATCAAAAGATATGTAGAAGTTTGCGGATGTTGAAGTTGTTTACATGTCGCTTAGCTTTGCCCCAAGCACTGAGCCCGTCCTGTCGCATTTACCCTAAGAATTACCGACCCCAGATTGCAAGCGGATTACTCCCTCCTGTCCTCCTCTTCGTCAAGCATAAAATAGAAGGATTCTTTGAATTCAATCTACTCTTAATTCTATCTGTGGATTTGTTGTCGCAGAGGAGTGCGGAGAGACTCCCAGCGTTTCTTCTCAGTCATCAACTTGTGTCGAGTATAGTACAGTCAATGCTTCACGTGTTATTAGTACTACATGAGAGGTACCGACGTTCACTTCTAGTTCATGTTGAATGCGTTTGATGGTATTTGTACATCAAAATTCTGTATCCAAACCCTCGATTTTAAAATGTAACCAAGCGGCTCAAAAACCGAACCAACAGGCGTAAAGTCTTATTTTGAGCCCCGGTTATCTACGCTTGAATTCAATCTCTTTGACATTTTTCTATACATCGTCGTTGCTGTGTCCGTCGCAGCAAGTTTTTGGCTTGAGTTTATGCTCTCGCTCGATACAAATCGCCGTGTAGCGCTGAGCCCGTCATTCACGTCGACTGTAGGTTTCCATCAAACACTTCATCGGACGGCAGTAGGTGTGCTCCGGTCCACATGCAGCCCATTTCCGATTCTTTTTGAAAGATACCTGTTCCTCTTAATAATACCCTCGAATGAAATTTGTGGTTATCTGTACGATTTCGGCCAGCATGAGCCTTGGTTGATCATTTCGGAGAGCAGGCGGGACTCATGGAGTATCAGCTTAGGTCAGTTTGCCTGGTACTTCTTGGTGAACTTCAAATAAAGTAGCTTCGGGGGCTTGAAAACCCCTAAAAGTCTCATCGGGATATAGGCTTTAAAAATCTGGGGTTGTCTAGTGCTCGCTTACTCCTTGAAGGTTATTTTTTCGTTGGAGAGATAGCCATTTGGTGACAGATCAGGGATTGCATCAGACACTGGGACGAGTATAAATTAAGGATGGAGAGGGATCAAGTAGGTATACGCTTCCTTTTAACTTTCTTAGCCAAGCATTGAAGTCACCACCGTCTCAAATAGGTTGTAAGAAGAAACGAGCCAGTGACATGGAATGTTTGGAGCCGAGCCGAGACGTGCCTCGTATGTAAGGCGTGAATGATGCCTTTGTATACCCGACCGGGACCAGATGTTCGGCCTTTCGGACTTGAACTCAGGGCCCAGGCACTCAAATTATCTCCCTTTCCAGAATTTGACATGGAATCCAGGCGGTTCATCCAAGGCCTGGCTGGGCGTCGTACGATTTCTCTTCTTGGCATGCCGCTCATATCTATTATTCCCTGAGCAGATCTCACAAGCACACGCGTGCATTTCAAGCCGGGTGGCTGCATCATCAAGCGCGGCGGATCCCAGGGTGGCGGTATCCTAGCTCTTCACGGCCTCCACCGGCCCCTTTTCTCATGTCGTGGGCATATCAAAACACCATCCTCTTTGCTGGGTATCAGTATCACGTCCCTCCCGCTTGGGTCCACATCCCGCAAGCGAACCAATATCCAGCAAGCGAAACGGCAACAAGCCCACGCTTCCTTGCTCGCCTCGACCATCCAAGATCCACCGCAACGATCTCCGACGCTCCTAAAACCTCGCATCTCACACACCCACAGCAGAGTGGCCTGAGTCGCCCACTCGCCCTCGCACGACGGGGCCCTGTGATTCAAAACATCGCCAGCGCCGTCGCAAAATGGCGGGAGCTCCCACCAAAACACGCCCCTAAACCAGTGTGGGCTCCCCGTCGCTGAAACGTCAAGACGTCGCGGCCTTTGAGAAATCGCACCACTCGTGCCACTCGTTAAGCCTCACAAGCTCCCGAAATACATCCAATATAACCAATTTGCATACCCGCTTCTAATGCCTTGCTGTTACTTCTTGACGTGCATATCCATCGCCTTTTGACTTTCTTTCACTTCCCTTCTGCTTCTGTCACTTTTTCTAATCTTTGTGGTAGCGGAAACTTATTTTCTTCAAGGTGTACGTCTGTTGAGCGGATATTGTTTTCCTTCGATTCTTACCTCGTCGCCCATCATTTAATATCGCTGTGCGTCATCCTCAAAAGTCAAAGCAAAGGAACGAAAGCAAAAGTGTGCATCGAAAGTCTGTTCATTATTCATACCATCCGTACCTGCATATCCAATCATCGAACCGAATCCGTGTGGATACAACATCTCTTCGACCGAATACTCGGTACCTCCTCGCCTGCATCGACCGAAGCAGTACCTTCACATCACATATCGATCATACATCATGGGTCAAGCGTTTTCAGGGCCGAATGCCTTCAAGTTCTTAGGGTTCACACCAGAAGCAACAGCCGTTCTACAAAGGTCGCCGATGCTCCTCGTTATCCTGTTGATTGTTATCCATGTCCTGGTAGGAATAGGATTATTAGCGTTCTACATCCACGTCGTCACCAACAGGCCGTACAAGAAACCGAAGCCTGTGAAAGGAGCGGCGAAGAAATAAAGGGCTGGTTGAGATGGGAGGAGCTGCGGCTTGATGGGAGGAAGGAAGGAGAGATGGACGGGCGACGGTATCACCGAAAAGATAGATGGGGATGATTGTGGATAGGATTGGGACGACTACGCTTCACGGTCCAAGACGGACGACTAGAGTGAGGCAAACGTGCAGGCCACCCCTTGCTATATGCTTATGGTCTTGGACGATTGTATATATATTTTTCTACGGGTGTTGGGGCGGTATCATTGGGACAGCGAGCGAGCGATGCTTGAGTTGTGATTTGTTTTTTGTGAGAGGTAGTTCTTGGCAGCAATGTCTAATACCACATCTTCTCTCACACATTTCATCCTTATATTTGTGGTTATCTATCTCCTTCGACGACCTTTGGAGTATGCTGTTCTTGATACTACTGATGCTAACAAGAGGCGTTACTCTTGTACCAATAGCTTCAAGTCCCCAGCTAAACACACGCCACAAAATGCTTGGTTCCAACCAGCTCCCGCCTTCACCGCAACAGGCAACGCTATTGTTCCCATCAAAACCCCATTTATCTTTCAACTCGAAATTATCAGCAACCAGCCAAATCACCAAACGCGCATTGCTCTCTCTAAACCACGTTCGGCGTCCTCATCCTCACAAATTGATCCGTCCACTTCTCATTGGCACAGCACCATTACAAAACCCCTCTCACTCAAAAGCCAGGAAGCAAACAAATCTATAACAGAGCTTGTACTGGCTTGGAGGAGAATTAAAAACGAGTTCAGTGAGAAGCTCCCCGCGCTTAGAAGGAGCTGATATGGAATTTGACATTTATGACCACCAGCTTGCGACATTTGCAGGAATTGAAGGCGTGGATCAGTCGATTGAGCAAGCAAAGAAGCTAGAGACAGAAGTTTGACGTGAGTTCGGGATTTAGTAAGAGGGAGGGACGGTTGTGCCTCCCGGTCAAGTGCTTTACTTAATGTCTGACCCGATGACTTTTAGGTTCTGCTGATCGTCTCTTAAGTGATCAGACGAACCATCATTTCTGACCTAACAATGCTATCAGAAAACAATATGAGAGCAGTAAAGAAGAGAACACCAGATAATCACAAGACAGACAAAGATGGATGGTGTGTTGCAGAAGGCAATGTGCCTTTTTCGTCCTGCGTCGATTTACACCTCTTTCTCATCCTATCGTGCTTTTGATCCTTCGTTTTGGGGCGCTCTCAATACAAATAACTTCCAGGACCTCCATTTTTATCGATATGAGACTCCAAATTTGCGTCGCTCAAGCTCTTCCTCGCTCGGCTGAGCTTGGTGCTGGTGTCGCCGTTGCAGTTTTGCCGTCATTCTCTCGTCTTTGCTCGACTTTGCTTGGTCGATGCACCGCTCGTCATTTTGTTTTTCCTCATTTGATAGCAGCCGAGTTGAATCTACTGCAAGAAATAAGTAAGCCTGTCTCTGTGCCTGCACCAATTTTAGAAGAAGGAGCCAGCGAGTGTAGAACATGTCCTTTAGACATTTGTCCCTCGGCATCATTCACCACCATTCATCCTCTTCGTCACGATAAGCTCTCAAAGGCTGTTCTCTTATCACCGAAATTTCTCGAACACGAACACGAACACGCCATGTGACTTGGCAAGATTGTATACAAGATACCCAGCTGTACCCTTTCATTGTGCAGTGCACAACTACCAACCTCTCCTCGCTTTCTGATTCGACAGCGTATTCGGGTTCGGAAATGTGGGGCTCGCTAGGGACCAAAACATCAGCTTTCGGTTAGCATGAGGGTCCAACTTCGTTCTTCGCTATGAGAGTGATATGAGAATCGAATTTTGGCGGGATATAAGCATATCTGAACCAATAGGAAGGGGATTGGAGTTTCTGCCATGTGAGGCGTATTCGGAATGAGCGGACGCCAGTCTGCGGGCCGCAAGAAGCTGCTGTCAGCTTGGAACTTGGAGCTCGAAGCTCTGCAACTCCATGACAGCATATAAACAAACGTCATATCTCACATTCTTCCCTTTCCTCCTGTATAGCTACATCATACATTATCACAATCATCTACTCCCTTCAACCACTCTCCATTCCCAGACTCGCCATTTCAACATGTCTGAATTCCTCATGAAAGAAGACCACGAGCGCGATGCCGCCTTCAGCAAAGCCATGCACGGAAAATCCGTCGAGGAGGAATCGGCTTTCATGGCTATGCTGAAGAAAGATTCTGGTTCTCAGAGTGCTGCTGCAGATGCTTATTTCAAGCATTGGGATAATAAAGATGCCAAGGTTGAGACGGAGAAGGATCGCTCGGTAAGTAGAGATTCTTCCATCACTTTCGCATGTTGCTATTGTAACGTATGATTGCTGACTATTGACTACAGGAACGCAAAGAAGATTATGCCAACCTGACTAGAAAGTAAGCACTTCTCACTGCCTCTTCGTCTCCTCCCATTTGGTAATTGGAAATACCAAGAACTTCACTAACACCCTCCCCTCCAGTTACTACGACCTAGCCACCGGCCTCTATGAAGAAGCCTGGGGCCAATCTTTCCACTTCTGCCGCTTCGCCGCCAACGAGCCCTTCCACCAAGCCATCGCTCGACATGAACACTACCTCGCAGCACGCATTGGTCTTAAAAGCGGCATGAAAGTCCTCGATGTAGGTTGTGGAGTTGGTGGACCGGCAAGAGAGATTGCCAGGTTTGCAGACTGCCATGTTACGGGTCTGAATATCAATGATTATCAGATTCAGAGAGCGAAGAGAGCGGCGGGGATTTGTGGGATGGCGCATCAGCTGGAGTTTGTGAAGGGGGATTTTATGGTATGTTCTGTGCTGCCGTACTTTGAAAGGAACTGAGACTTCGACATATGAGCAAGCGAGAATAAGCAGCTGACAAAATCTTATTCATAGCAAATGCCCTTTCCAGATAACAGCTTCGACGCAATCTACGCCATTGAAGCTACAGTCCACGCGCCTAGCCTCGAAGGCGTCTACAGCGAGATCTTCCGCGTCCTCAAACCCGGCGGCATCTTCGGAGTCTACGAAGTGAGTTCTCGTCCTCATTCCATCTCCCCCTTAATCCCACCTACTTTCTCTACGATATACGAAATCTTCAGCAATGCCTCATCTCCATCACTTGTCCTTCGCACCTCCCCTATCATAGCCCATTGAGTCACGACTAACACCACCCTCTTCTCCCAGTGGCTCATGACCGAAAAATACGATCCCACCAACGCCCACCACCGCACCATCCGCCTCGACATTGAACAAGGCGACGGCATCGCCAACATGGTCTCCATCCGCACCGCCCACGCCGCCCTCAACAGCGCCGGTTTCCACCTCCTCCACTCCGAAGACCTGTCTACCCGCCCCGACGCCACACCCTGGTACTACCCTCTCGCGGGAGATTTCCGGTATCTAGGCAGCGTGTGGGATTTTTTCACGATATTGAGGATGACGAGGGTGGTGAGGGGGGTGGTGGAGGGCTTGCTTAGGGTGGGGGAGAGGGTGGGTGCGGTGCCGGGGGGGAGTGCGAGGACGGCAGCGAGTTTGGCGATGGCGGCTGATGCATTGGTACTGGGTGCCAGGGAGGGGTTGTTTACGCCGATGTATTTGATGGTTGCGAGGAAGCCGGAAGAGTGAAGAACGGTGAAGTGGGCGTGAGTGTCGGGCGAGATAGCAGAGGGAATGACTCTAGGTCTAAGTGGTGGAGAAATGGGGTGAGATTTAATGATAGGAATGGTTGTCAAGAGAGCTGCCAAAAAGAGCAATGGGAAGAAAGAATAGAGCGATAGAGAGATGGATTACTGAGTAGGTACTGATAGGCATTGAAATCAGCGGTAAAGTCCCGACGCTACACTCTACATACCAATCTGATGTCTGGCTTCACACCAGACACTACTAATAGAAGAATTGGCTCCAGCGTACATCCAGAACAAGGCCATGACGGATTACTTCAGAATGCACAGAGAAAGGCGACGGAGAGCAAAAAGTTCCTACTTGTATTGAAACCTGTCTAGAGAATGGGAGGCACAGCAGCTTTGTGTCAAGCCTTTCCAAGCTCATCTTGAAGGCGAATGGCTAAAAATTGGGAAACTTCAGACAAAGAATCCACGACATCATCTTGTCGTAATTGTGGATCAAGTGTCAGCAGAACCGAGCTTTGGAAGTGATGGAAAAGCCGCAAATATTTCAAGACACATTCGATACTCTTGTGTAGTATCTACATCTTTGGCGAGATTTAGCAGATTAAATATGATCTTATTTCCTTGCCCTTCACTCCCCATGCCTAAACGGAATGTCCATCTCCAGGCGTGCTAGGGCGACATGGTGAAGAGCTGATTCGTTTGTAAATTCTGCTACATATAGATACGCAATATATTAAATCCTCACCAACAATGACAGGCAACAATTCCGAAATAATTCGTTCCAGTCAACGTTGATACCGGATCCGACATTCGGCCAGGCCGGCAATATCTTTACCCCTTGACCCCTCGATTAGTGCAATCAACCCCGCAGCGCCTAGCTGAAGAATGTCGTGAGCAGCCTAAGACAACCTTATTTTGATCTTCAGAATCCCTTCAAGCTCATCCTTTCTGATTCCAACTACTGTACTCTCATATGAAAGTATATCACCGACGAGTTCTCCCAATCAAACCGTTATCGCACCCATCAAGACGAATCCCACCCTGTATACTAACCCTTGGACTTTTCCAACCTTCACCTCACACCAAACCCATAACAACTACACCACCAAGAACAATGCGCCTCCCATACGTCGACCCTAGCACTATCACCTCCCCTACCTCTAAAGCTATCGTCTCCCGTGTCGAAGCCCGCCGCTCCCCGCGACCCCTCCAAGCCCTCGACCTTACCCTCCTGCACTCTCCACCTATCGCCGACGGCTGGAACAGCTTCCTCGGTGCTATCCGCACCCAAACTTCCTTACCTGACGACATCCGCGAGATAGCTATCTGCCGCGTGGCGGTCATCAATGAGGCGTGGTACGAGTGGTCGCACCATGCGCCGCTGGCGAAGGCCGGGGGCGTAAGTGATGCTGGGTTGAAGGTTTTAGGGAAGAAGGAGTTTGGTGGGGTGGGAGAGGAGGAGAAGGGTGTGTTGAATGAGCAACAGTGGGCGGTTGTGAGGTATACGGATGCGATGACGAGGGATGTGAGAGTTGGGGAGGAAGTTTTTGGGGAGTTGAAGAGGTTGTTTAGTGAGCAGGAGGTGGTGGAGATTACGGCTACGGTACCAGGAGCTTCTATGAAAGTTTCGATATTAGAGATCAGATTTGCTGACAAATGGCTTTGCAGGTTGCTTGTTATAACTGCGTTAGCAGGTTTTTGGTTGCTTTGGATGGTATGTCTTTCCCTTCCCGCGTGATATACACAATTACTGATTTTGGGGTAGTGGGTGAGAGGAATGGGACTAAAGGTCCCGAAATTGCTGACCATTGATTTGCTTGTACATACAAAGTCATTATCCGGATATCCTGATCCTACTTCATCAGTCTCCTCCGTACATCGTCGTTATTCGCTTTCATGAATGATGTCACTTCATCCGGGCTCCTACACAGATGTTCCACCTCCCAGCCCACACCAGTGTTCTCCAGCGTGAGATCCGCGGAGCAAAGGATGCTTTGGCGCAGATAGTCAAAGCAATGCCCAACGTGCCCTCCATATGCATCCTCCTCACTTATTTCCAGGGAGTAGAAAAAGCGACGAATCGTCCCCTGTACCCAAACTCATGTTAGAACACAAACCCGATTTTCCAGTACGATTGACTCAAGCACATGAATGGTCGACTTACCAGACAATGCAACTGGTGATACATCGCGACTGGGTAGAGGTCATACCCTGGGATGTCACTTTGGATCTCTGATGGGAACAGTTTATGACGTTGAGGGTCGGCAATGTATACCTTCCCTATGTCCATATTGTTTGTCAAGTTCTGCCATGAGCTTGCTGCGTTAAGTGCACGAGCGGCGAATTTGGGGTCTTCGATAAAGATTGTGGTTGTTTTCGTTTCCACTTCTCCTGATCAGTGCTCTAGCACCGAAAAGTGACAGAAAGCAGAACACTTACGCAGAGGTGGAATGCTAGCTTCCCGGACAATGGAGATATTGATGAACCCGAATGATACCAAGGCCAGCACTGTGAGATTGCAGAGAACCACCACTGCGCACAAGAGGATCTCCACCCCTTGAAGGACTTCCACCATGCCACTGTTCAACATTGCTTTGCGCTTCTTCTTTGGCCATGGGATCCCATCATCGACCAAGTGACTTAAATTGTCGGATTCATTTTTGATTGGCTCGTACGAGGTTTTGACATTTTGACGTGCCCACCGGGCTAGATATCTCATTTTCAATATTAATGGTCTATCACAAGATGTATTGAGCTGAGTATGTGCGTTGTTCTTAGACAAAGGTTCTTCCAAGTGTACTGTGCCTAGGACAACGACACGGCAGGACAAATTTGATTAAGATGGTAGATCGCAGCCCATACCGCGAGACTTGGTCCTGCTCTATCGGGCAGTGTTAATTCTGATCCAAATTTACAATCACATGTTTAGCACAGATTCGTGAAAGCGTTGCAGTTGAATCTTTCATTGATGTTGCTGCCGCTGTGGTTGTTGGCGGTACAGCCGCGTGGCGCGTCTCACCGAGCTGGTCACATTACTTGTATCCGCGCCGCCCACAAAGTTGCAGCAGTTCATCCGCTCTTACCAGACTTCCGAAAATGGCTTGTTTCCATCGAAGACTCGCGGCGGGATATTATGCGGCAACTTGTGTTTTCAAGTTTCCTCTCGATTCACCAGCCATCCATGGGCTTGATGACGAAGCTTTGAGGCATCATTTTCAAAGTTTCAACGTGTTCTCTGGGGCTGTCCATACTTGTAACTTCTGATCTCAAGCAACCTTAGAATTTTTATGATATCTTCCAATCACGAAATGGCTGCTAAGGTGGAAGATACTGACTCAGAGAGGCTGTTGAACGACGCATCGTCAACAGCTTCAGAGCTTGAATTTATGGACAGTATCGATCGAAAGACACTGAGAAGAATCAAGTCTCGCTACCCCATCTTCGGTGTCATCATGATGTTTCTGCTCATTTCTTCTAACGTGGCTTGGTATGTATCAATGAAATGGCATAAAAGTCCCAACAGCAGCAGCGAAACCTCTCCAGACGCCGACTACTGTAAGTAGCAGACATGATTGAGGTCATTATACAGCTGATAAGTTCAAGTTGGATCTCCTGCAACTGTTCTCACACCTTTCAGTCACGAGTGGACAGGACTCTTGGAGCAGGAGTCTGACGGAACACGCTATCGAGATGAGGAATGGGGGACGAACCTGTTCCCAGGTGAGTTCTGTGAAGCATTCAAGGCTTGGCTTCAGCCAAAGTGATTGCTGATGCCATGACCAGATAACGGCGGCGTGGTTGCGCTGTCGAGAGACTTCGCCCGAGAGCACGATCTGCCCGATGCCGCAGTCACACCAGAAGATCCTTCAAAAATGATATATCTCGTAGCCGGATACCATCAGCTACACTGCTTGGTCAGTCATAGCTTCTTCAAGCTCTTTTGTACTTTGTGACTTTCCTGACAGCACTCAGTCTGTGATTCGAGACTCGATCTACTACTTGAATGGAACTATGCCGGTCTGGCCCGACCCTGGTGGATTTATCTGGGACCACATTCTGCATTGTGTGGAGGCTGTTCGGCAGGGGCTTACATGCTTTCTGGATCCAACTCTCATCAATCTTGATGAAAAGTGGCCAGGGATTCCTAATGGACAGAAGCATGTTTGTCGAAATAGAGACGCGATGTACCAGTGGAGTACAGAACACGGACATGCAATCCCTGTTGATCCACGTTCTGGAGGGAAGAAATAGTTGGAATCTAAATACAAAATTTAAAATTCATACTATTTCCTATCATGAAATTGATGCATAAGTTCCTAATTACAAAAACCTTTGTTCTGAATCCAATCGGCTTAAGTATAACCTAGACCCATATCAAGCCGCCATTCTATCAAACATCTCATAAAGCACCTCGTGGTCATTGCACGTCCTTATATCCTCCGCCCCATTGATAAATGGTGATGTACCGTTGTATATGTGTTGTCCTTCTATTTGACTATCCGCTTTACACAATACCATCTGCAGCTGTCAATATAAATTTTGTGTATGGCAGACTGGATCACAGTTTACCTGGCGGAGATAATAAAGGCAGTGTGGCCAGTGTTTTGATTCAGACCAATCAAATGCAATATGTCTACCTTCCAAGGCATCTTGTAATGCAATACGAAATGAAGCTATGCAGTGAAGCTGATGGAACCTATCCAATATCAGTTACAGCATAATCTTCGAGAATTTGCCGCGATTCTAGTGCTGATGAAGATGGTAACTCACATGCTTATGGCTCCATATTCCTTCACTTTTCCGTCTTCATCTCTGGAAAGTGCAATTACACCCGCCTTCTGGATACCCTTTTCTTCCCAAAGGAAATCATATGCATGGTCCAGTGTCATGAAGTCCTTGTCGTTACCATACGCCATTTGTAGCCCTCCGGGGCTGCTTGATACTGACATTGAACCAGTGGAGAACAAATGCCAACCCAAAAAGCAGGATTGGAGGATGAGAAGCGCCAAGGTAAGTGATTGAGCAGTTATAAATATCTTCGGCTGTCGGATTTTTCTCACAGAAGGAGGTTCAGAAGGCAACAGTTCTTGGTCCACGGTCTCGAAGGAATCTCGCTCCAACGGCCCACTTTTGAAGGGGTGAAGCGACATCCTTGGTTATCAAACGAAGGATTCTGTGATTTGGATGAATAACGTGAGTCGTACAATGTACTCGTTAGAAATTGGTTGAGAGTCTAGCTGTGTGATGTAGCGAAGACGAAAAGTTGCAGGGTGAAAACAAAGTATCCTGCGGCGGGCCGCTTTGAGTTCTTGGGGAGGTTACCCGAATGTGGTAAGCAAAATTTCACTCCTGGTAGCGATTCCTTCAATCGAGATCCTCATCAGAAGTATTTCGGCCAATTGGAAGAGGCGAGGAAATGGTTGTCACAGTCTAAATTCTCGCCGTTTTCACGTGTCGTTCTGGGATTCCACAAATCTCTTTGGAATTACATATCTGAATTACTATGGTCTGGGTCTGTTTGATAATATCTCAACACAGCTATGTACACTTATCCATCAGTCTGAGACAGAATTCTCAACAGATCCGTGCTCATCGAAAGGGTTTCCTGCCCCTCTGGCTTCTTGATATCAAAAATATCTGCCATAACCGTCTTGTGATCCTCGGTCCACTTGGTGACCCCATCAAAATCTCCGCACTTCCGATTGACCATGAAGTCTGGATGTGGGTGGTCATAAATATCGTACCATGCGTAGGGAACGAAGTCTGTATTTGCGTCGCACATGAGAGACTGCAAAAGTATGTAAATACAGTGATCCGTGTGGGACTTGTGGAGATCGGTAGCATTGCCGTCAGGAAACTTGTCTTTCCAGTAGTAGTCAAAGTAGACGTCCTTCCGAATCCTATTGAGGCAGTGTATTTTGTGCTTAACATCGACTAAGACTGGGTACGCATCATCACCGAAGCCTAGGCTTGGAGGAAACTTGACAGCAACGTCGATGTCTTTGCCTGCCGCTTTCAAATCCTTCGAGGTGGCCCAAGCAAGGTTGTCTTGATTCAACCGATTCCATGCATCGTCCGTTGATGGTGAGGGTGGCTGCCGATAAATATCTCCGTTGTTTTCGACATCCCCTCGCAAGGTCTTGATATCACTTGAGAGATCAAGTGACTTGATTATAGGAGCTGCCGACATTAACTCAATTCTGGAAAATCTGTTTCATCACTCACATTCGACATTGAGCATCCTCCATGCTGCCTTTTGGTCTGTTTGCAGTCCGACAAAACTTAGCGTGGACCATACAAACATTGATAGAGATACACAAAATAAGGCAATATTCAGACATATTATTGATACTCTTCGAGGTTTTCTGTCGCCCAAGGGGCTGTAAGAGATGTCCTCGCCGAGCATGATGATCGAAAGAGAAAGAGAAATCGAATCTTTCGAGGCAAAAGTAAATTTTGTAAAATAGGTTGAGGAATGGGACACTGACACAAATGACACAGCGGGATTTGGAAGTCGTATGTCACTACTCATGATAAGATACCATGACATGGGCGCTGTTTCCATCAGTTGGATCCTCCAGGTCTAGCCGCGCGGTGTTGATTCTGGAGGAGAAAGGTAAGCGAGGTGCCAAGGAAGCCAGCCAGCAGAACACGTATTATCTCGAGATATAACGAGTGAAGCACATCTCTGCGAGCATGTTTAATTCGAATGCTAGAAGGAAAACTAATGCCATTGATTGTTTATTCTAACTTCAACATGTCACTATCGTCTGGACCTTGAAGCATTTCCTAAGCCTTTCCTTTGATCAGTGATCGTTAAGTTCAGGATTCATTGTCTACGCTCCTACTCTTTGACACAAAGGATAGATAACTCTCGCTGCAGTGACAACATCTTTCCAGCCCGTTTTATGATCAAGCAGTACACCTTGACAGTGAAGAGTATGATTGTATGCCCTCAAATGCTCATCTATCCATCCTCTCTCATATGCTCTGTGCATCTGTCGCCACATGAATGTACAGTGCACCACGTGAAAATTCCAAGTGACCCATAGATTGCTGTCTCCAGCCTCCGCAATGTCTCTGGTAATTGTCTGGTTCCCTTTCCCAAAGACCTCGGTGTAAAATGACCACGGCTGATAGGCGGAGAATTCGGAGACAAGAGGCTTGTCGAAACATTCAGGTGTTTGCCAAGCGAAAGATATCAGGTCAAAAGAGCAATTGCGGCTTCGAGCAGTAGCTGGATCCTCTCCGCACGATGGCCAGCTCTGTGTTTGAGGATGTTCCCTGCTGGCAGGAAATTTTGCAGCAAAAACAAGCATAAAGATCATGATCGTGCTGCTGATGACGGTGTACTTCAGGATAGCCAATGTCTGAGCCGATACCCTCGCTCTTCCGTGCGCAGGCGAGGTTGGTTGCGATGACTCCTCCTGTGACACAGCAAGATACGTCTTGGGTCGAGCAAACAGCATGATGTCTTGGAACATGCAGAACATCTACTGCTTCCTAATCTTGAAAAGTTAATGAGCGGAGCAAAGCAACTGAGGAGCACAGGTCTGAGGAAAGGATACACACTCTATTTCTCATGGATTTTCAGCCTGTAGCGAGCAACAAACCGCGCCGCGAGACTGGCTTCAAACCTGTAGCAAACATCAAATCTATGATTTTGATCAGGCTTCGACAATATGGATTAAGGTAGACACAGTGATTCCGTTAGCCTGAACTCGTCGAGTGACTTTTCGTTGGGTGGTGAGATATCGCGGCACCAAGAGTGGATTGGGCTGCATCCAACCAAGACAAATCTAGATCAAGGCTTGAATTTAGCCAGTTGATTCGTAGGTGAGGAAGCGCTCAAGTGATTCAACCTCATCCCGCGCGGTGAGGTCCATCTGTTGGTATAGCGAGGTTCGGTTTTCGAACGAGGGACGCCCGCCAAGTCCAGGCTTTCTTCGATAGCTGAGGTAGGTGGTGAATATTGAAAACCACAAATCAGAATTCAAAGCTCTTCATCATAACCTCAGACGCTGATACACACTTATCACCCACCTTCTGAGATGCCAGGTCACCGAAGCATTGTTTCGTTTTCTACCCTGCTTTTTGCAACAAGCTCGACAGTGTTTCTGCTTCTGCAGCTGATATCAATTTCGAAGCTCCATGAGAATTTTTCTCAAACAACGTGCAAAGGACCATCAGTTAGGAGAGAATGGAGAAGTCTTCGGCAAACGGAGCAACAGGCTTACCTTAATGCTGTTCTTTGCTTAACTAAGACGAAATCTACCCTCAGAGAAAGAGGGACACTCTTTGATGATTTTGCCTTAGTTCATATGCAAGTCGGTTCTCATTGTACGTTGACTTCTGCCTTTATGTTGCAATTTAGTTGAACTAAAGTTTTGTAGCACATTTCTCCGCTCCATTCTTTCCATGGCATCGAATGTTTTTGCACATCTTCGAGTATAATCTGAGGAATCGGTGCCAGTTCGAAGGAAGTCTCCCGTGAGCGCATCTATAATCTTGATCAGAGTTTAGACACAGCTGCTCATGGCATTGCAGATATTGGGACTGGACTTTAGACTGGAAAGATCTCGCAGCATCGCCGATATGGGATGATACTTTTGGCTTCGGTGGGGACGGAAATGTATCAAGCACTAGTCCGTTCGGAGATGGATCACACTGTGTTACTACTGGACCATTCGGTGGACTTAAACTTCTATATGCAAACGGCACTGTCTCGCCACACTGTCTCTCGCGCGGATTCACCTATTACGAAACTGGAAAGAAAGGAGCAATATCTGGGGAACACCTCCGACCCGAAGACATTGAAGGATTGATGCAGGAGCGGCATTATAATGGGTTTCGCAATATGACCGAGTATCTACTCCACAATGCTCTACACTGGGGCCTACATGGGGACTTTAGTCAATGGTCTTCAGCGAATGGTTAGTTTCTGATATAGCCAGAAATGGGATCACACAACAACTGACTTGAAATGACTTCACACAGATCCTATATTCTACCTCCATCATGCTCAATTGGATAGATTATGGTGGTTTTGGCAACAGCAAAGACCAGAACGCCTTACTGAGTACTTCGGCTCCACAACTAGCAGTGCAAACTTGTTCGATAGCCTATCATTCATGGATCTATGGAAAGATGTAGAAGTGGGAGAAGCGGTTAGAGCGGACGGTAATCTACTTTGCTACAGCTATTAGATGAAAACGGTACTCCATTTTGATATTAGTTTCAGACACCACTCGATAATCAATGATCAATGCTCATGATTTCTCTGTTCCTTTCTATCGCAATACACCGCGGGAGGTGCGAACTCAAGCAAATTGGTGGCATCCTCAAATCACTCCCAACCTCACCGATCCTTACAGCAACCATAAAAAGCGACTGGGTTAAATCCGAGGCTGTTTGAGTGACCACTACGAGCCAATGAGATTATGAACCGCCCCATCATGCTCGATGAACTCTGGTGGTGCCGCTGATGCAGCCGCTTAGCGAGCAGAAACTGGACTCTTGACCTTTCCGCGCGGTCAATAACTTTACGAACCGCCATAGTTGAGGCAGCGTAGGCTGTATCGATGTTCTGGACCAAGTTCTCTTCGAGCTGACTTTGTTTGTACTTAATCTAGACTCAGCACTCTTCGATTTGGTCAAGTTCTCCCCAAACCGAGTCCATCCGCAATCATCCATACTTCGGACTCCCCAAAGTCCTACAAATAACCAACTCTCGATTCTGTCAACCAAAAACCTCATATCGCCCAAAATGCTCTTTCTCAAAACCCTTGCTGTCGTTGCTATGGCGGTCGGCCTAGCGGTCTCCGGCCCTGCACCGGGACCTGCACCAGCACCAGTTCCCGAAGCCGCACCAGAACCAGCTCCAAATGCATCGCCTATTGCGATTGCAGAACCGGATCCTCGTGCAGAGCCAATCACGGAGGAAAACCTGGTGTACGTGCTTGTTCCTGTTGCTCGGGATGGAGACACGGTTGTTAGTGCAAGGGAGGTCAGAAAACGCGAGGTGGTTGCATATGATCTTGCGCTGCGTGATGAGGAAGCAATTGCGTATAACCCGGCATACAGCTACACATATGTCTTGGTGTATACGTATGTGCTTGTGTATGTTTATAGCGGACTTTAAGCTGGAACATTCCGGGGCGATGTGCAGATACACAGGCTGAACAATCAATTGGTGGAATTCTCTTTTGAAATTATTGCGGAGCCAGAGAAACCGGGACGCAAAGCAGGCAACACATCGAGCGGGAGTCGAGATAGGATGTTTATTGCGGTTTTTTCCACTTTCGTTTTGAGACGTCTCATTTGGTCACGATGCGTTCTTTAGCACACAGAGCAAGTATTTAGCAAGCACCTACTCAAGTTGGATGGATTCATCTTCAGCCTTCCTACAATTGAGTATCTTTAACACTGCTAGGTAAGTGGTGATAGATATTCTAGCTGTATGTGTAAAGGCGTTTGCTATTACGAGTAGTCATGAAGCAACAATTGACTCGCGAAGGCTTTTTTTGCCTCTCGCCCGCTGAAACCACGAGCTAATCGGACTTCAGACTACGACATCCACAGAGGAAACTAGGCATAATGGATAAAGCTGCTTACTTTATCAGAAATGAGTTGCGTGTCCTGAGGTGCACATCATCACCATATAAATTATAATTCAAGGGTAGACAAGGATTAAATCTTGCCTTCGCCGCTCTCCAGATAAGCCTGCATCCTTCACCAGTGGTCCATTTCCTATTAAGCATGAACAATCGAGCAAAGCTCTACAGTTGATGATTACTCGGCTCTGTATCTTAAGTGTGTGTCTCTGGCGCTTTTTCCCTTTAAGCAAGTGCGCCAACAGCACTGTCAGTTAAGCGAGACTTAGTAAACAGAGGCGGGCGGTGGGGGTAGCAATCGAAGTAAAGGACAACCAAGGCGGCAACAGGAAAATCTTGACTTTTCAAGATGATGATGAGTAGAAAATAATCATAATCACTTTGATTGGCCGGAGCACTAGCGCCGGGCCTTCATCTTTGTCTGTGGCAGCATGCTCCGCCTTAGTCCATGCACTCCTGCCGCCAGTCAACGTTCGGCGGTCCGCCCAGCCTACGATTTGTGTAACGATTTGTGTAACACAACTGATCACTACGAGTGAAAACTGAGTCTTGAGATACATCAAGAGACTTTGAGGTCCGTTCCTATGTTCAACAAACTGTCGTCGAATTGGGTATCTCCAAATCATGGACGTGAATCTTCCGCACCAGAAGGACGATGGCCTAGCTGATGAGAGTAATAATGACCCTCAGATGGGACTAGTATCCTTGATGGTGAAGAAAAGGAAGAAATATGCCTTCAACCTCCTGGTTGTGATTGGGGTACAGCTACTGATTATACTGGTCCTTGGGGTCGGCTTGGTAGTGCTTGCGTGGAGAACCCGACCCACGCCGACGCCAAACTTGTCATGTCCGCCTCTTGCTAAATTAGATGTAGGAATTATCTGTGAGTAATCGACTCATTGACTCCTACAAACTATATCCTGCTTGAACTAGTTTCTCTGCTGATGGAATGAGATTAGCCCCTGCTCGTGACGGCGTACGATATCACGAGAAAACACTGTACGAGCATCGTCCCAGAACTGGACCTTATCTTGGCAGGCCAAACACAGAGATCAATACTGCATGGGCGGACTTGACAAGACGTATGTACAATTTATATTTTGTAGAGATTATGGGTATCTGGGCGTTCCGCTGATACATCTATCTGATGAGCAGCCTCATATGTCCAAGTCACGAGAGATGAGCTTGAGGAAGCAAATTTGACATCGATGGTCTTGCCAAAAGGTACACCTTTCACCACAATAAATGTGTATCATCACTTGCACTGTCTTGTAAGTCCATCCACGACTGTATTGAACCGTACATACCTGATTTGGCATTAATGTGGATATTCATCCATCTTTAGAGAGCGATTAAGCGGTATATATACGCTCCATATTATCATCCCGATGTTTCTGTTGAAGATATTCGAACGGATGACTACAGTGACCACATCGGTACGTGTGTCACTACTCTGTTAGAATACATCTTGGAATATGATGCTGTCGTGAAAATTGTGCTTGATTAACAATAAATACAGATCACTGTGTCGATCTTCTAAGAGAGACTATCATGTGCCAGCCCGATTTTTCGCTCGCTACATTTGAGTGGGCCGGTGCTGAACCCAGGTTGGTGGTTCAGAATGGGAAGACGACGCATCAGTGTGTTGACTGGCCATACTTTGAGGAATGGGCCAAGGGACGAGCATTAGACGTCCAGATGGTTCTGGATTATTGGGCTACAGCCTCAGGAGCTGAGTTCACAGATGTGTGAGATGGGGGTGGCATGGAGTTGAAATATGGCATAAATTGATAGTGCAAGCATGGCGATCAGCAACCAAGTGCCTTGACAATTAATCAACTTTTGCAATAATGACGGTCGTTACTTTATTTTTATCTAGACATGCTGGATATATATCCATTCGATACCTTTTTCCCAGTCCGCACATTGATGTAGGCTAGTAGCATCGCCGTCAAAGTGCGGTTCTGCTGACCTTGGTTCCAGTGTCAAATCGCCTCTGCATAGAACACTTTGTTTGACGTAATTAAAACAATGGACGAAATGACTGTCCGCATCACGCAGATGTTTCGGCAACACGGCCCCTCCAACAACAGAATAATAGCTTTCACGAAACATCACCTGTCAGGTTTTCAGCTTTCTGTGTGGATGAAGAGCTGAGATAGGGATACCAACCAAACAATGTAATTCATGAAACATCGAAACTGTGTAGTTGCTGTCGTTTATCATCTCCCCTGGCTCAAATCCATAACGCTTGGAGCCTTGGGCTAGTGTAAAAAAGTTCGATTCTGGTAACGGTCAGTATCTCTGGGATTCTCTCCAACGTGTGTAGAAGATATATGGTGAACACGGTCAATTTGTTGGATGACTTACTGGGACCTAAATCCTTCCAGGCGAGGTCATCCTCTTTGGAATGAGGCCCATCCAGATGTTGCAATTCTGTGAATACCACTTCTTTTGTAGCTGCTGAAGAATATTAATCCATGACATCTTCTTTGTGGTATTGTAACGTATCTAAAAGTAGAAAGCTTACCTGGTGAAGATTGCTCTATCGGCAAATTCTGAGCGCGTGTAAGCAAGAAGATGCTCCATGATATGTTGAGTATTCCGAGAACCACAAGGGGACACCACCAGATCCGAGGAGAAGCACAAATCGATTTGCGTGTCTCGACCTCTTCATCTTTGAAATTCTCAACTTGCTCTTTCGGTATGGAAACGTATTTTGCAAATTCTGACCAGCTGCGTCTTATCGCACAAAGAGTTCTAGATGCTGGCATAAAAGAAACAACTATCCTGCCCAAGATTGGAAATAGATCAAGTTGCTGATTGCAAAAGATACGCCATTCTCAACATTTTGTTTAGCACAACCCAACTCGGCCCAAATTGGGCAAATGGACTACTGGCCACACGTGCACTGTAACCTTACATGTCACAATGGCTGTGGCAGATGCACATGCGGGTATCTTTAAGGGCGGCCCGCCATAAGCAAGTCAGCAGCCGCACCTACTTTCTAGCTCCGAGGACTTTATTGGTTCACACGAAGAATATCATCTGGAAAGTTACTATTCAATTGGATAGCTCGGTATGACATGTAGGTATGTCTGTAATGAACTTGCATGAACGCATATCACCTTGGAGTTGCATATGCAAGGCTGCTCAGACGTGGGGGAATTCCTCATGCTGTTACGAACTATTGGCTTAGAATAGCTGCACTCTTGAAGGTCTGTCGCCAATCGGAATTCTGTCCTACTCAAGTAGGGTAATCAGTCCAGGGTGCCTGTGGAGAATACTAGCAGAAGGCCAATTAACTCCCTGTTCTCATTCAACAAAAGCCGCGAAGTGACACGTCCGGCCTCTGTGTTACAGGGAATGCTATAAGATGTCAAAATCTAAGCAATGATTCGGGCGCCGATCATCACCATTATGCGTTTCATTCTGTACGGAGGTGGCGTGCATAATGCAGGCGAGAATCGGTATCCTACACTATCGCAATGAGCTCAAGCAGGCAATTGACCACCAAATAAGGGGTAGAATGGAGGGGTGATCTCAGTCTTATCGCAGATCAGGGCTCTTCCAGATGGGACTGATGTAATCAGCATCCGTAAGACAGTTTTGGAAATCTCTCATTCTGAGGGCCCGGTTTGTTTACTTTGGCGTTTTTCTTTCAATGTGGGATTTGGTGGCATGGTAGGATTCAGTATTTCAATATATGAGCCAGCGAAGCAATGGCGACTATTGGTGGAAGCTGTAAGCCCATATCAAGCATGATCCTCTCACTCTGATGTTTCAAATCTCAGAAGCTGACCTATGCCCTTTGTAGCTACAAGAAGTCTTCATGGTTGTTGGACGTGCCGTGTCCGGAAGAAGAAGTGTCCAGAAAATAGACCATCATGTTCAACATGTGTCTCACTCAAAATCAAATGCTTCGGTTATGGCGAAAGGCCATTGTGGATGGATTCAGGGCCTCTTCAAAAAGAGCAAGCATTGACTTTGAAACGACGTATCAGTCAAAGCAAACGTCGGAGGAGAACTCGAAGGGTCCCAGATACCGCTTCGCCACCACCAGACCAAAGTAAAGATTTGAGTACGGTGCATGGGGAAGCATCACACAATGCGGAATCAGTATCAAGCGATTCCTCAGATCAGAACCAGGTTGTTGAAGGGAACTGGGATCTCGACGTTCTCAATGATTCGCAACTTCAAATCTGGAGCCATGACTTGGATTTGGGACTGCTGAATGAAGATTTCATAAATGGGATATCCCAGGACAACATTCCTGCTGGAGGCTCTTTTCAAGCTTATACTGGAGACGCAAATATCGACTGGCTGGGGTACGACCTGCATGGTGGACTTTCGTCAAAAGTGGCCAAAGTAGGTGCAGGGGCAATGGCGTCCCCGGAATGCGATGAAAGCATTCCTCGGATAGGTGACACGCAACCAATCTTGAATTTATTTCCGGTCAATATGCCGCCAGCTGATGATCATTCCAGTCTTGCTCAGTTGCCTTCCACCACTTCAAGTACTGGTAAAATGGGTCATATCTCCGATAACTTGCTGGCAAAGGTTCCGTTTGAAGAAGAAATTGAAGATATCTTGACTATAAACTACTTGGACGAAGTTTTCTTCATGCAATATCCTTTCTATAACACACCACGTAAACAGACTCGCGGCTGGCTGTTTTCGGCAATGACACGAGTAGAATCGATACGTTTTGCGACTCTGGCTCTCAGCGAATACACCATACAGTCTAAAACTACTTCCAGAACTTCAACGCAGCCAAAGACACCCCCTTACTATGATCTCGCAATAAAGGCAACCCAATTGGATACCAAGACCTGTGATGATACTGGTGTTTCCTGCTTAACGCTTAAGCTGGAGAGAATGTTTTGCGGTCTGCAGATGCTGTTCTATCAGGTATTTCACATTCTCCAGATTCCGAAGGTTATTGCAACTGAGCATTTGGTTAGATTTTCGGCAAGAGAACTTCAACCTGGCGATATGACCTTCAAACAGCTGCCAGGTTCGTTCCAGGCGTGGTACGAGATATGGTGCAGCAGACCAAAGTTACCTATGGGGAACAAGAACCCAAAGAAGACTCCAAGTCCGGGCGAGTTGGAGCAGTGGCTTGCGGTGTCGACATAGGAAGCAAGCTGATCCTTGGTTCCGTTGTATGGCTTGACATCTTGTGGTCCGCGTCCACCAGATCTCCACTATCAACAGATTTGGATCACCGAAGAATCCTTGATACATTCGAAATCGAGCTTGGTGGTCTATTTGGATGCACAAGCCGCGTTGCACTCTTACTTCACGATATCGTACACCTGGACAATTGGAAAAAGATGACTGAGGTGGCTCGCAAATTAAGTATGACCGAGTTGGTCAAACGTGGTGCTGAAATCGAAACTCTCCTTCAACAAGAATTAGCGCACCTTCAAGGGTCTGGTGCAACATCGAGCCAGAATTTCACAGCAAGTCAACTCGAGATCTCCAGCATATTCGCGCGCTCAGCACTTACATATCTTCACATTGTAATTTCTGGAGCTCACCCGGAGATGCCAGAAATAGAAGAAAGCGTGTCATTAACTTTATCCGCCTTCCGCTCTATGACGGATCCCAAATTGCTACAGAGCCTGGCGTTGCCTTTTTGTATCACAGGATGTTTGGCGGTCGAAAATCAACAACCAATTTTTCGAGAACTAATGATGAAAGCTGAAATCACTACTCCAAGAGGAAGGGGCTGCTTAGAAGCAATAGGTATCATAGAGCAATGTTGGGAAATGAGGAGAACGTGTTACCATAGCTGTGACTGGGCTTTCATAATGGAGAGGCGAGGGAACAGTTTCATTCTCTTCTGAAGCACACTACTTCCAATGTCTAAACCTAGTATATCCTTACTTCATTACTTTTCGGAGAAGACCGGCCGTTTCATCCGAAAAGTAATGAGCTTATCCCACTCTTTCCGAAGACTAGAGTCAAAAGTGAGATGGGGCATTTCTAGGAAGTTCTCCACAGCTCTCCTATGTACAGGACCGATTGTAACTGCTTGACTACCAGCGACAGCAGAGTCATGTCTTCCACCAGCTGACATTGTTAGCCATCAGACAAAACTGCATAACAAGAGCTATAAAACAAAGGAACAGCGGCTGGCATCTTTGAAGCATGAATCACGAAAATATACTCAGCATATACACATGTAAAATCAACGTATCAACTATGTGACATCAACGATATTCATGAAAACGGAGTCACTGGTCAGTACCTCCAAAGCCTTTCACAATCGAAAGTTTGAAGAAAGAATTGCACTGCAGCTTGACATCACTGACAGTGTGGTATTCTGAGACATTCTGATCTGCGCTGAATATCCTAGAATGAAAGAGCCATGTCTTGCTCCCTTCTCTTCGCAACGTGTCGATGCATATGTCAAGTCCTGTCAAAAGTAGGACAATAGGCCGCGCAATCGTGAGGAAGGGGCAAATCGAAAAAGAGCCTGCAACTTTCTGGCGGCCCGCACCTCTGCGGCTATTATTGGGCATGAGCAAGGGCGCTTCACAGCTGATAAACATGAGGCGGTCCGCCCAGAAGCAGCCCTCACGAAAGACGTGGCAGCACTATGTCACCGTAAAACTTTCAAAAATTTCTTATTTCCTATTTCCATGTTTCCATACCACCTTTCGAAGTTTTCTTCTGATAATTTACAGCGTCAAAGAGGCTTTTAGCAAAATCGTACATAGCCACGATGGTAAGTTAACGAGCCGGAGCACCAGTAACCGACCGCTAATTCGGCTTTATTTTGCAGTACTCACAAGTAGCCACTGGGCTTGCCAGTCTTGCAGGAGCGTGGTGGCTGTCTTCTTTTCATTCATCTGAAACAAATCTGGCGAGCAGCATGGAAAATACGACTACCAGCATGCCAGTGGTATTTGAGGATTCGCCGTCCTCCATCAGTCCCTCGTCTTTTGAATGCACAAATCACCAATATACCACTGAAATTTTGTCCTTGGAGCCTCCCATGATATATCTAAACAATTTCATCACCTTGGAAGAATCACGGTATCTGATCAAGTTAGGGTAAATACAGTCCCAAAAGCAAGACTACACAAAAATATTGACGTGCAACAGAACCGACCACTACAACGGGTTTCGCGTCACTGGCGAAAAAGACGTGAAAGATGGGATCGCCCCTCCATCTGCTGATCTACCGAAGACAGACCCAGTGGTTTCCTGCGTTGGCCAACGGGCATTGAAGTTTCTTGGATTTATGGGCCTCGAGGACTACGAGCCTCCCTGGTTGGTAAAATATGGGACATCCCAGATGTTGAGGATACACCATGATCCATCACCGATAGAAGAACCTATGGTCGACGAGAATGGCCGCAGGTTCCATAGATGGGCAACTCTATTCATCTATCTGGAAAATGACTGTCTAGGAGGGGAAACGTTATTTCCAAATCTGCCTGCAGTTCCACCAGGAGCCAACAAAACCAAATTTGCGACTACGAGGAGCGGCTATGGAATGGCAATGCGACCACTGGAAGGGAGTGGTGCTTTCTGGGTCAACTTCCACCCGAATGGAACCAGGAATGGGTATGTAGCGCATGGTGGTCTCCCGATTGTTGATGGATACAAATATGCTCTGAATATATTTGCCAAGAAATGGGCCGACTGAACTGTTGCGCAAGGATAATGCTCTTCTTCTTTCATCGTAGCACGTGGGAAGGCATATTTCTCATACAGTATCGCAAAGCACGAATCTACAATCCAGTTACCAGTCCATACACTCACATGCTGCCTATGCTGAATGCAAGAATTCAGTGGTAGAATGGAGAGCCAAGAAGTGGGTAGGTAATTGGCATATTTTGTATCATGGAAGGATGTTTTCAGTGTAATCACAGACTGGGGGTACACTTAATAACTCTAAATCATATTTGCTTAGCAAAATGTTTCTCTATCTCGGCTTCTTCATCTTCATATCCCCCTTAACGGTAGACTCACAATGGACAGATTATTTGCTCGTCTGGTCAAAGAATTAGCATACCCAAAAAAGACTTCTCTCTACTCCAAGTTTCACGAACAGTCCCCCCAACACGGAGCACTTGAGTCCACTTCAGTGCTCCAGATGTCGACCAGGGCAGGATTATTGGAATACTCTCCCCAGGCTGCCGCATCGGCTTCTTGGTGGGGTGTACCCAAACGACATTTGGAAGTTGAGAAGAAATACAACAACAATTTCGATGCTACTGCAATATCAAAGGAAAGCAGACGACAAGCAGTCAATTCTTATTAAATAGGAACATCTCGAGGTCTCTTTTGACCAAACATTTCGAAATGGCAACATCCCCAACGAAAATAACGACATTCGCCAAGAGTGGGCTCTTCTCGTACCCCAATCTACAATCGGCTGTGGATATATCTGAACTCGCAATTCAGACTGGATTACTTTACGACGTTCGACCAGAAGTGAGTGAAATTGGAGAGGCGCAATAACAGCCTGACATCTATTAAATCCATCGATTTGGGGTTGGACCCACACTAATACGAGGAAGATTGAAGGCTTTTAAACAGTCACTTACGCGTTATGGTCTGACATTTCTTGAAGAACCACCCCAATCGACCTGCATTCTCGCCCTGTTAGTACGTAAAACTATGTATGCCATTGCGGAGTGATATGACGACTTGTTTTTCCCTCCTTCTCTTGGTACACAATCAAGATGATACAAGTACAGAGGCAATACATCAACTTAGTTTTTACCAGTCAACACCTCTTTCTGAATCAGAACTCTTGAAACAATGGGGCATCCAGAGACTACAACAAAGGTGGTGGTTGCTGCTCAGAAGGAAAGACCTGTCAGGACTCTGTAGGAGAAATATGCAGATGTTACGCTGCGGCTTATTGAAGAGCATGGGGATAGTTTCGAGCCCATGAGCGAGGATGCTGCGAAGAAAGTCCAGAAGAAGCTTTACTTCCATGTCATGTTTCTGGTGTGCTGTATCAGCTTGATCCTATTTGTGAGTATGAGCACTGGAAAAGATTGAAGATGTGGAACTGACGTCGACAGATTGACAAAGCTACGCTCGGTGTATCATCGATCCTGGGCTTATTTGAAGAGACCGGGATCAGTCTCCAGGAGTACATTAACTTGAACATGTTCTTCTATGTCGGTAAGAACGGTTAGATCATTGTGTGGTGCTCCATGCTAATCCAGATAGGCTACGTTCTCGCTTTATGGCCAGGACATTATCTTCTCCAACGACTGCCATTCGGAAAGACAGTCAGCACAATCATCTTCACCTGGGCCGTCGTGATATTCCTCCACTGCGTAGCAACAAGCTACGGCCCTCTTATCGTCGTCCGCATGGCTCTTGGTGCCGTCGAAGCGGTCATCATTCCCGCAATCGAGATGACTATCGGTATGTTCTTCAACCGCGAAGAGCAGGCATTCCTGCAGCCCGTCTTGTGGATCAGCACCAGCGTGGCTCCTGTAGCGACAGGATTCATATCCTATGGTCTGCTATTCAGTTCAAGCCCTGTCCGGCCATGGAAGCTGTTTATGGTCACCACCGGATCACTCACGTTTGCGTTGTCCGTTTGGTCGTGGTTCTGCTATCCTAATAATCCTGCTGAGGCTTCGTTCTTAACTTTGGAGGAAAAGGTCCATGTCATTAAGCGAGTCCAGAAATCGAGTCAGAGTTCGATCGAGCAGAAGCAGTTCAAGAAAGCGCAGTTCATCGAGACCTTGAAAGATCCTGTGTCCTGGTACGTATCTTCACGGAGGATTTCTTCCCTCTTCTCACTCCTGATCCTTGGTGTTGCAATGATTCGGAAAAAATCAATCTAACATCCCAACCAGGGTCTTCACACTCCAGGCATTCACCCTCATGTACGCCAACAACCTCACCTACGGCCAACAAAACCTCCTCACCCGCTCCCTCGGAATCTCCGTCCTAGGCTCCACCCTCGTCAAAGCCGCCTCAGGAGGCTTCGGCGTCCTCGTCTACATCACAGCCACAATCCTCGTCAAAGCCTTCCCCGGCAACGCCGCCTACCACGGCCTCCTCTGGTGTCTCCCCGGTATCGCCGGCGGAATAGGCATGGTGACCATCGAGTGGGACCGCAAGCTCGCTCTGCTGGCATGTTTGATTCTAGCAGGTGGTACGTATGGCGTCACGTATATTGTTGCGCTGGGGTGGACGTCGTCGTCTGCGGCGGGGTATACGAAGAAACTTACTAGGAATGTGATTTTTATGGTTGGGTATTGTGCGGGGAATTTGGTGTCGCCGCAGATTTGGGTGCCGTCTGCGAAACCGAGGTATTATGGGGCGTGGATCTCCATGGTCGCTGTTAGTTGGATGGGGATGCCGGTTGTTTTGTTTGTTATAAGGTGGATTTTGATAAGGAGGAATAAGGAGAGGAGGTCTTGGGCGGCGGAGAAATCTGCGAGTGAGGGGGAGGATGGTGATGTTGAGGGGGAAAGTGGGTTTGTGACTGTGGATGTTGAGGAGGAGGGGGTGGTTGTTAGGAGGAAGGTCAGGGTTGAGATGTTGGATTTGACGGATTTGGAGAATAAGGAGTTTATTTACCCTTTGTAGGGAGTGAAGATGGCTGGTGATACATGTAAATAGAGAAGCGAAATTAAGCTAACAAGAGTTTTACACGCTGGGCTAAGGATATGAGTACCATACTGTCACTCTGAGTCCCGTCTTGCAGAAGTATATGACATGATATTTGCTGTACCTGCAGCAGAAGCACTTCAATACACTTCACTAGAACTTACATTGGCACTCCCCGAAGATCAACTTTGACACCAACAGGATACATCTCCAATTGAGACTTTTTATCTTCAAATACATCAACTTCATACATTAAAACCTGCCATTCGAACGAAATGGACATCAAAGTCATGCCCAGAGTTCGGACGCGAGTTTAGCGAGCCGATGATAAATAGAGGGGTAAATGGAGGGGCAAGCCTCGGCTGTACCTAACTCCACCTCCATCTCGAAATCCGGATCATCTCGAAACTCGGAACCATTTCAAAATCCAATATTGAATGAAGGAATGCAGTTCAAGTGAGATACCATATAAGGGTGTATATGTACATACTCATATATCAGTAATCATAAACACCAGACAAGAGGACGCCCCTCACCCTCCGAAAGGTACATTATCGTAACGAACCAGGGACTGAAATAATGCTTACCAACCCTCGCCACCTCACCTACTATTCAATAGCCTAAAATGTACCTTCAACCCGATCAATAATATCATCCGAAAAAGATCAGAAGTTATGAGAAAAGGACTGACCAATTATTTGTCAAGAGTCCCTTGGTCCGGAACCTGGTGTAGGTAGGAATGCCGGAGAGGGTGACGGAATGGAATGGCGACATTGTGGGGTAGGGGGGAATAAATACCTAGAGTAGTAGCTCTTCACCCCGCTTTATCTTGGTGCGAAGAGAAAGAGCCAAGTACCTACGACATCACGCAGGATACCAATTTGTTTCTTACAACTACAACCTTCAATTTTCATCTCGAACTTTTCACTTTTGCAAATAGATGTGATTTCGTTGGTTTAATACAGAAAGACAGACAGACATAATGGCAAAGGCTTTTAGAGAATTGATTGGTGTTGGCCCGTCTACGGCTTCCACGAAGGATAGTGTGCTCGTCATTATCGACGCGCAGAATGAGTAAGTCAACTTACCCCGCCATCTCAACTCAACCCATCTCACAATACTCACAGATACGAAACCGGCCACCTCAAAACCGAAAACGTCGCCTCAACACGCAAAGCCATCTCCGCACTCCTCGATAAGTACCGTGCCGCCAACGCACCCCTCGTACACATCGTCCACCACACCCCCGCCGGCGCCCCAGTCTTCACACCCGACACGGATCTCGCCCAAGAATTCGCTGAGCTTGAGCCCAAGGGCGGCGAGAAGGTTATCAGCAAGCAGCAGCCTGGGTCATTCACTGGCACGGATCTTGAGGAGTACTTAAAGAGTACCGGGAAGAACAAGTTGGTGTTGACGGGGTATATGGCGCATGTTTGTGTGAGTACTACGGCGAGACAGGCTGCTGAGAGGGGGTATGATGTTCTTGTTGCGGAGGATGCGGTGGGGGATAGGAATATCCCTGGGGTGCAGGCGGAGGAGCTGGTGAGGGTTGCGTTGGCAGAGTTGGCGGATGCTTTTGGGACTGTGGTGAAGTCTTCTAGCATCAACTAGAACGGTGTGTTCAGACTGTTGCTGTGCTTGATGGTGTGGACTGGGTTTCTGCTGTATTGACTTCAGCGGTGGGGGTCTCTTCTTGTGTAGCCCCTGCTGGAGTGGTTTCCGTCTGAGTGGTCTTTTTCTGTGTAGTCTCTGCTGGAATGGTCTCCGTTTGTGCTGCATTTGTTGATTTAGACTCAATGGGCTTTTCTGTAATGGTATCCGCTTGAATGGTCTCTCCTTGCGTGGCTTCCACTTGAGTATTCTCTATTTGTACAGTCTCTGTTATTATTGGCTCCGCTTCGGTCTTTGCTTCGGTAGTATCTTGTTGACCAGGTACTACTTCGGCATTCTGTATTGTGGCAGCAGGTCGCAAATATATCTTTGTATCCGAGAAGTCATGGCGCAGCTGAGGGAATTCAACCACCTCATACCCTTCAACCATCTTTTCCAGTTCCTTGGCAGTGGTATCCTCTGACCTACAAACCGTTAGCAGCTTCCAGGGTCTAGATAAAGGGTACATACGCATCGAATCTAACAAAGTTTCCAACATTCGTCCCGATCAATACAGCAGGTCTCGGCCTCTGCGCAACAGCCTTGTAGACTGGTGCGTAGCAATGAATAGCATAGACCAAACTTCCTTCTACAACCTCTGCGAAAGCTTCAGGATCCTCCAATATCTTGTAGCCAAGAGTCGTGAGTAACTCTTTGTCCAACCTCGTAAATTGCGGATCCTGGAATATTATTTGCCTCTCGGTACCGTTTTCAAGTCCATCAACAATTGTTTGCAGAGCAGCCAATTGTGTTGCACTGGACCTTCTCCCTTCCCTCCTTGCGCTTTGTAAACTCCCCAAACCAAGAACCACCACATTCACAATCCGCCTTCCTTTCTCTACATCTTTCATCTTCTCCTTCAGTGCCTGGCAGGTTGGTCGCTCTTCCCACGATCTCTTCCAGTGCTCAAACTCCTCCTTCATCTCTACAAGCGTACGGTTGACGTAACTCACGCCTTTGAGCTCGAAATCGCCTCCTTGCAGGGGCTGCTTTTTGGCTTTAGCATCTTGTTGGTTTGTTCTCGGTTTGTCGACAATATGTATCCAGCCATCTTCTCCCTCGATTTTCTTTCTCTTGGTGTGAACAATCGTCGGTTTAACGGGAGCAACTACCTTCCTTGCTGATTTCTTCTTCCGCGTTCGAGTGCGAGCGGGTTTGGGGTTGCCAGTGTCCGCCATTGTATCTGCTTTACCTCTGCCTAGAGATAACGAATGATTTAGCAATCAAGTGGCCCGATAATCGATCCCTGAGTTTTGACTGTGGAATTGCAGATGCGTTTGTGCGCAGTGTGGAGGGGGAGGGGTAACAATTTCTGCAGCCCCTCCCTGTTGTCAATAAAAAAAAGTGGCAGAATCTTGCATTTCCTCACCGCCTGCGCAAGCTCATGCTCATGATCCAGCAATGATCCAGGCAGCCAAATCTGGTCTCGAGCCCTGAAGGCAGACGCTAATCACCGCAGTATCGCGCAATTCTGGTACCGCTCAGTACGAACCCCAGGAGATTTGTCGTTGCTGCAGCAGAATATGCTCTGCTCTGCTCTGTTCTGCGTCCTCTTGCATACCCTACTTGGTTGCACTTTTATCATGAATATCTTTCAGCGAGCGATCTAATCATATATTCAGCCTACCTTATACTCTAGGTACCTTCTTACACACTAGGTACTCTACTGTATTAATTCTTTATCTCTTAATAACCCTCAGATCTATATGAAAATTCTGGTAGGTAGGTCGTCCTGGATCTGATTTGTGGTTCCTGAGCTTCCTTCCATGGCTGACACAGCGGGACGGACCAGCTCCCCTCATTGGCCGATCCAGTACTTATACCCCGCCCTTCCCTCCTCGTCTCAGGACACTGATAAAGCTTCCCCTCCACACCTGCACCACTCAATCTCTTATCAAAGACCCAGATAATAATATTACCTCACCGCTTCCATTCGAGGTTTCCAAACATCAGGTCCATGGGCTCCATGACTTGCAGCATTACCTCTTCATTACTCAACGCCCTCACACCCAAGTCATGGGGAATTACATATGATTCTGCAAATACGATTGATAATCCGCTCGCACTTCTTACTCTCGCGATGCATAACTTATTGGTGAAACAACCTGGAGATTTCGGAGTCATGAGAAGGCCGTGGATCCCGAGCTTTACTCGAGGCGAGGAGATGTTTACAGTAGGTATCTTGGTGAGATTATGAACTTGGGTAGGGATTTGTTACAATACCTACCTACTAGAGATTGCCTAGCTTCTCGGATTGGTCAATCGATGAGAGCCAACTTGGACCCCGCCATTAGCTGGATTAGCATCACCTAACCAAGCCAACACAATCGGATCAATCCAGGAACGCATTTCCCATTCGTACAGGACCTCCCCGTATACCTATCATGAATATTACCTAACAGTAATATCAACGCTCTCTTCACTATGACCGACATCTCCAAAGCTCTCATGTAATGCACCTCTCGTCCTGCCTCGCAGATGTAAGATGTCATCGGCCGAGCCAGATAGCTCCCCACTACTTACTACTTGCTCGTACTTCACTCACTGCAGAAGCTGGGATCAGATCAAGCTTGCCTCGCTTCGATTGGATTGGGATTGAGTTCGGTATCGGGTTTGATCTGATCTGACCAACAGCTAGGATGCCCGAGGGTGCGTAGATTTGGGTATCTATCTTACATTCGTGCTCTGCCTATGATACGCGCAGGAAGGAGATGCACCAGTCGGCAGTGCCAGCACAGACACAGGACAAGACAAGGGGAAAGTTAAGTTGGAAGCAAGTGGCGCCTTCTTAAAAGGTAGTATGCCTCTTGTCTCTCTTTTTGATTTCCTCTTACTCGTCTTGTTACCTTTTCTCCCTTAATCAATCTCTCGGAAGTAAGAAGTAAGAAGCAAGTATGAGAACAACAATCCTCGGCGTCGCCGTCCTCGCAACCAGTGCACTGGCACATGGTGATCATGAACATCAGGTTCCTATCGCTGGGCCGCATAAGGTATGCTCTGCTTCTCTCTCTCTCTCTATTGAGCGTATCAAGCACCCATCCATCTATCCTTCAAGGAGCGAGCACAAAGAGAGAGAATGTAAGGGTCGATTGAGAAAAATAGAAAAGAAGGACCAAGCAATACAGAACAAGACAAGCAATAGAACTCAAAGCCCATCAGACTAACAGATAAACAGGCACTCTGGTATAATACACTCCCGGGAGATGGAGGAACCCAGGTATGCCAATTATCTCACCTTGCCCTCACCCGAACCAATTCGACCCTCTACTGGCGGATGGGTGTACATGTTGTGAACTGTTGCTGATAGAAGGTGTGTGAAGGCCGACTCGGTATTCTCTGGTATCTCGACATTCGGTCGTCTGCCATACTACCCATGTCTCGCATCCGACGATGTGAAGTACGATATTGCGTTCATCGGTATGTTGGATCCCTGCTTAACTTTACATCCCTCGTGCAACACGTCCAAATGTTCTCGACTGACCACTCTCTGTGTCAACAGGCGCTCCCTTCGACACCGGAACTTCCTACCGACCCGGCGCCCGATTTGGGCCTTCAGGCATCAGACAAGGTTCCCGCCGTCTCAATTTATAGTCAGTACCGCTCCCAACAGCACAAGCTGATACATTCTTGGTGAGAACACAGGCTCACGTAAACTCGGGTTCAGCGGTGGATATAATGTGCCTTTGGCTACGAATCCTTTCAATAGCTGGGCGACGGTGCTGGATTGTGGAGATATTCCTGTAACTTCGTGAGTTGGCCTCTCGACATATTCCTCTTCTGTCTGGAGGGAATAATAGCGTGCTTGGGAAATCTCTGAACGGAAAGTACTGACTAGTGTTTTTCCAGATACGACAACACATGGGCACTCACCCAAATCGAAGAAGGCCACAACTCCATCCTCACCCGCGCACCAGCAACAGACGCTCACAAAAAGGGGCCCGCAAAGAACGGCAAGACCCTCCCCCGCGTCATCACCCTCGGCGGCGACCACACCATCACTCTCCCCCTCCTCCGCTCCATCAACCGCGCCTACGGCCCCGTGTCAGTCATCCACTTCGACTCTCACCTCGACACCTGGAAGCCCAAGGTCTTCGGCGGCTCGCCCAGCAAGGTCGCCAGCATTAACCACGGCACGTACTTCTACCATGCTGCGCAGGAGGGCCTACTTGCCAATGATACGAATATCCATGCTGGGATCCGGACGACGCTGAGTGGGCCGAGTGATTATGAGAATGATGGCTATTGCGGGTTTGAGATTGTGGAGGCGAGGGAGATTGATACGATTGGGATGGAGGGTATCATTAAGAAGATCCATGAGAGGGTGGGTCATGATAAGCCTGTGTATCTGTCGATTGATATCGATACCTTGGATCCGGCTTGTAAGTTACACCTTCTACTCCTCGTCGTATTCTCCATTTCTGTTTGCTGATGAGGAAACAGTCGCTCCAGCTACTGGCACCCCCGAGACGGGCGGATGGTCGACACGCGAACTCCGCACTATCCTCCGTGGATTGGAGGGCATCAACATTATCGCTGCCGATATCGTCGAGGTTGCACCTGCGTATGATACCAATGCCGAGCACACTACTATGGCAGCTGCGGATGCGCTGTATGAGGTTATGAGCTTGATGGTGAAGAAGGGTCCTCTGAGTAAGATGATTGACAGTGAGGAGGACAAGGATGAGATGTAGATGGCGCCATGTAGAAGGGCAGTAGATTGAAGTGAAATTTGATGATGAGAGTAGTTGGGCAGGTTGGAGATGTGGAGAAGATAGAACATGAGAGTATGGGATGAATTTAAAGTATCTTTCCTACCCCTCAAGGTTGTGTTCAGGTGACAGCTTTGGAAGAACCAAGAAGTGGTAGGGGCGACCGGTTTAGTCAGCATCGCCAAAACGGGAATTTGTTGTGTAACAAAGAGAATGATAAACCTCAACAGTAAATTGAAATGCAACATTGTCTGGATTTCGATCTGAAAATGGACATCTGCTCGATACCATGCATTTACAGAAAAGTCGAACGTTCGCACATGGCTTGCTTCTTAGGTTTGTACTTGCAGACCTGACAAAGCCTTTGATAAACGGATGCGGAGAGCGGAAGAAACCCCGGATCCTGAAGCCTGACTGTGCGGTCATAAAAAACTCGTAATATTTCTTCCCGACCTTTCGAGGGTAGAGTGCAAACGAAAAGTTTGAAACAACGTACACAGAAAAGGAGATTTGAGACGTTAAACGCAAAAAGCAAACAGGAAAGGAGAAGAGCATATGCAGAAATGAAAAGCCTACAAGACGAAAACCAGTACAGATCTCCTGGAACTAATGCATGGATATAGTAGTCTGTATTGGAAGATTGCTGTAGTTGAACAAGATTCTGTCGATACATATGATACAACATGAGCAAGAGCTGCTGTCCTCTCGTAGACACTCTCTGTTTATATCATACACTTCTTCCTGGATCGAGAATCCACCGACATTCGCTCCTGACTTGCGGCAAGTCATGATAGATCCGAGGCCTTCTGACCGTAGCTGGCATGTGCCAAGCCATTGAAGAATAAGGTGCTTCGTAGTCCTCGTCTGTATTTCCGGAACCTCGAGTCCACTATCGGGCGTTTCCAGCATCAGCTCCTCTCCGACTTCCCATCACCAGACGCCAATTCTTCACATCTCATCCGATTATCCAGCAAGCCTTCACTCCTTCTTCCCACTCCCCTCCCCATCCTGCGCACCATACGTAAACTCCTCCGGCAAATCCATCCCCACCCTCCTTGCCGTCAATCGCACCCTCTCCTCATCCTCCATATTCACACCAGGATTATACCTCTCCAGTAACGTGGCATACATCCTTTGTGCCTTGACGTACTGCAGATACTGCTCCGCCTGCTCGATTGGGATCCTGGACTCGGGGGCGGCGATCGTGCTGCGAATGCGGGGTTTGAGTGGTGAGGGTTTGTCTGTGAGGGGCCGGGAGGGGAGTTCACGGAGGAAGGAGCGGTAGAGGGAGCGGAGTTTGAGGGGGGTTGACATTTTGGAGTGAGTGGTGAGGTGGGATTGTGGTATGAGAGGGAGGAGAGCTGGAGTTTGATGGGCTGGAAAATGTTATGGGAGCTGGAGCTTGGTCGGTAAAACCTCGGATAGTGGGTCGGAGCTAGGGACTTTTGAATAAATTTTGGTTTTCGAGCTTCTCGAGCTTCAACCTTTGAGCTTCCAACAACCACACATTTGGAATTCACAAGCAGTCTTCGGCATTCACGAAGCTGTGACAATGTTTCAGACCTCAATAGCTTCGTCTAGCCTGACGATATGTTCATAGAAGAACAATCGCAAGATAATAGGAAAGCGACACCGAGTTTTCAGCACCAGATCCAGCCAAAAGGTACGTCTTCATTCTCCACATCTACCTCCACGCGCTCTCTGTTTTTATGATGATATACAAGCTGGCACCAGTCCTATTGAACGATTTTGTACTCAGTTCTTGAGGAAAATGCTATGACTTCGGTCTCCTTCTGAAAAACTATCCTTACTGCCTCTATTCGAAACCGTTTACTCTCTTGTCAAATTGTATTGTGTTCCATGGCTGACAATTTTGAAGATAGGTAGTGCGATCATGTTATCGAAGGCATTGTATAGTCTATGCATATTGGCTTCGTCCTTGTAGCGATGCAAAATCGAATGAAATCTCTACGGTAGGTCTACAAGAGTGATAGTGGGACATTGGCATACACCTTGGAGATTGATGATGATTCCTCACAGGGTTTAGAAATCTTACCCAGTAGTTTTGTAACACTCTTTGTTCAACGAATTTGTATCATGGCACACCGAGCTCAATTTGACCTATTTCATTTACATGACCAAACTTTCTCCCCCATGTGGAAATGTACAAGTGCCTCTATTTGATTATATTCATCGACTCCAGGATATGTTTTACGCAAACAACAAATTCGTGTCAGACGCCGTGATCCCAATGCACCTGTCCAATCCCAGCCCACCCCAGAAGCGACCCAAAAACATGACGCTGCTCAGATGGACAGGTACTTCCATGGCGTTCCCTATCAACCATCTCTGCCCCTCTCTGCCTTCTTTCCCTCTCGTCTTACAAGCCTGAATTGCGCCCTTTTCACGGATCACAGAAGTAAAAGAACTGCTCGTCTGAGCTATGCAACGTCGGCTGCGCAACAACCACCGGCGCAGCAGTAGTAGCCGGAGCGGCTTCTTGGGAGGCAGAGGTTTGCTGAACAGGCGCTGGAGCTACAGCTGCTGGTGTTGAAGAAGCTTTTGGAGCAGCTACAACGGCTGATGTAGATGTTTTGGGTGTTGACTCTGCGGCGGCTGCGATTGTGGAGGGGTTGACTTGTGCGGCGACTTTGGTACAGTCCGCTGGAGAAGGAGGGTATTAGCTTGGATTTCTGTTTGTGACTTGCTCCCGCGAGAACATCCCTCATCATTGCCCTTAATTTCGAATATCCGTATTTCGCAATCGAAACCCGGGCCTAGTCCAATCGACCGAAGGGATAATGCGGACTGAACATGGTAAGACTTACACTCCTGGTCATCACAATCTCCAACCGCTATATTATCCGGATTATCCTTCCCATTCGCAACTTTCGCGCATGCATTCTTCTGGTTATTACACGTCCGTACCGCGGCATCCTCGTATGTCGTGAAAGTATCTCCTCCTACAGCGAAAGGTCGTTTTGGGTCTGATGTGTTGGTTATGGCTTCTGCTTCTACGCCGCCGAGTGCGCCTTTGAATGTCTGGGAATGAATTGTGAGCCCTGAAATACAGTTGAAAGGAATTACAACTTATTTCATCTAACTGACCTGAAGGTTTTGTTCTGCCCGTGGCGCTCGCAAGAAGCCGGGGAAATCAATCTGCATATCTGCGCCTGCCATTACGACTACCACCACCAAACCAAACGATGACATTGTGGTAAACCTCATACTTTTTAAACTTCAAGACGAAACGATAGATCTTCCAAGCTTAGAAGATGGATGTACCCAGAATAAGAATGGAGATAAAGATAATGATAGAGATAAGAAAAGGATAAATCCAAATGTCACTTGCTTTCGCAGGTGAGGGGGAAGAAAGTAAGAACAGAGCAGAACACACAACACCAACGAGCGAACGAAACAAGCCGCAATGCACTGCAATCAAATTGTCCCGTCTCGCCCGTAAAGAGGGCCAAATGCAGTAATCGCCAATCCCGCTGCCATGGATGAAGCGGGAACTGGCGTCTAGGATGTAGCAGAGGACGTTTCAGAGAGCCTTGGATTTGGTGAGGAGGGCGCGTTTCAGGACGGCCGGACAGGGATTGTTGCGATGCTCTGGAGGCGGGCCCGGCTCAAATTCGGCGAAGTCAAGCGAGGAATGACAACATCGCAAAGGCCCAGCTTGTACGATACTTTGCGCTTCTCAACAGGAAACATTCTTTTAAATCTTATATCTATATATGATAAGCAGCAAGTCATTCTTTTAATAATCCTCTTTCTGTAGATACTCAGTCCGTGACTTGTAGTATAAAGCTGAAGCTAGTCGACCTTTTAGCTGCAAAGCCCCGCCGGACATAAATTGAATCCACCACGTCTGAGCGCAGGAGATCGGATGCTGGAAACTGGAATTCGAGGAACTGGGGTTTGGGATGATCTTGGCGTTTGGATTTGCGGGAGGCGTTGGTTGTGGCGTTGGATCGTGGAGGGGTGGTGCCCAGGGCTGAATAGGGGCTCGGTAAGTTCACAATCACAACAGAAGGATAATAATATTTAACTGCGTACAGGTAAGTTGAAGATAGGGGTTTCTGTGATTTTACTGTTAGCAGAATTCCCAATATCAAACCTTTCAGAGATATAACGAAAGTGAGAATAGGCTCAATGCGTTATGCGACCCTGCATCATGATCAGATGCCGAGTTGTCAACAAGTCTTGTGCAGTTACAGGTCGCCAAAACAGGACACAGTAACAGATCTTGATACAAACGCTGAACATCTTAGATAATGAACGAAATACACAGGTCCTAGGTTAGTATCATCTCTAGTCCAAGACCCAAGAGTATTGTCTCCAAGAGCCGGACTGTTCCGCTTATCCTACCCTTACTTCAGATTATATTGATACTCGCTTCACCATTATCCATAAACAGTTTCTCGACTAGACTCAAAAAGAACGTCCCTAGAGCAAAAAGCCTCTTTCTCCGGATTTGATGAATCAAAGGCAACAGCTCACTTGTAATATACTTAAGGGAACCACTCTGGTCAGCCAAACCACGCATTGCTTCCAGTTCAGCACTAATACAGGTCTTCGTTAACCCCAGCGCATTCCTATTTAAAGCCCGCTGCAAGTTCGGAGCTACATTCCTCACCTGGCCCAAGCCCTTCAAATCGTTATTCCGCAAGAATACAGTGCCCCGGATATTGAATCTCGCGATTTCGAGAACATCATGGGTTTGAATGAGATTGAATCCGATGAGACGGGCTCGTCGTTCCACACTTGGCGGTTCTTCATTGATAGTATTTAGTCCTGGTGTGTGAGGCACATGTGGATATGCGTCCCAGCCTAGAGAGCAAAGGTCGCGGAGCATGATGAGCGAGGACGAGCTGATGTAAAAGGTAAAGATGGTGTCGAACGCGGCATTGAAGCGGAGGATTTAGCCGGGCTGTATGCTTTCTAAAGGACTCTTGAGTAAGACGGTGATTCAGATACAAAGAAAAGAAGTAGCAGGCTGCGCGGGCTAGGGCTTGTCGGTCCAAATACGCTCTCTGGTGGCCAGCGGTAGGGATCTTCTGGACCTCGAACTACGGCGGATATGAATCTGATTGGGTGAGCCTTTGTTATGTATCAGTCAAGTGTTGTGTACCTACTCGCCAAAATCAGAAGGTGGTTTCTTTGAGAACGACATTATTATTTGCAAGACACCTTACCTACCTACCTACCCTAACTACCTCGAATATCCTACCTACCTTGGAGAGGGGGTCACATGAGTGCACGTGACAGGGTCTGACACAGATTCAATAACAACATCGAGGCAGTCTATCAAAGGTCATCCAGCCATCACTATGCCTAAGCAGGAATCGACACCAGGAAACCGTCAAGATTCCAAAGATTTGCAAGCTCATCGTGAAGCATTGGAAATACTCCATGAAATATGCGCGCTTTTGGTGCGTATTCATTCTGGACGCACGAAGCTAGGAGAAGGACATTACTGACCGTAGCTGCAGGATGTTCCCCTTGATCACAGGACATTGGCAATTTGCACGACGTTGATTGAAAATGGGGTCAATCCCGAAGCTTTGGCTGTATGTATCGGGCTCCAATGTTTTATTGAGAAACACAGTAGCTGACGCGTGATTGACGCGCGTAGACTGCAGTCAAGCTTTTGATAGCTGAACAGCAAGAGAATAAGACAGAGCTTGAAGGATGCGGCTTGAAGTGATTGCGAACTGGTCGTGCGTGTACTTTCGCTCTCGCCAAGACGTTTGCTCTGAGGACATGTACGAGATCCTCCTTTTGTGTCGAGCAGCCTCACATGCTGAGTTTAAGAGGTTGAACGAGCCGGGACTGCTCTGAGGTAGCTTGTTGGCGGACACAGGACTGGGAAGCTACAGCCTTTACAGGGAAACCCGACAATGCCAGATTTGTTTGATACATTTCCTTTTACTCGCAGCTTGGCTATGGCTCGTGGCTATCTTCTTTTAAGGAGATAGTTGTGTATCAAGCGAAACGTACGAAGTAAATAGAGGTTGTCATCCCTCCAAATTCTGGTGTATCTTATTCATTAATAAGAAGGACAACGAGGTTTATTAAGAACGCTATAGACCCTGAAAGGTCTTGTCTCTATTTAGGATAACAACAAGTTGAGCCTAGCAGAATAAGTGATTAATATATACGATCCTCCTCTAAGAGTTCTCTCCAACATTGGGCTTACTCCCATGTTTTTCGGAGGTCTTGGGTATCTTGCGATTTTTCACCTAGGCAAAGACACTTTCCGAGTGAACAAATTTTTTTTCGAGAGCACGAGGAAATCAAATTCGGCCATCTCCAAGAAGAACTTTGAAAGAAAAGTCTCTCGACTTGTGCTCGTGGAAACCACATGACCTGCCCGGCCGAACCCCACTATTTCCTTCGCCCGAGAGAAATCCTTGGCGCGGCAGCCACCGCAGATAACGAGACCCTCAAAGATCAACAACCAATGATGGTTCGCGGAATGAGCCGCCTGCAGGTAAGATACGATTATCATGTAGGTGGGGTAGTTGAGGCAAATGGACATTCCGGACTCTTTTGGAGGACGTGCCAAGGTGAGGCAAGTTTGTGTAGAAAGATATCTGGACGACGGTGCCGAAGTGATGAGAGAAGGTAGGAGGTGAGAGAAATATATATAGACTGACGACGTTCCTGGAGAAGCACGTTGTGGGAATTCTCAACTTCATCAACTCGACTTCATTTACTAAACTGAGGGATACTTACGGAGCTCACTCACTTCTTTCCCACCTACAAGAGTATACATTTTACCTCTACTTTTACACTTCATCTCTTCTCACCAGTAACAACATCACCACCTCTCAAAATGGCAACAACCAAATATGCCGACCGCTCCATCCCCAAAATCTCTCTCCACGACTTCTCCTCCCGTATCGACGAGATCACCACTCAGCTAATCCACGCCGCCGAAACAGACGGCTTCTTCGGCCTCATCAACCACGGGATCTCCCTCCCAGAAATCGAACACATGTTCTCCACCTCCGAATCCTTCTTCTCCCTCCCAGACTCCACCAAAGCCACCGTCCCATTCACACACCTCAACTCCGGGTGGGAGAAGAATGCCCAGATCCGGCCTTCAACAGGTCAACCTGACCGCAAGGAAAGCTACCAGATGCAGTTCGGGTCCAATATGGATGGGTGCTGGTTACCTGAGAGTACGATCCCGGGGTTCAAAGACACGAGTCTGGAGTTCATGCGGAAGGCACAGGCTGTTAGTGAGAAGCTGATGGTGTGTTTTGCGAGAGGATTGGGCTTTGAAGATGATTATTTCATTAAGGCACATGATATCTCGAGGAAGGAGAGCCAGACTGTGTTGAGACTTCTGCATTATTTTGAGGTGGATAAGACTGTGCCTGTGCCAGAGGGGTATTACCGTGCAGGAGCACATGTCGATTGGGATTTCATCACGCTGCTGTTCCAGCGAGCAGGTCAGTCAGGTTTGGAGATCTGTCCGGGGAGAGAAGTCTCGACTGGTTTTGGAATTGGAGATACATGGGCGAAGGTCGAGCCTGCGCCGGGAGAGATAGTGTGCAATATCGGGGATTTGCTCATGAGTTGGAGTGATGATCGGTTTAAGAGTACGTTCCATCGTGTGAAGACGCCGATGGATGTTGAGAAAGATTATTTTGGTCCGAGGTATAGTATGGCATTCTTCAATCAGCCCTGTACAGATGCCCTTATCCAGGGACCGGGGAAGAAGTACCCTGCTGTTACTGGGAAGGAGTTCACTCAGACGGCAATGAATAGAAATTTCGCGGCATTGAAGGAGAAGAAAGCGCAGTTGGAGGAGGTGAAAAGTGGTGCTGAGGCTGGGGTTACTGCTTGAACGGTCTTTGAGATCTGTACATAGGAAAAGCTTGATATTGCAGGAACAAAGAATTTGAAAGCAGTTCTACGTCTTAGTAACATGTCCGCCTTACCATAGTATCCAAGCAGTATTCAATTTCTGGACTGAAAACTTCATCTTACTGAAAGGGAAACAGAAACTGGTAATCAGAGATCAGTATCCAGAAACTTCCCAAGTGTCTCTCACGAAACCTCAAGCCAAGCAACTCATGCATCTCTCTTAAGCCACTCAGATCTTTCCTTCATCTGGCCACATCACCAACAGCCCATACCCTTGACCTCCACATGCCCCAAAAAAAGCATACAAACGTCACCCGACCAATCAATCCGCAATCGGGGTCCTCTCTTTTTACCCCGCCTGGTGAGACTCGCAGACTCGGCCTCGCCCGACGCACAAAACGCGCAAGAGGCGCAAAACCGCACAAAGGCCGCAGGTGGACCCACGCACAAAGTGCGCAAGTTCCGGACTGTGATTGGTTTATTATGTCGGAAGTGGGGCGATAGGATGGATGCGTGAACGTTTGCGAGGGGACATAAAAGGCTGGCTGTTTCCCACGTAAATTCTTCTCTATCATCTTCAAGCCTTCAGACAAGACTCAACATACAAATACCACAAAACCAAACCCAACCAAACCACACTTCGGAAATCTATCATCATGAAGGGAGAATGCGGATGCTCTGGCACTTCAAGCTGTATGTTTTTCTTTCCTTGGCTGGACCCCTCAGCACCCCTCAGTACCCCTCATCACAACCCCACTCTCAACAACAAGAATCTCCGGAGTCTTCAACACGACAGAAAAGTAGAAGAAAATATACCTAACATAGTTTGTAAATAGGCAACTGCGGCTCTGACTGCTCCTGCTCCAGCTGCGGAAAATAAATAAATAAACCACCTACCTACTTACCTATCGCCAACCAACCTACCACCAACCTCCCTCCCTCACTCGCACGCATCTTCAACTCTTCTTCTTCTTCTTCTTCTTCTTCTTCTTCTTCTTCTTCTTCTTCTACTACTACTACTACTTCTACATCTCCGCAGCGAATCTCTCGACTCGACAAGGAGCACGATACCTTGACCTTCACTAGGCATGGCTCTCTTAACTGGAACTTTGAGGGTCGGGAAGGGGTATTCTTTTTTTTTTCGGGGATAGATGGATTGACGGAGGCTTGTGATACCAGGGATGATGATGAATTTGCGGGTTTAGGGAGGAATGGATGGATGGGATGGGATGGGATAGTGTCGCATTTGACGAGATATTGAAATGATAATTTGGTTTTTCAACATTATACATACCTCTTTGTGGGTTGGAATTGAATGGGTGATTTGTGCACAGTGAGTAAATTTGAAGCTGCATGGAGCTGACTTCCTGAACTGGTCATGCTTTAGCCTGGTCAAGTGATACAAGCAAAGGACGTAAGTGTTTCTAGCCTCATCCAACAAGTCAGGCGTGGGTAAGGTATATACGAGCTCATCGGCATTTCTTTCCGCGGTGATCTTTATCTATCCTGTACCACTTCCTGATCCATAAGATGAAGCAGGTAATGTTGTACAAATCACCTCCTCCTTCCTCCCTCGATTTCTACCTCTCCCCTAGATCTCCATTCTGTGCGACAGGAGGTTGATTGGTTTTGGTGTCTCGCGTTGGAAAAACCTATTTGGTATGTTCCACAGATGAAGTACATCCATCCATTCCATACATCCATCTCCATGCATACACACAATTTCGTGCAGCTGCTGCACCCCACGCAATGCATGCCACGTACGTTGGGTTGTCATTACGGCGTGTCAGAGTTGCAGCCCGTGTGTGGTTGGAAGGAAGGAGCTGGAAGTCCGCACCAACCAGTGTGATAGTACCTTGTTGCTTTACTGGTTTGCTAATGATTGTTGATCGCGGGGTTTTGTTTCCTTCTGTTGGTTCTTGCCTTTTCGTATGGTGGTGTGTCTGAGTCGTGGGGATTGTTAGGAGGATTGACGGGCTGGCTCGGTGGCTGTTTACGTCGTGTTCTAAGAGCGACAGATGGAAGCTCTCCCTGCAGTGTTGGATGTGGCATGTTCAGGATATCAGTGACTACAGGAGGGTTCATTTGAAGTGGAGAGCCTGGTCATCTCCTCCGAGCTATGGTTTCTTTTGTCACTCCCATCAAGCACGGCACTCAGCTCTTACTATTTACCCCATCATTACCCCATCCATGACCCTACCTTAAATTCACCATCCCCTCCACTCCACATCCAACCTCTCCCCCACTGGCATCTCCACGATCGTCATTTCCAACCCGGGGACTCGGAGTCCTCTCCAGAGCCTGGTACTGTATTAGCCCTCCATCCACCCATAAACCCACTCCCACATAACATCCTGCAGTGCAATCACACCCCAAGGTTCCTGATCAACACCCTCTTTTTTTTCCACCAAGCGTGATTTGTGCTTGGAACTATTAGGTGTGTGGCACGAATGCGTGAGAAGGTTGTCGTCACATGCATGCATGGTCTCCAAGGCCCAACATCAATGGTCAATATCCAGAGCTGAGCTGAACGTCCTTCCTTCTGTCTGGGTAAAGCAGAGAGAAGAGAAGAGAAGAGGGAACGCTGGGATATAAATACCTCTCCTCCTTCCAACATATCTCCCTTCTTTCCTTCCTCCTCTTTTTTTCTTCCTCCCTCCAGCCTCAAGCTTCAGACATTCTATCAAGAATCAACTGCAAACTTAAGCGACGCACATACATACATACATACATACATACACATCAGTTACTTGAAAGAACCTACCTGCCCTACCTACCCACCTACATATAAAAGACTATTATCATCAATCTCCATCGCCGTCTCCATCGCCATCATGGGAGAAAACTGTTCCTGCGATAAGTGCCAGGGCTGCACTACCTGTGAGAGCTGCTCCTGCTGCACTGTAAGTTATACATGTCTCTCCCAGCTTCCTTTCCCTTGGCCCCGCCTTTTCAGACATCTCCTACTTGCATACCATACAATCTCGCCGGAGAGGAAGTAGATAAATAAATAAGCAAGTACGCAAGTGCTAACACCAGCGGCTTACTAGCACTAAAAAACCCCCTCCCAACTCATCCATCCATCCATCCATCCATCCATCCATCCATCCATCCATCCATCCACGCCGCCCGCCCAGCCGCCCGCCCAGCCGCCCTCATTTTTCACGCCACTCCTCTGTACTCCAGTCCGTTAAAGCTTGATGGAGTTCATGCCAATTGGGTGGAGATGGATATTGAAGGTGATGAGGTGGAGTGATGGGATGGGATGGGAGTGGGTTGCAGAGGTGGTGGTGGTGGTGGTGTTCCTTTCTGCTACCTAGTGCGAGGTTTCCTTACTGGTTTGGGTTAAGGGGACTAGGGGACTGGGGGTTGGGAGCTGAGGCAGATGAAATTGGAAAAGAACAAAAACAACAAAAAAAAAAGATAGGATGTTTTGTTTGGTTTGGTTAAGCTTGGTGACTGTGAGGTGTGAGGTTTGAGGTGTGAAATTGAAAAAGTAGTTGATAGGTAGCTCCGAATGGTCGGTCTTATTTACTTTTGATTTATTAACTTCAATTAATGGAACACCACTACACTACACTACACTACACCACACCACACTACACCACACCACACTGCACACATAATACTTATTTCCCATCATCAAGTAATCTCTCTGTTTTATCGTGAGGAGAAATCTAACATCCTTGGGGTTGATGTTACCGTGCGAGAGGGATTGGTGTGATGTGAAAGTGAGGAATTGTTGTGATGTGAAAGTTAGGTAGGAACTCAGGAAGTTAGGTAGGTAAGGTATTTGAGCTATTGAGAGCTGAGATCATGTGATTTCTTACTTCGGTAGCTCACAGCTGTGAATGCGGTACTGCTAGGGATCAACGCAGTTGTCCTCCCAAGTCAAGGTTGTGTGATCAGTCATGCTCTCGAATTGGTGTTTTGGATTCAAATTCCGAGTTTAATTCCGCGTTGAGGGATTCACTGTGCAGTTCTCTATCAAATCGATGAGCAAGTAAGTAAGCAAGCAAGCAAGCAAGCAAGCATTCGCGCGCCAGATAGGTGGATAAGTGGATAGATGACTGGTTCGCGATGGAGAAAGGAGGATACAAACAAAATAAGCTTGGGGTATAAATAAGTATATCAACAATGTACAAAGCACAAGTCTAACATCCATGACACCATGCGAGTGACTGCACCGAACTGCACTAAGCGAGCCTCTTCCGATCAACCAGCCGGACAACTTCCCCCCACCTCTCCTGGGCTCTATTTGGAGATTTTGTTATGGTGAGGGTGTTGTTTGAATGTCATCTGATCCTGCCGTATGACAGGAAGGACGAACGTAAATAAAGTGAGTATATCTCACGCCGCGACCGACCACCGTACACAATGGTCGGGGCGTGCGAGAGAGAGAAAGAGAACCCTCATATCGGATTCACCATACTCGGCTCCGGCACCGTAAACTCCTGCGTCGCATTCGGTCTCAGCTGCCTCGGCGACGACATCGACACTGACACCGTCCTATTCCCCTCACTCCCACCACTACCGGCACCACCCGTCCCAAGTCCCCTCCTCATCATCTTCCCCAAAATCCCCACCAACTGCGCCGCCTCCTCAAACATCTGATCATCCATGCCCTCCGTCGCATTATACACCTCCGAGATAGTCTGTTTAGCCAACTGCCGGGACCGTTCCCGTTCATGTAGACAGTCGTACAGGAAGGCGGTGAATTCGACTTTCACGGAGAGGCGGAGGGGGTGCGAACCCCAGAGTAATGTGTCAGCCAGCGCGGTGGCCTCTTGGAAATACTGCAGCGCGAAGGGGCGGAAGTCTTCGGCTGGGACGAGGAAGTTGGGAGCGAATTCGAGAGGGGGTGGTGTACGGATGATGGGGATGCTGCCACTGCCAGTGCCGCCTACGGGGCCGCCTTCTAATGGGTGTGTAGGCTGGACTGAGCTGGGTCGGAAGGGGTCGCTTGGTGAGCGTGAGCGTGAGCGTGAGCCGGAGCCTGGGCCGGAGCCTGGACCGCGGTCGATGCTCTTGCCTTTGTCGGGTTTGAGGGTGACGCGGGGGGATTTCAGGCCTGGTGGGGTGTGGATTGCGGCTTTGAGGGTGATGGGTGGGTGGTTGTGGAAGAGGACGAAGAGGTGGAAGAAGCTGGCTCGGAGCTTGTGCGCGAGGACCTTGAGCTCGACGGTCTTGACGACCATGGGTAGGACGTATTCCTCTAGGATCTTGAGACATTCTCGCGTGTACCATATGATGCGGCAGTAGAGGTCGACGGATTTGGTGTCTCGGGTGGTGTCCAGTCTGCGCAGTTTGCGAGCTCGGATGACTCTGTCTGAGAACATGGTAATGTTTCCCAGGATCTGGAAGAGGCTCTGGGAGAGTACTGGTTGGTCGAACTGGATGTTTCGAGCAAAGTTCCCTAAGAACTTCATATCCACCTCGGAAGAAGCCATTGCAAGGAAATTGTCGAGTGTGGGACCAAAGTCTCCCGAGTCGATGATAGCGTGTATCTCTGTGAGGAGACCGTTGCTCAGGTTGCAACTGGGATTGGCTTTGTACAGAGTTACTAATCAGTCGTAGACAGACGTTCGACTTGGGCCAAAATGGTGAATTTCAAGATTGAGCCGTCCTCTTCTATCGGGTCCAACGGTAGATGCCCTCCCTCTAGCTTTAGCTGGGTAGCGTTTGAAGTAACAGCAAGCTCTGCAAAGCAATCGTGCAAGATCTGGAGATGGACCGGTTCGTTAGGACCTGGGATGGAGGCCCACCAGGAAATCGAGATCGAGAATTGAGATCTAACCTGCGGTTAGCCATGATGATTCACGAGATGATTGTTCTCTTGAGGTAGCTAGGGGAAGATATTTAAAGATGACGTCTTCTGGGACCGATATCTGTGAAGAGTCATGGGTAAGAACTTACCAGTGAATCAATTGCAACAAATAGCAAGTTGAAATTGATGCCCGCAAATCCAAGCAGTTGTGCGAGTCTCCTGGATAGATTGACGAATCCGAAAGGTTTTGTGAGAAGTCCAATGTTGAGAGTCCAAATTGTTGTGGGTAAGGTCGAAGTGCGGATGTTGAAATGAAGATATAAAAATTATTAATGCGAGTTTTGATGCCTCACCAATGCTGCCACGCTTTTGCTCCTTACTATTCCAAACAAAACCAAGCTTGCCAAATTATTAGTGTATTAAATCCTCCCAATGCAACAGAGATGCGACGAAGAAGCGATGCTGAAAGTCGATTGAAGCAATTAAAGCTCCAGATTCAAGCCCCCGGGTTGGGCACTGGAGGCCGATACAACCCAACACACTCCACCAATCTGGAAGCACAGTCAGACCCAGATACAGGAATACACGTGGAATGAACGTTGGACACTGCCAGCAGACAAGCCGTCATCCAATTGAGGTTGACTGACCCTATAATTACAGGCCGGTCCTCAGGCGTGACTGGCGAAAGCTCGAGGGCCAATGAATGGCAATTTGCTGGCTGGATGGCCACAGCCACCTGGTTTCTCAGCACGACAATGGCCGCGCACCCTTTCCCTTTAATCCTTCGAGCAATGGCATGGAACGCGCACAAAGCATTTCGCCTTTTCAAGAGGGCGCAATTGCACCTGGGAGCAGCAAAAAGCGGTGGAGGCGGTCTGGCTGATCTGAAGTGCTTTGCTGGGTTGGCCGCGCTGGTGGGAGCTGGTGGTGGGTGCTGGTGCTGGTGCTGGTGCTGGGATGTATTGGAATGGAATGCAACGGGCCGACCCTCTTCAATTGAACGACGCGATGATGATGATGATGCGCGCTGCTGCGATTGGCACCACCAGAGCAAGATGAACAGAACAAGACAGAGACGAATTGAGGATTTGCTGATCCCACGGACAACGAGCGTTGGTTCCGACGGCGACGCGTCGATGTTTCTTCTTGGATAAGATAAGAGGGTATCGCGTCTCGAACAACAACAACAATACTGTACTGTAGCAGCAGCAAAAGCAAAAAAGCAAAGCAGGAAAGACAGAACAGAACACCGCACGACGATGGACTCGGTCTTTAGGTATATCGCTGGACCGGCCTGAGGCCTCTCCTTTCTGGCGCTCTCTCGTTTCTCGTTTCTCGTTTGTCACTTTGATCTGATTTGATCTGCCCCCTTCGCCGTGCAGCAGGCTGATGCACAAGCTCTCTGATCTAGATGTACGACCGCTGTAGTTGCAGATTCTGGCGTAAATGCGTGCTGCACGATACGTGGCAGCGCAACGAGCGAGCGAGCAAGCAAGCGTGGACTGAGTCCGGAGGCGAGACGAGGAGAGGAGACTGGCGCAGTGGCGAGACTGGGCACTGGGCCCTTGACTACTGGCCTGCCACGAAGAGACGGTGAGCAAGAAGCTCGAACGGCCGGGCTGCGCTGCGTGCTGGCTCCTGGCTGCGCTGCCTCAAAACAGAGCCCGAGCCCGGACTACGCTGCATTGGGTCAACGCGTGGAAGAAGACTATTGGACATGGCTGTAATTCTGGCCCTCGATGCCCTTCCGTACAGTCCGCTCCTTCTCGAAATGCAGCTCTACGGAGTGCATCCAGTGCACGCAACGGCCACGATACAGTATACTCCTGACGCAGGTTTTGATACGAGACATATCTATGAGATGGAAAATCGCCGAGCGTCATGCACCTGTTCATGCGGGCGCTGGGTGCTGAGTAGGGCTAAGTGCTGCCTCTGCCACCTCACTGGACGGCAGCCATGTGCGCCCGCCAGGCCTCACTGCTCGGCCTGTCCAATGGCATGCGCAAAGCAGCTGAAGACTTCTGGTGGCAGAACTGCAGCGAGGTCCAGCACTACGGTTATTTGAACGTCTGCTCATCAGAGTGGCCCAACCTCCTCTATTTTTTCAACGGCTGCAACTGCTGCCAGCTCATCAATAATGACCTCAGTTGCCTGCACACTTGGCCTCTATATATGCGGCCTTCTTCCCTCTCTTCGGCTTGTCCTATTCGTGTGGAAAAGAATGGGGTCCTTTGTACATGACATGTTCGCCGTGGAACGACCAGCCTCCACATTTCCCCAGAACCAGAGACTGAGGACCAAGGACTATGGACCAAAATGATGGGAAGGAAGCAGGGCAAATTGAACCTCCCACCGGATCCAGCCAACTCTTGATCCATCGGGAGAAAACTCTCTGGAAGTTCCTTTGACCTTTGTCAGACCGCTTGTTCCTTGATATGCTTGGTTCCAGATCCGAGGTTCAGAAATCAGGGAGGGGTTTAACGACACTGCATATGCAGTTTGAAGCGAGAAATTAAGGGGTGCATTTAATCTATTTCTTTGGAAACGCCCAAAGAATTGGGGAACGTCGTACTCAACGTCTTAATTTTTTGGGCTTGTGCTTTCCTGTTTTGATTTGAAGGAGAGGTTTCGTCCTCAAGATGGAATGAGGTGGTTTGTGAATGTCACGTGCCGTGCTCTGTTACTGAATAGTGAATGTATTCTGGCTTTCAGTGATAGGTCGCTTGTCTCTATCTCCTGTCGCTTTACATCCCTGTTATAGCTTTGTTTGGCTTCTCCTTTCACAAGTTCTGTTTTCCGTTGTATCACGTGATAATATGGCCCATATTTCGGGATGGAAAGCCCGCCGGAATGTTCCTTATTTATCTAGGAACATTCGGCAGATCTCGGGCTAGAGGCTTGTTTACCTTGTTAGGCATGCGAGATGGGTTCTGGGGGCCGATTGTCCTGGAGGTGTTGTGGTACTTCGCGGTGCTTTGATGCGTGACTTGGCGGGAGCTGGTAGCACAGCTGAGCGAGAAGACTCGACTCTTGCTGTAAGTGAGTGACGAAGTAAAGGTACAGGGGTACAAACCCAGCGGACAAGTCTCCCATCAACCGGCTGATCATAGGTATGCTTCCAGCTGATCTTACGGATTATCCTGGTCTGTCATAATTTCGTTCAGTGGCAGCTCGGTCTGATTTTTTTTGGGTAAAGCTATCCACGCAGAAAGAGGTGGATCTAGGTTTATAGAAGGCAGACGTCCGGCCACGAAATTTCACTGTACGTAATATCGCGTTCAGTGGTGCCAGTCACGTGTAGCTCGCTTCGCACTATTACTAAATTGTGAGAGATAACGAATTGTCATCAGCCTCCTCATCATCAGCATCAAGATAAGGCACGCTACAAACATCCTGCCAACGTCGCCATCGCTTTTACCATAAGATCTTGCAGTAGTTCTCACCGGCATTGTCCTATCCCATCACTACCTGATGCCCCATCCCACAGGAAGCCGTCCAATCCAATTGACAAGTTACTATCACTCTGGACTTTCAATTTGACCGAATGCCTACATATCGGAACCGGCAATGATGTAGACCCTCATTGGCCTGCACGGTAGATGGATTCGTTGTTCATGCTTTTACGTCCCTCTTTGTCACTGTTACTTTTCCCTTGCCAATGTGCTGTCACAGATAGTATCAGAGATATCAATGCTGCAGCGATGTACCCTTGAGGAGCCAATTGGGCTGCGAGTCTGATATCTCTTCACCTCTGCAAAACCGAACGTTTTTCAATTTTCTCTCTACAAAACCTCACAATCTCTTGCTATATACCTTTTCAATGCCTCGGTAACATTCAATTGTACCTAACTTCAGCATCACCACTCACCATGGACGACCGAACCGACTCCAAGTCCTGGCTCCCCAAATTCCTCCGTCCCAAATCGACGTCAACGCCACCATCTTCAACCCCACCTACCCCACCAAACGAGCGAACCTCCCTCCTCTACAAACCCACAGATCCCAATGCCAATCCCGCGTCATCCTCCTCGCAATCCCCAGAAGGCTCAACATACGAGGTCGACGAAAACGACTCTGCAACCAAACAATGGCTCGCCGAATTCCTGCTCCTGCTGCGCGGTTCCGTGCCGGTTATCTTGGCATATACGTTGCAGAACTCGCTGCAGACATTCTCGGTGTTGATTGTGGGACGATTGAGCCCCGAGGCGCTGGCTACGGCTGCGTTCAGTTATATGTTTGCCATGAGCACGGCGTGGTTGATTGCGTTGGGGGGATCGACTGCATTGGATACATTGGCTTCGTCGACGTTCACGGGGAGCAAGAACCCCCATGATTTGGGAGTTCTGCTGCAGAGGGCTTTTATTGTCTTGACGGCTTTCTATGTCCCTGTTGCTGTACTGTGGGCTCGCTCCGCGCCTGTTTTCAGAGCATTGGGACAGGAGGAATATATCTGCGTGGATAGTGCCAAGTTTCTTACTGCTCTGATACCAGGAGGGTTGGGATATGTGTATTTCGAGTCGATGAAGAAATACTTGCAGGCTCAAGGTCAGTTTGTCTTCACCTTCTCATCCACCACCCACCACTATCGAAATCTGTGTTGACACATCCCAGAGATCATGCGTCCAGGAACCTACGTCCTCCTCATCACCTCCCCCCTCAACGCAGCCCTCAACTACCTCTTCGTCTACACCCTCAAAATGGGCCTCCTCGGCGCCCCCCTCGCAACAGGAATCTCCTACTGGCTCTCCTTCCTCCTCCTCGTCCTCTACGCCCGCTTCATAGCCGGCTCCCGCTGCTGGGGCGGCTGGTCCCGCGCCTGTCTAGCCAACATGACGACCTTTGCACGCCTCGCTATCCTCGGCGTAATCCACGTCGGCACTGAATGGTGGGCCTTTGAAATCGTCGCTCTGGCTGCTGGTAGGCTGGGAACTATTCCTCTAGCTGCTCAGAGCGTCATCATGACTACAGATCAAGTCATGAATACCATCCCCTTCGGTATCGGCGTCGCTGCCTCCGCACGAGTAGGCAATCTCCTCGGCGCACGGAACGCCAAGGGCGCAGCTCGCGCTGCCAACGTCGCCGCCTGGTTGAGCATGATGATGGGCGTGTTAGTCCTCATCGTATTAATGTCCGTGAAAGACTTCTATGCCAAGATATTCAACGACGACGTAGCAGTCATCAAGCTTACGGCGGACGTGATGCCCTACGTAGCGCTATTCCAGATCGCGGATGGGCTGAATGGGAGTTGTGGGGGTAGTTTGAGGGGGATGGGCAGACAGCATATTGGTGCTGCTGTGAACATCGTGAGTTACTATATGGGTGCGTTGCCGTTGGGGATATGGCTTGCGTTTCATGGATGGGGATTGGCGGGACTGTGGGTGGGACAGTGTATTGCTTTGTACTTGGTGGGAGCTATTGAGTGGATTGTTGTGGCATGGAGTGATTGGGAGAAGCAGGTTGTGAACGCGTTCGAGAGGATGGATAGTGGGGAGAGGGTTGAGAACGGGGAAGGGGAAGTGGAAGGGGGTTTGGTCCTGGATGCTGGCCAGTGATGCTGCAATTGGAAAGATCATGAACTCCCCAAAAGATACCTTCTGTCATGTTAGAGGGATATAGGATAATGTCCAACACCACTGGTGTTCAGCTGTGCTTGGGACTTGCCAGTCAGAAGATTTGACGATATAGCACCTAGTTGCGAGAAATCGAAGGGAACACACCCCGTGTGCTTTGAGTAATAATTTTGAACGCTTTCCACAGATAGTGAGATGCACATTGTTGGGCAGTTGTGTTACGCTTGTTGGGACTCCTGATCAAACTCCTTCCTCTCCAAGTTTGATTTGAAATTTTACGCGAAAGCCCAACTTATACCTTAATGTTCCGCATCGAACGTCCAACTAGCTGCCGGGGTAAGTAAGTTAAGCATCCACTTAATGGAATGTCCCGTATAAGGGGCTTCTCTACACCGTGATTGAAGTGTGCAATTTTAATGTCACTTGCTTCGTATCAAGTGAAGTGCTCGATTCAAGCCTAGGCTCGAGCTCAAAGGCTCAGAATGAAGTAATCAGTCGCCCGGTCACGAAGCATGTCGCGGGGCTTGATCAACAAAGTTTTGCTTGTAAGCATCTATCAGGGATGCAGAAGCGATGTGTTATAAGAATTTCCCGTACTGACAGGGGAATAAAGTATCCACGTGATGAGAGGGGGGAGCTTGCTACTTTGGGCTTAGCTTACAACACGTGAGCACTGACTCTACTTAAGTGGTCTCCCCTACTCTAGAACACACGAATAGAATGCAACCTTTTCCACTCAAAATTAACCTCCCTTGTAGAATTATACCTAGTTCCTATTACGTAGTACAGAGTGGAAGTCCATATCAAAGAAGACTCACTATCTAGAACGTTCTCAGTACCTCTTGATGGTCTGGGTCCTCAGCGATTGCAATATTTCTCCTATTATTCACCAAAGATTATGTTCCTAGGGAGTGGCACATTTGATGAGCTCATGTAATTTTCACAAAGACAACCAGAGTTTAATCGAGCGTACCTATTGACTGCCATTTGCCCAAAATGTTCTCTGGCGACACAACCACTGAGAGTTAATTGAGTGCCTTCCGGTGGAGAATTCTTGATACTTCACAACTCCAAGAGGTCTTTTCTAAGAAACTCCTCTTGTTTTACACTTCTCGACAGCCCGTTGGAGCCTTCCAGCTACTCTTTTGGTTGAGGCATATCAATCGTGTTTTTTTTTTTGGCGCCGCTGGCTTTAATTGTAATTTGTCTCTCTGCTACCAGCGAGGCAGTTCGAGTTCGACGATGAAAGGTTTGTAGTTCGGCTTCATTCCTTTGGCCGTATTCATCATGATAGCTGCGTTGACCATAAGAGTCTGTTGTCCTCGCATGATTGCCCACTTATTCGCATACGGAAAATCGTTGATCTGTTCTGTCTCCAAAGGAGTTGCTGATGACGGATCTTTGACACTGCCGTCCGGCTTCCAGGTAACAATGTTCGCGCCATGGCCTTCGTGAATATGGCCAAAGCAATGCAGAAGTGGTCTGACACGACCCACGGCTCGGAGGAGATTATGGCATCCAAGGTTTTGATTGTCGACTTGATCAAGAATAGAGAAAGGGGGGCCATGTGTCATTATGACATCGACACCTGTAGGAATTGGAGCCGTCGCGCTCGAAGTTCGGTTTTGAGCGGGATGCTCGTTGAAGCGGTCTTCTCGAGGGTTGTAAGGGAACGCCCATCCACCCGACCCAGGACTGTATGGTGATGCATAAACTTGCATCCTGGCTCCATTTTCGATGTCAAATTTGTAAGTTCCTTCTTCGAGGTACACGATACCCGCTCTCTTTGCTGCAGGTCCAGTCATGATTTCGACAGCCGCCGCATGGTACTCGGCGTACTCCTCATCAGTCATATTCTCGACTCGACGCGTCTGATCAAGCGAAATGTCGTGATTACCGGCGATGACCAACTTCAGTTTTGCGTTAATAGTTCCCATCATCCGAACACATTCTCTAAGTGAGTCGAGCTCTCCAAAATTGGTCAGGTCACCTGTGTGAATCAGAACATCCACGTCAGGAAGAGTGTTTCCATCGAAAGAATGCTCGTGGGTATCTGAAATGACCATGACTCGAGTGGGAATGGTGTTGAGCGACATGTTTGTGACTTGCAAATGAAGAGCCGCGTATGGTCTTGGGGGTATGACTGATCAAGGCGCTTTGTTCAGACTATGATGGAAGGGCGAGTCGAGATTTGTGAAGGTCAATGGTGTTCGTGATAAGGTGGAGAACTTGTTCAATGAACGTTGAGAGAATTAGGAAGCTTTAGTTGTCGTGACCGTGCGGGTAAGATTGGGCAGGAGGGAAATATATAAGTTTAGTGAGTAAGTTAGCTCTTGTTAGCTGATTTTAATTCTGACTGCACGACTTTGTCAGTCCAGATAATGATGCTCGGCTCCGGAATTTCACCAGTCCGAGATGGTGGAGCCAGCCAAAGTCAGCTTTTTCCGGTCAGGCTTTTAGTGCTAATCAATAGTATTATGATATAAAGCTAAGAGGTGCAAAGTGTGGTTCGAATAACTGAGATCTGTCGTGAGGCTAACATTGCCGTTTTTTAGCTCCACAGCTTGGGAAATGAAATTTGAAGTCGCTAACCATAGTGAGAACTAACGCCCACTGATGTGACCCAGTATATAAGGTTTTTGTGACTGCTCCGATAAAATTGAGGTCCACGACGAATGGTACATTATTTTAGAATCTAGATCTTTGAAGAAACAACCTACCCAAGTAAGAAAGGTTCGGCCAAGCCTGCGAAGCCTATACCAGTTTGCAGCTCGTCTCGTATATTCTCATTGAACGAGGAAACAAAGCAAAACATACTCATCATTGAGAGATTTAGTAGCCATTTGTACTTCATCTGTATACTGATCTGACCTCTGCAAATATAAATCTTAGCAGTGTAATATCTAAATAAAATAATAGATCTGACCAGAATTCTAGCGCAGATTTTGACTCCAATAAGGGCCACAGAAAGAACAAATGCCCCCGGAAACCAGTATATGATATATATAGGGTAGAATCGAAGGAGATTTTTGACAACTCGATGTCAGTTTCCTAGGTTTTGACAAGTCCAGATGTAACCCATGCTGTTCAGATCTGACATCAAAGAGCGAATGGCTGTGCAGTATCGTTGACCATCGCAAACATTCCAATGGCGGACACTTCATCACTGAAAACTTCGTGAATATCATCATTGATCCTGTTCGTTCTCTTTCTATTTATTGGGCTGTTCAGACAATGCCGGTAGATTACATCGTCTTCACCTACACCGATGCAGAAGTAAACAAAGAACCTTACCCCTGCTTGTCAACTCGATTCACTGCCCACGACACCATCATCAATCCCATATTCCCTATTCAGATCACGCTAATACGCGACATCGCATCAGGCACCAACAGTTTCGTTCTCGGGGCAAGCATAAATAGCCCTTCTTCCGTCTCCTTGAGAATCTTCTTTCTTCGTTAACACCAAACACCAAACTCTACCTCCAACTCAACTCAATTCGCTCTATGACAACTCATTCAACTTGAAATCAAGTACGGACTCGAACAAGCAACCAAAACAAATACAAGTCAAATACAACTGCAATCATGCAATTCCTCAGCACCGTCCTCGCAGTCATCTACCTCACCTTTTCTGCCGCTACGATGGCTGCTCCTGCTCCTCAGGGTTTCATCGGCCAGGAGAAGTGCACCAATATTGGTTCGTACGGATGTGGTCGTGATAACAGCATTGTATGTATTCCTCCCTTACTCTCTGCCACCCCTTCTCTCATCCATAGCTCTTGCTTGTGCTTGTGGGAGGAAGGAGAGAAAGATGAAGTGCATGATGAGATGGGAAGGCTGACAAGTTGAATAGATCGTCTGCAATGGTGCCGGAAAGTGGGTTACTGCTGCTTACTGTGGCGGTGCCCAGCACTGTGGCATTGTTGGTGGTCAACCACACTGTATCTAAGTAAGTTCTTCTCTGCTGCTTCTCACTGCACCGCTTCTCCCTCCCCCTCAGATGTGTCTCCTGAACTTGAACATGAAAATGATCTGATTTCTACCTTCCAGACATCCATCTCACCTCAGCATCCAACCGTCCTCTTGAACCTCTCCGTGATACTACGTCAATTGAGCCAACAGTCAATATCGGAGGAAAGGGATGGGATTCTTCAGTTGCTTTTAGGGCTGTCCCTCATTGGACGGGCGTTTATGTGGATGGTATGGAAAGGAGTTTGCGAGGTAAATTCTTGAGAGCCACGTCGAGAATAAGACTAAATTGAGATTCTAATTTGCGTTGGGATCGAAATTGAAGAAGCCTTTCCGCACATAATGATCTGCTGTGACCAAGTTTGACATGATGTGACAACTGAGATCTGATTATGTGGTGTGATGGTCACCTTTAGGTGCAGATGTAATTTCAGGGTTGTTTTCCTGTCTGTTCCGCCGTTGAAAATGAATTAAAGCAAAACATGGTCAGGGTAGTGAAAGAAATTGTTCTTGTCAGCTCTAGCATGCGCATCCTGTAGAAGAATTTCGACGCGTTGGCCCATAGGTTTGTCACCCGGTTGGAGTCTGAGACCCACGTCATAATGTCGCATTCTGAATGTAACTGATGTACCTGAGATTCTGAAAATTGCGAAAACTGTGATGAACATTCTCACGGCAGTAATAGGGGTTGAGCTAAACAGCAAGCAGCTAAAAGCACGACTATGAAGTCAGTCAAGCAAGCAACATAATAAACCATCAGCCTTCCCTTTGGAAAGGCGAGAAACAAGTAACAGTAAAGTAACAGTAGAAAACCAAAAACACAAGGACCTAAACGCCCAAAACGTTTTCCCTAACTAAATAAGCACCTGCCCTCCATAGCAAGAGTCGCCCTGCCGGTCCACAAATACAGGATCTAACCACCTTCCTTCAATACGATCGCCTGTAAAACCAGGACCGGAATCTCAATTCTTATGTACTATTTCAAAACATCTCTAAAAGGCAGAAATATGTATAAAACCATCAAATTTGTCACAAAATCAGGACATGCGGCATTACTACCCACGACTGCTTGGTTTGTTAGATGATCAATCCAATCTTGCAGTTGTACCATACGGATTGAGTCCATGCATGTCTCTGTCGCCATCTTCCTTCTTGTCTTTGTTATCCTTGTGTTTTTTGTCTTTAGCTTGCGCACTATTTTTGGGTTTGTCCTTTCAGACTGCTGTTGATAACGATAGCACGCTCTTTCCGAAATCTGTTTGAGCCATGTTTCCATTTTCTGTGCTTTGAAATCAAACAGTAGTTTGTGAATAGCTGTTAATGAAGGAGAAGAAAAGTAGTGAGGCATGAGATAGCTGAAAAGCCAAAATGTATAATTGAGAAAATAAAAAGGCGGATGAACCTATTATTAGCGGTATTTGTATCCTTCCGCCGCCAGTGTCAGAGCTCCTGGAATTCATCACAGCTTGGCGCTTCCGCATAAGCGCTGTGGACATGTTGAGACTTGAAATTCTCCATTTTGGCGCCCCAGACTCATGGACATCACGGATTGTGTCCGTATTTTCAAACGCAACGAAATTTGCTTGAGGATGAAAGCGGTTGACATAGCAGGACATTGATTTCTGACTACATGGCGCAATGTGTAAGGAACCATTTAAACTTTCCGTACAACATCTCTGAAGCGCCAAGATGGAAGTCGAATTCGGGAAGAAAACTCGCTTAAGAAGTTGGAAAGTTACCGGAACTAGTTGCTCTAATGAAAATGCTTCACAGGCAGAATCATGGTGGATTTCTCCTACAGGAAATTTTTTTGCAGAACTTGACATGGTATATGTATAGAATTGTTTCTTGACACTTTTCACGTATCTTGAGAAGCCATTCCAATTCTGCACCACATAGAACTTTCTTGCTGAAAATTATTTACAACACTCTCATATTCCAAAATTTTCGCCAAGGCAGCACCGTCAAGTTTTCCAGATTTGGGTATTTCTTCCTAATTGCTTACGGAGAGTATATAGAAGAGTAAAATCCAGTCTCTAGATAGACTTGCACGACCTGGTGGCGTGGTAGGTAACTTGTCCTGTTTGGAAGGCTCTTTCCATTGTTGGTGATGAGGGTTCTCAACATGGTCAGTAAGAAGGAAGGAGCAATGGCGGAGAGGTCTTGCTATTTATCTTCTGCATGTTCCATTCCTCTTCCTGTTCTCCTTTTCTCTTTAGCTCGAATTAAGTTATTCTTATTTTATGTCCGGGTCTTGCTTTTGGGTAAGCTAAATTATCACCTTTCACATTCCAAACAATTACTGACTGATCCCAATCACAGCTCTTCAAATTGCACCCGAGAAACCCAGTTCAAATACCAAGCCTCTTCCTCTCAATCATTCGACCCCAGACAGCCATTCTTGAACAACAATTCACATCTCGAACTCGACCTCTCCATCTTCACTGCCTCTACAATGCTCCGACAAATCACTCCTTTTCAGCAAGCGTGTCTCGACGCCTACACTGCCGCCTGTGCTTTAGTGCCTCGTAACCTCCGCCGGACAGTTATTCTGTTTGGTGGTGCCGCGAGCATCGCCCATGGTATCCTAGAGCGAAAAGCCAAAGATGTCGACATCCTGGTGGGTGTTGAAGCTCTAGCGATCCTGGACGATGCGATCATCAATATGCGGGAGGGCTTTCACAGGGACTGCAATGGATCCATCAAGTGGGACAAATGTGACGCCAACAACAACAAACTCTTCGAAGTGACCCTACGGGGTTTTTCATGCAGACAACGTCTGTAAATTGTCTGCATTTTGTCTGTATTCCTAGTAGTAGTAAAACATAGTAAAATACAGACAAAATTCAGACAATGTCTGTTACAATTTCATCAAAAAAATGCAGACAAATTAGCGTGTGTCAAGGTACGAGAGTTTAGGTACCTCGGACTTTTCATGTTTCAATACAAAGTTAAACACAGACCTTTTACTACCTACCTCCGGAACACTCGGAAGGGAGACCTACCTTAGGAGGGGAGGGAGGGAGACCTACCTTGGGAGGGAGGGAGACCTACCTTAGGAGGGGAGGGAGGGAGACCTACCTTGGAGGGGAGGGAGGGAGACTTACCTTTAAAGGAGAGAGTAGGAAAAGGGAAGGGAAGGAAAGGGGGGGGGGGAATAAGAGAGGGGATATTTAACTTTATTAGTCAGAAAACTCTTAAAATACAGACAATAGCTGTATTTCCCTTAAATTACAGACAATATCTGTATTTTCACTTTAAATTTTCAAAAATCGATCAAAATTAAAGTTTCTAGCTAAGAAAAATACAGACAATTAACTAAAATGCAGACAGAAAATCCGTCTAAAATGCCTGTTTACAGACAATATCTGTAGGAAGTGCAGACAGTGTCTGTAAAAAAACCCCCGTAGGGTGACTGTTGAACTCGTTGAGTTGGGTGGTCCATTTGTTCCACGGATTCCAGAAGTGGTCGGTTTCGGGGAAGGGTATGTTGCTACCCTCTCGGAACTCGTGCGGTTGAGGGCGTCCACGCTCGTTGAAAGGGGTGATGCGTCGGACTACATCGACTTTGAGCTTCTTCTCTCCCATGCCCGCCGGCGGCATGCCAAACTTCAACATATTGGAGAGGAAGAACTCGAGTCGATGATAGAGGCAGTGAAGATGTGTGAGAGGTCTCGAGATGTGGATGTGTTGTTCATGGCTGTTCTGGGGTCGTTTGAGTTGAGAGGGGCTTGGTATGAGAACTGGGTGGCTTGGGCTAGCACGTTGAAGTTTTGAAAGTTAAATATTTTAATGAAAGGGATTTGTGGCTGGGGCATACTCTGAGCTTAGACCGATGTGAAGGTGACGTGTGAATCTTGACGTGCTGGGAATCTTTCTTATCCAGTTGCCTTCCCAACCGTCACCTGAAGACTGAATTGCACAAAGACCTGCAAGGCTTGTAATGTACCTAAACTGAGTCGCATTCTTCGTAGAACGTCGATTTTCCACGCATATCCCGTCTTCTGTCAAGTCTTGGATATATTCCGTACCGAAGATCGAAACCATAGTAGCCCACGAACGTGTTTGCTGTAGTTTTAGTCCGTGCCTCGGAGGAGAACTCAGCTGACCGACCAGGCGAGATCTTTCGGTTCTCACGAGGAGAAAGGCACTGTATGGTGTTCTCAAACCAGTGTGACGCCAGATGTAGGTTCTAAGCTCTAGCGGTAACCTCGACATGAAGAGCGGTTGCTCCTTATGACAAGCTAGCAACGCCAGCCTGCTCGCTGAATTGAGAAAGTGATGCTTTTCTTGAATATTCTGCCATATTGAAGGGTCCGGTACTAGACTTTGAGCAAGTCTGTAAATGGTTGATGCAGAACAGCCCTCAAATTCCCACGATAGGATGGAATAGCACCAGCTGTGGAAGCAGAAGGCCTGTCCATCAGTTTGCAATGTCTGGTTGACTTCCGCCTCTTGAGTAAGTGTAATTGTTTCTGTTCGTTCGGCCAAAGCAATGTCGACATCGCAGTAACTTCTGGGGAAGTCGGTGTAGGTAGATTTGGTAAGCTCGATGCTGCGCTCGCCATTGATGTTCAGATCCAGCACTGTTTGCTTTGTCAGCAGGATAAGTAGGACGCAGAGTCCAGAACATACCGGCGCGAATCACAGATTGCCAGGCATTTGGGCCGGATACACAGTGCAGCGGAAACTGCTCATCGCAGAACGCACAACAATTGATAGCAAAGAACGACTTGTTAGAAGAATCCATAGGCTACAGTGCGATAAGACCTGTGTAGAGTATCGGTGGAAAGGTAAGTTGCTCACAGTCGAGAATTATCAAACATCTAATATGGAAAGATTGCTCTCTGTCGGGCCATGCATGCCATACAATGAAATTCTGGATAACGACGAAACTTCGAGTTCCTATCAAAGGAAAGCTCAGGAAACAGACGACGGCTATTTGCATCTACTAATAAGAGCTAACCTCCGTAGGTGTTCTATAAAGTGCTGAACTTTGGCCTTCATTAGTGCCTGCAATCAAGAAGGAGCCTAAAAGACCCCGCCCTAGCAGGGGAAGGACGAGTAGGCATTGCAACTGGTCAACTCACTTAAGTTGAGCCTCATCGTCTGGCCAATAGTAAGACCCTGCTCATCCCTTTATTAGCGCGAGCAATGTCTCACGAAAAACGATGGGAGATCTCGCTTTACCCATGTTTGTATAAATTGTGATCACCCACGTGACAAAGCTCCACAATCCCACAAATCAATTTATCACAATGCGCTGCCAGTATATATTCAAATAAACCGCATCGTCCTTCATCACTGGACAGATGGCCGAGCTGGTTATGGCGCCAGGTTAAGGTTTCCTTAGCAACAATCTCCTGGTCACGAAAGTGGCGTGGGTTCGAGTCCCACTCTGTTCATTTCTTTTGCTTTTTTTGCTATTTCGACATTCTGAGCTGGTTTGAATACCTATCTCTAGAAATTCATTGGATTGGGAAGTAAATGTAGACCAGGTATATAGAAATTTATACTTTTCCTTGGTCTACTTGTTGAGAATAGATACTGGTAACATCCAATTCTCTTGTCTCTTGTTTTGACCAGACGCTCCAATGAAGCTTGAAGATTTTCCACTCTGTTAAGTTTTCGCTTGCCTAGATCCAGGTATCCTTTTCTAGATGTAATGTAGTGGGGCTGTGGAGACGTGGTAATGACTAGTGAATACTGCCTCATCGGGACATTAGGACCTCCTGTACCCGAGGTACTCTTCCACCGACCATTTTATCAGTAGCAGATGAATTTGGGAAAATAGGTAGCTATTGCCTACTCAATATACTCACAGCAACTTTGTATCACTGACAGGAGCATGACTTATCCGTCATCCAAGCCAAGAACCATGTCTCACGCAAGATGGTCAAACTGAAAGATCCGCGTCTCAACTTGATCCGCTGTTGACAAGTATATGGAATTGTTTATCATTCCGGGACAAACATGTACATCTAGCATTCCTCGCATGTAACTTGAATCCCGAGCCACGCCGTCCTGATTTTATTAGTAACGTTATTCTGCGTTGCACAAGTATTTTCAACCTCGCTTAAGCGAAAGAAGCTTGTTTACGTCCTTGCACTTCCTAATAAGCACAACGCAAGAAACGGTTTCGCAAAGCCCAGACACCGGTGCTTCCCAATCGAATGAGACGTTTGAGTCGAAGAAAAGGGAAAGAGGTTTGAAACTGAACCTTGGCAACTGGGCGGGACCTTCGAACGACCTCGTTTAATCCATGTCGATGCCCGTTTTCATGATACAACAAGCCATCGCCTCTATCGCAGTCGTGAAAGAAAGTGGAGAGAAAGGGGCCAAAGAAAGAAAATCCATTTGATTGTCGAAATTCTCGGAATTGGTTTTTTCTCTCTACCTTTCCTGGACTTCTAAATGAACTCGCGTCCGAATTGGAGCTTCTGAATATAATCTCACGAGCATTAGTGCAGTCGGGAATGTGGGACATGGAATTCATTCCACGATTGCCCATCCAAAGCCAGCGCCAACTTTATAGGTATCAGGAGCGACCTGTGACCAATCACACACATCTAATTCATTAATATGAGAGTATGTGTGTTATTTTCACCAGAAACCGTAGAGGGACTGGCAATCATGTCTCGCCATATCCTTCCATCGATGCTCATTCATCATCGCTAGCCTGTGTTCCTTGGTTTCCTGAAGGCCATGGACCAGTCATCTGTTGTACTGGTAACATCAATAGATAATTGCTTCGGTATTCTTAGCTTCGGCAGTTCATCGCTAGCTGCATCCGACCACCAATCATGTTGTTGCGGTGGAACATTGCGGGTTGAACATATACGGTAGTTTGGATCAACCAAGTAGAGCTTCACAGAGCGAGGGTTTCCAGGGAGACTCGGATCCACAACTTGAAATGGCTCAAGCCGATGCTCCATAGTGATTGGAAAAGTTATCAAACGTCCTTATGACAGGACAATGGACCCTATATTCTGAAAAGGCTGAATCTCATGAGCAGGTATCGTTTCTTTGCAAAGATCCTCTTCTCGAAATCCAAGGATTTCAGCAATAGCTGCAATTTCCTTCCCACCCTTGTGATATCTTTCGGCTGGCTTGGTCCAGGGCTCCCATTTTTCTTTCGCAAACCTGTGCGTGGCATATCTGTAAAAGTGTTCCCATATCGGGGTCTCTTGACGGAATGAAATGCAGGTGTGGGTGACGTTTTGGACGTCGTAGGAATACATGGCCGTGGCTACTATATGCTCGTTCATTTGTCCTTCGAGCTTCCAATTACTACCAGGATATCTTGGATTCTCAGGCGTGAGCTCAATGCCATCAATCTTGACGATAACTTGCAAACCCTCCTTGCGGAAAGTATCTTGTAGATTGATTACATAGGGCTTGTGATCTGGGACTACTGGTCTGAGATTGTCGACAAAAGGGCTGCCTTCGGTGACCATACTGACTATTGCTTCATTGCTGTTACCAGTCTTCCAATCCTGGTATGAAAAGGCTGTCCCAGGTTCTGGATGCTTGAAGAAAAGCAAACGCTCGTGTTTCCTCAGCAGCTGATACCATGTAGTGAGTTCATCCTCCGCCCAGTCTTCTGGTAACTTCACCTTATCGGACGATCCGTTTTCGGGGCGTTCAAGATATTCTTTCGCCATATTCCATAACTCGGGGGATGGCTTGCCCATATTCAGTCCTTCTCGGACATCTCCATAGCCTCCGATTAATCTTTCTGCTGCGAGGCGTTTTTTCTTCCCCTCTGCAGTTTTCACTTCAGTCGTGTTGCGTAACATTTCTTGCGCTTCGAGGTATCTCTCCACTCTCGCGGGTGCGGGTACATTAAAAGAGAGCGCCCATTTGGGGTATTCGTTTTCCCACTCCACGCCATATGTTAAGATGCGCAGTGGAATTGGTCCTCGTTGACCTTGATTGGCATGATCCCAACCGTACCCCCAGTCTTTCTGCCCTTGTATTAGACAGTCATTCCACGGCTTGATTACCGAGGAAATGAGATTCTCAATACATTTATATAGCACTGTATGTGAAGGTGCAGGTTATTGATGTAAGACGTGATCCGAATCTCTGTTCCGACGTCCTTCGAGAACTCCACGTCCGACGGAAGGTACTGGTAATTAGAGCTCCAGAAATAATGCGCACATTCCGAATCGTACTCGTCAACCCCTAGCCTCAAGATTTCTGTTGCCCCTTCTTCCATCTGCTTTTGAACGTTTGCCGAGTCAACTCGTCTATCAAGATGTTCTGGTGCCACAGTAGCATGCTCGTACGATCCTAGAACATTTTCAAGGTTGACTTGGCCGCCGTCTGCTAAGACTAGGCTCCTGCCATACACTAATGGGAATAAAGAAGGATCCACGATATTCAGCACTTGCCTGTCGGATTTGGGCTGCCAATCCTTGTCCGGTCGCTCGAGTAAAGGCGCAATTCCAGATCGAAACTCGGCACCGAGAGATTCATGAAGTAACGTATCGGATTTACATATACAGGATCCGGTGTCCAAAACACGAACATATTGATTCTCGCCGAACAGGATTGCTTTGTCCCGTAGTTCATCCATGCACCAGTTCCAGGCCTTTTCGCTCATGAGTGGTGTCGTTGCGAAGGCCTCTTCCCGCCAATCTCCGACAATCTTCTCGTTGAATATGTTGACGTGCCACGCAGGCTTATCAGTCACAGCATTCATCACTGCGACCATGGCCAGTTCACGCGCTGTTACGGCTGGTACCTGCTGCCAGTCCCTTATGCCATGAGCAAATCGGTCCTCGCATCTGAGCTCAAACTCGACAGGGATATCGCCGAAGCCGGGAACTTGAAGTGAACGATCGCCACTGTTGTCCATTCGTTTTGATCCATACACGGATGCGCCCATCGCAACGGTTTGAAGTATTTGTGCATATCAACGGAGAAGAATATTGGCTGTTGCGTGCTGAGTGGGGGCTTCTCGATTGGCAAATCGATGCTTTAGCGGCTCGCTTCCAGATGCGCCACTATTGTGCGACGATTACGAGGACTAATAGGGAGATAAAGGAGGTAGAAGAAGAGATAGGAGGGGGTACGCTGTATCTCACATCTGTGAGGTGTAGACCAAGTAACATATTTTGGAATATTAAGAGTTATTGGGTGGGTTGCGCCTCAGCTTTGTGCTTGAAGTGACAAGTCTACTGTTTACACTTTCGGTTCGAGGCGAATTTCCCATATTAACGAAGCCAGGCACTCAAGTAAGCAAGTATCTAAGTACTAAAGTACCATCATGGAATAATTAACTTGGTGACGGCTATCTGAATTACCTTCCTGGATTGTTCACTTTTCGTTAACAATCGGCTTCAGTTCTTGTCTCAGTCAATCATCATCCCATTAGTCTCTTAGCATCTTATCACTTATTATGATCCCCTCCACAAAGCCAGCCACTCCAATCAAGTAATTATCAATATTGCAGTCATTAAAAAAGTGATTTGACAGCCATGTCATGCATCCCTAATGCAATAACGGGAGATCTTAGCACACCCACTCAAGACGCCCAGCGTTGCAATGTCGTCTATCAACCCCTGCCGGATCGACTAGTTGGTGCTGGACCCGCATGAAATCCCAACCGCAGGAACCATAACCGAAGCCACCCTTGGCCTTGCATTTGCCATTCCTTGAACGACACGACACAACACACCCATTCCTGGACACCTGCCAGCTGCCTTGTCTTGCTTGTCCCGAGCCATCTTCCTCGCTCGTAGCCGCACCGCAGCTCTACTCGATACAGCTTTCTGCGATTGCCTGCCCTGTCCCCCCTTCCGGCGCAAACCAGTATGCCAGGGGGCGTCCTATAGGCTCGATCAACCCTCGATCCATCCCGCGATCTCATCTCTGATATCTTCCGTCTCCCTCTTGTCTGCCTCGCCTGCAACGAACCGACCATGTATGCGCCTGCTTATGGATATGGCCCGGGAAACAGCAACAGTCCTTCGCCCTTCAACCCCAATGGCGCCCCTCCAGTGCCGCCCCATCACCCCCACCAACAGCAACACCAGCAGCAACACCAGCAGCAACAGTTGGGCCAACCTCAGCACATGATGTATAACCCACAGCAGTATGGCGCTGGTCCTGGGCAAGGACATCCTCAGTCGCAATTCCCTGGCGCTCCGGGGCCGAGCATGGGTGGGAACCCGGGTGCAATGGGGATGATGCAGAATAACGGTATGGCGCAGATGGCTGGTGGACACGGTATGTTTATGTTGCACACAGAGCGGACCCCGAACCTTCCCTCATCATCATTCCTCCGACACCCTGCCTACGGTGTCGTATATCTGTTTGCGACATACCGTTTGCTCCTGCCCCATATACCAGTGCTCTCCCGCCTACCGACCCTGTTGAGCTCAAGGCGCAATGTCCAGCTTCCAATCATGTTCATCCTCCCGTGTCGCCTTTGTCTGTTTAAAGCAAACACATCTGACAAGCCTCTTATAAACAGTGCCTCCATATCAGACTCCATACTCGAGCTCCCCATACGGGGGTAATGTACCTACATCAACCACCGCCAACCTTCCGCCGAACTTCATGCCCCCGACATCTGGAGCACCTTCGTTCCCAATGAACTCGATGAACATGAATCCTCAGCACCAGGCCCAGCGAATGCAACCCCCTCCTCCTTCATCGACACCCACACAGCCTGGTCCAAGAGCGTCACCGTTTGCGGGTGGGCCTCATAATACCCCTCCGAACGCTGGTCCACAATCACAGTTCTCACCTCCTCAGCAAGCAAGCCAGGCACATCTGCAAACACCAAACAGCAACCAGCAGCAGCAAGCTCCAAGCGGTACTATCCTCACACCACAAACGCCAAACTTTCCGCCTGGGGCGCAAGGCGCGAACGCTGGTCAAGCTATGTCCACACCATTAAGTCCTAATTCTGAATCGCGAGAGAAGGAAAGGGTGACCCTTCTGCTGGATATCAACCGAGAATTGTTGTTGGAAGTCATGAAGATACAAGCGCAAGCTGCTCAGGCTGAGGCGAAGAAGGAGGAATCAGCACCAACCGCTGCTTCGCCGGAAGGGGCTGACAAAGAGAAGACTGAGCAAGAGAAGGCCGACAAGGAGAAGGCTGATAAGGAGAAGGCTGAGAAGGCCAAACCTACCTCGAGGGACTATTTCGAGTATGAACTCTTGCGACTGGTGAATAACAAAATAGCTAACAATGACATAGATGTATGCGCCGACTTCAAGCGAACCTGGCATATCTCGCTGCTATAGCCGATCGATCACACAAGCCATCTTCCCAGATTCCTCCTCATCCTGCAACTATGACTGCACCACCTCTCACCTCCAAATCAGCCTCAGCAGGTTCACCTAAACAAGATTCGAAGAATGAAGAATCGGACGAGAAGAAAGGGGAAGAAAAGAAACCAGAAGACGACGATAACAGAGCCGAGATCTTGAAAGAGCAGTATAAGAGATTGCAGGCATTATTTCCAGGGGTTGATCCGAAGAAAGAGGCTCAAATGCAAGGAAATAATCCAGCGCTAAGGGCACAAGCACAACAACACGCCGCGGCGCAAATGCAAAAACAGCAACAGCAGCAGCAAGGACAGGGTCAGGGTCAGGGTCAAGGACAAAATCAGGGCCAGGCACAAGATCCGAATTCTCAGCAAAAGCTTCAGAACGATCTTCTTCGGCAGAAGATGATGATGCAGCAGCAAGCTCAGCACAATGCACAACAACAAATGGCGCAGAATATGCAAAATATGAGCCAGCAACAGCACCTAGGTCAAAATCGTCAGGGTTGATAGAGTGTATTATGTGGCGCGGGATATGTCGGAATCTATATAATATAATGGGTTTGGGAAGGAACAATTGGAGTTTGTGAAACGAGGAGCTGTTGCTTGGCTGGGTAGGGTAACGCGATGGTGGCATTTTGGTGTATTATACCAGGCGCTTGAGATGCCCTTTGAGACTTTGGGGAGGGTGCTTGTAGATGGATAGTGGAAAATAGTGATAAGCTGGATGGGTATGAGGAAAATGAAAGTTCTATGACTATGGCGTCTGCGGGATCTATTGTTACTTTTGGTGTACCTAGTCCGGACAATGGGAGTAGAAAGCCTGTACGGATTACCATATGTTTAACAAGCCATGGTAAAATTACAAATATCAAGTCATAATTTCAACTTCATGAAGGCAATAAACCAACGCTTAAATGTACATTCCCTCTATTCTACATCACTCCGAGCTAGTACTGAAGTAATATCCATCCCACAAATACAAATAATCATCCAACACCCCACTCACCAGACTAGGTAGTTTCTCACTAGCACTATGCAAGAACCCCTTGGTGACATTCTCATAGAATGCACCACGCATCGCCCACCAGCCCATCGCCCACCCCCTCTTACCCCACTGCTCTCTTTCTAGTGCCGTAGTCCTCAAACCATCCTTCCTTAATTGCCTAGCCGCGTACTCGATACTCAAACCTATCAGCCACGGCTGCCAATTCTTCTTGTCCCTGCTCCGCGACATCGCGATGGCATATACGACCGGCTGTAAGATATGCAGGAGTTCTGCTAGTTGTGCCGAACCAACAGTCTTGTTCAACAACGCGTTCGGCGCCTTGATGTCGTCTGCCGTGAGGACCTTCGAGAGCAGATAGCTCGAGATATCGCTCGGGTTCGGCAGTGACGGTAAACTCAACCCCGTCCTCTTCATCCTATACTCCTTCTCCACCCCTCTCGGCCTCTTCTCCCTCTCCCTCTCACTCATCTCACTAAACCCCTCATCCTCAAAACTGCTCGCCTCCCCAAAAATTCCATCATCCTCACCCTCCGCCTCTCCCTCAACATCAGGAATGACTTCCCTTTCCGGCAGCGGTGGCGTTACCAGTGGTCTCGAATTCGTGATCTTCAATAAACATAGCCTACACACCGCCTTGATAAGTTCTAATATAACCACCACTCGCCAACGCACCCGTTCCCCTTTTCGCTTCGCCATCATCTCCCATAGCAGCTGCGTGTACTGCACGACCGCCAGGGCCGTCGCAACCCTGCGATAGAAGCGCGAATGCCCAACCCAGAACTTCGTGTACCGATTATGGCTGCTCTGCTGCTGTGGTTGGCGTGGCATACCTGGCAATTTTGCGACCGCGCGCGAAAGTAGTGTGTCATGGTATAAGGAGAGGAGTTGGATAGAGGAGTGCAGCGATTCCGAGGCGAGTTCGGCGTCGCGGAAGCGGCCTGGGATGATGTAGGTTAGGGAGCGGAGGGCGGATTCGATTTGTGTTACGGAAGATTGGTTCTTGGTTATGAAGTTGCTGTAGAGAGAGAGGATGTGTTTTGGGGAGGGGGGCGCGCGTAGTGGTGGGAGGTGGGTCTGCGCGGTTGCTTTGAGGGTTTCCATTTTGTTTGTTGTTTGGTTGGTGTTGCTGCTTGCTGGTAAGGACCAGCCAGCCAGCCAGTATGAGAGATAGGTTGTAAAGGAGTGTAGGGAGTTGGACGGGTGGAGAGAGTGAGGTTGATGGGGTTGTGAATGTAATGGGAGGAGGTTGGATGTGAATACGCATCATCGTGATGCGCTGGACGTGAACTGCCGAGGTCCACGGCACGTGCCTGTCCACTCGCTTAGAGATTCTCAAGGGCGGCGTGGGGGTCAAGGCGAGTAAACAACCAGTGAAGATGAAGCCGCTGTTCGAAAATTGGAAGAAACTGCATTAGAATGTTTTGTTTTCGAATTTATGGAGGCGTTGCCGGTTGGTCAAACCAGTCATAGAATGTGAGAACCCTCGTCTTGGGCGATTATACAGCCCGCGATTCGCAAACGAAGGAGATTGAGTCTTGTACATAACATTTGGATGCATTTAAGGCAGTATCATGAAGCAAAGCGCAGAGCAACAGTCTTAAGTCGATGTATTCAAAGTACTTTGACAGAAGGGCAACATTGTCATAGTTGATTGTAGAAGAAGCGAATGACATGATGCGGAATTTGTTGTCCGTAACTAATGAGACAGCTGTGCAAGATTTAAAAGAGATTGGGGACTGAGCTTCGGTAATAGAAGAGACTAAGATATTATAGATTCAACGCATAAGAGTACCTCCCTACATGTCGAAATGGAAGTTACAAATGGTCGTAGTCTAGCTACGTATTTGAATCTTGGTGGAGGTTCTCTAACCATTTGCGGGGCTCAGCAGCGCCCAAGCCCCAGATTACCGTCCCCTCACGACATGGTACAGGGACTGATCAGCAGTCAATTCCAACACCTCTAGCGATCGCTGACTCCACTACGTGACTTCCGTCAGCACTCTGTACGATTACGGCGCGGATGATTTCTTCTTAACATCCCAAGACTCTCAAATACACATTCAATCACCCTTAAAGCACCAAAACTGGCCAGGTTGCTACTGGTATTCTTGAATTTCTTGCAATGACCTTCTTCGACAAGAGGTTCACCACGATCGACGGGGATACCTATGCATATGATTATGTTCCACCCAAGGAAAATAAGGTGGTCTTTCTTCTTATCCACGGTTACCCATCATCGCGACATGACTGGAGATACCAAATAAATGATCTGAGTGAGGCTGGTTATGGAGTCATTGCACCTGACTGCCTTGGATATGGCGACAGCGACAAACGCATCGATATTGAGGCATACCGCTTGAAACGATTGAGTGGTCACTTTGCAGAATTACTGGATCACGAGAATATCAAACAAGTTGTAGGAGTTGGGCATGATTGGGGTTCCATGGTGCTCTCTCGTTTTGTTGTCTGGCAACCACATCGAGTTCAGAAGCTGGTGTTCCTGTCAGCGGGATACTGCGCACCCGGGATCTTCTTTGATGTTGATGGGCTGAATGTACTCAGCCAAAAAGAACTTGGATACATGCAGCTAGGTTATTGGTACTTCTTCAATTCGTACGATGCTGAAGAAATCATGACAAAACATGTACGTCACTCTTGAATTTCCCGCAAAATAGAAGTCTGACACTTGTGGAAGCTTGAGTCGTTCTTTCATCTAGCATATCCAGACAACAACGAGATCTGGATCAGTAGCCTTGCTGCGATCAATGGTACACGCTCATGGTTAACCGCTAACAAGAAAGCTCCTCTGCCATCATACCTCACTGAAGAGGACAAAGCTCGATGGCTTCGAATCAACAGCCAGAAGAACACAATTGCAGCATCTCTGAATTACTATCGGTCACTCATGCGTGGAACGCAAGCACCTGATGAGGACCCGTTGACGGAAGCCGATCGTACTCTCCAAGTGCCTGTGCTAGGTATTTGTGGCCGGGGAGACATGGTAACAAGAGCCGATCAAATTGGACTAGGTACTATGCCTTTTGCAAGAAAAGGTTATACCGAGAAAATACTTGAAGGCGCTGGTCACTGGATTATGTTGGAGAGGAGGGAAGAAGTCAGTAAGGCGTTGCTTGACTTTGTGGCAAGCTGACGATGCATGGTTGACTAGTTGGCATAGAAATTTGCAGTATGAATGCAAAAATCTGCACATGAATCGGTTATGATGATTCACATTTGAACAAATTTTCTTCGATTTACTGGCATTTTAATGCCTCTAATATTTGCTACATAGATGCTGACTTGATATCTCTTTTCTTCAAAGTAATAAGGAACCGTCCGCACTTTAGATAAGTTAGTTCTGCTTTCTAGGTCCGGTCTAGAGAAAAACTCAGGGGAAACTCAGACATACCGGCTCATCCAGAGTCACTTTTCGAACGATTTTCGGCCGCTCGGGTAGTCTCACAAAATCATAATCCAACAGTAACCGTGTCAATACCAACTTCAGCAAATTGCTCGTAAACCATCGCCCTGGGCATGCCGCTCGGCCCAGACCAAAGTTGAGGAATGCAGGTGAAATGTCAGTGACCTTCGGATGTTCAGAGTCCTCCATCGAACGGCGTGGATTGAATCCGCCTGGGTAAGCTTTCTCGTCACGCTGGTAAGCTTTAATCGGAGCAGCAAGTAGAGCTCCTTGAGGAACATGCGTGCCATCAGAGAAAGTGAATCCTCCTGACTTGCCAACAATTCTTTCAAGTCCAGTCTCGCCTATCGGGTTGTATCGAATACTCTCGCGGATGAAAGAGTCCATGAGGTCCAGTCTTTGGAAAAAGTTGTGCGAGAAGCCATCGCCTCTGCTCATTTCAGTGTTAATTTCTGCTCGCAGGTCCGCAATCATCCTCTCGAAGTCGCCTTCTGGGAGAGAGATAAGGTCGTACACCAAGTTGGTCATCGTCACAAGGTTCGTGTAGGACTGGACGAAGTTCAGAACCATTACTCTAGCTACGATTACCAGTGGATCGTATTCGGCTTCCGCATTGCTGTCTCGTTTCGCAGCCACGATGATCGCACTCAACATATCGTTCTGGAAGAAGCTTGTCAACTACAATCCCAACATCATAGATAAATTTCTCTATAGTCACTGGCAGATTTGGCTCGGCTCCTTTCTCTTCAGCAGCATCAACAATCACCATTCGTTCTTTGATAACCGGAACTGCATGCTTGGCAGCAGTCTGAATATGTCTTATCAATGGTCGGCATACCAGAGGCAAGAGCAAACTACGTAAATCCTCAGCACATTCTCCCACGTAAGCAAATAATTTGTATACACTTACGGACGTAGCAATCTGGGTATGAATCTTGCATACAATGCTGACGCGAAAAATGTAGCTGCATACGCTGCAGTCGCATCTTGATACTCTTTGTTCCGGCAAAGAGGGTATCCAGAAATTACACGATTTGCAGACCGGCTCAGAAGTTGGTTGTTGGTATCCCACATATTGATCTTGGCTTCATCTTTCGGTCCAACTTGTGATTCAATGACCTCTCTGATTGACGTAGCCATTTCCTCGTTCACCATCCCCATCTTGTCTGCAAGCTTTTGGTAGAGTTCTTTGTGCACGACATTTCTGTACACTGAGTGTATCACGATGTGGGCGCCGAGTGTCGTGTAGTCTGGTACAAGAGCTTGTAAAGTGTATCTCTTGAGAGAGATATCGTTCTCTGGCTGACGAACATATTCATTGAGCAGTGCTTTTGGAACCATGAGCATGAACCCTGTGCTGCAATGAGGAATTGGCACCAAGTTGATTTTTCCATGAGTAGCAGCGCGAATCTATCACGAATCATTATATCAGATATCTGACTAGCTGACGTATTAATTTTGTGGTATCTACCTTGCGATGGATGTCCGCGAACAGTTCTTCAGACTTGAATGCAACATTCCATGTAGATTTGAGAAATGACCATATTCCTCTTTTCCCATCCACCCAATTAAAATCACGGTATTCTGGCGACAGAGCAGCCACAAGAGCAGGTTTTATGAGATGAAATATCCATACGACCAAAATACCTATCGGCATGTATACTAAAAGACGAAGCAAAAGTGCTTGAAGCCCATCCGCGAGTACGTCTTCTAACATGATGATTGCGATTTAGTGGTGGGGATTTCGGCAAGAGACGAAACTTCGAATTTGACAAAGGATGCGTGACCTACAGGATGGCTCTCGATGCAGCGGCTGATGGGAAGCAAAGTCGGGGCTCTGCTCAAATGCAGAATGCTGATCGTCGCTTGGCTAACCATTTTTGGCCTGCTACAGTAAGTGCCACACACATGCAGTCAGCGTGTGGGGCGCTAAGAAATCTAGATGTACATTTCGTAAAACAATGCAAAGTGCTGAATTGGAGTGACTTTGAGCCTGGTGGCCTCATTTGCATGTTTTTCCTTCGGGCTTCAAAGATATCAAATACCCTCTGTGTCGTTGCTGTGGCCCAAGACTTCCCCCTCGCTTATTTGTTGACATTCGCTTATGTTTTCTCCTGGTAAAGTTTGCTAAAAGAGAAGCCAAGCCAACCGCCTAAATCTCGTACCAGCAATCCCACTTACCAGCGTTCTACAGAAGCAACATACTTTGGATGATGTGAGCCAAGCATCCGGGCGCGAAGCTTCTGCTCCACTCTTATGTCGTGGTCGCAAGTTAGTCTGCGTCTGACACGCAGGACTGCGCCAATCGTGGGATGTCGCATCATACCCCGAGATTTAAGACAGCGTGGAATGGATTGGTGCAGGACACTCTCACCCACGAGCGTACTGCATTACAATATTCTTGGATGGATATGTCTTACATGTACTCCCGTTATTCGGTGGGCTGACAGTGGAGCTCATCTGCAACGGAGAGCGGTTAAGTGCGATGTCACAGTGCCGTGCAGCGGATAAGCTCCGTTGTTAATCCTGCCAGACAAAAGGAATATACAGTTCCTTGGTCTCTCCAAGGGTTGAATCCATCCACAGTGGATTTTCAGTGAAAGATTGGTTGGCTATAGCCATTTCTACGGGAGCACGCCCTGTCTCACAGAGAAAGTGAGAAGATCTCGCTCTCGTTCAGAGACCTCGCACCAGTGCACAATCATGGTTGATAATGACATCGAAGCTTGACATCAATCATGAAACTCTCATGTGATAAAGGAATTGTTCTCTCTTGGGCATAACATCCGATTCTATTCAGGCAATCTTGCACTCGACCGCTACAGCCCTATTTCATTTTAAGTTCTCTGCAGGCAGTGGCAGAGCGGAAAGGACCCTGAAAGACCCTTCAACGACACTCCGTACACCCTCATCCGTGGGTGTGACGTCTCACATGCATGAGCAAATTACAAGCAGGGAAGAAATTCCGAAGTTCTTTCGGCGGCTGCCTGATTGTATCTCCGGGATTATTAGTACAGAAAGACGAGAGGCAGCCAACGATGAGTGTTGTTGACGTGGTAATTCGCGCACGTCATGTCCCGTACGAATTTGTTCGCAAGCCTGGGTCTCATGCCCGCATTGATGGGTTTGGGTCATTTGGCACCAGCAATAGGAGCTATTCATACTGCCACGGGCTCGTATCAATTTCCTGGCAGTGTACTTGGGCTCATTGGCACGATCTCTGCACTGGTGGACTGTAAGTATTGCAGAAGTCCTCTATATGTCACCTGTACGTTGTCGTTCGTTTACTGATCATTGTGGTAATTAAAGCTATCGATAAATACAAAGATACCCCGTTATCAAGGCGACCTCGAAAATGGGTTTGGAAGACATGGACTTATTCTCTTTCGGCCATTTGTGTTGCTTGCGCCTTCATGTCGGGGCTGCAGACCGTGCTGTTGGTTCTTCGACCCCTGCCTCTGGGTCTTTTATGGAGCGCACGTTGCGTTCCACTGTTCTCGAAATCAGGAGGCCTACTTCTGATCAAACCGAAAAGCTTCGTAAGTTCACTGCATTTCGAATCATGGGTAGAATAATTATTGAACAATTTCTAGCTCGGCGAGGCAAAGTCGTTTGTTGTCGCATTATGCATGGCCAGTGTGTGTGCACAGGCAAGCATGGCATATTATTGTCAAAGAGAAGGTTCTCACTGCAGTGAGGACAGGCTTCGCTGGAAGAGCTTTCAACTTGCCTGCCTGTATCAATTTCTACGAGAAACGGCTTGCGATGTTAGAGATATCAGGGAGGACACGATAGAGGGTTTGCATACGTTGCCTGTGAAACTTGGAAAGCAGAGGACGCTTCTTCTCATGGCACTAATCGGTCTTCTACTGGACATGGTCATTACTCAAAGTGTGTTGTTGACAGCGGCAGGAAGTTTTGTGGTGAGATTCCCACACGCGATATATTCTTGTCTGCGGATTGGGTCAACAATAGCAGCATACTCCTTGATCTTACAATACCCGAGAGCAAATATCTGGGCTTGGGGAACCATGTCATTGTTTGGATTGACCCCTGTGCTATTTGCACAGGCAGCTCTGAACCGTTGAGGGACGAATAGTTGGACGAGAATGGGTAAGAGTGACAAAAGTCGAAAAATCAGAGCCGGTGTTGAAGACGATTAGGACATTGGAGATAGACACTAGATTCGATATATTTAGATGACATCCATTATATTCTGAATAGAAACGCAGGTTAAGGCAGTAAAATCGCATTTTATTTCTCTCGTCTCAGTCATTGCCGGCAACAACATCCTCATATCAAGCTCTTTCTCATTCATGTTCTCAAGCGAATCTATTCAAGAACTCCAATAAATCGGACCACATCTTTCCTGGAACGGAAATGGAGAACCAAGTATTCTCTTCATAATCTTTCCCCACAACAACAAAAACACTTGAAATAACCGAAACCGTGCTGTGAGACGGATCAGAAGCTTGGTAATAGATTGGGTGTCCAGGTTTGCTCGATAGCTCAGGAGCTGCGTCTTTTACCACCGCCGGAGCGAAGTCCATCTTGTCCAAAAGGTGACCCTTCGTCCAATTGGACATAAATTGCGTGGCCATATCTTTGTCGCCGAATATGACAGGCATCTGACTTGCTTTGATGGATTTCGCGGACAGATATGCCGCTGCCTTTAGCTGTTCCTCCGTGGTCTGAGCTGCAATCGCATTACGCACCGCTAGTGCTAATTGGCCTACGGGCATTTCGACAGCTTTATCAGCATGACAGAAGAAGTATATGTTTGTGGGCGAGTTTTGGACATATGCTGTATCTTGACGAAATACAGACTTGACGCGGCCGCGAGGGTCGAGGGCCATGATGGTTGCCATCTCACGACTTGATCCAGGTCCTTGATATTGAGCCAGAATCCTGCAAGCCACAGCTGTCAAAACATCTCCTTCGCTAATGAAAGGCTTGTGTCCTGAAGGAGCAGCAGCAATATCATCTTCTATGTGGCCTCGGGCTTCTTTCATCAACGCTGCCATGACGTTCTTGGGGATACAGAGAGTTCGTGATTCTATGTCAGGGCAGCGCCATGCTTCAAATAGGCTTCTCAGTCCCCAGTAATTGAAGCGCCAGCCATCGATGATCCTGTCTTGCAAAACGTGACGTTCTTTTGGTGCTGGGTTCACCATCCCGTCGAATGGGTCTTCGCGGTATCCCGCCATTGGAACCACAGCTTCTGACTTTCCAGCCAGGACAAGACTCCATGCTTCGATAATGCAGGCCAGACCGACGAGATCGGTTGATATATGAGTGAGTGTAAGAGACACAAGAGTACCATCTGTGAATTTCTGTACATGCAAGCAAAACTGGGGTGTACCAGAGTAGACATAGTCATCTAGATTCCGAGGCGAGTAGGGCCCTTGTCCCAGAGAGCAGAACTCCTTGGGGCCTGGATAAGTTTCAATCTTGCCAGTCGGTTGAGGTAGTCTTGAAGCCAGAGGATGTTCCGACATGGGAAACTCGTGGTCTTCTCTGCTGAATTGAACAGCCGGACGCTCCTTCGTGGGTGGATTTGGAACGTGTATTTCCAGCCCACCATCATCCTGTGACTGTAATTAGCAACAATAATTTCAAGCTCGTGTAAGTGAAAGAATAAAGCATGCTGAGCCTTCTATCACATACTCGATACCTGAATCTTCCACTTAATTTTCGCCATCCTGGCATCTGGAAAAGCTCTGACAAGGCATCATTCAGCTTAGCAGGATCCAAGACTTCCGCGAACTTGAAGGTGGCTGCGAAAAATGTAACGATTAGCTCTAATTCTTGACATGCCGGTGAAAGTTTACAGCAATTCCGGAAATATTCACTCCGATTTTCCACAGAGAGTCAAGTGATCTCATGCACATACCGACCAGAATTATTCCTCTCGTTGCAGCAGAATCGTCGAACAGATGGACAGGGACAACTTCATCACTGGGAACAATAGGCGGAAGTTGTCGCTGCTCTTTTCTGAAGAAAGGCAGATTGTCGAACATACTGACAAGCTACGAAAGAGATCGTAGAATGGAATAGCCAGATTAGCTGTCACATATGTGAGGTCGCAAGTAATCAGTATGACGCTGTCAGCGTTAAACTGCGAACGACAGTGCCCCATATTTCCCCAAGAACTGGGATGTCGCTGACCCGTACAGTAGTGCTTATCAATAGTGGACCACATCACCCGCAGCCTTTACCCCTCGCAACCCTCCTCTTCGAATCCCTCGCCCCTCATCCTGATTGTTCATTCATTGACGGTAATTTTTACGAACTAGCTTCCACATGTCATAGATGCATGACAGACACCACATTTTCAGACTTGTGGTTGGTTACATCAGCACAGCCTACTGAAAGTGACTTTCAGAGCACCCTGATTGACCCCAAGATCTTAGGTACATCTACAGAACGACAAGCTACTCTCTGTTTGGTTCTGTTGAGGTTGCCATAGTCGGTCCTGACCTTCTAAAGCCGGTGCCTAATGCAGCAAGTCTGTGGCGATGCTGTGAACCCTGTCATGTCGCCATGTATTTAAATATAATTATCGCTAAGCAATCGACATGCTGAAGTAGATGTTTGGTTACTTTCAAGGACACAAGGCACCTCTCTAGACAAGACAATCTGCCAATTATCCGTTCCGACTAGAAATTTCGTTAGATCTGTCAGTATGGGAAGGTTTGTTCTTTGAAGCACATGCACTGTTTTGCAATCTCTCAGTTCAACACTGACTAGCTCTTTGACAGTATCACTGAACCCTCTGATTTGAAAGCCAAAGAAGATGGCGTTGCTTTCTGGACAAAGCATACCAAGCCTGTTCTCAGCTCACTGCTCCAAGCAGTCGGAACCTATACACCCGAGCAACAGAAATCTCATCTCAAGTTTCTTGAGGAGTATATTATTCCAAACATGGGTCGAGCACCCAAGAACGCACAAGAGACATCCCTCCTCACACCTAATGGCTCGCCGTTCGAGACGAGTCTCAACCAAAGCGATAATGGAAAGTCGTACGTGCGCTTTTGCTTTGAGCCGGTGTTTCCAGGATATGATGGCGTGACTGAAAATCCTATTCCCGTCATTGCAAAGAGGGTTGGAGCGGACTTGACCTGGTTTAACCAGTTTGCTGCTGAGTTCTACCCATCTGAAGCCGACGCAGCTAGCCTAGCAGAAAAGGTTCCGAAAACGACAATGCACATGCCCAAAGTCTTCCTCGCATTTGATCTTGGTGAAGACAAGATCACGATGAAAGCATACTTTTACCCCATCATCAAGTACATGACGTCTGCGATCAACTCTGACCGAGCTGGATTCAGCCTCATCCGGCGCCTCGAGCCACTGGGGCCCTCTTTCGGACCTGCCCTCGATGCTATTGAAGAGTATCAAAAGTTGCTGTACCAGGACCCTCCGATCACAGCGGTCATCGGCATCGACTGCGTGAGTCCTGAAGCTGGAGCACGTATTAAAATATATATCGACCCACGATCCAATTCATGGGAAACAGTACAAAAGCATGTCACTCTCGGCGGCAAGTTGACTGACAAGGCAACTCTCGATGGTCTGGATATCCTCCGCGACTCTTGGAACCTCCTCATCAATGAGCCTGAGAACAAAGCAATCGATGATCGATTCAAAAAGGAGTTCCGGGGCACGCAGCCTTGTAGCAGTGGTGCATGCTTCAGTTGGGAGCTCAAACCCGGACAACCTCATCCAGATGTCAAGATCTACGTACCCCTTTGCCAGTACTTCAAGAACGACAAAGCCATTGCAGAAGCCATGGAGAAAGTATTTCGGAGGCGAGGTTGGGCGTGGGGTGGCGAAGGAGCTTATCAGAAGATCATATTTGATGCATAGTGAGTGATACGCGCCATTCTTTCATGAAACTATGGGCTAATCCTTTCCAGTGGAAGCGACGTTGTTGACGATGACATTGAGACGCCGTATGTGCATACTTTTGTGTCGTTCAACTACTCTGAGAAGAAGGGGGCGTATATGACAACATACTTGGCACCATTCATCCGATTCCCCTAGTTGCGCCTGTGTACTTCATTTGATTAGCCTGCATCGGAGGAGCTTATTTGAGAATTGGGGGTGATAGGTCCCATACTCGTGGTGACATGTTGGAGTAGTTAAGCACGCCCCTGAATAACACAGGAGCGCCGCCATGGTGGCTCTGTTGCACCAAGTCATAGTCAACAGTAGTTTTTCTCGAATAGATAGCAACGCGCACGGGTATCCTGTCTCTGACAAGTGACAGGAGCACCTCTGGTATTGGTCTGTTCCCAATGCGTGGCCGTACCAGGGGCCCCCAGTATACCTCCGAACTACATTATTGTGATGAGCAATCCCACGCAGACTCGATGTACGGAGTATCTGTGCTCCAGACTACGAAGCAGGTTGCTGTGATTGTACAGTTCAACAGCATATGAACTGTGCAGTGAGGGCTAGCCTAGCCATCATCTTTCTTCGTCTTGCTTTCGAGGCGACCTAGACAGGATTAAACTCTTGATGTCCTCCAACCCGCTATCAGCAGGATTGATCGATGTAACTAATCTGAACCGAACGTCGCGTCTGTTGGTAGATTTGCTTTGAAAAAGGTGACCGAGTTTGAGGTTGTTCTCCCAAGAGGTCTGAACACCCCCGACGCCAGCCAAAGCGTCTCCCTGTCGTCCCTGGAGCTTACCCCTGCCCAAGCTTGCGCAGGGGCTTGACAGCGGCCACGACACCCGTTTCAGCGCCTCGGCAAACGTCACACCCACCTCTTTCCCAATTCCCATACCAAGGTTCATCTGAACTCATTTGTATCTCCACAGCATTGCGACAATTGACTTGCGCGACCGCATCTTCTGCAACCTACTGCCTCTTTCCCGGTCAACAGAACGAAAAGGAACAATGGCAGAGACTCTGGGGCCGTGGGTGCGATTGGAGGGAATATCAATATCACAATTGCCGTCCGGAGGCAAAGGCGTTGCGCCGAGCAATCGAGACGGGACGGAGAAGTACAATGACGAATCTGCAGCTACTACGAAGCCGCCAACCCTACAGTCTTTCATCCAGAATACGCTCGAGGAATCAATCCCTTTCATTGACGGCGTTGCGCCGAAGTCTGGCGCACAGCCAACATGGAAAGTCAAAGGGTCGCCGAAAAAATATGCTGCTTCTGAAGCGCAGGTACATCTCTACGAGCGGGTCGTGGCGGGAAAGGATTTGGATAAAGTTGAAGGAATGAGCCAATACAGTGCGGATCGCAAAGACGAGACCTGGTATTGCAGGCGGAGCTGTCATCGGAATGCACAGGAGCAGGGCACGGCTAGCTGGGAAGAGTTTATACGTTGCTTCAAGGAGCACCATGCGGAGTCAGAAGATGCATTTACGCCGTCTATTATTGGAGCTAGGCAGGCAATGAGTTGGGATACCAGTGGGATCGAAGTCAATGTGCGCGGGGAGCGGTGGACGAGTATAAATGTCGTGGTCGAGGAGATGAAGCATAAAATAGACCCGAAACCTCTCAAGAACCGCACTTTTCCCGTAGTACAGGTCACCGCCGCACTCTTTGGAGCTTCCGAATTTCTCGTCATCTCAATACCCATCAACGACTTCGACAGATCGCCATATGCCGAATTCGCAAAAGACAAAAGTTTGGTCATGGCGGCCTACGTGTCGGTTGAGCGCATCCGGATTCTGCCCAGTTCTGGAGAGATTGAGTGGATCATGGCAACAGCTTCAAATGCTGGGGGGGTTCTGCCGCAATGGATGCAGAATATGGCTGTGCCAGCAGCTATTGCCAAAGATGTGGAGATGTTCCTCTCTTGGATTCCGAGCCAGAGATCAGGTGGCGGCGCCAAACCAGCCCCCAGCTCGAACGATAAAGGGCTTCCAGCGGCTCCATACAATGGCAACGAGGCCCCTTCTCCGATTTCGAAAACTTGAGACAAGGGCGCCGCAGATGGGAATCGATTATAAACGTGTGGCTGCTCTGGTGAACTGCAAATTGGCAGAATTAATCATGAATGTATGAGTATGAAACGATAGTGTAACGAATATGCTTGGAAGAGGGAAACCATGTATTAGTTTGCTTTATCTAGTACTTGAGCGATTTTTATTGTCTGCAAACGCTGTGGCTTTATATTGCCTTTTGTCTCCATGTTCTTCACGTAATAAGGCTGCCGATTGAGACGAAACTGACTAATTAACCGACGATAGAAAGTACGATTTATGCCTAATTTCAAGTCTTGCTAATAATTGTTTCCCAATCAACTACACTTTTTGATGACTCGGCTTGTGAATTTCATTCATTCTAAGTACTGACTTACGAGTGACCATTTGGTCGGGGGATGGATTTCTTCTTGATTCATCGCCACTGTGGCGAAAGCTGAGGTTTGGCATTCCATAATATCCTTAATCTCTGTTTTTGCTTACTCCTGTCACTTAGTTGCATCTGTAAGTATGTCAGTCCGAAGCACCAAAATGAGCAAGTAAACAGACTAAGCGAGTGTTAGCTTTGGCTCTATTTCGTATTGGGAGGTAAACACCAAAGTGGAACGTTACGGAGAATGTCATAGCGTATGTACGTGTTAGAGCTGATAGAATTTCGCTAAAAAAATCATCGATGGTGCGTAACCATAGTCTCAGCCGTCATTCCCTTCTCATTCAACACGCCCGCCTTCTTCAGAGTCTCCACCGTCTTCCTTATAACCCCCAAATCCACGCCCTTCGTCCTCTTCGTAAACTCCACAGTCTTCAACCACTCCCTCGCATCTTCTTCACTATAATCCAACTCCGTACTGATATACTTGACACTCTCCTCCTTTTTCTCCTCAAAATGCTTCACTCCCTGATCCAACTTCTCAAACAGTGCCTCCAGCCTCGAATCCCCCTTCTCGATATCCGTCCTGGCAACGATCTTCCAACTCGACCACGGAGTATAAATCTCGCCAATGCGTTTGATCTCGCCGTTGTCGTAGTATCGTTTTGAAGTGAAGTGTTCCCACATGAAGAAGTCGGCTGTGGAGTCGTTGACGCCGTTGCGGAGTTTCTCGAAAGTTTGGAGAGGGATGACTTCGAAGGGGTTGGGCGAGGAGGGGGAAAGCCAATTGTTTTGGTCGGCGAGCACGAAGCCCATTACGTAGGAGCCGCTGCCAACGCGGGATACTCCTATTTTGCCATTTTTGAGGTCGGCCACTGAGTTGATTTCTCGTTTTGCGCCCGTTGAAATAGCCCAGCCTGTAGATAAGGCGTTAGCATCAATCACAAAAATAATGGAAGAAAGATGAGACGAAAACTTAGCCTACATAATGGTGTCTCGACATATGTCCCTACGATTCTATATCCACCATCACCCTCAACATCCTCTTTTCCCAATCCTGCTACCCATCCTTCTGTGAGTCCAATCCCGACGTCTATCTCCCCACTCCTCAATGATGTGATCATATGTCCTGTGCCAGATGGAAAGGGGATGAGCTCCGCATTGAGTCCGAAGTATTTCTTTGCGTAGTGTAAAGGTGTTGAGAAGTGCTCTGGCACGAAGCCGATTCGGAGTTGTTTTGACGTTGCCATTTTCTGGAGCTACTACTCGCAGATCTGAGTTCCAGTGTCACTTCTTTATTCAATCAATCACTCTGGAAGTGTGTGGATGTTGGAAGAAGTGATTCCACTTCAAGCTGTTTTGATTGTCGTTTGTTGATCCGGGACTTTGCTGGAGCAAGGCAAGCTTGCGTCTAAAATGGAAGGAGGGGTCATTTTGAATTCACGCCAAGAGAAACGCGGGGGAGGGTGCGGCCCGAACCAAGCCAGGGGGTCCATCCATCAAAAGCTATGGTAACCGACCTCAACCCAACAGCATCGTCACAGCTAATCCATGCCGAACACCCCGGGATGATTGGGATAATAGATATGCTTGCATTTTGATTGCCGTTTGAGTCTATATACGACCCAATCAGATCTCCTTTGAATTCGGTAGGAAAGCAGGCGAAACTGTGTTTACTTTCGCTCGCCTCATTCGGGCGATCTTTCTTTCGAGCGACGACGCAGCCCTTGTAAAAACAAGCTTCTAGATCTCCTCTGTTGATTAGATTTGGATGATACACTTGCTACTCCCCGGCTGGAAAAACTATAACTAACTTCGAGGCACTTCAAGTTTGGCTCAGAAGAGGTATGTGCGGCCCTGCCTAACTTTCAAAATGGCTTCCTGCGATACCCACAATGGAGAATATTCTGAGCGAGAGCATATCCTTCTCTCAAACTATTGATTCATGCTTGTACGAAATGAAACTCAAGTATCGTAGCCATTACGATTATTGTAATGAATGGCAAAGAGACTATGGAGACTACCGATCTATATGAGCTGCTACATTGATTGTTCATTGAGCCCAACGTTTAGAGCAACAGTACTCCACAGCTTATGAAATGATCTATGTATATTAAAGAACCTGATCATCAAGGATCCACAGTGTTCTCTAGCCATCAGTCTAAGAAAGCGTCAAAGTTTACTCCTATGAGCTGTACAACGTTACAGTAGAAGTGGCCCCAGGTAAGCCTATTTCCAGAAAAGAGGAGAACGAATGGATAAGTAAGAGACATGATAGGAAAGCTCGGAAAGCTCGTGCGATGAACTTGTTGACAACAACCTCTCTTAACACGGTCAGTATGTACTCTGGCTAGCAGCAGTCCGGATCGATTATGAATCGAAAGACAAACAAGTAAGCGAAGAGATTAGTCAACAATTTAAACACCTATGTTCTTCACCACACAGAGTAATCTCATGACCAATCACTAATTTATCTGACGATTGGTAATCCATCGACATTCCTGAAACCAATCAAGTACCTAACCGCAAAACATAGTGTTCTTCAGCAAACGCTTCTTGACCGCGAGGCTGGCCCCATTGTCCCAACGCGGTAATTCTCTAATGACCATTTCAACATGCTTATACTTTGTCATATCGGATATTGCAAATCAGTGCGGACTTATCCAACAGTGAGTGAGATATGAAGCTCGACGAAGACTATATATTAGGAAGTTGTGGAGCTTTCAAGAAATATTCCTCGACATATCAAACTACCTCCCCTTCTTGATAATTAGTTGACTTCAAACCCATAGTTGCTGACCGAGACAAGGCATCTTAATAGACATCAACGACCGAAACTTACAACAGCCAGCAAACATGCCGAGTGATCTGATTTTCATCACAGGCGGTACTGGCCTCATCGGCATCAAAACCATCCACTTAGCCCTTCAAGCCGGCTACTCCGTCCGTGCAGCAGTCCGCTCCCAAGCAAAGGCAGATGCCATCCTAGCTACCCCAACTGCCCAAGCCATCAATCCTGGACCCCGACTTTCTTTCATCATCGTCCCAGACATCCTCGCAGACAACGCTTACGACGAGGCAGTCCTTGGCGTCAAATTCATCATCCACTGCGCATCCCCCATAATCAAAGGCGAAGGCTTCACACCTGATCAATATGAAAGCGATCTCATTGCTCCAGCACTGAAAGGCACCTTGTCCATCTTGACAGCAGCATACAAGACACCGGGCATCCAGCGCATCGTCATCACGTCCTCCGAAGTAGCTATCATCCCCTGGGAAGAATTCATCTCCAAGGAAGTCGACACCGTGTTCGACGACACGTACAAGATTCCTTTCCCAGCCGGTCCGTACAGCAATCCATTCGAGGCATATGCTGCAAGCAAAGTCCGTGCATTGCTCGCTACAAATGAATTTGTGAAGGAGAAGAATCCGAAATGGGATATCATCAATATCATGCCTTCGTTTACCATTGGCGACAATGAGATGATTACTGATCCAAAGAAAATCTCCGATGGCACAGTCGCAGCTGCTATTGCACAAGTTCTTGGTGGTGATAGTGGATGGGGAGCCGTCCCAAGCACCAGCGTCCATGTCGCGGACGTTGCGCGATTACAAGTCGAGTCTCTGGATGCCAAGATTGCAGGGAACCAGAACTTCTTAGCAGTGTCTGAAGGAGAGAGAGGTACAAGGTGGGAGGAAGCGATTGAGATTGTTAATCGGAATTTCCCTGAGGCTGTCAAGAAGGGAATTTTGCCGAACAATGGGCCTGCTACTACTAAGAGGACAAAGGTCGATGCTAGTCGTACCGAGGAGGTCTTCGGATTTAAGTTCCAGAGCTACGAGGAACAGGTTAAGATTGTTGTGAATCAATACTTGTCACTGGTTGGTGAGCCGGCTGCGTAGAGCTAGATGTGGGTAAAGCTGAATGCTAGAATTAAATATTTGTCCCTTGCCTTGACTGGTTATATTTGACGGTCCATGGTTTATTTTGAGAAGCAACCAATTCTGAAATGCATGATTCGAAAGATTCACGCTTCGAGGATATCTACGGCAATCGACTTCCCGAAGGATGTCCAAAGAGATATCACTGGGAAATCTACCTCATCATACTCAAATAATATGGTGAAATAAATTATTGGAATCTAAGTAAAGTCTCTACTTTCTCCGAGGCATGCAGAACATCTCTTCATAATGGTCATTGTTGACTTTCCGGGCCTATCGCCAAGTCTTTACCGACCTTCCTCTGCAACTCAGTTCAGTGGACCTACCCCTGTAGCACGCTAACAAAACCCTAGAGCTATCATGCTCTAGATTTCGCAACATCTGCAACAAACCAGCATACACCACCCCCTCCAACATTCAACAATCGCAACAATGGGCTGGTTCTGGGGTTCCTCGTCAGACGATGACGACAAATCAAAGGACCCCCTCCGCAATCTCGATCCCAGCTTACGAGAATTTCTTAAGAAAGAATCACCAGTGAAATACGACGCTCCTAATCCACCAGCACAAGCACCCGTCACATCAACACCTTCGCCAACCGAAGGTCTCCTCTCCAAACCTCCCGCCTCTCCAGAAAACGAAAATGAAAGCTCCGAGCCCAAAGTGCCCCCACAGAGCCTGTATAAAGACGGGCGGTATGCACATCTCTGGAAAACATACCAGTCACAGCACGACGTCGAATCAGCGAGTAAATCCGACCAGGAGAAGATAGATGATGTGCTGGAGGGGTACAAATACAGGAAAGCGGAAATTGGGCGTGCGGCACTGGAGAATTGCGCGCTGGAGCAGTGGGAGGTCAATGATTGTTTCCGGAATGGCGGGTGGGCGAGCAGGTTGACGATGTGCAGGAAGGAGAATAGGGATTTGGAAAGGTGTTATACTATGCAAGGGGTATGTTGGATTGTCTCTGCTATCCTCTTCTTCTTGGTACTGGTTGTGGCTTTGGCTGTAGAGTGTACTGGGCAGGGTATAAGCTGTTGGGTTTGAATGCGAGACTGACCATATCCAGAAATTCCTCAAAGCACTAGGCTACCTCTCAACCTTCGACCGCCCCCCAGAAGTCGACGAACAAATCCAAATGCACGCCGATACACTCTACCACCGCATGCTCGACCAAGAAGCCGCCATCGAAGCCGCCAAAGCCTCTGGGGAACCGATCCCGGAGTTCCCACCCCTCCTCTCCTCCACAAAAAAGAAATCCTCCCCCCAACCCGGCACCACGCACGCCAACCTCGACGAGAATAAACTCAAACCCTCAGATCTCCCGCAGAAAGTACAAGCGGCGTTCAAGAAGCGGCTAGATGGTCTGAGTGATGAGGAGCGGGAGGTGGAGGAGAGGGCTATCAAGGCGGAGATTCAGGCTGGTGAGCAGGTTGCGCAGAGTCTGGGGAATATTTATGAGAGGCAGGCGGAGGAGAAGAGGATTAGGAAGGAGCAGGGGAAGGAGACTATTGGGGATAAGATATCGTCGGTATTTGGGTTTAGGTGAGGCGAAGGGGCGGGGGGATTGATTCGCAAAGAGGGTGTATTGATATCTTAAAGAGATGGGAAGATAAGCACATGTCTGAGCTTGAATAGGGATGTAAGAGAACACAAGGAGACTCAGTGGGCAGTGAGAAAGTTGGGATTATGTCCTGTTGTGGATGTCTTGATACATGTTTGGAGTATGTACAAGTAAATTGGGGATGTAATTTGGGCTGTACATATCTGGAAAACTAGGTCATGCTGGAATGCAATATTCCTCTCCCGATCTAAATGCCAGTCTTTGACATTACTTGCCCATAGGCGAACCTTCACTTTACATGTAAGTTAGAGTTACGAATTCAGGTAAAAAACTTTTCAATTGCTTGATATTCCGTTCATATTTAATAAATAATCGCATTCCTTGTCAGCACCAACCTCACCTAATTATTAACAAAACATAGCACCATAGAAATTTCACTATCTCCACCTCTTTAGCAAAGCATCCGTTATTTCTCCCTAAGACCCCAAGACCCCAATCTACCACTCTATGCAATGTGATGACCATCCGAAGCAACTAGACCCTCACGTCTCGCTTGCTTGATAGCCTTCCTCTTTGCCGTTCCAACACCAGCAACGCCATGCTCCTGGTTGCTTCCCAACCAAGGCTTTTTACTATCACCGAGAATGCTTCCAGCCAAGAAATACGTGACAAGGCCCAAAATGATAAGAACGAATGCAATGGGGTAGAGGTAGTGAATAGCGTAGTGGAAGACCTTGATGCCGATAATGACACCCCAGAAGTTTCCAGTGAGAAGCGAAATATCGAAGAATGCCGCTGATGCCATTCGCAGAATGATCGGGGCGAGAGAATAGAAGAGCGCGAGAATGAGAGTATAGCCGACGATGTAACCACCGACTTCGCCGTCCCAGGTTGCAGATTGGAATTGGTCTCTATCGAAGATGGCGGCGGTGATACCGTTAATGATGATGCCGAAGAGACCAAGCATGCCGAGGACTTCGTACATGGGACGCTTGGAGACGAACCATTCTTCGAAGACGTTGGAGATTCCGTAGAAAGTTGCGCCTGCGAGTCCGAAGAGGTCGCCCTTGAGCATGGTTGGAGGGCTTCCGCCGTTGGCGCCAGTGATGTGGTCAGATCCGAGGAGCAAGCCCATTCCGCCGCAGCAGACGAGGATGCCGATGATCTGGAACCACTTATAGCGCACGCGGAGAATGAAGAAGGAGATCAGTACGACGCAGACGATGGACCAGAAGTTTAGAAGTTGAGCCTGAATTCATTAGTTCGGAACCTGGTCAATAGGAGTTGTAGATTCTTACCGACAGCAGATTGGTATAGCGGTATGCCAACACAGTGAAGTAGTTACCCTCCACATCCAAGAAACTCAGAATGACATACTTCCACCCATCAACCATCAAGAGCTTGGAATACTTCTTGAAGCCGTATTTGTAGATCGTATATGTGGTGTAAATGAGCGTGAGCAAGATGTAGTTGAAAAGAGTTTGGAAAGCGGGAATGGAAGTGCCTTTCATCACTAGCAGGGTCGAGAAGGTATTGGTACCGGTAATGCAAAGGGCAAGGACTTGTCTGTGAAGATATTTAGCTCTAGAGCACTTCAGAGTGATAGTATAGCGCAACATACCCAATGAGCAAGACAATCCAGAAGTCCTTGGTGAGCAAGTACGAATACCAGGACTTCTTCTTGCCCTCCAGCGACTCAAGCGCATGCTCCAAAACTTCTGGATTCACATCATCATCGTCAACTCTCCTCTCCCCATTTATGTCCAAGCTGCTGACAGGCTGGGCATTTGTCTCCAGTCCATCACTAGACTTGCGATAGGTCTCTCCCATGGGGCCCCTGGTGTTCGTCTCGACGAAGGCTGATTTAGTCGCCATCGCGCCGTAGCTGTTATTCTGCCCTAGATTAGAATTACGGAATTCCTGTCTGGTGGAATCTGGACGCTCGTCGTCCGAAGAATATACAAGAAGCGGTTGAAATTCGTCTGAAGCCGTGGTGTCTGTGTATGTGGGTATTGTAGGTATGTAGCGTAACCAAAAATCGAAGAAAATTGCAGGTATTGTTGAGCGTATCGTAGGTCAGACGTCCCCGTGAAGTCTTTCTCCCCAAAGACAGTAAGCGCAAAGACTTCAAGTCGCTTACTGGAAGATTTATGATTCTCTGCTGGACATTGACGATGCGCCAATGTTTTGTGCGACAAGAGATTGGCTGATGGTTTATGTAGGAAGGGAGGAAGAAAAGAATGGTGGGGTGGGATTTTGCTTTTTCTGCCACCATCCTAGCTCCCTCGGTGTAGCTTCCATTTAGCTGCTTTACAGCGGGGCAGCCCGCATGCCCAGGAGCTAGGCCACGCCGGTAGGACCCTGGGATTGGACGAGTTGTTCCTATGGACTGGGACACATGGAAAAGACCAGGGCCTGGCCTTTCAAGGGTGATCATCTGGGTTCACAGAAAGTCAAAAAGAAAGTCAAAAAGTTAAATCATCGCGAATATCGGATGAAAGAAATATCAGATGCCATGAAATCGAGGCTGTTCTTGAACTTCCTTTTGCAATAAAATCGTTAATATTATTTATGTAATTACATGTCTCTATTGGATGCCCCCATTGTGCTGCCCTGGCTCTCAAGGAGAGGCGGGTGATCTGAGATGAGATGAGATGGTCTCTCATGTATTGAGACATTTTCTAAATATGTTTATACGGGAGATGACAAGATAAAGTTTACCTTGCTGTTTCTATTGGCTGTAGCGACTCTATTAAATCTGTCTTGAATACCCTGCCAGGTTCGGCTATCAACCTAGAACCAAAACAAACCCCACCTCTACCAAAAGTTGGATACAAATGCCAGCATAGATTCCATGAATCCACAACATCTCATCAAGAGAGACTCGCACAGCTGAGCCATATTTGTCGTGTGGTGAACGAAAGCAGGTATGCTGGTTTCTTGATATTAGAGCAATTGATTAATTTTGTTCTGTGTATTCGGGTTCCATCTTCGACATCGAAGTAGAGACCAGACGAGTCATTGGCAACTGATCAGTTATTTGAACGCCATTCACATCATGCAACCTCATCTCGTGAGTCAAATATACATAAGAGTTGGTCATTCTTTCAAGTATTCCCGATTTTCAAGTACTTGTAACTTTTCGAGAATAGGTGAAGGAGACTTAAGACGCGCTCTTCGACCATACAAACAATACTTGACCAACCTTAATCTTACAAGCGACCAATATGACCAACGAAACCATTTCTATGTCACTTCAAGTCTTGTGCACCTTCGTCTTTCTTTCTTATCGTAACACGCATGTCAACTTTAAGATTCAGTTTCCTCAACTGAGAGCAGACTTACCGAGAAGCCTCACATATTCGTCCGCCATCCATACATCGCCTTCTTTCTCACACTCTTCTCTAACTTCCAGGCCCTCAACTCTCTACCAACATCAGGAAGCTCTCCCGCACTAGCAATCCAGTCCTCATTGACATCACCAAGCTCATTGGCATGACAAAACTTGATCTGCACCTTCGGTACACGACCCTGGTGCCAGTTCTGAGAATCATCTTCGATCTCGCGAACGACAGTGACCTCCTTCAAACTTGTCATAGCTTTGAGAGCCATCCTCAGACCCGCAGTCATCGGGCTTGGCGGGACAACTCGGTCTGGATCCTCAGCGTCAAGGTACGCCTCATCGATGGCGACGTGCTTGATACGAGAAAGCTCATCCTGTTTCAAGATTCCGAAGAGTCTATGGAGACCATCTTCTTCCAAGGCAACATCTATATACAGAGTGTCGATATTGAAGTTGAAGTATATCTTTGCGGGTTGGAGAAATGAACCAAAGCTGAGTTTATAATGTTTCTTAGCCTCCTCTCTGGATTCCTTTGACACGCAAAATGCAACTGGGAGCGTAGCCTGGGAAAAGAAGCCTGCGGTGCAATATTCCGAGGCGAGAATCTCTACGATGCGAGGGACGAATGTGGCTTGCCAGATCATGCGGCGGAGTTCAATGGGGAAGCTGTTGAATTGGGGGAAGGTTTCGTGGCTGCCGAGGGACACAAGGGGACCGGCTGGGTTATCCATAGTGGGACTACTGTATTGGGAAGGTGTAGTGTGTGATAAGGATGTGTTTCAAATGTTAAGAAGAGGATGAAAAGGAGGTTTATATCGATGGAGAGGTGTGACTTTTAAAACCAACAGGACTTCGAACAGCAGCTCACCCGCCAATAGGAAGCTTAGCGAGCCAACCACTCACCTGTGCAGCATAACCGCTGCTATTCATAGCCCTCTATTTGCATCGTCTGTTTCACCAATGGGATGCAAAAGATCTTGATAAAAAAAAAATCATTTGGCGGACATTGATTCGCTCAAATAAAAGCGCCTGCGGAGGTACTGTTATCGGAGTGTTTTGGCCATTGGTGACGAAGGCAACTGCGCGAAGCGAGGAGGAGGTACCTTCCGTGCCCCTTTCGACCTTCAGTAGAAGTCATGGCGTTCGAAATATCCATGACTGAAGAAGTTCAAGCTACTAATGCCGTAGCATAGTATCGCTATCCGGCGCATACGGTCCCGTCGTGAAATATCGGTAGAAGTTTGAATTTCAGCCACGTCTGAAATAAGCGACTCCTTGAGGTCAACATAGCATTTCTCATCACAAAGTGCTAAGCTTTAATCAATCATCCTTCACAAACCTCCACCCCTCTTGCGTTTTACTCAGCCTGACCTGCATCCTCCTCGCCTCTGCCTTCATCTCCTCCATCCCAAACCTCTGCTCCGTGACCACTCGCGTCCCATCTTCCGCCTCCAGCCAAGTAAACACAAGCGGCAGAGCAAAAGACTTGAAGTCATGGCTCCCACTAGCCAACGCATACTTCGAGCTTGTTTTCACAACTGTGGCTGCGAAGAATAGCATGGTAAACAGAAACAGTGCGACAGGGAATGTGAACCATTCCCACCGTACATGCACGCACGTCTCGGAGAGTAATACTCGTCCAATGACAGCTTCTTGAGCACTGGCGTTGGAGGAGACCAATCCGCCGTTCTGTCTGATGAAGTTGGTCATAGCGATAGAGACGTTACGGAAATTTGAGTCGAGTGTGGTAGTGCTGACGTTTCCAGATTGGAAGAGCGCTACAGTGATATCATTCGACCCCGAGTCATACTGGGGTGCGGTGCCGGCATAGCCATCAAAATGGGATGCGAGGTAAAAGGCGATACTGGTAATTGAGGACGATATAGTCTGGTAGACACAGGACGCGTTCAGAGACGATACGTCGGATTCCGAAACGTTCTTAAACCCCGTGTCAGTCAACTGGGCAGCGTCTGCACCCACAGGATAGATCGTGTGGTATCCAAGCCATTTCGTTGTATCGTTCCATGAATAGCCGGCATCTTTCAGCATCTTCTTCTCATTGTTGTTCAAGCAGGACATATCGATTGTGGAGATATAGAAACTAGAGTCTCCAGTTTTTGGATCGGTGTTGTTCCAGTCTGGTATTTCAGAGCCGATCTCTCTTTCAGTCAAATTTCCGTTTTGGACGGTGGCGTTGTAGGTCTTGATACACATCTCCAACGAGCACTGCGCCGCACCATAACCTCGACAGCCCCATTCGAGACCTGGAGCGCAAGCATAGTTTGTGCGACTGACATCGCCTCCGCCGACCAAATACGGACCGTTGCTGTCTCCCATGATTGCCTCGAAGTTCCCTGATGAAGGGCCTATCGCAAATTGATGGGCCACCATTGGGGTGCCAAAAAGTCCAGATGGCAGCGTGAAGTTAAGGGGACCCTCAAGGGTAGACGTAGAGTTGTCGGACCATATCGTTGTTGAATTCGATTGCGTGATCGTCACATTTGAAGAAATGTCTGCACAGCCGCCACAGTATGCGATGCTTCGGTACTCAGGGAAGGTACAATTTCCAGTGCTACATGTGAAGGGAGTAATAACAGTAGATGGACTGAAGATGCCAACGTTAACAGCAGATTGCATGCCTAGGTCGACTGTGTTCAGGTTTGCACCAATATGGATTCCCCTATTGCTGAACGAATTGGTGCGGGGAATGAAGCCCTGAGAGATGGTGGATATCTGCTCGCATGAGCTGTACTTGACAATCTGCTGCGCAAATGGATCTATGGCAATTGCGATGACGGTAATGAGAGCTCCAAGGGTTACAAGCAGATTCCTTTGGATCAATTAACAGATGAATTCTCATAAAGAGGTCAGACTTGCCTGCCACGCAGAGAGAATATCAACTTCACTGCACCCCATGCACCCCGTGATGCTTCGTCAAATCTTTCAAGATCCTGTAGCGGTCGAGTCCTTGAAAACCAAGTCCACTTCAGCTGTCCGAGACCTACGGATAATCAGAACAGATGCTTTTCGCAGATTCACATCTGCTTACCTGAACATAGAATGACAAACATGGCCGTCTTCAACATGATGACATACAGAGAGATCAGCGAGTTCAGCGATATCTCATATGGTAGCTGCGGCAGTGGTCGATTCTGGAAGGGTGCCAGAGTTGCCGCAATAGCTCCCAAAGATACAATGCCAAAGACGCAACAGAAAGTTTCCACTTTCCAATCTTTTACGGCTCCCAGAAGTCTAGATTGAGACTGCTGCTCGACCCGGAAAGATTGCGATTTTGTGGATCCTTCATTGCCAGGTACAGGATAATACTCGGTTTCTCTGATTAGAGGATCGGTACTCGAATGGAAATTATTCTTTCTAGAAATGTCGCCAATGTCTTGAGAGGACGCGAGGGGCAGTTGAGACAGATCTGGAGGCGAGGTAGGAATCTGATATACCTCATTGCTCGATGGAACAGGCTTTCTCGGTATGCCTCCAGCACGGCGTGGAAGGTCCTCCATTACGTCTGATATTGCTTCTGCAATCGAAGGAAAATCTTGAATCTCGAAGCATTTCAGACGAACGGAATTTCAGACTACTGGAATGAAAACCCTTTGGGGGCTGTGCTTGGTAGTACTGTAATATATTTCTCGCTAGGGGCGAACCCACAGGTGTCGAAGTGAGATTTTAGGCGTCGATCGACATGATGGGATTCAGCTCCTCCTGTTTGAGAGCGGTCAACGGGCAGAAAGGAAGAGGCTGGCTTTCGATTGACAGCGCGTAGGGGCGGCTGAAGCTGACGGATCTTCAAGTCGGAATCAGGACTGAGCGGCAGAAATTGCGGCGCAGGACGGCACAGCGCATGATATGTGTAAATAGACTCCAATGACAGCGTCCTCAGATTATCATGGTTCGGGCCGAGGCACCACCAGCAGTAGTACTCGCTAAGTGTAACGAAGGATTTAAGTCGTGAAGCCTAGAAGCTTAATTCCACCAGCTTAATATTTGAAGGCTTCCCCCGATAGTCATCCGTCTCTCGCTAAAGGCGTTATTTACTGCTGGCGGCAATCGCCAACAACTCCATTTCATATCTCTCTCGGCCGGTCGAACCTCCAATCGAACTTGGAACTGCGGTAAATAATTAGCCAGCGACACAGAGAGAAAACTTGCCAAGCATTGCTACGCCTCAGAACCAGCGGAACTCAACAACATAAGACCTCATGCCCAACTCAACGGTCCATATCATCATTCACCATGGTATCTCTCTCCGTTTTATTCAGCGTTACCCTCATCATGGCTGTCACAGCGTTCACACAACTTGACAACCCAATTATTCCACGCCAGGACTCAGAGTCCTTAGACAGCACATCCACGTCTTCCAGGACAAGAAAGACCACGCGTACAACATCGCCTTATCCTACAGCAATATCAACGTCAACCACGAGGACTACATTGCTACCGTACACGTTCACATCAACGTTTCCTAGCTCTACTGCAGCCTCTACGGGCTCGTCCGCTTTGGCAACGCCTACGAGCGGAGGGTCAAAAGTGAGTTTTGATGGAATCATGCTTGGCTGTGTGGTTGTAGGAGGCCTGGTTTTGGCGGCATGAAAACATGCAAAGGAGGGGGAGAGCCGTAAGGTGATGATGGTATTGTCAATGTTGCAGTACCGCCTCCGCGGTTCATTGCATTCTGGGTTGACACCCGCGATCGATGTCCGGTTAGCGAAGAGGCAGGGGTGATGATCTCATATTCTCACTGTTGGGATCGATAGCAACAGCAGTGTATCATTGAGACTACTGCGTGAAATTTCTATTCGTTGCAACCCTGTTCTGGCCGAGTAACTCGGAAGATCGGGAGGATCACATGGAGGTTTAGTGATAGAGCGAGACGGGATGGAAACTCGAGGGAAAGCGGGGAAGGAAGCGAAGATGAGGTTGAAATGGAATGACGTTATATACCAGCTTGCAAGGAAGGTGTAACTAGATGTGGAAGGTATTGTGAAAAGAACTACTTCGTCACTTGGAAATCTGGAAATGCCCTATATCGTGTCAAAGAACAGCTTCCTATCCGAGAATACCGTGAGGAAGCCAAGATCCAATTCAATCATATGTGAAGAAGAGAGATTTGACACCTGGTTGTAACGTTTGGGGCAGGGATGGTACTTGTTAATTGATAATATGCAAGTCAAGAAGTATATTAGTCAGTGGTTGGACAGGAGAAAAAAGCCACCAAATACCAATGTCACGGCACTAGGAACAAACTCCAAATTAGGTAAGATTTTTTTAATTTTTGCATTCCATGTATCTAGTTAACAGAATTGTGCAACACAGCTAAATCTAGTAGAGACGGAAGAAGTACATAGATAGTATTGTCAAAAACCACTGTACAAATACATCCAGTTCCGAGAATACAACAGTCTCTAATTAATAAAATTGATCATCGACCTTTAGAGACCGGTTGGCTCGCTGCAGATAATGCCCTGGTCCAACTGTTTTATATGTTAGTGGCTCGGACGGTACAAGCGGAATAGGCGGGGGGCTTACGATGGGGAGGATACAGCACATGTCCATCTTGCCAACACCAGCACAGACATCGTTGAATTCTTGGACAGTGGCAAATGCTGCGGGTGCTAAAAGACGAAGTGTTAGAGTTGTGTTGTGAGGGGTAGATACCAGCTAGCCGGTCTTAAGAAAGGAACGTACGGGTATCGCAATTAAGGTCGGCAACACCAAGAACATCGACGTCGCAGCATAGCGGAGATCCGGCACCCAAGCAGACTGGGAATTGGCGCTCCTCAAGGAAAGTTGGGTGAGCCATGGAGCTGGCGAAAAGGGCGCTGAGGGCGAAGATGGTGCTGAATGAAGTTCTCATATTGGCGGTTGGTACTTGAAGATTTGAAAGTGATTGAAGATTGTATTGTTTAATTGTGAGGAATGTTTGTATGATTGTTGGTGAGGATGAAGATGAGGTGATCTTGGGAGAGGATTCGTGCTCATCTTATAGATTTCTAGCTCTCTCCTGTTGACTTCTCTCTTGCTTCGCCTGAGATGATCGTCATCAGCTATACCAGTATGACGATGTTGATCCATCTCACTTAGACGAATCTCTCAAGGGAGAGAGAACCTGCTTGCTTGACAATCGTCATTGTGGTAGGGGTTCTCCGGGGCTCGGTAATCATGTTTGGGAGAAATTCAGCGTAGATCCACAGTAGGACTTTCTTCATGCGTTGTTTCTGTACACAGCTCGGCTGCTTGCCGTGGATTGAGCTCGTCTCCTTCAAATCAGACGGTTCCTGGCATGATCGATCGTCACTGACGTTGCCACTCAAATGCAGGGCTCAGCTATTCTAGGATAGAGAACAGACAACGGGACGAGATCGACATTATCCAAAGTATCGATTAAATCCCCCTTGATTTGTGGACCAAGGGATGGAGGAAAGCCACACACAAGGATCGGACGAAACGCCTCAACGGTGTTACCCAGAACCATAGGAGGCTTTCAGATTCGTTGGGCCCCTGACTTATGATACGCTGGTATCTCTATTGTCCTTGGATGAATCCGTCATGACCCCGTCCGTGACATATGTGACGAAGTATATCAGCCGTTCGCTTAAAAAGCTGTTCCTGAACAAATGTCTCAGAGGACCACATTGCTGCCGCAGTGAGACTCCCGTAGCCTAGCCTTTCACAAATAAATTTCCGATATGCCAAAGTCTGTTTGATGGAGCCAGATCCAGTTGCTGTACAAACATAAAGCTGTGATAAGGAACCTTGAAATAATCTCAATTGACTTGCAGCTGTTACAACCGAGTTGCTGATCTTTCAGCTACAGCAACAGAGGTACACATTCCGAGAAAACATGTGCCCTAACATAGGGCCCAAACTTTGGGCCCCGAGGTCTCCAGAGCGCCACACACGCAAAAGTTTGTCTGGAGCCAATGGAGAAGCAGGAGAACAAGCAAGGCTGGTATGCAGGGCAGTCCGAGAGCCAATCCCAGAACATATTCGACTTGATATTCGCAAACTATCCCGTGTGGCGAACGTTTTCCGTTGGCAACTGCTGGCAGTGTCCATCCGGCTCGCTTCGAGAAGACTCTCCACGTTGCAGACCAGCGGCTCGAGGAAGTTGAACGTTGGAAGGACCCCTGCAGTTGAGCCGTGTGATAAGCGGGGTAGAAAGTAGAAGGACCAGGTTCGAGGGTTGTTGACACGCATGCAAGGATCAAGAAGAACGCCGATCCTACTTCTGGGCAAGGGTACTGGCTCGTCTCAACCAATCTGGATGACAGTCCCAGGAAATGTTTGCTTCTGGAGCCGAAGAGGGTATAACATCCGCCATTAAGTCTCCGTCATCATTCCAAAAGGGACGTCCCTTTCTGCTTTGGCCCTTCACTTGGCCCGGCAGTGAAGTCGAGGCAAGCGAGGTCCTGCTGGGATGCCGGTAGCCACGGAGCAGATTCTTGACTTGGTTGTCGACATCTGATTGATTCCCATCTGCGGCCTCCCGAGATTAATCTATGCAGGTTGAAATGTACCGGTTGTGATGCAATGCGCAATCTTGGGAAGACAGCATTTGCTGATAGATTTGGAGACAATATTGATATGACGATATGAACCGTGGAGAAAAACTTGGAAGGAAATGTTGTCAATGTAACATCAACGCAAGCCACTGATGAGGTAAGGTTAAGCGTCTCGCCAAGCTTTGGCGGTGGCTGGTGAGTTTCCTGGAAGTTGGAGTGTCGCTCCCAACCGCAAGATCATCCTTCTCAAACCAAACACGTTTATTCGACAATCTATTTACTACAGAATGATTTGCCACCTTTATTCATCAAATCATAGAACTGTAATTATGCAGTGTTTCCCAACCCAAAAATAGACTTAACGCCAGACGACCCGAATTGCAAACCGACCACAGAACAACGGACCTTCGGAGCCTTTTCTCTAACTTCGTTGACTACTTCCAAATCTCATGGCTTTACCGAACTTCGTCCCAAGGAGGCTTCTTTATTTGGTAAGGTGTTTAGATGTGTTTGCATGGCACAAATCTTTGGATGCCAAACTGGCGATCCAAGAATTCAAACTGGCGTTGATTCATGATGCTCAGCGACCCAATTTTGGCCTGCAAGCCACCTTTCGCAGGAGCCTCACCGACCCAGAGCTGTTTATCTGCCTCGTCCAAGTGTCCCAAGTTATCCATGATGCGTTCAGCATTCATTCTAGGCTCAAAGTAGATGGCCTGCTCTGCCCCCGTCACTAGAACCGGGCATCGAACTCTATCCAGATATTCGGTGCCTTCCGGTGACTGCAGAGTCATGGTCTGCATGAAACGCATCATCTCAGCGGGGCTTTGGACTCCGTAACACCATTCGTTCTGAGCGAACTCCCAAGCGAGCTGGAAGTTGAACTTGCTCATGAATCTGCTAACTGAGTTGAAGAGGTTGTCGCTAATGGTTCCGCTGAGCCAGCCGTTGATGAAGAATCCAGGCATTCGGCTCTTGACGATGTCAAACATGTTGTAGAAACCGTCGCAAGAGATACAGGCTTTGATTCTGGAGTCCGAAGCTGCGCGGAGAGCGAAGTATCCTCCCATCGTTGCTCCGAGAACTGCAATACGGTCCAAGTCCAGTTCGAGTCTCTCGTTCTCAGGCTCAAGGACGTTAAAGAGATAGTCGAGAACCTTTCCTGTCACGTACTCCCAGTCGGGACGGAGCGTTGTGCCATCACGTCTGATCGAGAGTCCTTGTCCCGGTCCATCGAAAGACAGAACGGCATACCCTCGAGGAATTGCTCCAGCAGCACCATAGAAATACAACTCCTCTCCAGTCGAGTCCAACCCACCAGTCTGTAAGATCACAGGCACACGACCTGGGACTCGACTCTCGGCTGTTGGCATATACAAACGAGCTGGAAGCTGAAGGCCCTTATCGTATGGGATGCTGAAAGAGAGGACTTCTGAGTCGAGAAGGGCTACGCCACGGTCGTGGGCATAAGCACTCTTCTGTATGGATGCAAGAAGACGCGGATCTTGAGGGTTGAGATGCAAGAAGAACTCGCTGGATCGATAATAGTTGGATGCGCGGAGGAAAGCCCATCGCCCTGCGACCTTGTCCCCAGAGGCAAGCGCCTCCTCTCCGAGCTTTGATGCCTCGTCACCCCAAGCATTCCACGTCTCGTACCAAAGCTCAGGGTCGTCATCCTTCAGCTTCGATCGTGCATCAAGACACTCTCCGATCTCAGCTCCTTGGAAAGGAGCAGATCCCAGAACACGGAGAAATTCGAAGTCGAAGAATCCAGATTTGAAAAACTTAAACATTTTGCTGGCTTGTGGTTGTTATATTGCAAATAATCTTCGACGCTTGGCTCTCCGAACAAGAGAAAATTAGAAGAGGCTGAGATACTGAAGAAAAGCTTCTTCGGTTCCAACTATATCACAGAATTGTCCTGCTTTAAAGTGTCAATAAGATTTCGGCGCCGGTCCAAACTTCGGGATGGATCACGTGCCGTCGGCGCGTTTTGAGGAGACTCAGGTGTTTTTGGTAGTAGATATCCTTACTTACGCATCGTGGAATAATCTACAATCACATTATCTTCTCAATAAACATGCCGAGTTGTCCATCTGTTTCTGCAGTATATGGTCAAAATTGACCGAAACGCCCCGACAGACCCGTGAAGTCTGCCCGAGCTTTGTATCAACAAATGTCATGACCTCGGCTTACAGTAAAGAGTCTCCAGAATCTTTCCAGGTTGTTTTCAGGCTGTAAAGAAAGCTCCGGGAACATTTCAATTGCCCTATCGCCTCCCAGGAGTATATCAATTTGAGTTTTGCCCAATTTCTTGATTGGTCAACTCCTCAGATGCCTTGGTAGTATCTAATACTTACTTACTGGTAACACCAGCTGAAACTGTATTCATCTAGACACCTTCTCGGTATTCAACGAAAATATGGACTTCGACAACCCCGGAAACTTCTTCACAGTGGAGAATTGCCTGCCCCATTGCCTTGTTGTGGTTTCCTGGATGCTGGAAATGTTTAAGAAACTCAAATCACAGACTCAGTCTCAGTCTCTCCGAGTGGGCGAAACTTGAAGCAGTCATATTAAGGCGGCTACCGCTGGTGTGTAAACGATTGGGAATGCAAAATACAAGGAGGTTTGCTGAGTACTGAAATATGTCGACAGCGCTGTCTTCAGTCCATCGGGTTGGTTGCTATCATTCTTCCATCACTCTATTTAGGAGCCTATGAAGAATGAGATGGTAATCATTTCGAGCTGTATAATGTACAACAAGAGCCACCTAGAGAAAGAGTGATGATTCCTGGATTTACAGTCAGTATGACAGTGTTGATTGGGGAATTTTCAACTCGTTTGCTTGTCTTTTCTCCCGATTATTGGACTCGCATAGGCATACTCACCCATATAACATCTTTCCCAGATAAATCTTCGAACAAAGCTTCTCAACCTCGAATGACATGCAGAATACCTACGTCGTCTCTTCACTTTAATCGTGCATCTAACAAGCTAGCAGCCATTTGATGCATCCCAGCTCGGTTCGGCTCGGGAGAACGCTCGGTCCGTCAAGCGATCACAGTTTATAACTTTTCCTAGACCTCATCATGACGAATGCCATTGTATCAATTACACATCCTCGAAATGAATTCAAAACCACCCAGTGCAATCACAAAAGCCTGGTTCAGATGGAAAGCACTGAGACTACCATGGCGTAAAACATACCTCGTCGGTAAGTCCTCAATAGCAAGCTTGATTGCCCAAATGAAGCTCCAGTCTACAATCCCCAACTAACAACACACTCCAGGCCACGACCTGCAAGGCAACTCCTTCTGGGAATTCCACGACGCACTCTCAACAGACAAACACCGCATGCGGCGGAAAGTCCAATACCCACGCTCAACACACTACAGCGAAATCAAAATCTCGCCACAATGGCACCAATGGCTGCGGCACACTCGACGCGACCCTCCTTCCCTGATAGAACAGTCGCAGGACCTTATACGGCAGAGGAATCTGAAGATACTGGCTGCGCAGGCTGATGCGAGATGGGCTGCGAAACCGAGTTTTCTGGATGCGCCTGCGCGGAGCCAGCCGGAGCCTGCGTTGGAAGTTAAGGATCCGGGAGGTGCTGGGGATGTGGCTTCGAGGCTGGGAGAGCAGACGAATGGTGCGAAGAGGGAAGGAGAAAGTTTGGACAACACACGGAATCCGGATGGAGTAAGGCATCGATTCAATGAAGAGCCAGAACAAGAGGAGAGCAAGAAAGAGGATCCGTGGAAGAACGCGAGAGGGGGCCCAAGTGAAGAGTGGCAGCCTCAAGCGTGGACGGGGAATATTGCAGCGAGGAGGTGATAATGATACCATACATAATTCCGCTCTAGAGCATTAAAGTTTGCTCGGTTTCTTGCAAGGCGAATCCGTTTTCTTTTACGGGTAGTTGGGTCCATGGACTATGGTGTTGAGAGCTTCTGTAGCTGGATCTTGGTGGTATCGTTTCTGGCAAGTGCCATTCTGATCATGAATTTCACCAGAAATATGCTACTCTTTAGTCTGCGCCATCGATATGCAGCTTTCTGCTTTGAAATTATTGCGATTGCTGTCTAACTCGAGTGTCTGCCTTTCGCTCCCGATCAGACACCATCCATCCAAGTGGATCATCTGCCAGATATTTTGCAGACCAGATTGCTAATATTATCTTTTATTAATATCTCATGTTTGATACGTTTCATGTACTGCAACTGTTTCTATCAAGTTCATTCAGTCATGAAATCCTTATGCAACGCTCCAAATGCACCTTTTCCGTAACAAAGAAACGAATATGGGGACGAGTGAATACGAAAGCAATAGCTCTGGGGATTGCCCTGCAATGGAAGTCTCCAGCTGCAAGACGCTTTTCACTTCGCAGCCATATCATCCGCAAAGCCCGCCCAGCCATCCCAAAAGCTGGAATAGTAATCCACGGACAATCCAGTCAGGAAGATACTCCCAGCCACCTGTCTGAGATCCTTAACCATGGAATTCTCCTTCTTGCTTGACAGCGAAGCCGGGAAGGTGTGCACAACGGCTGCCATAGCTGAACGTTCGCTGTTCGAAGAGGATCGGAATGCTGCGATCGTCTTGTGGAAGCCGTAGATCTGGTATGTGTCGTATGTTCCTTCGAAGACTACGGAGAGGTTGCAGGCTGGCATGAAGCGTTGGTCTGGGATCATTCCTGGATTGTGGATGATCTGTTGAGGTCAGTCTTGGTTCTGAAATGGGAACTCTCTGGCGTATTCAGCTGGAACCAAGGAGATTCCAAGCTGCTCAGAACTGGGAATGGTATAACTCACCAAAGGATCACCTCCAAGTCCAGCGTCGGACCTAATTGCCGCAGCAACCTTCTCAAGATACTCCTGGCTCTCAGCAGTCCAGGTCGCGGGCGTCTCATCCAAGAATATCCCCCTCATCCCAAGATTCGAAATCGTGCTGTTCGTAGCCCACTTCGAATAAGTCGAGATATCCGCCAAAGCAAGCGAAATATTCCTGTTGGTCCAGCTGGTCGAAACATACCCAACAGTTCTGATATTCGGGTATGAGTTAAGCCTAGGGATTTCTCTCGTATAGTTTCCATCCGGCTCTGGCGTGTCTCCAGGACCACTGGCCGGGTTCACCACAGCGGTGAAATTCAGATCGGGGTGTCGTTCAGCTCTGTGATCAAATTAGCTCACAAATCCACGGAATGTCGCAACGAAAACAAGAGAAAATAAATCTTCTGGAATTGAATTGAGGAAATTGCTCACGCCTCAAACAAAGGATCCCACGCTCCAGGATGGGGGTACACATAAAGCGGAACCAGGACATCAGATCTCGGCGCACCATTCTTCTTCTTCCCAAACATGACCGCAACAGGCACCACAATAGCAATCACAACAACCAATAACAGAATCGCCAGGATCCACAGAGGCACACCGCAGAGTTTCGACTTGCACGATCTGCGTGGTTTCCGCTTCGAATTCTCATATTCCGAAGAATGGAGCTCTGGAGAAGAGGACTTCATGAGTACGGCTTTTTTTATTTTTATTTTTTTTCTGCGTGTCGTCGGCGGACCTTTTTTAAGAATAGTGAGTGAGGTTGGTCGACGTGGTGGGGTAGCAAGGGAGGGGAGCGGCTGAGTCGTTCGATGGAATGGAAAGCGGGGGCTGACAAGCTGAGCTTTTCTGAATCGAGGAATTCCCCCTTCTCTCGAAATATTGATTTTCCTCTTTTTGCCGTGAGCGAGGAGATTCGTTGGCAGAAAACAGCGGTGGAACGAATGACAGCGTGGTCACACAAAAAGCTGTGTCGATGGCGAAATTATCCAACAGCTGGTCCAGTGTTGCGTATAATACAGTAAGTGATGAAATCAAATAACAAAAGATTTCTGGGCGATTTCACACAATGTTTAGAGATACAGAGGCACAAGTATGAGGAAAACAGAACAGAGAGAGTACATTTTCTTTCTTCTTCCAAGTTTTAAAATAGATCCATCAGATCGAACGATCACGTAAACACGGCATGCAAAGCGTTTCAATACGAGGCGCCTAGAGGCTCAAAAGAGGTCCGTACGCTGCGGGTGTGCTGCCAAGCGAAGAAGATCTGGAAATTACTCCACTTTGTTGTGGGTGTGCCAGCATGGTAGGCGTGGATCTCTCCGAATGGTGATGTGCTGAGCTTGGCGAATGCTCCGAGAGTTGGGTCCGTCTTTGGCAGCCTCGCGTTCTGAAGTTTCAGCCCTGCCTGTGGCGGCAGCTTGATTCAAGGTGGAAATGTTTCCCGACACGGAAGCGTTTATTGACTTTGCGGCATGAAGGAAGCGATCAAGTGATCAGTAGCGCTGACATGCGAAGTGCTTACTTCATACGAAGATGTAAATATATTGCACAGATATACAGTAGTTGTTCATAAGATCCAGTATCCTTCCTACAGAGATCCAACCCACAGTAATTACCGCACCAACTGGAATATGACCGGTATCCAATCAATTTCCCTAGGACACCCTTTCAATCATGTGTTTCTCTCTTCACTCTCGGAGAACCCCTCATCTCTGGCGATCGTGGCCCTAACATCCAGTCTTGCATTGCCAACCATTCACTCCAGGTACTTTCTGCCTGTTGGATCTCCTTCTCTCCTGCATCCTTCAAGGGACTGAGGAACGGTACTGTCTCATCCGGGCCCATATCGTATGCCTGCTTTACCTTCAACCAGTTTGTACTCTTCGCAGCAAACATATAATTTCTACGCTCGATCTCGTGTAGAGAACCAATGCCCCCTTGCCAGTCGTCCCCGAAGAAGCCGTGTAATATTCCCGGTGTATCATGTCCAGTCACTACCAGCCGCCGGATATATGGAAGTAGGGAAACCGCATGCGTTTGTTGCTGATTAAGAGGAAACAGGTTGTGCTGTCGAAGATGGGGAATGTCTTGCCCGGCACCGCGCGGTGAAGATGCATTGGAGTTTATGACGGGGAAGGGTTGTTTCTGGAACGGTAGTTGGATATTGAGGAAGGCTGCAAGGGCCTGCACGGTCCACTCGTGCTGCGCATGGTCAAGGAAGAATCGCAGGCAGCTCTGGAACTTAGGGTACCATTCCAGCACATCGAATGGAGGGCTGTTGCTCTGCTGCTGTGATCGAGAAGGACTGCCGTATTGTGCAAAAGGTGGGGTTTGGAATGCTTGAGAAGAAGATCCGGCTTGGCTGTTGAACGCCATCCTTCTGTACGTCGGACATCAAGCAGTCAGAAGAGGTCGACTCGACAAGGAAATAGGGGACAGGGGCAGGCAAGGATGAATTAAAAGTGATTTCAGTTACCGTATGTCTGGACGGCGGGACTAGTTACCCTCGGTAGGCGGCTGCACTGCCCTTCTTAAAGAGGAGATGTTGGTTGTAGGGAGTGGAGTGGAGACGAGACTCGACCAAGTCTCCGACAATACGATTCATGCACTGTATGATGCTTGTGGAAGAAGAAACGATAATGGCCGCAGTCGATAAGATACTAATTGTTCGCCACAACAGCTAGAAGACGTAGATATGCTGCAGCATGTGAAGGCTCGAGGTCCTTTAGCCATTGCAACGCTGCGTCTCATTGACAGGGCGGGCGGGTCCTTTATATAGTGCGGAAGGTGCGATTGCGAATGAGTGAGTACGGTACAGTACAGTACCTGGGTAGTCAAGAGCGATCTGGAATCAGGACGGACTGGAAGAGAATATGGTGGAGGAAAGGAGGACGTCAACTTCTGCTCTGCTCTGCTCTGCTCTGCTCAGATTGGCATGCGAGCACAATGCATGGCATGCCATGGTTGCATCCAGGATGGGACGAACGACGTCCGAGATGGCAGATAGAGATCGCAGCAAGGGAGAGCAGGGCGGCGGACCGTGGCCCACGAGTGGAGGAGGGCAGGCTGAGGCTGGGAGTGCCCTTCCCGAGTCCGGTCCAGTTAGCCAGGCCCGTAAGAAGCACTTACACGGTGGGAGTGGAGCGATGAGGCGTGGGATGTCGACGCTGGTTCAGGAGAAAGAGGTCGTAGTCGTGGCCACTTGACTCGAATAATAGCGACCAAGAGGGGGGAAACTTGGGGAAGCTTTTCCTCCGACGGCGAGCTAGAGGGGAACATTGACCCTGCAGCTGAGAAACACTGCATCGCACTGGACCCTGCCCCTGCACTGCTGAAGCCATGTCCTGTGGCACAACCACGCAGTGGCTCGAGCAGCAGATCACTCACTTAACGAACACCCAATTGTCCAATAGTTAGTGGAGGTTAAATTCGCCCTACACTGTCATCGTGAACTTGACACCTTTTTGCAGTAAACAGAACAAATCAAGACATGGAAGCTGAAGTTTTTCGTATCTACAATTGCCCCCATGCAGCACAACGGCTGACCTCACGATGCTTGAGTGCTTGTCATAAAGTTATTGTTGCTACTGTCTGCTGCAAAACATGACACACCAGCTGTGCACAGAAGCTTTCTCTTACCCCTCCTCTATCTGTATTTGCCATATTGGCTTTAGCCACACATGACGCACATACGCAGCTGTGTATGAAATAAGCACGCATACCCGTCGGTTAGCTCCTTAAAGAGTTCCGAGATGCATTGGCTCATTTCTTTCCTTCTACAGTATTTGCACTTGTTTCTCCAACGTTGCAGTCCGTCAGAAGGTGGCAAGAAATCCCCCCTACTTGACTCAATATATCCAATTCTCGGCTATTAATAGTAAGATCGACAGTTCTCCAGCTTCAACCGGACTTGTAACTTCAGATATCTCACGAACCAGAGACACCATATCCACTTCTCACCTGTTCATTCAGCAGCCTCAACAGTCGATAGCCTCGTCCTTTTCTGATCAATCTGATGATCTGCAAGATACATCTCCCCACTTCTCGGGACACATCCTGAAATGCACTGCAACGCTGGTCACCCGCTTCTCTTCATGGTCCTGGGAACAACTAGTTGCATATTGTATCTGGAACAAGGACCCCCAAAGAATCCGATGAACCCTCGTCACAGCAAGCAAGCCCTATCTGCATGTATCCGTCATTGCCAGAGCTGTCAGCCTGTCACATTCGGCCCGTCGACCTGGAGACGACCTTTCGTACCACAGCCCTCTGTCTGGGCTCGCAAGATAACCTCGAAGGAGAGACAAAAGCAAGGCTGGACCGGCGCCTGTATTAATTGCCCTTTCTTCTAACTGGCCGGCTCGTCCTGAAGGGTGCGAGCCCCCTTTTCAAGCATCACCGCAGTGTAACAGGGATATTGTCCCAGCACCCCCATCTCTGGGACAGCCCATATGTCGTGCATATTAAGTTGTGCTCTGCATCTAGGAGTGATTTGAGATTTAGTGTAGCACCCTCGGCATCATTTTCGCATATGCTGACGTTGAGAGAAGTGATCCGTGTGTTGAGGCCAACGCCCCATCCCTCCCGAGCTGAAGGATGAAGTTTATGGCTGAAGCCCAACCTATCGGGTGCTTTTCAGGGCTTAGGTGCGATCTACAAGCGGCTCTCACTGCCGACATCCAACCTCTCGTTTCCAATGAATTTCCATCACACAGGTTGGAGATTCGGTCCTTTCCTTTTGGAATTGAATATAAATACCCTCTGTATTTTCTTTTCTTCCATTATTCCGACGAGTCTCAGATTGATTGCCTTCTCTTTATCTCGGCTTGGCTGACGTCCTCGGATCTATTGGTTGGCTGGATCAACAAGTTCATCTGGGTTCCAGCCCGCATCTCAAAAGTCTCAGATCTCCCGTTGTTAGTCCAGTACGTATAGACAAGGGGGCGGCAATACAATACAATACATTACACTTATTGATTTTTTGAATCACATCAAGTTTAATCAACCACGAACAATTATTTGGAATAATTCAAATAACAATCTCCTTTATCATTTCGTGAACACTGGTCACTAATCGCGGGCATTCGGCCAGTCCGAACCCTCTCCTACCTTAACGTTGCTTTTAAAACAAAACCTCCATACTCACACCCCAACAAGTACAGCCTTCTTCTTTGGACCTCGGAATTTTACCGTGTTACTGTCTAATCTCGCCCAAACGGCTAAAGATCGACAGCAGGCAGCACCTGTCATCCAGGATATTGGCGATAGTTGCTGTATGACGGGAATGCTACCTACTGCTATGTTACAAAGTCCCTTGTATTTAATCATCATGGCATTAATCGCAATCTGTAGGATCCCAATCCGTCACTAGATACTCATCACACCCATCTAGAATCTTCATACCCTCCTCATCGATCTCAAACCCCTCTACCGTCTTATTCGCCACAATCCTCTCCTTCGTCACACTCTTCGGTAACGGCACGTATCCATGCTGCAAGCTCCATCTTACCAGCAACTGCGCAGGCGTACATCCATACTTCTTACTTAATTGTACAACCTTGGGGTTCTTCATCCGTAGAGCGCGCGCGAGAGGCGCATATGCTTCGACTACTATACCGTGTTTTTGGCAGAAGGATGTAATGTCCGTTCGGGTGTTGAAGGGGTGGACTTCGATCTGGTTGACTGCTGGGATGGTTTTTGGATTCGAGTCGAGGAGTTCTTGGAGCTGCGGCAGACTTCTCGTCAGTACAAGAGATCTCTAATTTGTGTCTGCGAAGGAGAAACAAGAAGGAGAAATCTGGGATCACGCACATGCTTAACACCATAATTGCTCACCCCACCAGCCCGCACCTCCCCTTCAGCAACAGCATCCTCCACCGCCCTCCAACACTCCAACCTCTTCCCCTTCCCCCCATACGGACTATGCAACAAATACAGATCCAAATACCCCATCCCGCTCTTCCTAATACTCTCCTTAATCTTCCTCCTCGTCTCATCATACCCCCTATTCTCCTTCAACTTGGTCGTAAACCACACATCCTCCCTCTTGACCTCCGGATTCTTTTCAAGGTATTTCAAGATTGAGGATCCGACTTCTTTCTCATTGGCGTACCACTCTGCTGAGTCGACGGCGCGGTACCCGGCTTCGAGGGCGTAGGTTACGGCGTTGGAGGTTTCGCTGCCGGAGGTCATGTACACGCCGAGGTGGATTCGGGGCATGAGGACGCCGTTGTTGAGTTTGATGGGGTTAGTGGAGAGTGACATTTTTGTGGATGTGGTTGTGAATTGGCGGGGTTTGAGTGTGCTGAGGAGGCGATGGGACATTTGACGATCATGGATTTGGTGGTGTAGATACGAGGGGATTAAGAAAATGGGGGCTTGTTTCTAGGATATTTCATTTTGTTCCTGTTCCTGGAGGTCTCTCCACTTCGGTGTACAAGGAATGTTGATGACGTCGATGCATTGATTGGTGGGGTAGAATGAGGGGCATTTGAGAGCTCGAGCTGAAGAGCTCTTCATCATCCTTGGCAAATATCGAAATATACTTCCTGAAGTTTACAACTCTGTGTAATTGCACTCATGCTTTGCCAAGTCCAAGATCTAATAGACTTTAGAGAGCCAAAACTCGGAATGCCCGAACCAGCACCAATCAACCGCTTTCCCCTGCATTCTGAGAGGATCGATTTCCTACAAAGCTCTAAACTCCTCTCCAGGAGCGAGGTCCCGGTCTGATATCGCAGTTATCGGTACACCTTTTCTGTCACCTCCCATGTTTGTGATTCAGACTCAACAAGCTTCACTTCCTCAGTTCCTGGCTGAGTGGAGTTGCAGTGATTTCAAGCGAGAGCGAAACCCTTAGTTGGATCCAAAACGAGTTCTTCTCACGCTCTAATGCTACTTCTCAACTTCAACTGTCGTTTTTGGTCATGTTGAGACTATATAAGATTAGTAAGTCTTAGTTTGCTATTGATTTTACCTTCTCGGAGATGCTTAAGCGAGTATTTTGAGAGCTCTACCTTCTTAGTACAAGTGCGCACATTTTGACTTGTATATTTATTACATGTTCGTCGATTCAAGTCACTAAAGAAAGGGCCTTGGCTATTTGAAGATATTTGGATCTGATAGGGCTAAATCCTTCTAGAACTTGAAGAGGTGGGAGCATTAGCTCTTCCCCGCATGTCAACCCCGCACTGCAATACCTTGTTGACATCCGTTACCCCACGTTCCACTCGTGGATCAGCCAGGCAGTTGGACACCCGTCTCACGATGCCTCCAAATTTCTCGCTGCGTTATAATTCCGGACCATTGTTGTCGTATACTTTCCTTAACCTACACCGTGAATGCGACAGGAAGTTCGTAAACAAAGAATTCTGTAACCATTACGTCTTCAATTTTGCTTTCGAGCGCTATTATGATGCTATGGCTAAGAAAAATCATGTGCCGTGCATATTATATATGTGGATATACACTCGTGAAATGGAGAGGTTCTCGATGGAGAAAGCCCGTTGCTTACTAGCAATCGGAATCGAGTAGTTCAAGGAGGTTGTATCTCAGAGATGGAAATCGCAAACGGTAAGATACGCAAGGTAAGCATAGGAGCCCTCTCATACCTCAGCTACGTACAACATCATGTAACGTTAATGATACATGGGCAGTGACCCCGGCGCCTATCACAAGCAAGGCTCGGGTCATACTTGATGTCTACCCGGACGATCAGTCCAACATAGCTACACCCCTCCCCAAGTTCCCCTCATTCCCTCAAGATTGTGATTCGCTCAATGCTGTACCAAGTCCTTGCGACTGAATCGTATTCGTGAGGAGAGCAGATGCAAGTCTCGTTTCCGGTGTAGTTTGGGCCGAGTATGGACCCGAGCAAAGCAGGCACAGTTGTTGGCATAGGTATGGCCTGTTCCGGTTGTGTAGCGTGAGCTTTGCTCTGCAGAATAGATTGAACTTTTACTTAAACTAGTGGTATATAAAGCTTCATGGATCTGCATTCCGAGCTATTATCACATATCAGAAGACGCTCTCTGTCCAACTGTCAGCTTCAACTCGATTAGCAATCTCATCATGAGCCAACCAGCTGCGGTACCCAGCCAGTCCGAGAAGCCTACGCAGGCTCACCTCGAGGACATGTCTATACAGCCTCAGGACGATCCTGACGCCAAAGTCGACGGATATGATAGCTATGGTCTAGTGAAGTCTAGGTACGATGAACTGTCTATCCCCCGCACTGTGTGGGTCTTTAGGCGTGTCGTCCTGGTTTCATTAGCTGTCTACACAGGTTATGTCTGCGAAGGTTTTGAGGTAAGTGGGTAGAGCTCTGTGGTGACCAAAGGGGGATGATATGTGTAGATGCTGACTTGTCGTGTCTGTGGGACAGCTTGGAGCTGGAGGCAGTGTCGTTGCAAACAAGGGTTTTATTAGTATGTTTTCCCTTGCCCTTCCGTTCCATTGATTTCGGAAACCTCGATTTGGCATAGCTCCTGATCACCGATCCTGACGGGGTCCAACTTTTAAATACTGATTCGAGGAACAGAGGAGTTTGGTACCACTGGTGGCGCTGGGGTTAGAGCACTTGATCCTCCCTGGTGTGAGCACGTTTTCTTCCACAAACACACCCAATGCTAACGATTGAAAGTATCCACTTGGAGTGCTCTTTTGGTATTCCTACTATTCACCAGAAGAATTCCCCTGCTGATTGGTTCAGAATGTCGGCCAGATCATCACTTTCACTTACATCTCTTGGTACGCATACCTCTGTACCGGTTTACAGACTGTAGCTAATGTGCAATAGGTTCGCAGATCGTTATGGTCGTAAGGCTTCGTTCTACCTTGCTTGGATTTGGCTCGTCGTTGTAAGCGATTGATAGGGTAATAGCATGAACGAGGAGGGCTCGTTAACATATCTAGGGTTGCGTTTTCCTCAACACAGCTAAAAGTCCGTCCGTTTGGGTGAGTCACTCCATTGCTTCCTACAATCGATATGTTACTTGCTAATGTATCATATAGGCACTGGCAAAGCTTTGCAATGGTGCAGGTATCGGTATACTTCAGTACGCTCTGACCTTGCCCAAGCATTTCCCAACTCTTTTCTGACCTTGCACAGAGTTACATGCCAAGTCTACATCATGGAGATCTGCCCCAACAGAATCCGAGGTGGTATGATCACTTTCTCGTCGGTTTGGTACGTTCCACTCCTTCACAGCCTGCTCGATTTTTACCTGCTGATGTCCCACAAGGAATAACATTGGCGGCATCGTCACCTCCGTAATGATGCAACAACTCAACCAAAAACACCCCGACAACTACCTCCTAGCAATGCGCATTCTCTGGATCCCCATCGGGATAATGATCGTGTTTTGGATCTTCATTCCGGAATCTCCTTGGTTCCATGCTCGACGCGGTAATAAGGAGAAAGCTATGAAGAGCATGAGACAGCTGTATAGTGGTGTTGACGAGTATGACTTTGAAGAAGAGTATGGCATTATTGCGAGAACGATTGAGCATGAGAAGTCGCAGCTGGAGGATGAGCCGAGATTCATACATGTTTTCCAGGGTCTTAACCTTGTGGGTCAATTTATTTCGTTTGAGATAGGGGAGAGTGCTGATGGCATGCTAGAAACGTACACTTACTGTCATGGTACTTGCGGTATGCCAACAACTCGCTGGTTTGGCCATCATTAGTACTTATTCAACATGTATGTCATCCATGTTTACAACCCCCACGACACCATACTAATCTGATCTTAAAGACTTTTTCTCTCTTGCTGGCCTTGAGGATCCTTTTCTCGGAACAGTCATTCTCTCGTGAGTCCACTTTCCCAAAACATGCTTTTCTCTCTGTCCACGAGGCGGCTAATTCTATTCTAGCTGCTGCAATCTCCTTGCCGTCATTCTCTGGTCCTTGAGTACCGACAAGATTGGTCGTCGTCTGATCATCAATTGTTGCCAGACATTTGTCTGTGCCATTCTCTTCGTTGTAGGTGGACTGCACTGGACGGGAGCAACATCCGGGAATACTGCGGCTGCTACTGGCCTTGTAAGTTTCCCAAGATCAGCTGCTGCAATTTCCTCCTTAAATTTCGGACTGATGTATGCTATAGCTGGTAATTTGCTGTTTCTGGACTTTCTCGTTCCAACTCATCGCCATGTCGTACTACCTCTACTCGGCTGAGCTTCCCTCTGCGCTTCTACGAAGTATGTTCAACGTCCCATTTCTATCTTTCCCTCTTGCGAGAGATGACCAAGTAAGTAACCGTACATAGTCAAAACGGGACCTGTGACTTTCTTCTCGAACTCCATTATGGGCATAGCTACATGGTCAGTAACCCTCCGCTCAACTCTTTTGACAGAAAGTCCTACTAATTACTTTTTTCCACAGCTACGCAACACCGCCAATGCTCCTCTCACTCAGTCTCAAAACTGGCTTCGTATACGGCGCTTTCTCCGTTCCAATATGCATCATCATGTGGCTCTACCTGCCTGAGACGAAAGGGTAAGTCTTCTTCACCTAGCTTAGTCAAACAAAGCCTGGACAAGGAAACAAAATATAACCCACATCGATCCACCGTACTGTATGAACGTGACTGGCTGGCTGACTTCCCTTTCTTCGCGCAGCCGTTCCGCAGCCGAGATTGATGAGCTGTACGAACGCAAGATTCCGGCTTGGAGGTGGGAGAAGACCGTCACCGCGGCCGAAGAACAAATGCAACTTGTGGTACAAGTTAAGGGCGCTGTGAGGGACGCGAAGGGAGAGAAGGTGTAGCCCAGGGTTCGTGGGTCCATTGATCGTCGTATTTTGGATTGAAGACATATGTTTGTTGCCTGAGAAGAGTCTGCTGCGCTACCGAGATTTGATGAGGAGCGGGTGGTATTTGGAAATCATTGATACTTTAAAGCGCCGCGACGACTTCAGGTATTTGCATGTGGTGTTTACTCCCAACTGTTGTTGAAGGTGCTAAAGCTAAGTCAAGCAACTTTCAACACCTCGATATCATTTTAATCAGAATTTTCGTTTGACCGTCTGAATGTGAAGTATGTGCGGGTGTAGCCACGTTTGATGGATTCCAAGTCGTACACAAGATGACAGGAGCACACTGCTTGGACAACAAGAAGCAGCTTGAGCTGTCGACGACGGCATACCTCTATGCTAATCGGCATTGTGAGTAGTAAGTACTAAGGACCTGTGTCCTCGTACACCTTACAATCTCGATCTCCGCTCTCAGGGACCGTGGCGAGTGATGTTTCCCACCCCAAGCTCAGTTGATGTGGGCAACAACAACACTCCAAGAATTTAAGCGAGAAAGATGCAGATCTCCATTCGGCTTTTCGGACATTCGAGAAGTGCACGATATTGCTTACATGAAGCTGGAAGAAGTGACACAAGATCAACAGCCTATAAGCAACCGAGAATCGTATCCTCTCCAACGATCCTTCCCATGTAGATTATTGCCTGCCGCCAGGCTGGTATCGCTTCGATCATCGATCTGGTCCGATCACGCACCAGACCACAGTACAAAAGGATTCAATCCCACACATCATTCTCCATAGCTTCGCTCTCTCAAGATGCAATTCAAGATGAAAGAATTATCCACAGCCCTTCTGGCGCTCTTGTCACCTCAAACTGCCAGTGAACAGACTTCAACCTCTGTATCCATCTACCAGGGTGCAATCACCAGCAACGCGGCCACACTTAACAGTATCTCCCAACAAGCAGCAAGCAGCAGCGCAGTACAGCGCGCGAGCTTGGTCTGTAAAGCCAGTGAGATCGTCCTCGGATCTGAGTCCGTAATTTCGAAGAACGATACTTTGTATCAGCAAGAGAAGAATCAGCCTTGGTATGAATTCTCTCCAGCTCCATGTCCTCGATTATAAGTAGATCGGTAACTAAATACGCAGGTCTACAACATGTTGGCTCCCGGCTGCATGCTTCATCAAACCAATAAGTGTACTGGAAGTTCAACTGACACTCAGAATCATCACAATTCTGCAATCAAGATTCGCTGTTCGCACTGTCGGACACAATCCCAATCCTGGATTCAGCAGTGTAGACGAGTCGGGCGTGGTGATTGATCTCAGGCATTTGAATAGCGTGGTTCTAGCGCCTGAACGAGATGTTGTCTCCGTTGGACCAGGCGCGACGTGGGGAGAGGTATACGACGTTCTTGAGAAAGAGGAGTTGACTGTTGTTGGTGGACGGGTGTCTGAAGTTGGTGTTGGAGGATTGTTGTTGGGTGGTGGGATGTCGCATTTCTCGAATCGATGGGGGATGGCCTTTGATAATGTGAAGAATTTTGAGGTGAGATAGAGGTGCAGAAAAAAGGGTTTGAAAATTGTTGATGATTTATGTAGGTTGTTCTCGCAAACTCGGAGGTCGTCAATGCAAATGCGAACGAGAACCAAGATCTCTTCCGGGCTTTGAAAGGAGGCGGACCGAACTTCGGGATTGTCACTAGATTCGACCTGTACACGCACCCAGACTACAAGGTCTGGTATACGTTCAAGATGTACAGCGCCAAGGAATCTGAACGTGTCTTGAAAGCCACTGTTGAAGTGCAAAAGGCTATGGAGACCGATGATCGTATTGGTTTCTTCCTCACTTGTACAGGAGACTTCTTCGTGGCAGGCATGTTGTACCTGGGATGGACAGCTTCGCCAGTGACTGCTTTCAAGACGTTCGATGAGATCACGCCAGTGATGGTTACCGTGCCAGAGACAAATGGGACAGCATCTTCAGTTGCGGCAGCTGTGAGCATGAATGAGGCTGCAAAGTATGTTCTGCCTATCATTGATTTGAAAAGGCTGACCAAGATTCAAGACGCGAAAGTGGCACCTTGACTGTTCTTCCAGATATAGATTTTTATCTGGAATTGCAGTCCATTCTGCAGGGGATTAAGAGCTCCGCAGTCACGTCCGACTCGTACTCTCTAGTTTTTACCTACCAGCCAGTTGCGAAAGCTTCTGTCAGGGAAGGTAATTCCTTGAATGTCTCCCCTGTGAGTCAAGCATGTAAGCTCCACCAACTTGCTATCGACCCAGAAGACTACTGAAGTTTTCTCGTAGGGCTAGCAATAGCAGTGACATGTACAGAAGAATCCGAAAATGAGCTAGCACGAAAACAGATAAGACAGTTGATCTCGGGGATCGAAGACGCAGCCGAAGCTCATGCGCTCGACCTGGACTTCAAGTTCATGAACGATGCTTCTTACATCCAGTCCCCGCTGCGAAGCTATAGCCATGAGAGCTTAGAGCATCTACAAGCCACTGGACAGAAATGGGATCCGAAAAGCGTTTTCCAACGACTTCAAAATGGCGGTTTCTTGCTTTCCAAGGCATGACTTCGTAGCGCTTAGTGCTCCAGATCAACTGTGTGCAAAGTATTAAAACATAAGATTTCTTAGCTCTTGACACCGTTGCTGGTACAGCATACCACCAATTGTTCTTGATGGAGCCGGTCTTCCTGAGGCTTCCCCTATCTGCATTGTAGGACAGAAATGCCTTGAGCAATCTGGTGTTTGAGAATATAGCTCAAATGTGATATATGGAGAAAACAGAACAGCCGCTGAGTGACCTGAAATTTGCAAGCAAACATGTCTGCCTGAACGAAGACTCACTAGTCTCCATAAGGATCAATTTATGGCTATTGGAGAGAATAACCTTTTGGGCTATAGAGAGTAATGATGCCCAATCGCCGAGACCTTGTGCCCTGTCAGTGCAGATATATCAGGAGTACCTAACGTGACGGCTGGAAGTTTAGCCTCGTCTTAAGAATCGAATCGCAGAGCGATCCTCAACAGGACAAGTCGAAAGTAAGACATAGATCAACAGATACGTGTTCCATTATGAATGCCAAAGTTAATGAATACATTGTTGTGGGGATCTCCAAGATCTTCAGGAACAAAATCCTGAGGGACCACAGCCCCAGCCTCCCGGCTGGGCGAGCGGCAGTAGCCCGTCGGGCGGTGAGGCGGCAGAATCACATTAGCGAGGATCGCCAACTTTCCCGGGCGCATTGTTGACCTTGGAAAAACAAACAATACCGAGCCCTCTCCGCCGGATTGATGACGCCGCTTTCCAAGTGGAAACTCAAACTTGTAAGTTACGAGACACATCCAATTTCCAAGGTCTCCGCTGTCCTTGGATCCCGCCAGCGCAACCTTGGAAGCTGGATGATGTCGTGTTGGTCCCACCCCCAGCCACCCCGCTTGATTTCTTCCCAGCCTCCTGCATCTCATCTGCGGGAGGTACTTCTAACCCTGCGGGCAGCTGCATCTGCAAAATTCTAGACCATATCAAACGCCTCTTGTACATTACTCACTATTCTGCATTCCCACATCCCTCGACCCTTATCGCATTGTCCTTATCCACACCGCCGGGAATCGAATCAAACACAAAGGATTGGCGAAGACAACAGTCTGCCACCTTTCTTGTATATTTGAGCGATTTCCTTCCTTCTCTGTACAATACCATTCTTCATTTACATAATGTTTTCGAGATCGATATTCGTCCTTGCAGCTTCGATCTGTGAGCTTGCTGCTGCTCAAACATACTCCTCCTGCAATCCTCTATACACATGTAAGTCTTCCATGCCAGACCGTAATCACCGAGTCCTATACTGATATGCAACTAGCCGGCTGTCCTGCGAACACAGCACTTGGGAAAGCTATCAGCGTCGACTTCACGAAAGGCGAGGTCAACTCCTTCACCGCCATTGGCAATCCTACCTACGACTCGAGCGGCGTACACTTTACAGTCTCAGGCAGCGGAGATGCTCCCCAACTAGCCAGCGTATTCTACATCATGTTCGGGAAGGTTCAGATTACAATGAAGTCGGCTCCTGGAGCAGGTATCGTTAGCACACTGGTGCTGCAATCGGATACACTCGACGAGATCGACATGGAATGGCTGGGAGCAGACGACTCCGAGGTTCAAACAAATTACTTCGGAAAGGGAGACGTTACGACTTACAATCGTGGAGCCTTTAATCCTGCGCCAAACAACCAAGGAGAATTTATCACATACACAATCGACTGGACTGCCGAACAAATTAAATGGTCTGTTGGCAATACCGTGGTTCGAGTCCTTACTCCAGCCACGGCAGATACAAATCAGTACCCACAATCACCCATGCAGATCAAGTTTGGTTCATGGTCAGGAGGAGATTCTTCGAACCCATCTGGTACGATATCCTGGGCTCGAGGACCGACAGACTATTCCAAAGGGCCATTCACAATGACCGTCCAGTCAATTGCCGTAACCGACTATTCGACTGGAACGCAATATAAATATGGTGACACCAGCGGTAACTGGGAGTCCATTCAAGCAGTCGGTGGTAAAGTCAACGGAAATTCTGGTGCGGCCGGATCTCCAATAGCCACAGCAGACGTTCCAGCCGTGACTTCTGCATCACCATCTATTCCAGCAGGCTTGGGAGATAATCACGGATCTACAGCACATCAAACTGGCTGGCCATGGGTGGCAACTACAACTCTCTCAACAGTGACTTCCGTGCCCACCGTTGCCGGAATACCAGATGGATGGATCATTACCTCATCCGGAAAAATACAGCCTGCAAATTCTGCGGCAGTACGTATGTCCTAAATCCCTCCCCTTGTCTCGCGTATTCGAGCTTTTTGTCATCACATACTAACGAGTCACAGACGTTACCAATATCAACCCCTTTCTCTTCAGTGGGCCCCTCGCCCTCGCCATTATATCCGCCTATTGGAGGTGGCCTTGATGTGTCCACGGGATTCGACGACCGTGGATTTCCAACTACCTACACACGCCAACATGGCTGGCAGACGATGCCGAAAAGCTACGACGAGCAAGGCTTTTTGATCACGGGTGCTCCAACGGCGACGGCTGTAGGCCAAGGAGAGGAGACGCCTTGTTTTGGGCGAAACTGTGGGAATGCTGCAAAGGTTGTGGGCACAAGCAGTTCAAAAGCAGGGGGTGTTCAGCAAAGCCCGGCGTGGCGGAGTGCTGCTTTCTTGGGAGCAGTGGCTGCGCTGCTGGAGAGACTATTGCTTTGAATGGACTTCGTGGTCATGTGCTCACGACTCTTGCTTTGGAGGATGGAGTACGGGATGGGACTAGGGCTGGAAAATGGAAATTGGGAAATAGGATATGAAATTGGTCGAGCATTTACGAAATGATGATACATGATGGACATGACTAAGTAGATATCCAGGGAACAGCTGATGCGAATCCTTAATTTGAGCAACTTTTTACATACGATTCTTTCGATTGTGAGCTGATCAGACAGGGCCAGCAAGTTGGCCAGTGTAAAAGTAATATACGAGACTAAGCGATGACGGTGCCCACGCGGATTGCCTTTACTGTACCAACTTGGTTCCCGCAGCTAGACACTAATAGTAGGCTTGTCGTCAAAGTCACCACAATGACCGAATACATTAAAGATTATTCACTCAGGAAGAGGACTGCAATCGACTGAAACACCCTTTGCTACCTACAGTTTCTGGCCTCTTGTCGAAGCAATGGCCGCTCTTTTGGAGCTGCCTCGTGAGATGATTCTCCATATTGCACAATTTCTATCAGCTGCTTCTGCAGCCACTTTTACACACTGTTGCCATGCGGTGCTTCATACACTTGGAACACAATACTGGCAAGCAATCCGGAATACCAACCAGAGACAAGAGCTTGAGAAATTTCTACGCCTCTTGGAGATCGATCTTTCGGATCATGTACTTTGCTCTCACTGCGTTGTACTCCATCGCATTGGGGGTGTTAAGCACAAAACCGAAGATTGCTACGCATCAGAATTATTCGCAGGCGTCTATGTTTACATTCACCAAAACCTTACATTCATTGATATGGCAGCTATGATGAAGCTTTACCGCCAGGGCCTGGACTACAACCGATTCTTGGAACGATTCACCTGCAAAATCACAGGAACCCGAGATAATGCTCCATATCAGTTCTCATCACAAGCAAAGATTATTAACGGATCTTTACTCCTCAGAGTACAAGAGTCACTATGGTATCCTCATGGCGATCCCATAATAGTACCAATGACGGCTCGCATTGCCATATGTCATCACGTCGGCATCCCCGGCCTGAGCTTCGACGCCCGTCTCCCAGACTATGCGCCATGCACACTCGAGCACGACCACGACCATGACCACGAGACACAGCAGTGTATTCAAAGTACCGGGACTAGACAGTGCGTATACTGCCCGACTGAATTCCAGATCGAGCTGCGAGACTGCGCCGACTCAGAAGTTGAGCTTGTGATTACGAAGTGGTTGGATCTCGGGGAGGGACGAACGGTGTTGGATCCGAAATGGTGGAGTAGGCTGTCCACTAGGTATACTGATCATGAACTTTTTGCTGGGATGAGAGGTGTTTATAAAGAGGATGTTGATAATAGGTTGCCTGTTCCGTCGGAGCTGGTTTCTATCCGTGATTTATTTGAGAATGGGGAGGACTTGCAGATGAGGCGCAGGAGAGGAGGTGAGCAATCTGGGCTTTTGGAACTCTCTAATCCGTTGCGGTGTTGGTCTTGGATAGGTACTAGATTTCGTACAGGGAGGCGATAACTTGTGAGATATTCGAAGTGACGGGGAATGCCTGGGTTGATATACCCTCTGGCGCATGAAATGTATGGCAACAAAGAATTTATCTTCTTCTTGAATACAGCAAAAGCCATGGTGTGGACCTATGGTTTGAGATTTGGTGGCACAGAATCTGCAAATCTAGAAATTGCCATACTGCTACCTTGATTGATAAGAAAGATCTTTCTTTGGCTTCGGATTTAGCGAGAATGATTGTTTCAAGTTGTAAACAAATGCTTTGTGGAGCCGAGAACAGCAGCAGCAGCCCTTTTGAAAGGAAACTATTCTCGGCGACTTACCTACCTGCCTTTCCATACCAATTTACTCGAGCTGTTCCAGTAAAGCCTACAATAAAGGTTCACAACTAGTCAGAAGTATCGCAATTGCTCAACGATGTTAGCCTTGCTCCATATCAATAGTGGATACAAGACCATCAAAACAAGAATATCTAGGATGCTATTTGACGGAAACTGGCAAGACTGGACTCCTTTTGCGCCTTGCAGGCAGGCGATGACTAGAAGATATGATGCTAGAAACAGATTCTATGTTATGGAGATTTTCTGGACCATCAAGAATTCTAAGTCGCGTCAACGAGATCCATCAGACTGCACTCTCAAGAGTCTCCTCTTGCTCTTTTTTTGGAGCCGCTGAGAAGATGCCTCGTCCGCCCGTGGGATCATGGCCATCTTGCCTAGCAGCAGCAGCAGAAACAGCCGCATCAACCTCTTGTTAATAGTCAGCACTTAATTCCAGGACATGTTGAAAGAAATCTGCCAAGAAACCACATACCTTCATACTCCTCATTCGTACTCGCCCATCTCCACAGTTTCTCCCTCCGAAACTCCTCATAATCCCACTCCGCCTTCTCCAACCGCTCCTCCGGCGCCGTAAAGATATACGTCTCTGTCTCTCTCTCCTCACCCTCTACCTCCTTGTCCCCATCCTGCACCAACAGCTTCACGGTAACCTTCACTCTCGTGTACTCGTCTCCTTCGAAGATGTCCAGGCGGAACATGTCTAGGTCCGAGAGGCCGGTGACGTAGACTCCGCGGACGGAGTGGCCTTCCTGGGGGGTGACGCCTGGGTAGTCGTCCCCGAGGACTTTGTGCCGGCAGTGGTTGTGGAGGATGGCTGGGGTGCGGGTGAGGTTTGCGGCGAGGATGGTGGTTACGGGGGTGACTTTTTCGTCGCCGTAGATGACGCGGTAGAGGACTTCGCGGGCCATCTGTTGGCTTGTTTATGAGTGGTCTTCATTGCAATATAGCTCGATGTGGGAGGGAGGTATAACGTACCAAGGTGCCGTAGAAGAAGGCTGAATTGTCCCCCATTTTTGATGTTAAGCAACGATTTCCAGATAATTTTATAGATCCAGAATCGATTATGCTCCTGCTGAAATCACATTCTCAATTTGGCAGAGCTTGGTCTATATCATGGCGAAGGTCTTTGTCGTGTATGAAAGAGCTGTGTTTCTTCTTCAGGACATGGAAGCCGACAGGAAAGATAAAGTCGATCATTCATTCCGATAGTGATTGAGCCAATCAGCTTTCAGAAGCAAGCATGCAGCCATCGGCATGCAGAGCCTACCGAATTGAAGAATTGATTTCTGAAAAAAGTTTCATGTCTACAAATCCTAAAATCCGATTGAAGCTCTTGGAGATATTTGCAACTTTTGGCTGGCATAGCCATAGAAACATGGAGGGAGGTTGGGAAATAGAAGGCTTATCTTATCGGGACCGAGGTCAATAAACACCCCATCTTACCCCCTGAAAATGCCATCAAAACCAAGGCTGAGACCTCGCCTACCCGCTCACTTGGCAAAAGCTTCTCTCCTTCCCAATCAATAACCCACGATATCCCCCAATAGTATGCACCGTTAGATCATGGTATCTTCACCGAAGATCCCACGCGTCGAATCCCTGGCCCAGGAAGCAGGATTGCGGTACCTTACAGTTCGCACTCAGCTCAATGGGGAAGGTCAATCACGGCTTGGCGCTACACGTGCAGGTATCGTGGCCATCAAATGGTGATAACGGATCAACGCTGCGGAGGTCGCCACTAATGTATCCTTGAAGACGGCTGATTCCCTGGGAAGGAGCTGTGGGAATTTTTGACCCTGCCCAGCTTTAAAAGAAGTCTTGGAACCCCTTGGCTTGTCTTTTCAATGGTACTCTCCATCAAGGTCCTTTGCTTGACCAAGAATCGCCCAGTCTTTTATCCTAGCTGAACTTCTACCGAAAAGAAGCATTAGCCAAGATGAGATCCTCGACTATCCTCGCCTTAGCTGCAGCTGTCAGATCTGCAGTTGCGTGTGATTCGTGTTATGGCCCCTCTTCTGAGGTTGGCCCAGGATCCAGCCTGAGTCTCAGGACAGTACTGTCAATCCAAGAGCGCCTCTGGAATGGGGTCAATTGAATTTCTTGCATACAGTATGTTATACTTGAGAGGAGAACGCTGCTGCTATCCCACTCTTGCATATGAATCTGAAGCTGACGATGATAGACTGATACACACGGTTGGCTTGAAGGACATCTCAAAGAGCAGAACTATGGTGCTGATGTATGTTGGTCCTATTCACATCTTGCTTCTATCAAGGAACCCATACTAGTCTGCATTTTAAAAGCCTTTAAATTCAATCTCATATGCTTAATAAGCCGCGAACTTCCCTACTAACTTCGTTACCTACAGTGGGGAGATTTCGTGTCTTTCCAGCGACACATGAAGCAGAAAGCTGGGAATCTTGCCGTTGATCTGTTGGTCGTGGACACAGGTATAAATACCGCCACAACGTGCATGTCCGAAACTAACTTTTCACAGGCGACCTTCACGATGGAGCTGGATTGAGTGATGCTGTCTTGCCAAATGGCGTTCTCTCAAATCCTATCTTCGATGAGATTGATTACGATGTTCTCACCATTGGTAGGCCAACACTTGATGTATTTGGAAATGTTCTAATGATATTCAGGAAACCACGAGTTATATGTCTCCGAGATTGCTTATGAGCAGTAAGTCTTTCCCTATCGCTCATCTGGGATCGCTTGCTTACACATCTACCAGCTTCTACAACTTCAGCAAGGTGTGGGGAGAGAAGTATGTGACAAGTAATGTCCAAATTCTCAATCCAGCAACTGGCACTTTTGACTACATCGGCGCCAAGTATCGGTACTTCTCAACAGCCCATGGTAAGTACATTCATTCCATGACCTTCCCAGGCTCGAAGCATCACCTGACATACAACCAAGGTCTTCGCATCATGACTTTCGGAGTCCTATTCGATTTCACCGGAAACTCCAATGTGTCCAAGGTGATTAAAGCTGCAGACATGGTGAAGCAACAGTGGTTCCTTGACGCGGTCAACTATGATCAGCCTATCGACCTCTTCCTCTTGGTTGGCCACAACCCAGTTGATAGATCTGATTATTCAAATACTCTTGGACTCGTTCATTCTACGATTCGTGCTCTACGTCCCGATATACCCATTCAAGCATTCGGAGGACACTCTCATATCCGAGACTTCAAGGTGTATGACGACAAGAGCACAGCACTTGAGTCTGGTACGTGGACTATTCGAGCAATATAAAGCTTGGCTAATTGCTTTCAGGACGCTACTGTGAAACTCTTGGCTGGGTCTCAAGCGGCATTAAGTCCTCCAGCTATACCGGTCTGATGAAACCACGTGGCGTCGCCAATCCATCAAGACCTGCCACCAACACATCGACATCCGGTCTCGTCTATTCGCGCAGATACCTCGACTGGAATCGAAGGACCTTTGAATACCATGCTACTAACTCTCAAGCAAGCACTTTTGACTACCATAGCGGCTTGAGAGTTTCAAGTGACATTACCAAGGTTCGAACAAAGCTCAACCTCACATCTTTGTATGGTTGTGCGCCAGCAACTTATTGCGAATCATGCAAGCCCTTCGGTTCAGAAGGAAACATCTTCACTTTGATCCCTATCGCGCTTGGCGTAACTGTGATCAACGCATCTCGATCCGACGTCGCACGCTACATCATCGTCAACTCCGGTAGCATCAGATTCGACCTCGTCAAAGGCCCCTTCACCTACGACGATTCTTTCATCGTCAGTCCCTTCAACGACGCCTTCCAATACATCCCAAACGTACCCTACGATATGGCCCGCAAGGTCCTCGCTGGGCTCAACGGCGCCGTCTTGCCAGATAAGCGAGGCGAAGGTCTTGTTTACGGCTCTATGCCACAGGTCAAAGACTCGTGCATTGACCCAACGATAAGTCTTATCACTGGCACTGGCAGCGAGCTCAAAACTCGCGGGATACATCGCCGCCAAACAGTCGCAACAACACCTGGCTATGTGACGACCGATGATTTCGGCACCGATGGCGATGACACACCACATACCAAGATCCCATCGTATCGACAGCCAAACTACATTCAAGGCAACGCGTCTTTCCCAGCTGACGGCTCTAACCCCGATGTTGTCGACGTAGTCTTCTTCGACTATTTTGCCAGCACCGTGGTGAAAGTCCTGAATGGATTTGGGGCGAAGTATACGCTGGCTGATGTGACATATTATGTGGATAAGAGTTATACGGCACAGAATTACCTACCCGATTATGCGAAGAAGGAGTGGCAAGCGAATGTGCCGAATTGTCCCGTTGGGGAGGGTATTGGGTATGATGAGTAGATCTAGGGCAGACTGCCCAGAGATGAAGATAGACGGGGAGGTGACGGATTGTAAATTTGGAAACCATTTTCCAACGCTGGACTGACTGGCCTGAAAAGTTATATCTATCTACCTCTGATAAAATGATAATGCAATTGATGGACTGCTCGCGGGGCTGTTGATCTATCGTTCACAAGTGCTTTACCACCGTAATCTCACGAACTGTCTCTGAGATATTGACACTAAACCATGCTTCATACACCTTAGTAAGGCTACAGAATAAATCAATGGAATGAAAGTAGAAGGGTGAGTGCAGCTTTGGCATACGCATTCAGTGCGTGAGTGCATCTCGATGCGACGTGACGAATACTGTAGGCACTGAAAGGCTGAAGAATAACCTTAATTTCAGTGCTAACTTTAACGCACCTAGCTCAAATTTAGTGTGTGAACCAGTGCTACGCGAATGGCCCAATCTCGATTCTAGACCCTGCCTGACCCGAGCCGCTTCAGTAGCTTGAACCCCTGAATGTGTCCCCTTTCACTAACTCGCTTCCCTATCGAGATTTGCTTACCACAAAAAGATAAGCAGCAGTCAGCCACATGCTTGAATCCATGGACCAGATCGCGGAAGATGGGAAGCCTTTTCAATAATTTGGGTCTAGTAGCCAAGAGCGCCGACTTGGCTGAACTTTGCTGCTGCTCCTCGTCGCCATTTATATACAGGCCTCCCTTTCCCTTTGCGAGGAAGATGACATTCTGTCTTGCGCCTCAGCCCTACGTGCACGATTCCTACCCGTTCTGTAATCAAAGACTCCCTTTCTCGTACAGATAGCGCCATCTCTCGCATGTCATAGTCAGTCAATTGTCTTGTTCACAATGAAGCCATTTGGGCGATAACCTCGGTCAATAACCACCAAGATGTTTGCACCCCGCCGTGTCGGATTTGCCTTAATTGGCGCTGTGGTGTTCATTCTGTACGGACTGTGGTTCACTTCAAAAGGAGATCCTCTAGGCCCCCCGGCGCCAATTGACTCGAAACAAACATTTTCCACAGAGCCGATACCAGACCAGCAATTTTCCCCGAACATCACAGATGCACTCCCGCTGGAGGAATGGGAGATTGAGGGACACGATGATCTATCGCCTCTTTGTCGGCAAACCGAATGGACGGAGGGCCTCTGGCTTCACTGCCACAGCTATTGCGGGCCGAACAAGACATCTGTCTGCGGAGGACTCAACAATGCGCGGAATCGGATCCAGACTTGTCTACGACTGGCGATAGACGCAGGTGCGGGTCTTATCCTTCCTTCGGCGACAGAGAGAGATGAGGGGCATTTGGTGGAGACGAATGGCGCTGGACGGGTGTGTCCAGAAGTGTATTGGAATATCGATTATCTGCAGACGTCGTTGCGGGAGCAGTGTCCTCAGCTGAAGTTGCGGATGTGTGATGATCGGAGTGGGATTAAGCATGTTGTTGAGATGCCGGAAAGGCATTATTTGCATGCAGCACATTCGAATGGGACGTTTCGACAATTTGTTCAGGAAACGTTCGATCAGGGACCGCTCAATTTGACGGATGTTAGTGCCAAGAATCCTGCGGTGGTAAATTTTGGGGACTCGTTTATTGGGTGGGATTACAAGAAATCTGGAGAGGTGAGTGATCGAGCTTTCTGCCTGTGAGGATTTCGTGTTGAGTCTCCTGAGCCATGATTGTCTTGGGATGGCTCCGCGGAATACGAGCACGGCATATGGTACTTAGAGGAACGAAACTGACATGTAATCTACCATAGCTTATGACTTTGCGAAAAGCACTGTTCAAAGTGATCAAGTTCAATCAAAGCCTACTGGATATGAGCGCCAAGATAGGTCACCATCCAAAGTTGAACGATGGTAAATATATTGGAGTGCATCTTCGTGGAGAGGATGACTGGCCTGATGGATTTGGAACAGCCGCGGACCAGATACGGTTTTACACTGCGGAGATCCAGCGCATACAGAAGTCAGTGTCATACAATATAACGACTGTATATGTCAGCGTAAGTCTCCCAACAATTTTTCCAAGCTTCTTTTGCTCACAATGCCAATAGTGCGGCGACGAAGGCGCCATCCAGCGATTCAGGAATATCCTGAAGCCACTGGGCTTCACAGTAGAATCAAAATCCACCCTACTAGCCTCCTCAAACGGGACACTCGCTCAAGTCGAATCGCTACCATTCGACCAGAAAGCAATCGTTGAGTATCAGACTCTTGTCGATGCTCGGTTCTGGATGGGACTCATCATGTCTTCGATGTCATCTCTCATCGCCTATGCAAGGTCGATCGATAATGAAGAGGATTTCTTCTCGGCATATGTATTTCCGGGTAGTACTCGGAATGGGGCTGAGAGGGCGTATCCGGCTGTTCCTGATATGAGGGGGAATGGGAATACTAAGTTGATGGTGGTAAATGGGGTTGATATCATGGATTCGTTTCCGTGATGTGGATGCATTTCCACTCGTGTATATTTGTGATGTTGCATGGTGTTTAGGAGTTCTGTGTCTGGATGAAGTAGATATTTAGACAGCCTATCTAGATATGTAAAATGCAAATTCCATTGTAGATAATATTTTGCCAGCTTAAAACTTATGATCCTCATCTGTACGCTTCATCATATTTGAGGGAACTGTGAGCACTGAATCAATGGATAATATTCTTCTAGATGTAAACAATACGAACTCTTTTAAACGATGTAGATCATTCTCCTGGACAAACAACAAACATCCTGAGTCCGGGCTCGGGCTCGGTCCGGACATAACAACCTGAATGCGGAGTTCGCGTCCCCAGTTCCATTCCGCATGTATTGGCGAACCCCTGCTCAATGACGCGGACCAACCAACATCAGATAAGATTTAAAGATCAAAAGCGACCTGCAAGATCCAACACCATGGACAGCATTTCAATTCCTCTACAGCGCTCATGTTCCTTCGACCCATAGCCAGGTCACCATGGCGGATTCGTCACCTATCTCTTCCTCTCCAAGCGCAAGTCCAAAGCTGCAGAACCAGAAGCATACACAATAACACCCCGCCACTCTTCCCAACCATCCCAACATGTCCCTCGCCGTCATGCTCCTGTGCGGAGATGCCCGCTCTGCCGGAAGGTCTCCCAATTGATCACTCGAAGCCGCTGAATGGGACGATGGCGCCGTATGCGGAGCAAGTGCTGATTTGTACGGGCAAGGACGATTGGATGTCGAAGATTGAAGATGAGAATTCGGGGGATAATCTGGCGGCGGATATTAAGGAGTTGATGGGTAGGGGAGGGGTGTTTGCCGATGTATGTTGATTCCCTTGAATAACAATGCCAATATACTCTCTTCTACATCAGGCTTTTGATTGTTTGGAATGTTATATTGACAGGTGGAATACAGCCCTACCACCACGTCTCCATAACCAACTCCTCCTTCCCATCCACCACCTCTCCTCCCCGACCGGGCGTCCAAGTCCAAAGTACGTCCGCCTACCTCCTCCCCAGCTTCAAGTACATCCCGTTCCTCCCCCGCGTATCCTTCGATTCCGTCCAAGCCCTTGTGAAAGGCTACCTCCTCCCCACCAAGCTGCACCCCGCGCACGAGAACCTCTCGCCGATACATAAGGACCGCTTGTTGCGCAGTGAGAACCAGAGGAGGCTGCTTTATGGTGTGAAGGATGTGAGGGATGTGCTGGTACTGATTTGTGGGCATGGAGGGAGGGATATGCGATGTGGGATCTTGGGACCGGTGTTGAGGGAGGAGTTTGAGAGGGAGCTTGGGAGGATGGATATTGGAGTTTTGAAGGAGGCGGTGGATCTGGATGTTGGTCTTGAGACGGTGGATGAGACTCCTGTGCTTGGAGAGCGAAATGAGGGGGTTGTAGAGGGGAAGATGAATGCGAGACTTGGCTTGATAAGTCATATTGGTGGTCACAAGTTTGCGGGGAATGTGATCTTGTATATACCGCCTGGAGCGAAGACAGCAGATGGGAAACCGAATGAGCTGGCTGGATGTGGGATTTGGTATGGGAGGGTGGAGCCGAGGCATGTTGAGGGTATTGTGAGGGAGACTGTGCTTGGGGGAAGGGTGATTGAGGATTTGTTTCGTGGAGGGATTAGACAGGGAGGGGAGATCTTGAGGCTTTGAAGAACGGGCGCTCAAGATGTATAGAAAACTGTGTGATCAGGAAACCCAGGTGCGTTAGAATGTTTCTGTCACTGGTAGAGCTGCGGGGAGTTGGCTTAGAAGGATGTCAGAGTAGAGGCACCAGTAGCCTGTATGAATATTGTATAAAACAAGTATAATTGGTTCCCTTCAAAGCTTCCATGGAAATGGCTCTGAATTGCTCCGCAATGATCTTCTTTTGAGTAACTTGAAGAGCAAGCTGGCTCGTCTTCTCAAATGTGAAACGAATCAGAGAAGGTCACTGCTCCTTGCTTTACATGTCAAGTGCATTGAAACACGCTTCTCAGACAGTTGGATCGAAGACAAGAATGGCTATAATGATGACATAGCAATATTAGGGTACCCAGATCTCCCCGAGCCACTCATCCGAAGTAGAAAGGTAGAAGTCAAGTGGATGTCAGGAGAGTTTGAGTTCCGACAGCGCATGAGCGCAAAGTAGAAATGTGTCATATACCGATGTAAGCATGGATGAGCTACAGTGTAGTAGAATTTTACAATACTTTCAAAACTTGGAATGAAATGCTTTCCTGTTATTCTAACCAGAGTCTTGCCGTGAACCAGTACTTGGGGCATGTTCCATTAATTGCAGTGGCTAGTTTTTTCGCCGAAGGTTCTGCTTAGACACTTGAGATCTCCTTCGCAGTATAATACTCTTCCTCCTATGCTATGTTCATATATGTTATTTTCGGAAGGCGACGCGAATCATATCTCTTGAACTTTGTTTCGCAGACGTATACCTTGGGAGAAGTTCGGTACAGTAAATTTCGGTCTCATTTCTTCAAACACTTTACGATTTCTGAACACTCTGTCAGAGCAATAAGAGCATTGATCGTATCACAGTTATAAGTATCGATATAAAACTTGTTAAGATGCAAAATGGGGTCAGAGAAGAAGAATTGTTCAGAGGAAGCAGGAGTTTTCATGTTGTTGACAAGGCTCGCCAAGATTTCGAACTTGAAGCGAGGCGCCCCGCAAAGTCTTCCAACCTCAGTTCATCGCTATCTTGCCCTCACTTAGCTTGATGGTCGACTATGATCGTTGCACGCTGCTATGACTTCAATTGAAATGTAAAACGGCGGCCTTAGTATGACTTGTCGTCGGGGAAGCACTCTTTCACAGCCCGGAAACCCGGTATAAACAGTGCATGAGGCTTGGGACGAGCCGGCTATGAGCAGCCAGGTGAGCTTTACACTCCTACATATGTACATTCCTTTGGACAGATTTGACTGATATTTGTTGCCTGTGTATCTAGATAGTCGCCTCGCTCTGATCGCTTGGAGACACCATTCCGACGTCTTCCGCACTATCTCTGCTTCTGGGGCCTGAAACGTGCCGGTAATTTCGCTCGCATTGTAAATCTTCGCAAAAACAGATATACCGGTCTGTTTGTATTTGTAACTGTACTCTATGTATATTTACCGTATTGTGGTGAGGCATTCCTGGCAGCTGTCACCTTCACATTGCTTGGAGTCGTCGGAGGCGTATCACTTCTGATTTCTCTTCTCTGTGACTTTGAAGTCGTCTTATTGACTGACTTATTCAGGAATGAATCATCTCACGAGGCTATAGACTGTCTTTGAGTATTACCAAGAGGATGGTACAGCTCATCTGGCATAGTAAAGTGGATTTCGTCATTAGTCGCTTTGGCGCGGATTTGCTACCTCTCGGAACAGAACCAAATTCCCGTCCGACATCTCTTCAACATCTCAAACACACCCATGCGTACAAGTAAGCGACTCTGTACCATACGTAAAGGGTGTCTGTAAGTTCTCCGGACATTACAGCGCCTTGTTAAACCAATTATTCGGCACTCAGCCGGCAGGGCAAATCGCAGTCGATAACCTGGAGCACGAATAACACCATAACGAGCACGAAGCCTCACGAAAACACGAATTGAACATCAAATATACAAACCACCGTCTTCCAATAATCTCGGACTAGAGCTGTCTTTGTCCTTCCAGCACATTGTAAGTGTACCCCCGTGAGTCTATATATAATTTCCCACCATGGGCTCGCTTAGAGCACCACTTCCAGCGTCCCAACATTTCTTTGTTCCCATCGTCACGACGAGTTCACCTTCATTATATTCACCACCTCGACCTCAATCTTTTTGAGTCAAGAAACCCACTGCAAACTCAAAATGCTATTGTCGGCTATGCACAACAACTATGGCTTCGCAGAGCCCCGCGAGCCTTGCCCACAACTATTTCGTCCGCGTTTGCGATCTCTTCCTCTTCTGTTCTTTTCACACAACGTCAATTCTGACCTTTGCTCTCGCAGAATGTCACAAACCTTTGATGAGTTTACACGCACTCCATATTTGCAGGAAAACGTGGACATGGCTACTATATTTTACAGCACAATGCCGGCACCTGGTCTCAGTCCTCTAAACACTCCTCCTGCTCTGACCAGGGCCGCTATGAAGCAAGTCCCTGCGACTCCTATCAGCATCCGTGGCTCTACTCGCGGTATAAAGCCAACAGGTAACTCTTCTTGCTCAATCTTTGAAACGTTGAGGCATCTAGGGATGTTCCAAGGATACGGCTAATTCTCAACTCCAGAAAAAGTTGCTCAGCTCAGTACTTTAAAGGAGGATCAGAAAGCTCTGATCACTCCGGATCCAAGCCCTCCACAGGTTTTGGTTGGCAAGAAGCTTCTCGCAAAGAAAAATGCTATCGAGAGTGTCCAAGATGGCAAGAGCGACCAGGTCTCAAAGGCGGCTTCCTCTCCATCCAAGGTGATGCTCCGATTTGCACCAAATGTCGTTCAGAGTTGGAAGTCTCGAGTCGACAGTACCAGCTCTCCATCTCCATCTCCTCCATCCTCAGGACAAGACTCGATCGTCACCACCGCCAAAGTACCAAAGAATGGCAGCAAGGCCATTTCGACTATCGAGCTCAAGAGTACCACAACAGGATCAAAGCCAGTCAAAACTGCTCCCATGAGTGCTTCCGACTCCGAATCTACCTCATTGTCCGACAGTATCCTTCCCAGTATCGAAAAAATCCTAGAATATGATATTGAGGAGGAGCTGGAAGTCCCAGTTGCTACCCCTAATAAGGCGTCTACCAGGTCTGCAAAGAAACCCGTCTACAAGCCAGCACCGAAAAAGGCACCAAAGAAAGCCATTAATAAAAACGAGACCAAGATTGATACCCCATTGCAAGAGCGTAGTGTCAGCTCGCAGACTTCTCTCAACAACGAGGTCGCAAAGGACGTCGCAAATTCTGCCGCAACATCGAGGAAGCGCGGCTTTGCTAAATCTAACTCGGAGTCTACCAATGAAAAGGCCACTACCAATGGACGCACTTCGAAAGTTCAGAAGGTTTCTCCTCTCGGACGAAGGCAGACCATCGTCTCTCCTGAACCCATCGTTGACACAGATCCACCTGGATTTGATGAGACAGAGTTGACGGCCTGGTTGTTCGCATACGGCAAGGAAGGTAGTGAGGACTACTTGAGAGCTAAGTTCCCAAGATGCAGTCTGGAGGCATAGTAAGTGTTTGACCCGCTCTGGGGCAGCCCACGAATAATATTAACTCTTGTGAAGCGGCTATGGAAAGCTCCAGGACTACAAGTTCATCCTACATTCAGATGGTTACGCGAAAGCTATCCAAGAAAATGGCAGCGAGATCTATGGTGCGATTTGGAAGATCCCCGAGAAGGTCCACGCAACTTTGGAGAAGAAGGCTGGCAAGCATGGCATGAAGTACATCCAAGTCCCAAACATCCAGCCCATGCGCAGACACCCCGACTACGAGCCAAACTGCTGGAACGCTCCCTGGGTCCCTCACGCCGAACCAATCAAGTGCTGGATGGGAGTCTGTGAGAAGTTGGACGACAGCGAGGAGAACGGTAAAGAGATCATTGAGAACGACTTCTTCAAGCGGCGGGGTCTCAGCAGAGTGGTCATGGAGATGGAGATGGCTGGTGTTCCTGCGGAGTATGTGCAGAAGTATATTCGTTCGTGGGTTCCTCCTCCTAGAACTCCGTACGATACTGGGTATTTTGTCAATCGGCAGAGGATCAAGCCAGTGAAGAAGAAGTAGATGGGTTCATGCTGTATTCTATGGAGGTCATTCGGGTAGTTTGTACTCGGAGATCAGACATCGGCTTGTATAGAGAGGACATTGGAAAATTGTACTCCTGTTTGGGCACTGGAGTACGGATGGATATTCCAGACGGGCTGTTTGTCAGGCTTGGAAATAGACTTGGGGTCTCGGTGGCATTGGCGCAAAAGTGTACCATATATTCTTAATGGAATTAGGGGTGTAAATTAATGTTCTCCCGTTGATTGCGACCATGTGAGCCTCGTGCCCCAAGAATAAACTTTCACTTCGCAACCCGAACTCGTGGTAACGGAAGGGTTTCTTTCCACCCCGATTCGGGACATTACAGGATGGTTGCCGAGTAACGTTCAAAGGAGAGGCGAATCCAAATTCTATTTTCTAAGGTGTACGCATCGCACTGTGGGTATCTAAGAAGTGGCAGACCATAATGTACAAAATCTAAATAAGAACATATAGAGAACAAATCATGCTCAGCCCGAGGATCATCGAGCACCAGAAACACACATTATTGAGGACCTGCTTCCCCTTGACCCATCTCGTGCGCTGGAGCATCACGATAGGAAGCTGGCTCATCTGAGCGATGAATCCATAGCCGCGGATCTTCTTGGTGATGCATGCTAGGACAATCTCGTGGCCGATGGCGCTGATGAGGAAGGTGATGAGTGTTGCGAGGGGTCGGCCGATGTGTGGGCGGGAGGCGCTGTAGACGTGGCGGCGGAAGAAGTGGTGTACGGGGATGTTCCATTCGCGGGAGAACTCGAGCCAGTCAGTGCTGTTCCACCAGTCTGAGTAGAAGTGTCTGTCTGCGAAGCCTGGAATTCTATATCAGCTAATGTATGTAAAGAAGTAGACTGGAGTACTTACAGGTAATCTCTGCACATGCTCCGAGAATATACTCGAAGATGACGAGAAACACCAGAAGGAATGTGATCATGAAGGGGAATAGGAGCATGGAGATGGATTCCGCAAGGATGAGAGCGGTTTCCGAGAAAGAGTTGACAGTCTCGAGTCGGAGAGCTGATTCTGTCATCACAGGGAGGATGAATTCCTCCGATGTTATAGTGAGCAAGAAAATGACACCAAAGACAGCAAGGACTTTGTATCCAAGTTGAGTCCAGACAATGCCATCTGTTCGTGGATATTCCAATTCATAGCAAAGTGTAGGACAGCAAATGTAGTCCACATAGTTCCCCCAAGTCAAGTTCTTGGGATATGTGACAGAGCCCATAGGAGACGTGAGTTCTATGGCCAAGTCCTCTCGTAGACGGGCCAGTTCTGATTTCTCGTCGGCATCTTTCTGCTGTCTTTCTTCAGAAGTCGGCGTGTGGCCAGAACTTGGATATTGATACGCCGGTGCTTTCGAAGCTGTAGATGGCTCATCAAGAGCTTGTAATCGTCTCTCGGTTTCGCTCAAGTGACCATTGTAGAAAGAGTATGAATGAATTTTCATGAGCAGCACAAAGGTGTGCAGGATCAGGAACACCTGGGCCGTCCAAGTCCATTCGCGAAGGAACGGAATTCTGGTGCCGATTAGCTATGGTCGGATCCCGGAAAGGAGCACTCACGCGACCCAGATTGAGAACCAGACTGCCTGGTAAACACTTTGCACAGCCATCCCACCTCCAACCCATCCCAATCCAAGAGCCTTTCCAGTTTTGCTTCTAAACAATTTATGTAGCGGCAAACTAAGTGCAGTTGTAAGCACCATCAGTGCGTCTGCCAAAGCCAATTCCCAGACCTTGACTGTAAACAGTCCCCATATCTGCACTCTCATGGGATAACCAGTATCTTTTATGTTGCGTAGCATCGTTGTGGTAGCCATTATTGTGAGAGCTATCCAAAAGAGAATGTAGAAGCCTTGAAAGTCTCGATAATCGCTGTTGGGATCGAAGTGCGAAACTCTCGAAGCGTACTCGATGGTAGGAAACAGCCTGCGCCTCTGCTGGGCTCTGACCTGTTTGCGCGCAGAGGATATCGATTGTACAGAAGGAGGAGCATCTACTGGCACAGGCGTCGAGCGTCCACTGGAAAGATTAGCAGACGCCAGGAAAGGGACAGGGGATGCTTACCTCGTCTGGCCAGATGTATTTTCATTATTTACAATATCCTTTGGCTTGGAAACAGTAAGTAGCCGTTCTTCGCTGAGGGTCCTAAGAACGGCCGGGTGTCCTGGCTTTGTGGCCCGAGGTCGAAGGATATGGTCATGGTGGCCGTTCCCATTGCCCATGAAATCCGAGGAGGTTGACATCGTGATCGCTACAGTTGGTGTTCGGAATGCTCGGGAACTCTGTGACGAGAAGTCTTGTTGTCTAGTAGTAGGTGAATCTTTCTTGCTTAGAAAGAGAAATTAGACGAGTCGAAGTAAGTTGAAGCAACTAGGTTGTTTTGTTTTCAACGTACGTAAAGTGAGGTAAGACGGTAACTAATGGGGGGTAAAGGAAGGATGATTACGAATTCAAACCCAATTTATGGAGAGTTTGTATTCGCAAAGAAGACGAGGAAGGAAGACAGAAAAAGACGATACGAAAATGCCGAAACCGATGCCAATGGAACCAAAGCCATGCGTAAATCCTGCGTTCGGTGGTAGATGAGGCCTTGCGGTGATGATGCGAGGCTGTCCAAGTATTTATTTGGATCCAACGGAGAGGCGCGGCTCTCAAGCCACAGCCATCATCGGCGACTTTCATTGGCTGCGGGCCAAGAACTGATGGAAACCTCGAAACCCTGTTTGGCCAAGTCGGGCAGGATGCGAGCTAGCCCCTGTGAAATGCTCCCAAAATCTATATGACTTTGTAATTTACATGAAATAATATGAATGTAAGAACAAGTCAGGATCAGGAATCGGATGATGTAATCAAAGTTATATGTTGAATGTTCTCGGCGAGAATGTTGTGATATTCAGGTCCAGGTCCCTGCACCTTCTGCCTCGTTATCAAGGCGCTAAGTCCTGAGCTAAGGACGGGGAAGGCAAGACCTCCTGCGCCCGATGCATGTTTAACGACTGTGTCAACAGAGGTCGCAGCATCCAGCCAGTCCATGCCACAAAAAGTACCGTCCAGTACTCCGTACGTTCGTTTCCCATTACAGCTGCACGATTTGGTAGAGCCCGACCATCTGCCCCATCGCGGGCCTTAGACCGCCAGCATGAGCTCTTGTAAGGCTTTGGCACCCCTCCAAAGTACTCAATACTGACCAGGAATAGTAAAGCAATTCATCCGCAATGTGCGAGCATCCAAGACCATTGCAGATGAGCGTGCGGTTGTACAGAAGGAGAGCGCGGCAATTCGAGCAAGCTTCAGGGAGGAGAGTGGAGATTCCAACGTCAGGTAGGAGGATAGTTGTCAAGGACGGTGAAAGCGGCCACTGATATACGCAGGCGGAACAATGTTGCAAAGCTGCTGTATCTCTTCACCCTCGGAGAGCGGACCCATTTTGGCCAGATAGAATGTCTCAAACTCCTGGCTTCACCTCGATTTGCCGACAAGCGATTAGGTTACTTGGGCACAATGTTGCTGTTAGACGAGAATCAGGAGGTTCTTACGCTGGTCACAAATTCCCTAAAGAAGTACTTCTTACACGCCCGAATTTCAGCGAGGGGTATACTGACCAAGGCATAGTGACTTGAACCACTCCAACCAATACATCGTTGGACTTGCCCTCTGTACTCTCGGAAACATTGCTTCGGTAGAAATGTCCCGAGATCTCTTCCCCGAAATCGAAACCCTTCTTTCAACAGCGAACCCATATATCCGGAGGAAAGCTGCCCTTTGCGCCATGCGGATATGTAGGAAAGTGCCAGATCTCCAAGAACATTTCCTCGAGAAGGCAGCAACCCTGCTCTCCGATCGAAACCATGGTGTTCTGCTCTGTGGATTGACACTGGTCACAAGTCTTTGCGAGGCAGATGAGGCTGAGGGAGGAGACGAAGGCATAGTCGAGAAATTCAGACCATTCGTTGGAGGCCTGATGCGGACGCTGAAGGCGCTTTCCAGCTCAGGATATGCTCCAGAACACGATGTAACTGGCATTACCGACCCTTTCCTCCAGGTCAGAATTTTGCAGCTATTGCGAGTCTTGGGCCGCGGAGACGCACAAACGAGCGAACAGATCAACGACATTTTAGCCCAGGTTGCCACGAATACCGACTCTTCGAAGAATGTGGGGAATTCGATTCTTTATGAAGCAGTCCTTACCATTCTAGACATCGAGGCGGATTCCGGTCTTAGAGTTCTCGGTGTTAACATCCTAGGAAAGTTCCTCTCGAACCGGGATAACAATATTCGATATGTTGCGCTGAATACCCTCATAAAAGTTGTAGCGGTCGAGCCAAATGCAGTCCAGAGACATCGAAATACCATTCTCGAATGTCTACGTGATCCTGACATCAGTATCAGGAGACGAGCACTTGATTTGAGCTTTACTCTTATCAATGAAAGCAATGTTCGACTACTGATCCGAGAACTCCTGGCCTTCTTGGAAGTTGCAGACAATGAATTCAAGCCCATTATGACCAGTCAGATTGGCATTGCCGCGGATAGATTTTCTCCCAACAAGCGATGGCACGTTGACACAATGTTGAGGGTTCTTTCTCTTGCAGGAAACTACGTGAAAGAGCAAATTTTATCATCGTTCATCAGATTGATTGCAACAACCCCGGAATTGCAGACATATGCTGTACAAAAGTTGTATGCTGGTTTGAAGAAGGATATCACTCAGGAGAGTCTGACACTCGCTGGAGCGTGGTGTATTGGGGAATATGGCGATGCTCTATTGCGAGGTGGGCAGTATGAGGAAGAAGAGCTGGTGCAGGAGGTCAAACAAAACGAGGTAGTGGATCTTTTCTCAACTATCTTGAGCAGCAGCTATGCGACACAAATCGCCACGGAGTATATCGTCACATCGTTGATGAAACTGACAACTCGGTTCACGGACCCCGCACAAGTTGATAGAATCAGACGGATACTGCAAAGCAACTCGGCAAGTCTGGACGTCGAAGTTCAGCAACGAGCTGTGGAGTATGGCAATTTATTCGGCTATGATGCGATCAGGAAAGGTGTTCTGGAAAAAATGCCACCACCTCAAATCAAGGAAGAGTCCAGAGTCTTGGGCGAGGCTACTAAGAAGCCGAGCAAGGCCACCAACAGGAAGTCCAAGGTCGTCAAACCTGCGGAACAAGATCTATTGTTCGACCTTATGGGAGATGGTAGCGCGCCTACGGATCTGGGGACGAATGGCTCCCAAAACAACGCTGACCTATTAGCCGATATTCTTGGCGGAAGTAACTCACCCCCTTCCACTTCACCAGCACCTCAACAATCAAACATGAGTTCCATCATGGACCTCTTCGACAACTCTGGCCCATCAAACTCCCCCGCTCCTGCTGCACCTACATCTAATGATCTCTTCTCCGGCATGTCATCCCCTCCACCACAACCAGCACCTGCAAGCATCCCAGCACACCCATGTTACGACAAAAACGATCTGAATATTACGTTACAACTACAACGTAACGCGGAAGGTACGATCCAGGTAATGGCACGGTTCAGGAATACGTCAATGCATCAGTCCGTTTCGAATGTTGCTTTGCAAGCCGCAGTACCAAAGACCCAAAAGTTGCAATTGAATGCGATGTCGAATGCTGAACTAGCGCCGGGATCAGAAGCGACTCAGACAATGAGAATAACTGGTAGTAAAGGAGTAAGTAAAACCAAACACTGTTCATACGTTCCTGCGCTAACAAGTCTAGCCTCCACTGCGCTTGCGATTAAAGATTGCGTACATGCATCCATCTTCGGGACAGGTCACAGATCAGGTGGACTGGTCAGAACCAAGATAATGAGGATGTCAATTAGCATAGCCTCGAATATTTACAAAATGGAAGAAAGTTCAATGCAGCCAGTTCGTTGTATCTGTGCTCGCTTGAGATTAGCTTGTTTCCAAACCGCTGGTAAGCTAACCATATCAATACCAGCGTAATGCAACTCTATGGTTCAAATGGGCGCTAGTCGTCATTTTGAGATATCTAATCGGATAGAAGAAGTAAGTAAGGTCAGTCGGCTCCTAGGCCGACCTGCTACCTTCTTAGAATCTGGACTAGATATCAGTCCTATTTGACAATTTTCCCCCTTTTACACTACAGACACTCTTCCATTATTTTCACACTCAAACTCAAACCCATACCCTTCGAATTATTCCTGCTTATGCCAACGCACTCTACTCATAAATTCTCTGTATTCATCTCAAGCACATCATCAAGATGCGTATCTATATGACTGCCATGTTGGCGGAACTCATTCTAGCTTATTGCGCTAGGGCAGTACATTCGGAATTCCTACGCACGAATAGCACTTTCTACTCTAACACAACCATTGTCGGAAACACGACAACTACGTTGCCGTTCATGAACACGACGGGAGTGTTTTGCAAACGAGATGGAACATCTTGCAATCCTAAATCGCAGACACCACAGGTCAATATTACCGGGAACTGGAACGACCTTGACCAGCCTGAGATCGAGGATATTGATTACTTCCGTTTCTCGTCGAAGAATATTATTCTTTCTAGAGCTGATGACTGGTATGTGGATTTCCCAGGCTGAAAATTCCCATATTACGAAGTCATTCCCCGACATGAAATACCCTCCCTCAAATGACTTCCCGAATTCAAGCTAACTCCTCTCTACTACAGGTACGCAGCATGGACAGTCGCGCGCCAGAACGACACAGACTGGGCCGAACTCGGCGAGTGGAAGCTCTTCGCCAAAGACTTCGCTCAGACGTATAACTTCGAGTGCGATTTGACGTTTGGGGCTTGCGTCAATTATCCTTCTTTGGGTGATCTGCAGAGGATGTGGCCCGGTGCGGAGAATAGACCGCTTGTGAGGAGGATATTCTTTACGTTTAATAGGTTTGCGATTGCGCATGGTTATGTGAGGGCTATTGATGTGAGTGATGTTTTTCCTATTCTCCCTTTTGGACTCTGTCCCTGGCATTGTTTCAATGTCGTGAACTATATACAGTGCTTTGAGAGAGGGTATTTACAAGTGTTACACATCGTGCAGTCATCAACACGTTCCTTAAGGATGGACTAAAGATGACTTCTCTTGTGTACGATCTATTGGAGCTCAGAGTCTCGCTACTTCAAGGGACATGCGATGGTTTTGAGAACGTCACTAATTCGATATGCAGGAGGCATATGACCGCACGCACACCTACCTTATTGGTATGGTCCCTGAGATCATCTCAACCTTTACTTTGCAGGTATATCCCGCGAAGAAATTAAAGTGCGATCAACTACATACTTTCGTCAGTATGATGGTCAACATTGGAATCCAACTGGCGCAAGTGGTTCTAGTCGGCTTCCTTGGCCCTGAGATGGGTGTCCTTTCCGTGGAAGTGCGAGCTGCCATGGAAGAATTAGCTGCCCTTGAAGTCAATGTTGCCAAAACTGTGGAGCAAACGATGGTCAGTACAATGACTTCAAGAATGCAAGAATTGAAGAAGACCATCAGCGACGCCCAGAAGAATGTTGGAAAACTGAATTGGCTGACCACTCTTGGGCCACTTGACCAGCGTGTCAAAAATACTCAAATCCCACGCAACTTCATGTGGAGCAATGTTCTTATGTTCAACTTCGGCTACATGGAAATGATGGCTTACAACGACCTGAAAAAGGTTTACAATTTCAATAACCAGTTCATCGGGCCTGGAATTGGACATGGAACCATGTGCTCTGAGTTTGAAGGAGACTTTGTCGATAACAATGCTGGGAACAGAGACAACTTGGTTGCTCGGCTGAGTAGCGTCTTTGAGTCCAGTCGGAAGCAAAGACAAGCTATGTTCAAAGCACTCTATCAAGGCTACATTATGGCACCGGGAGAACCATCCGCTACAGCCATGTGGCTGAAATCTCGCGACTGGACTGGGCCAGGCTCAGTATTGGAGGAAATGAGAGATATTTCGGAATTGGAAGAGTAAGTGTCTCTTTGTTCGACTGCTACAAGTGCCGTGCTGACTCGTCTACAGAGAAGTTAAGATGACGGTCATAAAAAGCCTGATCACAGATACGCTCACTTCAGACTTCAACTACATCAAGTGTGGCTACAAGGACGATGCAGCAGCCCATTGCGAGAAGGCGAAAGACGCAACCAAAGGACAAGACTTATCAGTTTTCTGTCCACACGCCGATACCGATCCGCAATTCATGTGCGACTCCAGAAGGTGGTACTTCTCCGACCTCCATCAGCACGATATCCCAATGGTGGCAGCTAAGAAGTTCGAAACATTTGCTGGAAATCGATTCAATTTCACGCGACAGAAATTTCTCATGGAATCCTTCCGCAATTACGAGCTCTACACCCATGCCAAGCCTACGGACTATGGCGGATGGGGCTACGGAAACTCAACTAGTAAAGGAATCGGATTCAATCTTCCAGTATGTGTGAGCGCCAAACCGAGGTTCTTCGAAAGGAAAGGTTATCCATCGATCTGTGGAGACTGGCATGCTAGCGAGACGGAAAGTTTTATTGGGGCTATGAATGCCGGGGTCAACTCTACTATCTACAAGTACAGGAAAGATAGCATGCCAATGTATCTGTACACTGAAGTCATTCCGCAGGTAAGATCATCACGCCATCATTTGTCCCAACAACATTTACTGACAACCACGTCAGGCTCTCGATTCCTTTCAACCACTAACCCGCTATCTCGGTCTGTGCGCTAATTCTCTTCGTTTCCCGAACGTGGGCGAGACGCCTGGAGTAGCAGTCAACTGGCTCAAGATCCAACTGAGTAAGGACAAGGATTGCGAGCTGGTACAAAATGGGACCAGGAATCTGGTGGACGAAGAAGCTGCAAATCGCTGGTTCTGTACTAATGCTGGAGGACATACGATCTTCAAGCGGGAAAAGCCTTATGTCGACTCGCCCCATGCTAAGTATATGAAGAGTCACAAGAGGAGGTGTAAGAGTTGGTTGAAGAATCATGGAACGTATGCCAAGAATCAGACTGCGCCAGGGAGATAGTTGTGGAATGTTGCTTGAAGGAATTGATGATAATATGCGTATGAATGAGATATGAAGGAATGGACCGGTAAATTGGGCTTATTTGTGTCTATTCTTAGCCTTTTTAAAAATCCAAGATGCTTCCAGGCTTGTACTGTCTATCATTTTTCTGCACTTTCTTTCAGTCACATCGAATGCCTACTTACTGCATAGACGTTGTGCCCAAGACTTTCGGCGCCGAGGCGTGGTGCTCGCATGCCACACCACCAGCATGCTTTCGCTAAAACCCGCAGCCGAAGGATCACAACATCACAACACCAGCCTCCAAGCACACAAGGCGCTAAGAGTCTTGGACATAATGTAAGCTTACCTCCTGCCACTATGCCGCTAAATCATATCTCCAAGAGGAAATCCGCCAATATTACCTTAAGCCCGATTCCCCAATCGGGTCACTTGTTGCGCGATGTCAACATCTCGTGGCGGAACTGACGATCACCTCGCAAACTCATGGCTCTGAATGGCGGGGATATATTTTGGGGAGACACAAAGTAGATATTTGACAGCTGCGGATACTTGCAGCATGTGGATATATGCTGCTATGACGGGTGGATTCACTTGGCGGTGAAGTTTACGTCGGTATTGCATTATGTGGGTGGGATTTGGTGAATACAAATATGTGAAAAATTTCTCCCGCTTCTTAACTTTTGAAATTCTACACCACAGTATACTAAAGGTTTAACTATCCACAAATCATGGGGTTCGCCTTCGCATGCGCACTTGCTGCCTTGGTATTAACTACGATTGCAACGCCGTCTACGAACCCGAATTGGCAGATCGGTCAGAAAGTGCAGACTTCAAGTGGGATTGTGGAAGGACATGCCGCAGACAAGACGCCTTCTGTTTCAGAGTACTTAGGGATTCCATACGTTCGTGATATTACAAAATATCCGTTCAAAGACTAATCAACGCGTAGGCAAAACCTCCAGTCGGAGATCTGAGATGGGCTGCGCCGGAAGCACTTGACAGTCCTGACGCGACGATCAATGGAAGCAACTTTGTAAGTTGTCGGGACCTTCGAAATTCTTCACCAATGCTGACACAGTAGGGTTTCTCATGTCCTTCGAATGGAGGAGCATCTTTTGCAGCAGTGGTTGCTAATGCTTCCAACCTCAATCTCGCTCCGTCTGCACTCCAAGTCTTGGACGAAATGATAGGACAAACTGGCGACATATTCAACGAAGACTGTCTTACCCTCAACATATGGACGAAACCGCAGTCTGAAGAGAAGAAGAAGGCGGTTCTTCTGTGGATACATGGTGGAGAGTATGTGTCTGGCTCGTCGAATATTGTTGCTCACAACGGAAAGCACCTCGCAGATTCACAGGATATCATTGTGGTGTCGATCAAGTAAGAATAAAACACATCCTAATTCTATGCACTTAACTGACGGTTTTCAACAGCTACCGCCTCAACATCTTCGGCTTCCCAGGAAATCCCCACAGCATCAACAACCTCGGCCTTCTCGACCAACGACTCGCAGTCGAATGGACTCGGGACAATATCGAAGCCTTCGGAGGAGATCCAAGACGTATAATTCTCGTCGGAGAGTCTTCAGGTGCAGGCTCAGTAGACTTCTACTCCTTTGCATGGACCCACGACCCGATCGTCAACGGCTTCATCGCACAATCTGGGGTTGCCAACCCAGCAACTCCAGACGTATCAGCAGAAAACTGGGCCGCAGCAGCTACACTCCTCGGATGCTCTTCCACAAACTCTACAAACAGCACTGTTCTCTCTTGTATGCGTTCTCGGAACCAGACATCGATCCTCAGGGCTATTTCGACTCTGCTAAACTTCGGGCCAACAGTCGACAACATCGTCGCATTCCCCGATAACCTCGAACGCGCAGCAGCAGGAAAGGTAATACGTAAACCATTCCTAATCGGCAATAACGACAACGAAGCCGGCCTATTCCAAGTCACATTCGGCGCTCGCGGTATCACCTATTCTCCCAGCTACTGGAAACTACAAAACCAATTCGCTTTCAACTGCGGGATATCCGTCCGCGCAAAAGTCGCGGCTCGCAAAGTGCCGACCTGGAGATACCACTACTTTGGATACTTCCCAAACCTAGCGTTGTCCACGTCACCGCCGTCCGGAGCGTGGCATGGTTCGGAGATTCCAATGGTCTTTGGAACGGATCTGGATGTGCAGAATATCACGGGTAGAACTACCGAGCAGCAAATAATTGGGGAGTATATACAGGGTGCTTGGGCGGAGTTTGTGAAGGATCCTAAGAAGGGGTTGAAAGAGTTCGTATCCCTACGCCCTTCCTCAGTATATAATTGTTGATGCTGACTGAACTCTCATCCAGGTACGGATGGCCTAGATATAATCCCAAATCGAGAACTCTTGTAAGATTAGGATATCAGAACCTGACAGGCGCGAATCTTGGATCTCCTGCAGATTACGATATCAGTTGTCCATGGGCGTTCCCCCTGGGAAATGTACTGTTGTATTCGAATTCTTCACAGACGGCTATTGATGTTATAGCGGGGTTGACTCGGCAAGAAGCTGAGCAGGTGTTGGATTTGTTTGATGTTTGAAAGGGATACTTGTGGGGTTACGCTGTTGAATTAACTTGATAGAAAACAAAAGGAATAAGAAATGTTTATATTAGTACCATGAAACCATGCTTCACACGCATATTCACACCAGATTAACTCAAGTCCAGAAAATAAATTGAGATCTTACGCTTCTATATCTTCAGCAGAGGGTACAGCGATCGCCTCCAGGACCATCACAGCACCCGAAGTTTGCAGTCCAGCATCGCCAGCATTCATTAGAACCCCCGCCACGCATGCGGATTATCTGATTGGAAGTGACTTTCATGCCTTCAACAGGCTTCTGCAACAAAGCATCAGATTAGTGGTTTCTTTTAAAGTGTGAAACAGAAGCGTTCTCAAGAATAACTCCTTCTTAGGCTTTTGTTACATCTGCTTCCGCTTGAAAAGTATGGATTCTGGAAGAGTGAAGTGAGTTGGACTTACAGGCTGACAGGCCGTGATGGTATTGCCTGTATCAGGGCAAGATGCCGACATCGGCTTTGGAGCTGCAGGTACCGTTGTGACGAGCGGATGCATTTCGAGAAGGACTTTCTGAACAGGTGATATGATAGCTGGATTTAATTTGTAGTTTCTGGAGTATGGGAAGGTCGTGTAGTGGAGATATGTATTCACGAATAGGCGTTGTTAAGAGGAAGTGATTCAGTTATGGGTATATCAACGTCACTTTGACTCATGAACAATTTGCCGGATTCACGTTGGCACTTCTTTGCAAGATTCTTTTTGTGGGCTACTTTTAAGTCCAATCACCACACTGACAAGGACTGATAAGAAAGGAGTTTGCTACATGTGCTTGTCGGCAGATTCTGAGTAGACAATCCTTCACCTTCATACTGGCCGTGAAAACCGCCGAATATAGTGAGACTGCAAGCTGCAGAAAACATTTCGTATATTCAAGTTGCATAGCACGGACAGTAATTAAGCGAGTCTAAACACTGTACAGCACGACCAGGAATTGATGAATCTAAGGCAAAGGGTGGGATTATCTTGTAAGCAATATCTGTATACATATACAATTTTGATGATCGAAAGATGATGCAATAGATGTCAAAGGAAGATTTTGGGAGATTTCTGTCGTATCCAGGTATGGTTGTTACTGTGGATCCCTGCGATTCGTCGGCAAGACTCCGGCACGCTTGATTTCTGTCACCCCTCCTTGTGGACAAATTCACGACCATGAAACGTGAACGACTGTTGATTGTCGCGCACCTCTCAAAATTTCTCCCAAGCAATTCTCCTTCAAACGGATCTTCCCATCGTACCATCCTCTCATTCTGGAGCCAAGACCTGTCAACTGGTAAACACATCCAGAAAATCTACCCCGCTCAACCTGAAAACGATCTTCCATCCAGCGGCAACGTCAACATGGTACTCAAAGGCATCTCACCCCTCATTTCCCCATCTCTTCTGAAGATATTGGCGGAAATGGGACATGGCGATGAGATCGTCCTTGCGGATGCACATTTCCCGAGCCATTCGATTTGCGGACCAAATGTGCAGGTGGTGAGAGCCGATGGTGAGTCCGGCACCCACCAATATGAGAGATATATTGGTAGTCTATGAGATGGAAGGTCGTAAGTACTCGAAGTGCTAAACTCAAGACAGGCATCTCAGCATCCGCGCTTCTCGCTGCAATCATTCCACTATTCGAGCTCGACACTTATGGCGAGGTACCGGTTATGATGATGGAAGGTACATTTGTCTTTCCTTCTCATTCTCCTCACCCTTAACTCTATATTATTCTCACTTTTGAATCCTCATTCACTAATAAATGAACGCATCAGTCGTACCTGGCGACACGTCGGACCCCGAAGTCGAAGTCTCGTTCAAAGCAAGCTTAGCAGCAGGCTACACAGGCGAGATCCTCAAGATCGAGCGCTTTGCATTTTACGAGCGAGTCAACCAGAAAGCATTTGCGATCGTGGTCACAGGAGAAACGAGGAAATATGGGAACGTGATTTTGAAGAAGGGCGTTACGCCTATTGCGTAGGTAGGGATGGAAATCGCTACGCACACCAGATGTTTTGACGCACCCAGTCACTCATAGTTCCAAGATTGGTGTATAGAATGGGCACTCCTTTGAGACCGCACCCACCACCAGAGTGAACCGTACCCATCACTTCGCCCGTCTCCGCATCCCAGATTGGCCCACCAGAGTCATTCGGACAGCTGCCTTTTCCTTCCTCTCCACCCGCGCAGATCTCGTTGGCAGTGGCCTGGCCGTAAATACTGCAATCCTGTCTAGCAGCAACTGGGACGTTGACCCATCTCAAATCAGCAGATCCCTCCACTGTCTGGTCTTCAGCTGTGTTACCCCAGCCCGCCGTGGTTGCGCTCAACCCAACAACTGGGTCATAGCCTTGAGAGACGATTCGGGCATAACTGATTGTGTCTGAAGACTCAATGGGAGTCCCTAAATGCCAAAGTGCAATGCTATACGCAGGACATGGTATCAGTATATGTTTACAAACATTGAGGAGTCGAGGAAACTTACTCAAACTGGCCGTTTGTGGGTCTGTATGACGGATGAAGCTTGATTGCTGTGACGTTTGAGACAGTGCCTCCAGAGTGCCAGTTCTGGCGCAAGTCAGTTCATATTTCATGTTCCCCAGCTCAGGGCGTACTTACCATAGAGCCTGCACGGATCGTAACGTTTGCAGGAGGAATATTGACCGAGCAGTGGCCAGCGGTAAGGACAGTGTAGGCGTTAAGTAAGGTAGCACCACACCATTGATTGCCATTGAGTTGAGGTGCAACGAGGAAGGGAAATTCTCCTGGCCTGGCGAGATTACCACCCGCAACTCGAGAATAAATCTTGCTGGATGCTGGCGCTGCAAGATTAAATGGCGCAAATGCTATTGCCATCAATAATGCATAATTGAACGTCATTTTGGATGAAGAAGGTTTCTTTAATTATTCGGTGTGCTGGAGGAATATAGATGTACTGTCCTCTTGTGACCTTTGAGATAAGCAAGAACCAACGACGATACCAGAGGAATGATCCTGCTGGATCTGATGCTAATTATATAGACTCTGGAGAGAGCTAAGGATACGAGTAAATATGGAGACGCAATCACAAATATGGACATCGCTTAATTTCCATCCCCTCGTCGCATCAAGGTACAGGCCTGTCTAAAGCTTGGCATGGCCCATATAAAAGACATCACAAGCTTTTCTGTTTCTATTTTTGTAAAATAAAGGAGGTCTTGGCACGTGGAGTCGATCCACTCCATGAGGTGTGTCAGTCCATTGAGGGAAAGGAGAAAATCACTCACAGGATATCAGACCAACCAGACGAGGAAGATAATATCCAAAAACCATATATCTCAACAGAATGCTTATTTTCATCACAGAGAGCGTGGAACTCTGAGGCAAAAATATTTGAAAGTTAAATCGGAGCAGAGGGAAATACATATGACCGTGAATCTCTCACCAAGCTTCTCCACGCGCTCGGTTGGAATAGCTGTTGGGCGGAGAAAAAGGTGGCCGATTGAGACATGCAGTTATTCTACTACAAATCCTCACAACAATTCCAACAACAGATGTAATAAAATAATACTAAGACATAGAAATGTCCAATAGCTATTTCTAAACTTGCCTAAAGACGGTGTTCCTTTTGCATAGCTTTGGATATGCATAGTGTATTCAATCAATTGGTTTTGTGTTTTAACTGTGCCTTAATCGGCTATATAAATCTTTGCCCAACAGAATAAGTAGAATTTGGAACTGTTATATCGAGCTAAATATACATTAAGCTGATAAATACGACCATAGGCTGGGAGGAATGGGCAATCTCTTCTGTCTACCGTACAGTGACAATTGAATACCCCCACATTCTCCTAGGTCCTGAGAACTGAGCCCAACTACTCAACTGATCATTGACGCTGTCTCGGACTTCTGGAGCCGGCAGGCTGCTGTTTGTTGTTTGGTAGCGAGAGAAAGATTAGCCCACATCGCTGCAAGTAGTGTGTCGTGAGACGTCATGCTTTTCGAGCCACCTGATTTTAAAGCTTCGTGCTCTCCTAAACTCTTTCCCTTTTACATGTATGTCACTTTCCAAATTCCACTTCGACTTTCCATATTATGACTTCGAACATGGCCAATTCGAACATGACCACCTCGAACATGGCGCATCAATCCGAGGATTTGCCGGGGTTTAGAACTTGGTTTCCGATCATGATGGGCTTGTTTGGCCTCATAATGTTCGGAGGTTTCGGTGTCATGATTTATTTCGAAAGAAGGAAAACTAAGCGACGCCGACTCAAAAACCTGCGAGAGGGCAAATGGGTCCGCAAATCACTCGAAGGATGGTTTTCTGACCCGGAGACTACCATGGCAAGACTCACCTCCCGACAGCCTGGTCATGAACGGACCCTCGATGCAAATAAAATTTCAGATTTCTACGCAACTACCCAGGACTTCCTGGTGGAATTCTTTGCCTTGGCAAAAGAACAGAAAGATGAGGAATGCATTTACATGGAGATGGGAACACCTTGGTGCAGGCAATTACGACATATTCTATATCTTCGAAAGCAAGCATTAGCAAAGGTATCAGAAGAAATAAGTAATATGCCGATGAGGGGGGAGAGATTTATGGCGGTGAGAGACTTGTACTGGGAACATAAATACCTGCAAAACCATATCAAGGACTTCTGGTCCAATGGTTGGCCTGATCACCCCTTGGAGTACCCTACGGAGGAAAAGTATGGATCATTTTGGGTCGACGCCGAAAGTGAGTTGGAGGATTTATCAAGGAAATCTATTGAGCGTGTGTTTGAAGCAGCTTCGAAAGATTGGGCGGAGAGGAGCGCTCGGAGAGGCAAGAGATTCTGGAAGTTTACAAGTCTTCTGGGCTACAGTGTTGGCTATTTCAAAGTAGGTCGAGCAATAGAGGCTCAAAGCAGAGAGTTGGACGATTGAAGCTGGTTTCCTTCCGCTGGTGAGGACTTAGCCACAAAAGTTACCATTCATTTGAGTATGTTCAGCTTCGATTGGAAAGCGTATGTTGCGTTACTTCAACTTCTTCAAGGTGTGCATACAATAATATTCACAATAAAAGAAATCCCAAACCGCTTTAAGACATTAGCTTTGATGGATAAGTGCAAAATGTACTCGATTCAATTATAAGTCCCCAGTCCGTCCCAGGACTTCAAAAGCAGCAGTATTTAGATACACAGATAAGACTTTGCCTTCCACATACGACCATAGGCTGGTGAGAAATGGGCAATCTTTTCTGTCTACTATACAACGGGCTTATGAATGAACATTTTTTCTTCTAGATTCTAAGATCTCGGCTAGTAATACACGTAAATTTATATCAGTTTCTGATACACCTAGGACCGAGATCTCGGTCCCAATCACTAAGGTATATATATTTACACTATTTACAATACACTACAGAAGGTCAGGTTTATTATTACGAAGATTGAGATCGAATACTCTCCGTCCATACAATTCTCCGCAATGCAAATTCTATGCTTCGGAACCATCAACTTTCCGTCTCCAAACTCCTGTCTCCTACTCTTGGAATTTCTCAGTTCACTCCTTCTTCTCTGCTACTTTACTCCTACGTCCGCGACTCCACCAATCTTCCGATTCCTATCACATAATATCTAGACTTGCACCACTCCAAACCTTTACTCTAACCGCTAGCAGATCAGAGATCTGAAGACGAATCTGTACTGAACAATGGCAATTTAGAATAAGGTAAGTTCCCCGCCTCGGCAGCCAATCGAATGCGACAGACACACTCTGCATGGTATTATATTATAACCGGACGTCGGGTGATGCGCCTTAACGTATGGGTTGGTACCGGCTATATCAGCTCACCAGTCTGACAGCGCTAGGCAGCGGCCTTTCCCCAACCCAACCCAACCACTTTACATACTCCGGAGTAAGCACCTGTGGACATTGGACAACCAAGACCGGTGAACCTCCCCCCCCTCCATCCCCTTCTCCGCATCTCGCGTCTTGCATCTTGTCAACTAACCTACGCCGTACCGGCCACTTGGCGTAAGCTTCTCTCCGGACAAGCTCACAATTAATAAATTAATTCTTCCCAGATTCCCTACCTACTTTGAGACAAAGGGGGGGAAGAGAGGGGAAGAGAGCGGGGGACCTCTGAAAATAAGCTCAGATGTCGTATGTGGAATATTTACCACATGTACCAAGTATGATGAACACGAATCGATGACGGAGAAACACCGTACATTACCCAAAGGAGATACCCGAGCTGTGCTTGATCTTTGTTGTTCGAAATCCCTAGATATTGTAGGAATCGCCTCAAACAGCCTGAATGTAATTTGAACACAATGAACCACCAAATGGGACTGGGGCCAAGCCACCTGCCTAGCTAGTATAGAAGACTGCTGAGAGCCACCTCGTTCGTAGGATCACCCAGGCACTGTTATTCTCTTCGTTCCGTTACTCTTCTCCGTCGAATTGGCCATCAGGACGAGACGAGTTTAGAGGAAGAAACAGCAAATCCACCTCACCTCTACCTGCTGGGCAAGCCTACGCTTTGCCTACGCTTGAACATGGCACCAGTCACTGCTGTTGCAGACCTCGCTCCTCATCTGAGGGGCGTGTCAGATCCTATCGTCACTCAGATAGCCGCTGAAGACAAGGTCAAATGGTTCAAGAAGCCCAAGTTGCGGATGATGTACCTAACCCTGTTTGTATGCTGTATGGGCATCGAGATGACCTCGGGCTTCGACTCGCAGCTCATGAACACATTACAGTACTCCGACACCTGGTATCTCTGTACGAGCTCTACATGTAGACTTTCGAGATAGACCATATAGCTAATAGCTTGTCCGCAGACTTCGGTGATACCATCAACCCCAAAACCGGTAAAAAGGCTCTAACCCCTGGAATGTTGGGATTCATGAATTCGTGCTACCAGATTGGTTCTATCATTGGGATCCCCATTGCTCCTTATATCAACAATCGATGGGGGAGACGCTGGCCTATAATGGGTGGTTCTTTGTGTATGGTTGTGGGTGCATTGCTCCAAGGCTTCGCGCAGAATAGTAAGTGTCTGACCTTGGCGAAGATCAAGGACGGGATTTAGGTTGGATGTTGCTAACTTCTGAAGTCGGGATGTATATCTTTGCACGAATGGTACTTGGTTTTGGTATTATTTTCTGCATCATTTCCGGTTCTTCCTTGATTGGAGAGCTCGGTCATCCTAAGGATCGTGCAACCTTAACATCTCTCTTCAACTCTTCCTATTTTCTCGGAGCGATCGTTGCATCGGTCATTACTATCAAAACTGTCGACATTCCCGGTAACTGGAGTTGGCGCGTTCCTTCTCTCTTGCAGATGTGCCCCTCACTTCTACAGATATCGACAGTTTTGTAAGTACCCAGCAGGGATTCAATGCTAAATCTGATGTCCATATTCAATACTGACCTGATAATCACTGCAGCTTGCTTCCAGAGAGCCCGAGATGGCTTGTAAGCAAAGATAGACACGAAGAAGCGCGTGCTATCTTGATTAAATACCATGCCGAAGGTGACGAAGACTCGGTCCTTGTAAAAGCAGAGATGGCTCAGATCGGCTCAACTATCAAGATCGAGATGGACAACTCGAAACAGTCCTGGATGAATATGGTCTCGACTCCAGGTATGCGCCGTCGTACATACGTTGCCATATTCCTTGGACTATGTACTCAGACATCCGGTAATTCACTGTTGTCCTATGTAAGTGTCACCGTCTCGCTGCAAATATTCAACTTCGTACTCTCACCTAAGCAGAGTATCTTATTACTCCTATGAAATTATACTATAGTTGTCTTCTTAATCCTTGGCTCCCCAAAACATAAAAGAATATTGCTGACTTCATGATTCCACACACAGTACACCAATATCTTGTACCCCCTCATGGGTTACACTACCGGATTTGCCAAAACAAGAATCAACGTTGCCAACCAAGTATGGGGTTTCGTCACTGCCACGGTTTTTGCATCGTTCATCGTGGCGAGGTTCAAGCGTCGAGTAATGTTTCTCACGGCCATTACAGGCATGTTGCTGGTTTTTATAGCAATGACGGTGTCTTTCTATGTCCTTAACGATGCGAAGCTCCACCACGTCAAAAACCATGGCGCTCAAATCTCAGCTTTGTTCTGGTATTTCTCCTATAACGTTCCTTATAACCTCGGCGACAATGCTTTGGTCTACAGTAAGTCTCCAATTCTCTTTATGACCCAGCTTCAGAGTGGCCGATCAGTCAGCCGGCTTTTAAGCTAATCAGTCAGCTGGGAAAAAAACGTCAGCTAGTTAGCTCGAATATATTTGTAAGCTAGTTAGCTAGAATATAGCTAGCTTATAAGCTAGCTTATAAGCTGGTCCTTATATTTTTAATGATTTTAGAGTAAGGTTCTAAGTACTTAGTATAGCGATTTAATGCTATACTTACTGAAAATAGAAGTCTTAGAGCAGGAAAACTATTTCCGATTAGCTGTATTAGGCGGTCTAGCACGGCAGAATAATCAAAGCTCGTCTTAAGGCTATCTATATTATATAGTAACTCTCTAATTCCATCTGAATTAACGCTATAAACATGTCTCGATCGATTACGCCTTTTGATATTAAGAATATATTACGAACCCCTTAGCGCTGCGGTTCAGTTGGCACTTATATGCTAATAGTACTATCAGTGGTACTATGGGGGTATTAGTACTAACGAAGGAGCGGTACTATTAATAGAGTAGTACTAACTAGGGAATAATATAGGATAGCGAGTAGTACCGCTATATACTTATACTTAGTAGTAATAGTTACCTAGATTATAGTAGATAATAGGTCACGTGATAGATCCCTAGATCCCTAGATCCTTTTATAAGGGAACAGATCTAAGGATCTAAGGATCTAGTATCTTAAGGGATCTAAGAAGAACGAAGGTTCTATATAAGACTAGTATATCTGCTATTAGATAGGAGCTTCGTGCTTAACTTCAAATAGTATTCTAATACTTAGTAACTATCTTCTGTCTATATAATATACTTACCTCTTAATTATTAGAGATTAACTATAGCCTTTTGTATTTATAGCGAGTAAATACCGGACTGTTATACTTTAAGCACCTTCTTATTAGAGGTACTAACTTATAAAGATAATATATCCTCTGTTAAAAGATCGTTAAATAACTACTCGGCTCTCACTAAGGTCTTTAACCTAAAGAATATACCTAAGATCGCTACTTTAGATCTCTACTATAGAGACTGATCTAAGCTTAGAGTATACTTTACTTAGGTTAAGCTCTATACGGGCTTTAATAGTTACTAGTTCGCTATAGAGACTAATAAAGTCCTTTAAGCTTTATCCTTTCTCTAGGGATCTACCTTTAATTAAATCGAGATCTTTCTCTTAAACTATATTTAGAACTAGACTAAGAATAGGAGAGTATCTATAGTAATAACTAAGGAATCCTAGAAGATCTTTATAACTTTTAAGGGTTTTAAGTATAGGATTAACCGTATCTTTAGCGATATCAATTAGAACTATACTACTGAATAGAATATCTAGAACTTAAAGTAAGTCGGGTTAGTAATCACGTATACTACTACTTTCTAGTAATTCGCGAATTAGATTAGCTAGAATAATAACGCCCTTTAGGTATAGTACTATAAAAGGTTAAAAGATAGAGTAAAAGATAAGATAGTAAGATCAGATACGCTTACTAACTTGTAAGAACTTATTAAAATAGCTATTAAGATTAATAACTAAAACTACAAGAGGGCACTTAAGAAGAAAGGCTAATACTACTCTAGAATATATATATACTAAGGAAGAGAGGGTAATAATAAGAAATTATTCTACTCTTAGGAAATAGAACTTAATATAATATTCTAGAAGCTAAGTTATTAAGGAAAGCTATATAGCAGCGGGCTATCTAAGAAAGTTATAAGTGAGCGATAAGAGAAGAAGCTATACTTTAAGTATAGCCTTCTTAGCTATATAGCTAGCTCTTATCAATAAAAGAAGTCGTAGATAAATAAGAAATATACTAATATAATAAGATATAGCTCTTATAATAAACTAATATAATAACTCGCTGCGATATATTAATATATAACTGTTACGAACGCACTCAGAAGGAGTATCACGTGTGTCTTGGCCCTGAGGCTCGGCAGCATTGCTGCACAGAGAAGCCAAGAACTAGGAACGAAATCACGGGACCATGTGTCACGTGATGGCATGGAGCTTTTGGAACCATAGGGTCCAAGGTTCCTGGAGCCTGGGATCATAGGACCCATAGGGATCCAAGGCTAACGAAGGTTCTATATAAGACTGGCACGTCTGCCATTAGATAGGAGCTTCGTGCTCAACTTCAAATAGTATTCTGATACTTAGTAACTGTCTTCCCGTCTACGTGATACACCTACCTCTCGATCATCAGAGATCAACTGCAGCCTTCTGTATTTACAGCGAGTAAATACCGGACCGTTACAATAACTATAGACGAGCTTAAGGAGAATTATATCTATACCTAGTTAAGTGATTCTAATAATAGTAAGCGAGATTCCGCGAGTATTATAGATTAGCTTAAGTAAACTATTATTAGTACACCCTCTAAGGACTATATATATTAAGATAACGATAGCTCTAGGCTAGATAATAATATAGAGCTAATACTAAGTAATAGCGAGGAGAAGGCCTAGGAACCCGAGTAGACTCTAGAACTAGGGCTACCTTAACCTGAACTCTTAGGACTAAGAGTGAGTAAAACTTAGGAAGTTACCTAAAGAGAGGAGAGCTTATATTAGGTTAGTTATAACACTTACTACTAGATTAATATAGCCACCGGGGTTACTTATTAAGAACTAGGCCTTATTAGCTTAGGGGGTCTACTATAGGAAGCAAGGTATGAAGTAGTCTACCGGGACTATAAGCGTATCAGATAGAAAATAGCTGGTAGCTAAGAAGGATTAATAACCTTTATACAGCACTTACTACTCCAGAATACTATTATTCTTAATACTAGCGCGCCACTAGAGGTAAGCGAGGAATAGGAAATTATAACTAAGAACCGATATAATAGGACATAGGTCCACGTTAATAATAATAGCTAGTACTATTATAAGATATATAACCCAGTAATATACACCGAACTCGGAATAAGGCTCATATATAAGGTTAGCTTAAGCTATAGCAATTGAAGGGTATAGGAAAGTATCCTTAACTATAGCGTATATTAGGAATATTTCTGTATATAGTAACTTACTACTATTAGAGATAAATATCTTATATTAGAGGTTAAAATTAAGGGAGTTAAGCTTTAGGTGATAATAGACTTTAGGGCATAAGGGAACTTTATATCTCTTACTATTATACTCGAGTACTACCTATTAACTAAAGTAAAGGATAAGGGATACTATCTAGTACTAGCGGATAGTAAAGTCGCCTCTAATAGACTAATTAAGGTCTAGACTACTCCAGTTTATATAGGTATTACTAGATACTTCGAAATAATCTAATTCGATATCGTTAGGATTAGAAGGTATAATATTATCTTAGAGCTATTATAGATAGAAAAGTATAATCCTGTTATCGATTAGTAGATAGGAAAACTTAAGTTTAGTTATTACTAAGACTACTATTATCTACCGGGAATAGAAGTAATAAGTATTTAAGAGGTTAGCGCTACTTCTAAGGAAGAGCTTAGATACTAAGATAAGGGTCTACTGATAAAAGATATACTATTAGTATATAAGAAGTTTACAGCACTATTTAAGGAGGAATAAAGTATTAAGGCCTTATTGAAATACTAAGACTACAATTATCGGATCGAGTTAGAACTAGGTACTAAACTAATATTCTAACTACTTAGGGAATATTCAGTGATAGACTTAATAATAATTAAGTAATATATCAATAAAAACCTAATAAAGGGATTTATCTGAGAGTCTAAATCTCCGTAAGGGAGTAATATCTTATTTATAGAAAAAAAAGATAGTAGATAATGAATATATATCGACTACTATCGATTAAACGATACTATAAAGAAGGATTATTATATACTACTATTAGCTAAGGAGCTACAAGATAGACTCGTTAGAGCTAAGATTTTCACTTAGCTTAACCTACGAGAAGCGTATAACCTCGTTAGAATAGCTAAGGGAGAAGAAGAAAAAATAGTATTTCGTACTTGTTTTAGTTACTACAAGTACATAGTTATACCCTTCGGCTTAACTAATATACTAGCTATATTTCAGCGTCTAATTAATAATATTTTATAGCCTTACTTAAACGTAACATGTATATACTATTTAGACGATATACTAGTTTACTCTAAATTAAAGGAGTAATATATGAAAGATATTATAGCTATTCTCTAGAGGCTAGAGGATACTTACTTATTACTTAAACTAGAGAAGTGTAACTTCTATATAGATAAAGTTATCTTTCTAGGCTATATAGTTACTACTATAAGATTAGCTATAGATTCTAAAAAGATTAAAGTAATTATCAAGTAAACAGGGCTTATAAATATTAAAGAAGTATAATTATTCCTTAGGTTTACTAACTTCTATAGGCGATTCATTAAGGATTACTCGAAAATCGCTAGGCTACTCACGGAGTTAACTTATAAGAACAAGGAATTCTACTAGTCTAATAGCGCACGAAAAGCGTTTAAGGCACTTAAAGCAGCTTTTATCGCAGAACTAGTACTTATTTCCTTCACCCCTGATAAAGAAATATATATAAAAACAGATTCTTCGAACTACGCTATTAGAGCTATGCTTAGCTAGCCGGGCGAGGATAGAAAATAGCAACTAGTCGCTTACTATTCGCGGAAACTATTACTAGTAGAACTTAACTATAATATATACGATAAAGAGTTACTAGCAATTATAGACGTAGTACGCGAATAGAAAGTTTACCTCGAGAGCGCTACTCATAAAATATAAATCCTAATAAACTATAAGAATCTTATTTACTTTATAACTACTAAAGAATTAAACCGACGCTAGGTTTAATAGTATAAAACACTCTCTATTATAAAACTTCGAATTTCTTATATTAAGAGAACGGAAAACGCTAGGGCCGATGCCTTGAGTAGGAAACTAGAATATCTTATAAATAAAACTTATAAATCTCATACTATACTACAAAGGGATAGTAATTTACTAATAGTTAATTACTAATAGCTAGCCTTAATAGGCTAGGTCACTAAGAAAATCTGGAAGAACTATACTAATAACCCGGTTATAGCTAAATAGAAGAAGTAGCTAAGCGAAAGATTCTCTTTTACTTTAGATAGCACGCTTTTATACTAAGGACGAATCTATATATCTACTAAGGATAGGATTAAATTCGTTATACACTAGTATAAGCTACTCGCT